GCCCTAGCTCGCAGCCATCTTCGCGCGCAGACGCTCGAGAGCATCTGGATGAGGACGAAGCCCGCATGGCAAAGCTATGCCGGGAAGGGGGAGTAGAGCTCATCACTGAGTTGCTTTCCAAAGCGGTTCCGGTTGATGATGACGCTCTTCCTGACACGTCCAAGATACGCGACTGGACGTTCAAAGACATCTTGAAGTTGCCATCTGCGCAACAGAAGGAATGGATGAATGCTTGCCGCGAGGAGTTAGAGGCACTCCGTCAGCGCAAAGTCTATTCCCTTGTGGATCGTCCGAAAGGACGAAAGGTCATCAAATGCCGCTGGGTCTTTGATCAGAAATCTGATGGCCGCAAACGCGCCCGCCTCGTCGCCAAGGGTTTCAGTCAAGTCAAGGGAATCGACTATGACGAAATCTTCTCGCCTGTCGTCAGGTATGAGACGTTCCGCCTAGTCATGGCGCTTGCAGCGCTTGAAGGCTGGCACTGGTCAGGTCTCGACGTCTCCAAGGCTTTCCTCTATGGGGACCTGGACGAAGAGGTCTACATGGAACAACCCGAAGGCTTCGCGGTGAAGGGCCAAGAGCGCAAAGTCATGCGCTTGCACAAGGCGATCTACGGACTCAAACAAGCTGCCTTAGCATGGTGGAAGGCGCTTACCAAGTCCACGAAAGCCATGGGCTGGGTCCGACTCACATCGGATGCCGGCGTGTTCTTCTACCAGGACTCTAACGGCAAACTCGCTGTTATTGTAGTCTACGTAGATGATGCTCTGTTCTTCTCCAAGGACAAGAAGCTCATTGCCTTTCTCAAGGCTGAGTTCAACAAGCGATGGGAATGCCGTAATTCTGAAGTCACTTCGGAGTTCTTGCGCATACGCATCCGACGAGAAGGATCTAAGATCAAGATTGATCAGATCCCGTATCTCGATAAGGTGCTGAAGCGCTTCGGGATGGAGAACTGTAAGTTCGCCCCAACCCCTCTACCAGCCGGCTATGTGCCTGAGCTCAACGAGGATGAGGTTGATCCCGAACTCCGCAAGACCTTTCAGTCGGTCATTGGTTCGCTTCTCTTCATCATGTTGGGCACTCGCTCCGACATTGCCTTCGCGGTGACCAAGTTGTCACAGTTTGCCGCAAATCCCTCGAGAGACCACTTGAATAAAGCGCTGTATATCTGCCGCTATCTTGCTGGGACTCGGGATTATGCACTCGTCTACGACGGTGCTTCCAATGGCGGATTGACCGCGTACACTGATTCGGATTGGGCATCTGATCCGATCAAGAGGCGATCCACCACCGGCTACTTCATGAAGCTGGCAAACGGGATCATCTGCTGGCAGTCACGATTGCAGCGCACAGTTGCAGCCTCGTCGACCGAAGCGGAATACATGGCGCTCTCTGATTGTAGTCGCCAGGTGATGTGGCTCAAGAGTATCCTTATGGAACTCAAGCGCAAAATCATCGTTCCCGTTCCTATCCACGGTGACAACCAGGGATCTCTCTTCACGGGCTCCAACGCCTACCGAGACCGCCGGATGAAACACATCGACATCCGTTACCACTACATCCGCGAGCTGGTCGAGGAGAAGGAGATTGAGCTGTACTTCATTGACGGCAACAACAACCCTGCGGACATGTTCACCAAGAACCTTGGGCGTGTCAAGTTCGAGAAGTTCAGATCTCAACTGGGACTTGAGTTTAACTCGTCCTAATTGGCCGATGAAGACATCCGCTTGCGTACGCTACGCCGCGATACTTAGCGAGGGGGAGTGTTGGACAATCGGCCTGTCACATGTTATGACTCACGCATCACATGACGGACACATGGACACACATGGACACACGCGACGACATCATATGTTTATTGTTTACATGTCCATTGCTTTATCACATGCTACTTACCGTCCTGTACATATATAAGGAGGGCCTCTCTGCCCCCAGAATAACAGGTCATTACCTACCTCTGCGCTTGCCTCATACCAAGCTCCTTACCACCAGGTAAGCAGTATAGGCGCGCTTCCCAGCATGCTCAACAGTAGTCTGCATATTGTGCCGCGAAGTTCAACCGGTCAGGTGATCTACCGGTACCGACATCGGACTTTGCCGCACTCTTTCTGAAGCTTTCTGCGCTTACGGGCTGTGGAAGTCCTTTGTAGGCCTTCTCATGTTTGTTTGTAATGGGGACGCTACGTATACGGACATGGACAGCTATGGGTCCACATCACGTGGACCCGATCGTACTATATATTCGGACACGCGGACTTTTGAGAGTAGTTCTTACCATCCTGTTTCTTGTATTTCGAGTCAATCGCTAGCACGCGGTTCGGTTCATCTGCGAGAACTAAGGACACAAGGACTCAAGAGAGCAACGCTCTCTTACACATTTTTGAACCTTCTTGCTACTAGCTTTACTCGAACTTTATCGACTTCTCCATCCCCAAAAGGGACATCGACACCGACATCGCCATCGACGCAGATCACCGAGATCTGCATTCTATTGGTACGTAAAAGCCTAAACCGACTACTCTCACGCGTATCTACACAATCTACGTGCGATGGCGGACAACGGCACCGGAAGGTACCCGCTACGGTCTCGGATTAACACCACCGCGGCCACAACGGGCAACCAAAACCCTGCCCGGGGAAGGGGAGCAGGAGTACGCACGGCAGTGACGGCTGATGCGAACAACGGCGTGGGGGCGCGTGGGAGCGTGGAAGGGACACGAGGACAGCGACGTGGACAGGCCGACTCGATCGACTCGTTAACGCCGCCACCGTCTTCCAACCACCATCAGCCATCCCAGCTGATGCTGTAAGGTAGATTTAAATCTACCCCGACAATTTACGTATTGTCGATTGAAATCTTTCGCGACGTCAACGCGGCCCGATTCCCGAGCCCGGGCAGCCCGACGCAGGCGCCGAGACGTGCCCTAATAGGGCTCTGGGGCCGTGATGCGCCCCGCGCGTGGCCCGGCGCGGCGCGGAAACGTCACGCGCGCGCACCCGGACGCGCCGGGGACGCGCCGCGTGTTGTCGCCGCCGCCGCTGCCCGTCGTAGCGAGCACAAAGTGGATGTAAAGTATGTATCTAATAGCTATATATTGAAAAGAGAGGGTAAGAAAGAACAAGAAAGCGGGAACAAGTGTGAGCGAAAATTTTCACTCGCGTTAGCGCGCCATCGCCGCTCGTGCAGCGCGCAGGTGCGCAGGACAATGGTGGCGAGGGAAAGGGGAATACCCTCCCAGCTACGTCCACCCATTCGCGTCGAGGGACGCGTCTGCAGTGGTCACGTAGCAAGGTGGGGGTGAAGGTTGAGGTGGGAGGAAATTAATTATGCACAGTTGTGTGCAGCGCATGCCGGACCCGCTCAGACACGCCTAAGCGATGCCGAACGCGTTCCCGACCGTGCGCAAGCCGATCAGGGGAGGGGGCGATGGCAGGGAGGGGGAGGGGAGTTGGCCGGCGGGGGTGGACGTTGTGGCTCGCGCGAGTGCGCGCTGGCTAGCGGTAAGGCGCGTAGAGCACGCTCATGACGCTATCACACGTCATGAGCAGAGCCTGGACCCCTCCGTAAGACGTTGCGAGGGGGGGGACAGACGAAGGGGGAGGAAAAGACGAAGGGGAGAGGGGTGGGGTGCAGTTCGTGTGTGCTCTGACGCTTCCCGCTGCGCTGAGCGGGAGGAATCAGAGTTTAACAGTAAATATGGGCATGTTCACGCACCAGCTGCCCCTTCCCGCGCGCCGTGACATCGCAGTGTTGCCTCAGTTCGCCCGCCGTCGCGCATGGCGCACTTTTGGCGAATTTTGAGGGTTTATCTTGATTTTGAGGGCGTGGGGTGATAGAGATAGGATGGGAGGGGTAAGGGAATGGAAGCAGCATGGAAAGGCGGGGCGAGGAGCGCGGTGGGCATCGAAGGCGAAGGCAGCTATCGCGATTGCGCGGCGTGTTGTTCCTCGGGACCGCAAACACTGTTCCTCGGGACCGTGCGGAGACCGGACCGATCGACCGAGGCTCTTCCTCGCCAGCTCGAATGACCTCGGAAAGAGGTCGAGGGAGACAGAGGACCCCAAAAAGCTTTGGAAATAAGATTATGACTGCTATGGAATACATTTACGAGATTTGAAGAGAGGGGGATATCGGGAAGCATTCAAAATCGTGCAGATACCCGCAATTCAGCACTTTTTGGAACTTTATCGAGTTATGTACGCAGTGCAGGCTACTGCTAGTAGATTCGTCTACATAGCATAATATAAGTATTCATTCTCTACACATTACAGTTTCTTCCAGGCGAATCAATGCGAAAACGAGCAGGGGGGAGGCAAAACAACACTCAAAGACAGCCCTCAAAGTGGGATCAATTGGTGCTTTAGCCATCCCCCTTGTCGAGCTAGATCTCAACACCTTTCTATGCTTCAAATCGGCTGAAACTTTCTAGATCGTATCTGGCATAAATCTGGTAATATATTTTGAAGAGATCATGTCCATATCTACCTCTCGGCCTGAATCCGAGGTTCTGAGCGACGACGCCACCGCTCGGAGGCCGGGCCGGAATGCCGGTCCGGCCATCCGCGCACCCGCGACGTGCGTTCCTCGTCCTGAAACCACCACCGCGTCGCCTGCATCGTCCCCCCTCCCCTCGCACTCACCCCCTCCCACACTCCCTTCTTTCCTAAACACCTCGAAAATGCCGCCAACAAACGGCTTGCCCGCGATCGCATCCCACAAATAACAGAAAACGGCGGGCACGCAAATTAACAGCCAGCCAGGCAGGGAGGAGGGCCGCGGGTGCGTGAACGTGCCCCGCGCTCAATTGCACTTACTAACTACTAATTTATGGAGGCGCGGAAGGAGAGAGGGGAGGAAGGGGGAGCAGGACAAGACAGAGGAAGCGGGGCGAACATCGCCCCACTTTCCCGTCATATTCGCCCTCAGACCATGTCTGAGGGCGCGAGGGCTTCGTTTATGACGCGATAAGCGTCGTGAGCGAGCCCTTGACCGCCCTATGGCTGTCGCGTCCCCACCCCCGCGCTTGTCATCGCAACCAGCGCAGGTGGATAGGGCTGCTCACCCTCCCCTCACCCTCCCCTTCCCCCCTCTCCTGCGGTCGTGGAGAATCGCCTTCGTGGCGATTTTCCGCATCGCGGGAGATGCGTCTCGCGCCTCGAGGCCACCGCGGTGTGCCGTGTGCGCAGCCGATTGCAGTTGCGCGCAGCGTGTCAACCTGTCGGCCGCCGCGCGTCCTGCACCCCTCGCCCCACCCCTTCGAGCCGTCCTTCGACGGGAGGAAGTGGGGCGCTGGGGCTACGTCCTCCCGCGCCCGTGTGCGCGCCTTGACTACGCGCGGGGCAGCCGAGGGGGCGCAGTCGCGCCGATCGCGGGCGAGCTCTTGCTCCCCGCTGTCCTCGCGACACGGCTGTAGCAGCCTCTCGCCTTCGGGTGATGCTCTCAGCATTCTAATTCCTGCGCTTCGAGAGCGCGGGGAGCACCGGGCACGCCCCGAACCCGTCCCCCTCTCTCTCACCCCCTCCCCCCACCTGCTACGTGGTCACCGCGGACGCGTCTTTCGACGCGAATGGGTGCACGTAGCTTGGGGGGATATCCCCCTCCCCTTTCCTACGATCCTCCTGCACTCTCGCGTGCTGCGCGGGCTACGAGAGCGCGTCACGCGCGAGCAAAAAATTTCGCTCGCGCTTTTTCCAGCTTTTTTCATCCTTTCAAGCCCGCCCCTTTTGATATGTAGTATATAGCTCTTATATACATCTTTTACATATGTTTCCGCGCTCCCTGCGACGCACGACGCGGGGCGGCGGCAACACGCGGCGCGTTCCCGACGCGCCCGGGGGCGCGTGCGTGACGTTCCCGCGCCGCGGCGGCCACGCGCGGGGCGCATCACGGCTCCGGTGCCCTATTAGGGCACGTCCCGGCGCCTGTGTCGAGCTGCCCGGGCACGGGAATCGGGCCGTCTTGACGTCGCGGAAAATTACAATCGACGCTACGTAAGTTGTCGGGGTGGATTTAAATCCACCTTACTGCAAAAGGTGGCCATCCCCCCACCTCGAAAACCGCGATGCGATCGCCAACGTTGAACAAGACACCCAGGGCGAGGCGGCGATGGAGGATCGTACAGCGGAAGGGCAAACCTCGCCCGCGGCCCATGATCGGCGCCGCGAAGAAGCAGCGTCCTACCGTGTAGGACGCGACGAGAACGCTCGTGGACACCACCACGACCAAAACGCGTCTGTAGGGAACAATACAGACCGCACGGCTACGCGCCGCGCACTCGCGACACGTACGATGTCGGACACCGAGGTGCCTCTGTCGGATGGCGCGCGGGAGCGGCGTCGCAAGGAAAAGTCACGCCGCAATGCGGACGAGACATCGCCTCAGCGCGGGATCGTGGATCCCGCCGTACTAGACATGGTGTACAGTTGGTTTGTAGACGAACAAGCAGACGAGATACTGTTCGAACTTGCGGCAGAGGGCGATCAGCGAGGCCGAGCGCTGAATGAAGGAGAGGCCATGGAGGTGATCAACCGGCACCTCCAGACGGCAATTGAGACGATGAGTCGCGACCGTTTGGTGCGAGAGGAGGCGCAGCGAAACTTCGCAGACGCCGAAGGCGGCGACAACAATATCGTTGCATCGAACGAATCTCTATTCAACGTGCGGGCGAGTGATGAGAGCGACAACGCATATTTGCGTCGTCTGGAGGCGCAGCGCCGCACGTTGAGGATGCACGCACCTAGTGGTGCCTCAGCCAGCAACGCCATGAGCGTGACATACGCTCAGCTTCAGGAGCTGAGTGCGCGGTCATTCGAAGATCGAGTCATCCTCCAGCGGATACTTGACGATGACTTACGCGACCAAGGATTCTCCAATCTCGGAGACCAGTTCATCCGGTTCACGGAGGATCATCCGGAAGGAGAGGACGTCTCGGAAGTGACCCTACGCGAACGGCTCCGAGCGCGGAGCGCTCGGACAACGAGCACAGGGACGTCTCGTACCACGAGTAGAGTCGGCCAAGGAATGCTTCGTGGACGAGGGATGTATGGACGTGGCTCTCGAGTATCGAGAGACATTCCGCCCCACCTGGGTCGCCCAGGGCCGACCGTGGGACAAGCAGGAGGTGTCGGAGGGAATGGACCTCCTAGTGAACCTGACGATAGCTATGACCCGTCATCCACGGATGATGACCGAGGGCGACGCAGACCGCAGAAGAGGGGGCGGAAGGATGACCAGCAGAGAGGAAGACGCGGGGAGCAGCCTCGCAAACGACCGAGGCCCCCAGCAAGGGACGAACCATCCGACCCATCGTCGTCGGATGGTAGCAGTGATGAGGGCAATGGAGGGGGACAGGACGTACCCCGACGAGCTCCTCCATTGAGGCGAGGAACGACCCCGTTCGACAACGGGCGAGTAGGGAGAGACAACCGAGGTCATCCTCGAGGTCGACCGGCTGCCGGTCGATTTGACCACCTCATACAACACTACCTAACCCAGAGCTACCCGCTTCCTCCTGGAGTGAAGCCAAAGGACTTGGTCACGCCCAAGCTCCCCACATATGGCGGGGAGAACAGCGTGGATGCAATGGAGGAATGGCTGGTGGCCATACTTCGTCATCTCGGCGTATACGGGATGAGCAGCGACGAGTTTGACTCGATTCGCATATATTTCTTGGGGACGCACCTAACAGGGCATGCGTCCGAATGGTTCAGGGACACCATCGAGAGACGAGGTATCGATGGGTGGACGTTTGAGGGAGTAGTACAGGCTCTTTTCGAACGCTTCGTTCGGGACACGTCTCTTCAAGACGCGACCCTCGCGTTCAACGAAGCTCAGTATCGACCATCGCGCGGCGTCGCGGGATGGATCAATGACCTGGAGCGACTAGCCTCAAGGATGGTGGAGGCACCCAACGAGTACATGCGTAGGCTCCGATTCATGAGCGGGTTGCCTCATGAGATTCGGAATGCGGTGCTTGGGCAAGGGTTTACCGCGGAGAGGTCGCGGAGGAGAGACATCGAAGCCGAGGCCATAGTTCAGGAGATTGCGATTCACAATGCGCACAACTATGACCAGCGTCTGAATCGCATGTTCGGACGGCCGACCGGGTCGTCCAGCAACCATGCATCGACGCCAAACACTCGCACAACGACGAGTGGGAGTACTCGGGTACATGAGGTACCCCGACGAGAGGAGCGGCGCGTCGGGCAATCATCACGGCCGCCCGACAGGCCTCGAGATAGGCCTGAACGCGACAACTCGGCGCGAAGAGCCACTACCGCTCCGCCTCGAGAGGTGAGGTCGGCTGCTCCTCAGAACAGCCAACGTCCAGCAGCGGGAAACAGCGGTGGTCATAACCGCGACCACCATGACCTGACTTGCTACAAATGTGGTGCGAAGGGGCACATATCACCGAATTGTCCTCTGCGAGACAATGGTGGACATGGCCGCGGGTCTGGAGGCGCCGGGAATGGTGGAGGAGGAGGTGCCACTGGTGCGGGAAATAGTGGCACGCGCCTCTTCGCGTTATGCGAAGAGGAGGACGTCCCCATCGACTCGAACGTAGTCGATGACCGCAGCGATTCAGGAGCGCCTGAACCGCCCGCCACGGACGACGAATCACTCGGCGAACTCGTCGAGCTGCACTAGGCCCATGTCACACAATGCTGACTGAGGTTATTGTAAAGTGTCACAAAATACTGAGGGGAATTTATCTTACAAAAAACTGAATTGACTTACAAAAAGCTCTCTTGGCTTCAGCTTTTCGTGATGCTGGTGGTAAATTACATATGCTACAAGCACTATCTGTAGGCAGCTGTTGAAGCACAAACAGAAGATGAGTGGTGGATCTGTGATGCAGGTGTGATATGTGGAATTTGGGGTTTGGCAATCGCCACACATGCACGTGATCAGCACTTGTATACCGCATTTTTGTAGTTTTACCTTATCCATTTATCCTCGTACCACCATGTAGGACAACCAGAATACATTCTTATTCTGTGGAACTCGTTGGTGACTACAACTACAACAATATGATATTCTGCATGCACGGACTTAACGTAACTATCTAGGTAGAAGAATCCACTGAGCATAGTCCGGATCCTGGGGAGGATGAGCCGTATGCGAGGCAGGGAGATCAGCGGGCAGCAGCCTTGGCGTGTAGCATGGGGCTACGGTGGCCACTGACTGACCTCTGAAGGATAGATGGAGACAGCGGGCAGCGGCCTCAGTGCGTAGTGCAGGGCCACTATAGTCACTAACTGACCTCCAGAAGAGGGAGGTGATCAGCGTGCGACAACCTGGGCAGCATGGTGTGGGGCTGCGGTAGCCACTAACGAACCGTCCCGCAATAGTGGGTGTGTGAGGGTGGCGGAGATGGGCTGGAGTAGTCTGTCATGGCTGAGTAATTGTATGAACCCTTGCCAGCGGATTACCTATAGCAAAGGGCGGTCAGGCGACTAAGTGTTTGCCTGCGAACAAATCTGCAGTTTAGGCAGGAGACTTAGAATGAGCCCTTGCTAGCTACGGGGCAGTGGCGAGGGTGTAGGCTCATCCCTCCTTGCCCCTCCTCTGCCACTCTCCCTCTCCCACACAATTGAGGGTATGCCTGACAAACACATGTCCCTCAAGCAGCCCTTGCCACTGCTGCATTGGAGTTGACCATAGAGGCCAAACTTGCAACTTGCAAATTGCAAATTGCAATTTACTACTTGCCACTTGCAATTTGCTACTTGCAATTTGCCATTTGCTACTTGCAATTTTCCATTTGCTACTTGCAAGTTGCAAATTGCAATTTTCTACTTGCTACTTGCCACTTGCAATTGTGGAATTTGGGTTCTTGGCAATCACCACCACTGCCATGTGAGCCGCCTTGTCATCATCACGAGTCCCTGACCATGCTCTATCAGCCACGCCCAAAGTTGAACGCAGCGCTGCGGCCTGCGGCTCAGCTCGTCACGAGATCGCAGTGCAGGAAATTCCGAGCGGCAGCGAGATTGCAGATGCTGGGCAAAACACTGGCAACCGTTGATGGCGGCGCGTGCAGCGTCGTCGCCGTTGCCTCAAGACTTCCCACCGACACCGCCGATGTCGTGCTGATAACTCTTGAAGCAGTCGATTGACTATTGAACTATAGCTAGCCATGAGCACGGGCCAGAACATGACAAGAGAGCTTGATTCCGTCCCTTTGCCCAGTTTTCAATTTTCTTGTCATTGTGCAAGATTCTTCAGCACGACGTCGGCGGTGTCGGTGGGAAGTCTTGAGGCAACGGCGACGACGCTGCACGCGCCGCCATCAACGGTTGCCAGTGTTTTGCCCGGCATCTGCAATCTCGCTGCCGCTCGGAATTTCCTGCACTGCGATCTCGTGACGAGCTGAGCCGCAGGCCGCAGCGCTGCGTTCAACTTTGGGCGTGGCTGATAGAGCATGGTCAGGGACTCGTGATGATGACAAGGCGGCTCACATGGCAGTGGTGGTGATTGCCAAGAACCCAAATTCCACAATTGCAAGTGGCAAGTAGCAAGTAGAAAATTGCAATTTGCAACTTGCAAGTAGCAAATGGAAAATTGCAAGTAGCAAATGGCAAATTGCAAGTAGCAAATTGCAAGTGGCAAGTAGTAAATTGCAATTTGCAATTTGCAAGTTGCAAGTTTGGCCTCTATGGTCAACTCCAATGCAGCAGTGGCAAGGGCTGCTTGAGGGACATGTGTTTGTCAGGCATACCCTCAATTGTGTGGGAGAGGTGTTGAGCATGCTGGGAAGCGCGCCTATACTGCTTACCTGGTGGTAAGGAGCTTGGTATGAGGCAAGCGCAGAGGTAGGTAATGACCTGTTATTCCTGGGGGCAGAGAGGCCCTCCTTATATATGTACAGGACGGTAAGTAGCATGTGATAAAGCAATGGACATGTAAACAATAAACATATGATGTCGTCGCGTGTGTCCATGTGTGTCCATGTGTCCGTCATGTGATGCGTGAGTCATAACATGTGACAGGCCGATTGTCCAACACTCCCCCTCGCTAAGTATCGCGGCGTAGCGTACGCAAGCGGATGTCTTCATCGGCCAATTAGGACGAGTTAAACTCAAGTCCCAGTTGAGATCTGAACTTCTCGAACTTGACACGCCCAAGGTTCTTGGTGAACATGTCCGCAGGGTTGTTGTTGCCGTCAATGAAGTACAGCTCAATCTCCTTCTCCTCGACCAGCTCGCGGATGTAGTGGTAACGGATGTCGATGTGTTTCATCCGGCGGTCTCGGTAGGCGTTGGAGCCCGTGAAGAGAGATCCCTGGTTGTCACCGTGGATAGGAACGGGAACGATGATTTTGCGCTTGAGTTCCATAAGGATACTCTTGAGCCACATCACCTGGCGACTACAATCAGAGAGCGCCATGTATTCCGCTTCGGTCGACGAGGCTGCAACTGTGCGCTGCAATCGTGACTGCCAGCAGATGATCCCGTTTGCCAGCTTCATGAAGTAGCCGGTGGTGGATCGCCTCTTGATCGGATCAGATGCCCAATCCGAATCAGTGTACGCGGTCAATCCGCCATTGGAAGCACCGTCGTAGACGAGTGCATAATCCCGAGTCCCAGCAAGATAGCGGCAGATATACAGCGCTTTATTCAAGTGGTCTCTCGAGGGATTTGCGGCAAACTGTGACAACTTGGTCACCGCGAAGGCAATGTCGGAGCGAGTGCCCAACATGATGAAGAGAAGCGAACCAATGACCGACTGAAAGGTCTTGCGGAGTTCGGGATCAACCTCATCCTCGTTGAGCTCAGGCACATAGCCGGCTGGTAGAGGGGTTGGGGCGAACTTACAGTTCTCCATCCCGAAGCGCTTCAGCACCTTATCGAGATACGGGATCTGATCAATCTTGATCTTAGATCCTTCTCGTCGGATGCGTATGCGCAAGAACTCCGAAGTGACTTCAGAATTACGGCATTCCCATCGCTTGTTGAACTCAGCCTTGAGAAAGGCAATGAGCTTCTTGTCCTTGGAGAAGAACAGAGCATCATCTACGTAGACTACAATAACAGCGAGTTTGCCGTTAGAGTCCTGGTAGAAGAACACGCCGGCATCCGATGTGAGTCGGACCCAGCCCATGGCTTTCGTGGACTTGGTAAGCGCCTTCCACCATGCTAAGGCAGCTTGTTTGAGTCCGTAGATCGCCTTGTGCAAGCGCATGACTTTGCGCTCTTGGCCCTTCACCGCGAAGCCTTCGGGTTGTTCCATGTAGACCTCTTCGTCCAGGTCCCCATAGAGGAAAGCCTTGGAGACGTCGAGACCTGACCAGTGCCAGCCTTCAAGCGCTGCAAGCGCCATGACTAGGCGGAACGTCTCATACCTGACGACAGGCGAGAAGATTTCGTCATAGTCGATTCCCTTGACTTGACTGAAACCCTTGGCGACGAGGCGGGCGCGTTTGCGGCCATCAGATTTCTGATCAAAGACCCAGCGGCATTTGATGACCTTTCGTCCTTTCGGACGATCCACAAGGGAATAGACTTTGCGCTGACGGAGTGCCTCTAACTCCTCGCGGCAAGCATTCATCCATTCCTTCTGTTGCGCAGATGGCAACTTCAAGATGTCTTTGAACGTCCAGTCGCGTATCTTGGACGTGTCAGGAAGAGCGTCATCATCAACCGGAACCGCTTTGGAAAGCAACTCAGTGATGAGCTCTACTCCCCCTTCCCGGCATAGCTTTGCCATGCGGGCTTCGTCCTCATCCAGATGCTCTCGAGCGTCTGCGCGCGAAGATGGCTGCGAGCTAGGGCCGGGAACCCTTTTCTCAGCATCAGAGGTGGCTTTCGAGCGCGAGCTACGCGGTTCGTCATCGCCAACCATCTTTCTCCATTTCAACTCGCTCGAGACATCGCGTTCAATCTCCGCTGGAGCGCGATCTCCATAGATGTTATCAGGACTAGAAACCTGGGTCCGCTGTCTCGTAGACTTCCGAGTAGGTTCAGGAGGTGGTCCTGCTTTCTTACGCCCTTTGCCACGCTTAGGAGCGGGCGGAGCTGCCTCTGGAGTCTGATCCCGGCGATCAAGCGGCGGGTCCTGACGATTCTGATCGTCATCATCGTCATCAGGTCCTCTTTGAGGAGGGAAAGGTGGAGCCGGAGCAGCGGGACGCGGAGGTGGGAATTCCTCATCATCGTCGCCTGGCATGTCTCCTGATTCCTGTGGTGGATCTTGTGGATCCGCTGGATCATCATCACGAAGTGGGAAATCTTCCCCAACTGGTACGTGTTGACGACGAGTGCTGTCAGGACAGCGGGGGAACAGTGCTTCATCAAACGTGGCCTGAGTGCCAACGAAGAGAGCACCGTTTGCGCGCATAAACAAAAAGCCTTTTACCCCATCGGACATGCCCAGGTACGTCATCAGCTCCGCTTTGGGCGATAACTTATTCTGGCGTTTCTCCTCGGGGATAAAGACGTATGCGCCACAACCAAAGACCCGGAGATGAGAAATATCCGGTTTGTCCTTGTAGAGAGCTTCGTGCGGAGTCTTCCACTTCAAACGCCGGATAGGCGTCCAGTTGTAGACCCGAGTCGCGTGTAAAATCGCGAACTCCCAGAACGAATTAGGCAGGCATGCGGTAAAACGCATAGACTCGGCCTTGTCCATAATCGTCCGGTTGAAGCGTTCGGCACGACCGTTCTGCTGATGAGCATAGGGTGCACCTTTCTCCACAAGGATCCCATTTTCCTCGAGAAATTCCTCCATCCCCATTCCCTGAAACTCTCCCCCATTGTCGATGTGCCACTTTTTAATCGTGGTCTCGAACTGGTTTTTGACCATAGCAATAAAATTGCGCATGGCCTGTTTGGCATCGGACTTCTGCTTGAGGCATACTGTCCAGCCATAGGAGAGTGCTTCGTCAAAGAAGCTCATGAAGTAACGATACTTGTGATAAGATATCGTCGGGAATTGTTTGAGATCCGAGTGGATTAACTCAAACGGTTTCGTCGCGCGATGCTCCGAAGATGGAAAAGAGCGAGCGTGCATCTTTCCTTCAGCGCATCCTCTGCACGGACGAGGGTCGGCAGGAAACTCAAGGTCTTGGGGAAAGCCCTTGGTGTGGTTGCGCGCCTGACGTAGAACGTCTTTCGACAGGTGCGCAAATCGCCGGTGCATCGTGTCGTAGTCCACCTTATAGATGAGGCTGACATTCTGCAACGTTTTGGTGACAGAGGGTCTGCACCATAACCAGTAAATCGTGGATAATGGGTGGAGCGGTGTAAACTCCATGATCGAAAGAGGAGAGTTCCTTCGATGCAAGCTGATGCAAGCAGCGTTTCCGCGCATTTGCAATCCACTCTGTTTCAATAGAGTGCCCAAGGAAAGAAGACGACCGTGTAATCCAGGTACATGATAGACCGGATAAATTTGGGAAGTCATTACTTTCCTTTCTCTATGCCGTGTGACGTAGTGATCCACAAATGCTGTCCCGCGACCAACCACGCGTAAAGACGCGCTAGCCGATGCTGTCTGCAGGGGTTCAGAATCCTCAATAGGTTCGTACTCAGCAAGATCACTCTCATCCGCAGTCACATGCAATGAGGCGCCAGAATCGGCCATCCACAAAGGTGGGAAGTCGCCGAAATTCTCAGCGGATTTCCCCTTACATCTCGGACACGCAGCAATATTGGAGTGCACACAAAATTTATTCGTACAAAATTCATGAGATCCAGTCATCAACGAATGTAGTACGGTCCCTGCTGCGACAGTAATTACGCGCTGAGGTGTGGCACTGTGAGATTTGCGCAGTGATCCAGAAGAGAAGGGTACTTGCCTTTCGGCAGTCTTGGCAGTCGCCGCGTCGACGGACTCCAGCATGAAGCTGTTGACGCTGTCCGCGATCGACTTCATCAGGGCTTCGTCAGAGATCCCCTCGCCCTGTGCCTGGAGGAGATCATCGGCGGAGTTGAAGGGACTGGCGCTCCAGTCGAGATCGATGGTATCGCCACCAGACGATCCGAAGAAGAGGCGACTCTCTCCGTCAAACAGCTGACTTTCGTCGTTCTGCTGCGCGGAGGCCATCTCGACGTCGGGGATCGAGTCGATCTTGGCACGCTTCGCCGGAGGAGCGAGATCTTCGAGCTGAAGATTTGAGCCAGAAGCCTTGGGAGTGGGGGAACCCATCTCCTCGTCCTCGTCGTTGACGCGGGGGATGCCGCGGTCGTTGACGATCTTGTCGAGGCGACGGAACACCTGGGGCGTCACCGTGATGTCCAACTCCTTCCCAAAGTCGAAGACGGCTCGGGCGCTCTTGGAGTGTTCGTTGTCAGCGACAGCCTCCTCGTTCTTGACGGGGGGCTTCTCAGTCACGGTGCGGACAGAGGTACCATCCTTCGTGATGAGCGCGACGTGGGACGTCTTGGTGGCAGGCACCGACGGTGTGAGAGGAGCGGGAGCGTGCAGCGAACTGATCATCCCAGCCATCTCCGAGACGCCATGAGCGTGAGCGTTGCCGCCCTTGCCCTTGCCAGAGTTCTTACCAGCGCGATTGCCGCGATTCTTCTTCTTCTTCTTCTCAGCGTTGTCGCCCTGCTTGGGCGCAGAGCTTCCGCCCTGTTGCTGATTAGAGTACTTCGGATCATCGCGCTTGCGCTTGGTGTTGAACTTCTGAGCAGTGGCACTCGTGCTCATCCCCTGTTGCGAGTAGTGCGCTAGAAGCGCATCGCGAACAGTAGAGACCTTGAGCGTAGTCTTTGAGTGAGACTGAAGGAGATTCGTCGTCACGGGCTTGACCCGCGCGATCGCAAGCAAGATCATGGCCTGCAAGAACTCGGGAATGGCAACATTCTCGTTCTTCAGACGCGTGAACTGCTGAAGGATGACATTCAGCTGCGGATCTGGGTGCTGACGCTCGTCGAACTTGGCGTTCAGAGCGGTCTGCAGGTACCCGAAGATGTCGGCCAGCTGCGCTGAGCCATACGTCTTATTCAGGTACTCCCAGAGCTTCTTAGCAGTCACCATGTCCTCGTCAGGGACATTGTCGATGAGACGCTCGTCAACGCGCATGATGATAGCACCACGCGCTTTGCGATCGTCACTATCGAACTGCTTGAGCTCCTCCTCGTTGCCCTTCACTTCCTTAGTGGTAGTGATTGGACTCGGCTTCTCCTCAGTCAGGACATTGTCAATGCCCTGGAACTGGAGGTAGGCCTTCATCTTCTTGGCAAAGGACTTGAAGTCCTTGCCGCTGAAGACGGGCACGGTGGAGGTGAGGGTGTTAGACATTGTGATCTGGAAAGATCGTCAGCATCGTTTCGCATGTCATCATAGAGGCAGCATGTCGGTAAGGACTGCGCCGATGAGCGAAAGAGCGATGCGCCCTGAAGGGCCAGCATCTCCGCTAGAGATGGGCACCTTGATCAAGCGCGATCAGCAGCGATCATGAAAGATCAGCAGCGATCAGCGCGATCCGGCATGGTTTCGCCAGCGCTTGGAGCAGCTAGTAGCGAACAGGCAAGCGAGCAAGGCGCTGCTCGTCATCGCAGCCAGCAAGGGCGCAGATGACATGAGTTGCAGCCACTGAGGCGCTACTCATTGTGCCGCTGCCACTGGGGCGCTGAACACAGCTCACCGGGGCTCATAACCTGTTGAGCATGCTGGGAAGCGCGCCTATACTGCTTACCTGGTGGTAAGGAGCTTGGTATGAGGCAAGCGCAGAGGTAGGTAATGACCTGTTATTCTGGGGGCAGAGAGGCCCTCCTTATATATGTACAGGACGGTAAGTAGCATGTGATAAAGCAATGGACAAGTAAACAATAAACATATGATGTCGTCGCGTGTGTCCATGTGTGTCCATGTGTCCGTCATGTGATGCGTGAGTCATAACATGTGACAGGCCGATTGTCCAACAACTACTAGCATTCCGAAGACAGTCTACCCAAATTCCTAAAAGGGGACTGTATTTTCCATATTCTCAAGGTAATTGAGGGCCTTACGCTGTGTCCACATGCTTTGTCCGTCGATTTCTGTTCGGAAAGAGTGTTTCATTCCTTTCCATCACTTCATGTCCGCACACGATGCGTCCGTCTTTCTGCCATTAGGAGACGCGAGATGGAGAGCGGGGGAAAGAAAGAGAAGCACATCAGCACCATTCTTCATGAAGCTAACACTTCGGTCTCGGAGGTCAGAAGAGGAGCAAACAAGAGAAATTTGGGGAATGCAGTTCTCGAACGGAAGGCGGCCACAGGGTGAATGATTCGAGGCTCGAGGCGCTTCGCTGGTGGAAAGGCTTCGTCTACCTGGCCTTCGAGAGACAAAGAGCGGAGGGAGGGGGAAGGACCATTTCCCACTCGCATATACACCGTCGATGGATATCCCTTTGCGTGGAGAGACATCGCGCGCGCGCGCGCGCGTCGTGCATAAACATTTCCAGCTAAATATGCGAAGTACGCCGGTGCGCTGACAAGAGCATAAGCCGAAGGATTAGCAGTAATGGAGGCACAAAGTGTATGCCCGCTGGGAAGGGCGAGATAACCGGAGAAGGCGGCCAGTGAGGGGGTATACTCGAAGGTCGAGGACACCGACGCGGATGAAGTCACGGAGGGCCTTCCTCTCGCAAGTCGTTGGAGTCAACATCGGCATCGTCGTCATCGTTGTCCAGCAGCCTGTGTACACTGCCACTGCCAGTGTACAGCTAATGGAGTCGAGCACACATCCACTTCGCAAGCAAGGTTGGAAGCCGGCCTCGCCGAAGCTTCTCTAGTTTTATAATCACCACACTTCGGTCTAATCTTGTGTCTATATCTCCAACACTTGCACATCGACATCGCCACCCTTCCGATCCTCTGATGTCTTCGAATCGTCATCTCGCGAGCTTTTCCGACTTTCCTCTGACTCTCCTTCGACCGTCGTCCCACCTCTCCCTCCTCGCACACCCACCTCCACAGCGCTCATGGAGCCGTCCACCGTACCTACAGGGCCGTCCACCGTACTCACCGGCCCCGTAAACCAATGCCTCCCGCCATACCTAGGGACATAGAAATACACCACCGACGCGCCGAGCACGCCGCCCAGAACAACTACCGAGTAGTTCATGTCCGGGACGGCGGGGTTCGGCGTGGCGGGGAACAGGAAGACGACAGACATGAGGGTCATAAAGGCAACGGCAAGGAAGGAGATGGGGAAGGACTGGCAGGAGGTAAGTCTTGACAGGACTTCGGAGGCACGCACGGCGACGACGCACCCATCTTCCCAACGAGAACGGGCCCGGCTTGAAGTCGTTGTCGCCCGTGAAGCGCGCGACGATGGGGATTGTATAGGCGATATATAGCGCGATGACCTATCGGAGAATCAGCATCTCAAAGGAGGCGTAGCGGGAGCAGACGGGCTAAAGATCTAGGTACTCACACTCAACGAGAACACCGCGTTGATAGCCTGGTCGCCGGCGAAGGCGAGAAGGCCGAGCAGGAGGGAGAGGAACGCGACGAACCAGACTGTAAGACGAGGTTAGCGACATACTCGGGCGTGTGCAAGCGCCACATCCTGGATCGCAAGGGCTGGTCGGGCATCTCGCAGCAAAGGCAACGGCGCAGGTGAAGGGGTAGCGAGCAATAACAGACTCCTCACCCGTATTGACCGGCGTCCCCGTAAAGTCATTCATCCGGTAGAGCCAATTGGAGAAGGGGAGGGCTAAGTGGAACGCATCAACAGAGGTCTCTATACATTTCCGGACGGGCTCACCTCCATCGCGGCTGAACGCGAAAGTCTGCCGACTTGCGGCGAGGAGCTGTTGATGCCAGCGTCAGCATAGTCCCCTGTCTCCTCTGCAGGGCGAAACGAGACCGCAAGCAAGTGTCTACGCACCATACTCGACCCCATCATATACTGCACCGCAACCACGAACGCCCAAAAAGCGAGCGTGCCCTTCTGCCCAAACGCAGGAAGGAGGATGGCGGCTGGCAAGACAATTAGCACCCACTCAAACCCTCTCTCCTACTCCCTTCCCCCTCGATGATACTCACCCAATGGCTGCTCCGCATCATACAGCGCCTCGATATCCGTGCCCATGCAGAACGCGAGGGCGATGTTGATGGCTGGGGTGAGCGTCAGTTTCATAATCTCTTGTGCTACTTGAGAGTTGCAAGCATGCCCAGCGACCCAGCACTCACCGAACCCAACTACCCCACCAACCGCACATGCGCCTACGATTGCCATGGGTACGGCGCGCGCGGCGTTCGTAGCCTCCTCGGAGATGTGCACGGCGGAGTCGAAGGAGCCTGGGAATGTTGGTGAGCGTCTTCCTGCAGCGGCGACAAAGCGAGATCGAGTAAGGAATGAAGGAGGGAGAAACCTTGGGTGAGTGGATGAAGACTCACAAATCGTCCAAAGTGGCGCGAGGAAGCTCATAATGAAGGCGAAGCCGGATGGCCAGCCGTTCACTGTGGAGGCAAATGTCAGCAAGCGATGCCCCGAAGGATATTTGCCGATGTATGGGGCTTCGCCAATGCAGTTTGCTGCACGCAAGCCGCGTCTACCAAGCTAAGGTGTCCAAGAAGACGTCGACGATCCACAAGGGCATGAGACAATGACTCACGGTTCACCCATCCCTCACTTCCAAGCGCAAACGAGGCACTGTTGCGCTTGTCGGCTGGCGTACATATAGGTAGGGCGATGAGGAGAGCGAGGCATAGACTGTGGGACGCATAGTCAACAGACTTTCCTTGGAAGCGTTGCTAGCCCAATTCGGACGGCGCGTCGCCTCAACCGCACGGGTCAGATAGAGAGAAGCAGCTCACAGTCCGTTCACCCCCACGTAAAAGCTCTGTAATCGCGCGATCGCTTGCGTCCCAATCGAGCACAACAGCGCGTGCGTGACAAGGAGGAGCGCGTAGGTGGCGCTGGCGGTCATGTTAGCCATGCGACGGAAGGAGGGGGACCCAAATCTCGGTGGCTGGCACGCACAACATCTCCGCATTCGTCGGCATGAAGTCAGGCTCTCCAGATTCATTGGTACCGGATCCTGGAGGGGCGTTAGCGGTCGTTCTCTTCATCACCCTTAGTAAACGCTGGAGCCGTATGCTAGAGTCGCCTGTTGGAGTCTACTGCTGATGTTGGCAGCCAGCGCACTTCGCGTCACTTGCTCTCCACCGATGGACAAGGAGCACGAAAGACAATGATCACGCACAAAAGACAAGAATCACCTACCAATCCCCGCTGCCGCCATCACCTGCACCGCGCACCCCCAGTCGATGCTCGCGACGGCGGCCACTGAGCCAATCGTGTTTGCGTCTGCCCGATAATGTCAGCCCGCCCAGTTCGCTCGGTCTTCATCTACAAAACTCACATCCCACGATCCAACACAACAATGTCCTCCATCGCGGCGAAGACAGCGAGTACGTCCAGAAGTATAGCTGCAGGCCGTCAGCGAACGTCCTCAGTCGAAGCAAGATCAAAACTCACACCACCACTCGTCGGCGCCGCACTCGCCAGCTCACCCATCGCGGCCGCCACCGATAGGATGAGGATGGAGGCGGCAAACCACTGTAATCAAAAGAGACGGTCGTCAGCGAACGCGCTTGACCCAACGATCGCGGAAAGCAGACTCACGCCCCACACCATCCCGGGACCACCGCCATTCGGGAGCGCGTAGAATAGTACAGAGGCGATGGATGGTAGGAGGCCGATGATGGAGAGGGATACGCCGAATACCTGGGAGCTCGTATATCAGTACACTTTGTGAGGGTGAGGTAGTGAGAGGGGTGAAGGAGGCCCTGCTCCGAGCTCACCGCAAGGCAAACAATCGAGAATAAGTTCTCACCTCTATCGGTCTGAAAGCGCGCTTGAACTCCTGCTTGTACCCAAGCTCAGCGAGGAGCGCCTCGTCAGCGCTCGCGATTGCGGCCTGGTTGGTGGGCGCCTTAGCGGGGGTCCCTGGCTTCATGATCGGTAGGGGTAGCAGAGGCTCTTGTCCGTTGTGCCACTGAGTTGGTGGGTTGGATAACCGTCAGAGAGCGCTCAAGGGTGAGGGTTAGGCTTGACGTTCGCTGCGATGAACGCTGGAGGAGGGCAACGCAGGAGCCGACCACGGGGGCGATAAGGAGGGACTACCGCGTATAGCGCGCATGATGTAGCCCCCCGCTCAAAATTACACGCCCCGGAAGAAGCGCGCGAATTCAGCCATTCATTCGCTGGAGCGACGCATACGATAGAGATAGCGCAGGGCTATTCCATTGTGGGCGGAAGATAGTGACCTTCGGGCAGGCTGCAGAAGTGTAGATAAGATGCAATGCAGTTCGGCGGGCAACCGTGATTTCAGGCAGCGGTCTATGCCCTCAAAGGTCTGACCATCATAGTTCACGGTAAGCGCAAAAGCCAAAAGACGGACGCAAACAAAAAACAAGTTCCGTGATCTCATCATTTTCATCCCCAAAAGGCAAAAACCTGCTGAACCCTGCCCGGATTGAACGGACGACCTTGTGGATCCGAGTCCGCTGACGAAGCCTCTGGAATCACACGCGCTACCGCTGCGCCAAGGGTTCCTTGTATAATAATACCCTCTTTTTTGTGATTGTAACGCACTTTCAACGGCGAGGAGAGGCGAAAAACTGAGAAATCGGCGACGGAAGATTGGGCCTCCAAGTGGGGAAACAGGCGGAACTAAAAAGACTATCAGGCGGATGCCTGTCATGCCACGTTAGAGTCGAAAAGGTTCCGCCGGCAAAGAGGCCTTCGTTGCTCGTAGAAGGAATTGGGCATCGGTAGGACGCTCCTTGTAAATTCAAAATCCCCCCGACCAGCCCCAGCAGCGCACACATCGAGTCTCCAAACAGTGCGGCGACCGATGGCGTGAATGTGGCGGGATAATGGAGAAGCTGCGGAGTCTGTAATAACAGAGAAAACATTGAGAAGGATGCAGTGGCGCCGCGAGAATCGAAGACAACGTACCGCTAAACGAGCTTGTACCAGCGCGGCTCGCGCTCAATCCCCTCCAAGCCCAGCTCGTCCGCGATCAGGGCGACGGCCTCAGGCGGCGGGGGCACTCTCTGATCGTCATCAATGCCCCGATTGTCCGCCAGAACCAGCGCGAACCCCATGGCCATGAGCTTCCTATCCTTGTATACCAGCGGGCTGAGTAAGTTTCGCAAATTATACTTGTTGCCAAGTATAGCCTGGAGTCCGTCTGTCTGAAGGACGGAGATATGGCTGTCTGTATCATCCTCGTTCGAAGTTGGGCAATAATGGCCACAGTACTTTTGCGCGACCTCGTCGGTGAGAAGAAAACCAAAGACGTGTGGGGTAGACGGAGGCCGTTGGTTTTGCCAACCGCGAGAAGATGGAAAAAACTCGCTTGCGATTGGAGCCGCCATGGTAAGCGCTGGCGCTGTGGTGGGAAGAGCCAAGGAATCGCTGCGGCGTCGTGCTGCGGCGTGGGGACTCTGCGATCGCGAGCTGACAGAGCTGAGTGGTCGCAGTAGCGGGAGGCCTCAGTCTCACGTCTGTCCGACGGGCTGAAGGTGTGGAGTGAAGTGATATTCCCGTGTGTCCCCGCCGGCGTGATCGCTCATCCGCGTGACTTCGCACGTGCTAGCAGCACAATAGAAGCAAACAAAAGAGAATATATCCCCCGCGCGTCTATACCTCGCCTCAAACACGAGAAGTCCGAGTGTACACCCCTCCTACAAGAGCCAAGAAATCGCGGCGGTACATAAGTCAGCCTGACAAACCGACGAACCTCACCATTGTCTCTTGCTCTTCCTCCTGGCGGGGCGCGCTCGCTTACTGCACGCTCCTTTTATCCAAATTCCAGAGATAGCAAAGATCGCAACTTAGGTACTGCGAGCACTTCATTGTCCCTCAGGGCAACATGTAGGTAGCTCGACTCACTTCCTCTGTCTCAATGCTCCGGTCCTGCAGGATTCACTGCCGATCACAACCGTAGACGCGCACGGGATGGAAGGACTTGCGTACTGAAGCCCGCTTCGCAATGAGTGTTTTTTGAAGGTGGAGTACCATGATCTGCTACTTCCAGAATCCTGATACGCACCTAAGGGCAAGATGTGGACACAGTTATCATGTTTGTGGCGCTTGACATAGGCAAGGGCCTATTGTTTCGCCAAGGGGGCCGAGCCTCGCTACGATTCGAGAGCAAAAATAGTGTATGCTACAGAAAGACCCCGAGCATTCTCGGCGACGTTGTGCGCCTGCAATAAGGAAGAGCTGGATGAGATGGCGGGAAAACCGCAGACGACGTACCACTAAACGGGCTTGTACCAGCGTGGCTCGCGCTCAGCGCCCTCCAGACCCAGCTCATCCGCAATCTGGGCCACAACTTCAGGCGGCGGGGGCACCCTCTGATCGTCGTCAATGCCGCGATTGTCCGCTAGCACCAGCGCGAACGCCATGGTCATGCGCTTCCTATCCTTGTATACGAGCACGCTGGTGAAGTTCTGCAAGTCATACTTGTCACCAAGTATGGCCTGGAGTCCCTCAACCTGGAGGTAGGAGAGATGGCTCGCTAGATCGTCCTCGTCCGAGAGCGGGCAATAATGGGCGCAGTACTTTTGCGCGACCTCATCGGTGAGAAGAAAACCGAAGACGTGTGGGGTGAGCGGAGGCCGCCAATTCTGCCAACTGCGGGCAGATGGCAAAGACTCGCTTGCGATGGAGGCGGCCATGCAGAGCGCCGATGCTGTGTCGGGAAGAGCAGGCAATGGTGAGGGTCACGGAAGAGTGCATGTGGCGTATGTTGTCGCTGGTTTACATGCACGCGGCGGCATACCCATCAGGCAAGTGATGGCAGGGCCAAACACGGAATTACGATATCGGCCAAGGCACCAAACGATAGCTTATTAATGTTCACACGAGAACCAGGTCCACAAAGTTAGAGCGCAGGGATAGCATGCAGTCATACATGGGCATCTATATGGTTTACAGTATCGGACTCGGGAAAATCAAGGTGATCCTTCTATCCCATCCAATTGTGACTGGCACGTAGAGTAATCCAGAGCTACCCTCTGGAGGGTGACTGATCTTCACAGTTGAGGAAAAGTCGCGCAAACCGGTGCTATCTTCAACGTCCGATTCGCGGGCCTGCTCGCGCATGCACATGATCTGCTCGATGAAATGCCGGACGAAATACACGTCGGAGCGTCGGTCGATCCTGAAGGCGTATGATTCTGTCACGATCCTGACTGCGCGGTTGGGGATCAGCCCAGGTCAAAATACAGGCGCTAACTCCGGGTACTCACTGTATTGGCATATGGCTTTGTGACGGTGTCGATCCGCAGCCTGACAAGATTTGCTGCAGTAGTATACTCGACCACAGGCACATCGCTTGAGCTCGTGCTGGTCGTGACTACGGAGGCACTATGGGATTATGAGCAAGAGGAATATACAAACAATGTCAGGAAACGCACAGAGTTGTTGTGGCAAAAGCGGATGGACTTCACCGCGGACTTGTACACTAGGTATTCTTGCGTTACCATGCGTAGGTGCGTCAGCATGTCGCGCCATTTTTTATGCGACTCCAAATTCGCCGCGGGATCGCTGTCTGGCAGCCATAGCTTGTGGCGCTCGACCTCGTCGTCTACAGCCTTTGCCACAGATGGAAACATAAGTGCAGGTAAAATGATGTAGCTGACCAGAGACGACAGGCTATATTCATAAACCGAGTCGCGTAGTTGCACCCAGCGCGTCAGATAATCGAATGCAATCTGGAGTAGACCTCCCCGTATGAGGCGGACGATGTCCCTGGTGCCGCGGAGCTCTGGAAGCAAGTAAAATAGGCTGTGCCAAACATTATTTGCGTAGACTTCGAGTCGTGGCGTGGTTTCACAGTTTTTGCCGATGTTTGCCGTGTGGGGCATCGCTTGAGGGTGGTGCACCAAACGTAGCAAAGGACTAATGAGCCAGAGAAGAGGTCGTAGAAGAGACACTGCGGGAGCTTGCTGGAGCAGACACGCGGCCACCAAAACGAGATACTGCGCCTCTTCGACGTTGAGATTGGGTGGAGCAGCAGCCACGGCGCGTAAGCGGCGAATGATTGTGCGAATCGCCGGCATCCCTTTCGACATAATCTCAGAGGAGATGCGGTCTTTGTCATCGATTTTCCCGTACAGTCTCATGAGAGCCCAGATGACAGTTGCTGTATGTTCATCGGGAGCTTGGTCTTTGGCGAGGCGGCTGGTGCGGATGTGCCAAATGTCGAATATGTACGATATTGCGGACTCGGGGAGGCCAATGAGTGCGTCGAGCCCATAGGGGACGCAGCACATAGCGACGAAGAAATGGCAGATGAAGATGTCAAATCTACTAGACCAAACGGGGGAGGCCCATCCGTAGCGGGATATCGCTGCCTTCGTGGCCTCTGCGTCGCAGTTGTGGGCATGCGGGTGCATGTAGAGAAGCCATTCGAAGATCGGCGAGAGAGTATCTCCCAAAATATACGCGTCGAAGATCGCGACCCGCGTGGAACGGAGGTTTTCGAGCAGATGGGTCACAACAACGATGCTGTCCATAGCATGCACGATATTCAGCCACTCGGTGCGATTTGACGGCTGAGAAGCGGGTATGTTTGCGACGTTCAGGTTGCGAAGAAGACCTCTGTTGAGTCTCGGGGAGATGTCCTTGAATGACATGAACCGTTGCTTGCGCTGCAATGCACCGTCCAATTCGCGGTCGACCAGCTGGCTGAGGTATCGTGGGGTATCGTCGCTCATTTCGGGGAGGGGAGTTCACTTGAGGATGACGGTCGGAGAAGAGGTGCTGCATTCTCGGCGGCGTTTGATATGCTTGGTCTGGCGGTGACCCATTAGGTAATTGATGGCTGATGATGAGCATGAGGACCAAAACAAAGGAACACAAGCATGGGTTCAAGCCGCCATATGATACCAGCAATCCATATTTCAAAGACCGAAGCAGAGAAGAGGGGAAAATGGCTGTTATACGCAAAAGGCCGGAAAGCGGTAGTTGAATCAGATAATCTCTCAGCAGCCGGTGCACGCAGTTTTTCGGTCTGCTACAAGAGGTAGTTGTAGCTGTCAATCACGATTGCCACCTTGCTGTTGTCGCTCTTCGGTGGCTGCTGGCCGCAGGTCGCGATTTCCACAATTTCCTGACTTTGGGAACTCGTTTATACCCAGTACTAGCCTACGCGTCTACGAGGTTTGCAATACCCAGAGTTCGTTCTACACACGATCAGGAGTATTTCAGAGAGGATTGAGTATCTGGAAGTACGGTTAACATGGTGCATAGGGTGACAACATCCGGCTCGCCAACCAACCACTCAGCTGGCGGGCTTGTACCACCTTGGCTCGCGGGCCTCGCCTTCAAGTCCCAAGTCTTTGGCCACAGCATCGATGACTTCGCGTGGGGGCGGCTGACGGTGAGCCATGCGCGGTGCCCTCGAGTCCGCTAGCACGACCGCCTGAGCCGTGGTCCTATGTGCACCGTCCCGATAAACCAGCACGCCGTCCTCGAAGGCGAGACCATGCCTTTCGGCCATCAAGTATGGTATGTAGGACTTCATATAAGAGTAGTGGCCAGAAATGTCGAGACCGTCCGCATCATCGGGAAGCGGGCAGTCTTCGTCGCAAAAGGGCGCAACGACAGGCGGCGTGATGAGAAAGCCAAGTATGCGGCGGGCCTGGGGAGGGGTTGGCATATCAGCTAGGCGAGGGGCTGGCGGGCCAGTCATTAACGGCGCCTGCGGATCGTGGGTGGGAAAGCGCATCGCGGTTGGTATCAAGGGTAAGGAAGCCCCCCGACGACAATGAGCCTCGACGGCTTCGCGTAGACCTGATAGTCAGGACGAAGGAGCGTTTGTGTCGCGCGGCACCGAAATGGTCACGCTGCGAGCACGCAACCGCCTCGTGTCGAAGTTCAAAGTCCAGATTCGCATCACGGGCGACTCACAATGATGATCACCTCTAGATGCCCCTCCAACTGCTCGGTGCCATCAACCCCCTCCAGCAAGCGATGAAGATGCCATTATTTGAAGAGCTAGATTACGCCGCCGACTCGCCTTGATTAATCCCCCAGCCAACCAACCAACCAACCCCCTCACAACACCTCCGGCTGCTGAATCTGCGGCAGCTTCGCCGCCCGACTCCTCGTCAGCCCCTCCTTCGCCCCCTTCATCGTCTCGTCCCTCCTCACCCTGAGCGCCCACTCATACGCCTTCACCGCATACTTCAAATACTTGATATCCTTCTCCGCGCGCGCGCGGATCGACGGGCCCAGCGAGCGCGTGAGGTCGACGAGGCGGTGGTGAACGATCTCGATGTCCTTGAAGGTGAGGAGCGGCGGGACGCTGTCATCGGGGACCTCCGTCTTGGACATATTTTGGACGAGGGGGCGCTCGCCGTCGAGGACGGTGCGCGTGGGGCGGGAGGCGAGGGCGGGGTTGTGCGCGCGTACGGCGGATGCGGGATACCGCTCGACGAACTGGCGGATCTGGGTGACGGCTTGCGCGATGTGGCCCGATCTGCGATGGTCTCGTGAGCAAATGATGAAATGAGGGGAGAACCAACTCACAAAGCCAACGTCCGAATATACGCCACATGCGCGCGCTCCGTCAAGCGGGCCTTGACCTGCCTACGTCCCCCAGCCTCAAACGCCGTCCAATCCGCCCACACTTCTCTCGCAAACCGCAGCGCCAGCTCGCGCTCCGGCCCCTTCTTCGCCTGCGCGCACCGTTCCAGCGCGTCCACATACGTCGACGCATTCGGCGCCACTCCTAGCCCAAACTCGTCCCCCACGTACAACTGCCTGAACAGGTCGCGCGCCGTGCCCAGGGTCGAGTGCCGATAGAACACCGCGAGGTACGCGTTCAGCAGCCGGCTCGTCAACTCGACGCGCTCGAACTTGGCGGGCGGGGGCGCCACGGACGACCTATCGTGCTCGGCGGGCAGGTTGCCCGTGTCGCGCAGGACGCGGCCGAAGAGGTGCGCAGCCTCGCGCACGACTTCTGAGCGAGACTGCGGGACGCTGCTCGTGGAGCCCTTCGTATCGTCCGTGGGCGTCTTCACCTCCTGGACGGAGGTCGCCCTACTGTTCTCTTCGGTTGTCTCGCCCTCTGGCGCCTTGACCAGCAGCGCGTCCCCGCGCTTGAACGGCGGGTCGTACGCGGCGTATGCGTGGAAGACATGCATCATGACTTCCTCGTTCACCGTCGCGTCCGCCCTCTCCGCATCCGTCCGCGGCCTCGCCATCTCCGCCAACAACCACCGCACGCGCGCGAGGTCTCCGATCCTCTTCGCGCCCTCAAGTAGCGCGCAGAACAGCCTCGTATCCGGCGAGTACGCCGATCTGCCATACGCATCCCTATGCGAGTCCAGCATCTCCCTCGCCAGCCGGAACGCCTCGCTCACAAACGCCTTCGTGCCCGCCCGTGCACATGCGAGAATCACTGCCGCGTACGCGCCCGCTGTAGGTCTTATCTCATGGTCCACGGTCATCTCGTGCCAGAGGTCGAGCGCGCGCTCGGGCTCGGAGGCGCGCGAGGAGAGCAGCGGGGACGCGCAGGCGCGGATCATGAGCGTGTAGAGGACCGCGTCCGGGTTCGGGTGCGCGACATAGCGCATGTGACTGAAGAGGTCCCAGGCCTGTGCGCGCGCGAGGGAGGAGGGGTGGTCAAAAAGAGCTGTGATGGCGTGCGTGTAGGTCTTCATGGGAGCGGGGAGGCCCTGGGTCTCGTAGGAGTGCAGGAGGCTGAGAGCGGTGGTGGGTATGGTGTCGGGCGGAGTGGCGTGAATATGCGCGGAGACATGGAGGTGTCGCTGCTGCTCGGTAGGGGCAGCGGTGAGGTTGTTGACGAGGTAGGCCTCAACTGCCGCGATGTCGCCGGCATCAGAGTACATGGCGAGGACGTCGTCGGCCAGGCTTTCGTCAAAGTCGACACGGGCTCTCTGTAAACTTTCAGAACGAGTGCATATATGCGCATATATCCCTGTCAAGCTCACCCTCAGAGCCCTCAACGCAGCCTCTGCTGCAGCACCATCGTAGGCATTGATCTACATTTTGGTCAGCAGCGTCCTACGAAGCAATTCAAGAGCACGCACACAGACACGTATCAAGCTCTCCGCCTCCCCCTTCGTCATGATGCCTACCGGCAGAGCATCCTCACGCGCGTTAGGCAACAAGGACTCCAACCCAGCCGCATACTTCTCCAGTCCCGCAATCACGCGCTGCTGGTCAGACATGGCCCTCTCCGTCGATATCTCAGTCGGCGGCGTCTCCCCGCGTAGACGGCGCACAAGCTCAGAGGGCTCTGCCTCTGCTTGTGGTGCCAAGCGATCCGCTAAGGCTTTGACGACGGCCATGTCCTGGTTAAACTCGATCCTGAGGTGCTCTGGCGCGCGTTCTTGCACCTCTGTCTCAGGGCCAAGGACGCTCCCATAGAGGGATAGCAGGTCCTCTTCGGTGTATTCAGCCTCTTCGCGAGATGCCTACCGTAGCAGGATCAGCATCCAGGATACATGGTATGGCTCGAGACGCACCTCAACCTCCGCAGCCTCCTCCAGCACCTTCAATCCCGCGTTCAGCTTCGTGCTTTCCAGCACCCCATTCGGCAAGATGTTCTCTGGGAGCCGTACCGCAAGCCCAGCATCGTGCCGACGAGGCTTCGTATGTCTATACCAATTGTTAGCAAAGCCTTGGCGGCGATACAGCCAAGTTTACGCACTGCTTCAACGCCGCATCATACGAGAACGGGTTCGGCGTCTCCTTCACCGCATACGCCGCCTGATGCATGCATCTATTGAGGACTTGTCGGCGCTGCAGACAAGCGCCGCTTCTCAACGGCGACGCCAGTCGCAGCAAAATGGAGTCCACCAAGTACGGAGGTAGTGGAGGAGACATTAAGAGGGTAAGGCGTATGTTATGATGATGATGTCCCGGAATACGGAGACAGGGAGTGAGGGGGACGGAAGGTGGTGGTCCGCGAGCAAGACGGGGACGCGCCGAAAATTCGATCGACGCGGAATCTAATCTTATCGGCACGTGATGGGTTTCAACGGGGACCCACAGCCTGAACTCGGCTATGTCCCTCGAGGACGTGGTGAGTACTGGCAGCTATAAGAGGGCACTGCAGCCGTAATTGAGGGACCAGAATGTATGGACATCGACCGAGCCAAAAGGAAGCAACGCAAATGAAGCTTCATGAGGCATGACATTGGCGGTGCGACGGTAACGACAGTAAGCTATGAAACAGACACAGTTGCCGTGTACACAGGCAGGAATTCCCTCGTCTATAGATGTACGAGGCAGTGAATCATGAGTTAAGTAGAGTATAAGGGTATGGAGAGGTATTAAATGAAGCGTAGAGTAAACGAGGCGTGGTGTCAATCAATGGCGGGAATCCAAGGTAGAGAGCTATGAAGCGAAAAAGGAACTAACCCAAGAAAGAATGAAGACGAAAGTAAGTGTACAAGAAGGGAGATGAGATGAACGAATCGGGGGTAGACATACACGAGGAGGATTAGTGGGAGCTTAAGCAACGCGATCACGGATATTAGGTCGGGGGACGGGGAGTAGGGTGGCAAAGGAGTTGAGATGGCGGAAGGCACGAAACAAAAGATGGTAGGAGACGAGAGGACGGTAGCAGATGAAGAAAGATATGAAACGAGACACAAAAGGGGATGATAAAAGGAAAATGGAGACGGCAGACAAGGGGGAACGAGGCGAAGTAGTAACACATAGATAGAGACGAAAATGAAAGATAGACATAAGTAATGTACGTAGCAAAAAGGGTGTCCAACAAACGTGCCCGTCAGGCGCAATTCGGCTCCGCAACGGTTCGACAGGGCTCGAGTATTGAGGAGGATCCTCCGTACCCGCTCAGGGCTCCGCATCCCCGCTTAGGACGACGCTGCCCCGCCAGCTCATGACGGCGCGGCTCCACTGTCCCTCGGCAGCGTCTTCAGCTCCCACTCGCCGGGCGCGCGCCGCTTCGCAAGGCCAGCAAGCCGCGTCTTCCCCAGCAGCGAGTCGAGATGCAGGACGCCCCGACTAACCTCCTGCTGCCGAACAGCAGCATCCCGGATCGCATCGCACCGCTTCCAGAAGGTACTGCTGATCTCCGCATCGGGGTCCTGCTTGAGCGCCTCCTGGTATTCCGCATCCGTCACGGGCGTGCAGAAGTGCGCGTGCAGCGACCGCAGGACGTCGATGACCTGGACGTAGTCCGTGGCACGGGGGGATACGTGGGCGGTACCGCACGGCGTGACGATGTCGATGTCGGCGCCGCGGGTGGCGGGCTGCGTGGCGGGGTCATCGAGCTTGATACCGGCCGCCATCGCGCGATCGACGTTGCTGGTGAAGGAACGGGCGAAGTCCCAGGTCAGGCCAAGTGCGCGGCTAGGCCTGTAAGCTAGCAGCCCATGGACTCTGACGTCGCTGGAAGAGGAGGTCGACGAGGTCGACTGGTCGGACGACGTCGTTGGCGGGACGTTGTATAAGTGAGTGTGATAAGGCTGGCGAGGGGTCTGCTGGTGAGACGGGATGCTGTTGGGAGTAGGACGAGGAGTGGCCTCTGATACCTGAGGAGCATGCCGCGACGGCCGGGGAGTGTCTTGGAATGGCGAGGGTGACGAGCCATACGAGGCCGAGGATGACGAGCCATGCGAAGGCGATGATGTTGAGCCATACGATGCCGATGATGTCGAGCCATTCGAAGGCGAAGGCGACGAGCCGAGTACCGGCGATGACGGCCTGACAGGCGCTGACGGTCGCGCAGACGGCAACGGTCGAGGGGGTACAGTGGCCGCAGTAACCTCCTCCCCGTCAGACTCGATGCTCGCCGGCCGATGGTATGGCGTCTGCGCATAGCCCGGGCGCCTGTGTGGCGCATGCGAAGCTGTCGTCGGCCCAGGCGCATTCGAAGCCGCCAGACCGGGCGCATTCGAAGGCGAAGGTGATGGCTCCGACTCTGATCGAGTGGGCGCGTACGCTACTCCGTTATGCGCATAGCGTGCTTCGGTCGGCACCCGCGCTGCTTCGCCGGGCATCGACGCTGCCGTATGCGCAGGTGCCAACGTTGCCGTAGACGCTAGTGCCGGCGTCGTCGGTGGCACCTCCGCCGCCCTCGTCCCCGACGGCGAGGGCGGGATCACCTCTGCCTCCTCCTCAAAGTGCACATTCGTCCGATGTGGCATGTTGCTGTCGAAGTCGTTATAATAGTGATAATCGTTGTCGGTCGTTGTGGGTCGTAGTCGTGGATCTTGAATCCGGCAGCGCCCACACGCGCCGCCCTTTATACGACGGGGCGATACAGCCCTATATAGACCGACTCTATACAGCAGTGAGCAAACATATCGTCCTCCCCGATGGAGATGTGCCCTGGGCACGCATGGCTGATGCATGCGCCGGGACCCTGATGCGGGTGCACTGGATCCACACCAGTTGTGTCTGCGCAACCTGCTCACCGTGAAATGCGTTTGGTCCAGACACCGTTCGAAGTCGAGCACCGCTCGGGCAGCGGGCGTGAGAGACCTAAAGTAGGACGCCAAGTGAAGACAGGAAGAAGGGGAAGAAGGAAGAGCAGGGAAGAGAGCAAGGAAGCGGACCCGAAATAGCTCACTTGCGGGAGCGACGCGCAAGATGACTCGCGCACGCCTTGCTTGCACAGCTCCAGAGGATGAAGGGCGAACGCAGGTCGAAGTGGCAGCGAATTAGCACGCAGGTTAGCCAACACGCAGCGCGCTTACATACGCCCTGGCATTCGCGTTCGCCCTGGCACTGACAGCATCGGCCCCGCGGGCGGCGCACTCTTGCACAGAGCATGAATAGGCGCAGGCGCGCCCGACGCGGCTCAGACAGCACGCGAGGCTAGCGGGGCGAGCGAGCGCAGACCGCTGTTCAATGGGGCATCCAATGCATGCGATAGGCGTCTGAATGGCAATCTGCCCCGTCAGGATGATAATCTCCCCCCGGCGACATCAGGGAGTCACTAGCACTGGCGGCTTCCATGGACGCTGCCCTGGAACACAGCTTGTATGTGCGATGGCTAGTCTCAAAGGCGCTGGCTCATCTGTAGCGTATGCGTCACCATATCGAATGCGAATCGAAGTTTAGACTCACAGCATCGTCGTCGAGTCACTGCCCGTCACCAGCCGGATCCCATAGACTCCCTTCCTGGTAGTAGCGGCCCATTCAGCTGATGCTGTCCAGATGTTGATGGTTTTCTACTTGCCTGAAGCGTCCTCCTCGTCTACTTAGACGGAGCTGGGGTTAGACTGACAGACAACTCATCTCTCAAACGTAAGGCATCCTTCCGTTCAGCGCTGCCATTGACTGTCGCTACTCAATTTAGCAGCCAATCCATGCCAGTGAATTGGAGAGCCACGCCAGAGGTTTCCGAAGCGATGCGTCTGAGAGCGCGACGCCGTTAGTCTTGGCTTTGACTCACTACCCCCACCTGTTGGCGAGCTGTGGCAACATGAGGAAGGTTTGAGCGGAAGCAAAAGAGTGTGATGTTCGGATCATCAATTACATCCAAATCGAGAACGAGAGCCAAATCGGGACGACTCTTTGTCAATCTCAACTTGTCAAGGTTCGTCATGCCAGCTCGTTGAAAAACCGTTGAGTGTATGGCGCAACACGCCATTCGCTAGCTATCTTTGCCAGCCGTATACAATCCGTGTTCTCGAACGACTCGATGCACTCAAGCGGTACTTTGCCTGTGCGTCATGCTCTCACGAACAGCTACCAGACGTGCTGGGCGCCAGAACTCTTCGAATCGCTGGATCATTGGCAGGGAAAAAGGTGCTTCTCCCGTCAAATGAATGCCGGGGCTACCTAACGCTATCGAGACCTCTATCGACGAAGCTCCGTGCCAGTGATCGAACTGTCTTCCAATGTATTGCTTGACACCTCCCCATGGCTGCTACATTGAGTGCCGACTGCGGAAACGCCTCGGGCGACACTGCGACTGGGCGTCGACCGTGTCATTGTGCTCTGACACTGGCCGTGGGATGGGGATTGCGATTGACTGCTCGCGTCTACTAGTATCCAACGCGATGGTTTTGCTCGTCTCGGTTCGTGGGCGTGTCTATTGACTGAATCTCTCCGCGATTCCACTTTCACAAGCCCTCTCCGAGTTGAATGACTATCTCATTAGCTCCATTGATCTCGCGTCACTTCACCCTGGGATTAGGCGCCCAAGTTGGACGCGTGCCCGTGAACTCTCTTTGCAGTGGCAAAACATCACCGTCGTGGCCAATCTTCTCGGACCGTCCTCGTAATTCCAAGAAGGAATTCGGACATGCCTTGCCTTGCTCAGCTCTTTCAGTCAAGTGGGTCGTCATACAATCTCTTGCATCGCCCTGAGAGGCCCGATGTCGTCGCGGTGGGTTCCTGTCAATAAAATGCATCGTCTACTGACTATTCAAGCGCTGCAGACAACCGCGTATGCGAGCATGGCGTACAGCTCGTCGCTTCTGTCTAGTGATATTCCAGTCCTTCATCTAGGCGCGCATGTGCTCTGCTTATTGTTGGGACACCGTCATGTATCCTAACATGGGTATACGAAGGCGCAAATATCCGACCGCCGGCATCGACTCGTCTCCTCCTGTCAGCTCGCTCAAGGTGGCCACGAGATCAATGTCATACGACGCCCCATACAGTCGTTCAATGCTTCGCCTATTCATGGCTTGTTTTGCTTCTCGTGTTCATGGCTTGCGTCGCTTCACCCATTCATGGCTTGTGTCGCTTCTCCCGTTCGCGGTCTGCACTGTATTCCCAGGAACACCGAAGCGATATCCTGCAACACGCTATCGCCACGTCGCCTAACAATGCGCTATCTCATCGCCTGACAGAGATGGCGGGAGTTCATACGAGGTACGCCTCTGCACTCAATCGCGGTGCACTTACGCTCATTTAGACATACAGGACCTACAGGCAAGTCGCTTTCTGCGTCCTCTGAATGTCCTACGAGCAGTGGCGTCTATTTTAGCGTTGCTTTCGAAGCCCAGTACGATTGTCAAAGCCTAATACCGCGGAACAGTGCAGTGCCCAGATGCGGCGCGGATAGCTTGTGCACGCGAGCATTGCATGGCACTCAATTGGCATGAACAGCGCACGATAATCGATGGACACGGTGGCGCATGGCGGCCAACAGTCGCGGCCACCGTACGTCTCACGGACGAAGGCACAGCTCATCTCATGGACTGAAGCCGCAGCCTTGCTCACGCTACACCACTCACGATACAGGCGCTCCTGAGGCAGCCACTTTGGCGCTCGCGAGCTCAGTCCCCGAGCCAACGGACTGGGCGAGCAGCACGAGTCCTTTTGGGTTGGTATCATTTCATTGAATTCAACAGCACGAGCTCCTATGCATTTAAACCAGCGGTACGAGCGCTCGACGCTGCGACGACCGCCCATTTTTGGTCCCCCGAGGCGTCCGAGGATTATTCCTGTCAGCCTCGTAAATCGATAACCGACTCTCCCCTCCTCGTGATCCTCCTCAGACCTTCAACATCGCTCTTGCAAATCGTAGCCGGCGATCTGCGCTGTGGTCGCGGGAGCATATCTTCACGGAGGCAGATGATGATCCCCATTAGTACGCAATGTTCTTTCTCTTCTTGCTAACTAATTGTTCTATCGAACTCGAAATCATGGAGAACATGACGGTGGGTGAGCTCGGGCGTCCAGTCCAGAGAAATGTTCATACGTGCTGAGCGCGGCGTTTGCGACCCGAGCTTCTTTCCACCATCGACACCTTGCCGACTTCGCTCGCTGGGTGGCGGCAACTTACAATGTCGAGGGATATACAGACAACACGCACGGCAACCCCAACGTTCAGTGCTCCGTCTGCAGAGCCTGCGCCGAGGCGTGCACTGCCTCTGCAACTCCGATTATGGCGGCAGTACTGATTAATCTAGTCACGCCCGTATAACCCGCGCGGCTTGGCCGACTCTGGGTACGCAAAGTATATATACCCCCTACGTCTTCTTTTGCGGCCTCGCAGCGTCTTTGTCTGCGGTTTTGCAACGTGCAGCAGCGCGTGCCACACGTATTGACAAGCTGTGGTGGAGAGGCAGGAGAGCGCTACTACCCCCGGTACCGCAAGGACCCACCTGCAATTCATGTCGCTAGTCGTTGTCGCAATCCTCGCGCCATCTGCATGGCAACGCTGTCTAGCGAGGCTCTCTTCCGAGCACGCACAATGTACAGTAGGCGTTTGAGCAGGACGGACTTCTTGAAATGAATAGGGGGAAGGAATATTACGGATAGAGAGCGATCTTGGAGTAGAATCGAGTGGATTAGTAGCGTGTTCCTACTGGATAGAATTATCTGATACTATATTCGATGCTTCAAGAGGGCGGGCGGGCTGAGAGTCGTTCGTCCTGGGCAAACCACGTGCGGCACATGGGTGCGTGCAAGTTGTGGGCGCTTGAGCGCACCCCTCGATCCGGAATCCTAAACCCATCTGCGCGGAATATAGCGAGAAGTGTAACGACATACGTCCACGCGTCCTACCCTTCTCTCCTCGCGCTTTACTCAGATTCGAACACCGGCCAAGTGACCGCGTCTTAATCACGCGCTTCTGCGCGGCCGCGGAAATAAGTACCCCACACCGGGCCCCGCTCGCTTCGAGCACCTCTTGCTTCCAACCACCGCCGTCCTTCTTTTGCTCGAGGCGTACATACCCCGAGGACGCATTCAACAATGACTGCCAGGCTGCCTGTCATCCCCCTTCCCCACCCCCTTATCCTCCTCCCCGCATCCCGGCTCTCGCTCCCCATCAGCACCGAGCTCGGTGAGGCGCTCCTTGGGCTCATTAGCGAGTCCGACTCGCTCCCGATCATTGCTGCTGTGCCGGTAGTCGATAACGAAGCACAATCGCTCGCCGAGGTCGGGACATGCGCGCGCGTCTTGCGCCTGGTCAAGCCTACGTCCCGGAATGCGAAGGACCCGTATCTCGTCGCTCTGCATGGTCTCTCTCGCGTCCGCTTACCGGCTGGGCCGAGATCCTCGCCACCTGATTTGTGCGCGCACCCCGTGGAGTACGAAGTCGCGACGAACAAGGTGCCGAAGAGCGCTTCGGTGGACAGGTTCCGGACGAGCGCCTTGCGGCTGCTGGACGGACTCGCACGCACAGCGAAGGCGCATGCGAAGCGGGAGACGTATGCCAAGATGGCGAGCGTGCTTGAGGCCGCGCCCGATCCCAAGACGCCCTGGATGGCAGACCTGCTCATGGGGAGCATGAACACGGACTACGATGACAAGTTTGGTGCGTAGTACCCGTTCCCCAGTATACTCGACGCTCATGCCTCCTCAGCAATGCTCGGCTTGTTTGACATCAACGAGCGCCTGGAGCACGCCGCGCAGGTCTTCTCTAAGATCTCCTCCATATCCGAGGTCTCGCGCAAGATATCCTCATCCATCGACGAGTCGCTATCGAAGCAGCAGAAGGAGTTCTTCCTCCGGCAGCAGCTCGCTGCCATCCAACGCGAGTTGCAAACTCTGCGCAGCGATGGCCCCTCTTCGCCGACTTCGCCCAACTCTGATGCACCGCCCTCCGAGCTCGACGACAATGAGCAGGCGGACGCGGACGACATGTCGGACCTCAAGCGCAAGATAGAAGCCATGGCACCCGGGTCCGAGGAGCGCAAGATGGGTGCCCGCGAGTGGAAGCGCCTGAAGCGTATCCCTCAGGGAAGCGTGGAGAATGGGGTTATACGCTCTTATGTGGGTATCCCTGACTTCTTCCTTCCTGCTTCTTTCAATTGTCTTGTTATCTTTCTGCATTGGCCATATCGTCTTGTGTCCGCGATCGGCGGTGATGCTAATACAACACGCAGCTCGAGTGGCTCACGTCACTACCGTGGCCGACGACCGCCGCGCGTACTGAGGCGCCCGCCCGCGTCCGCACCCGCGCTTTCCTCGCCAGCGCGCGCGAGCAGCTCGACCAGGACCACTTCGGCCTCGACAACATCAAGAAGCGCATCATCGAGTACCTCGCCGTCGTCCGGCTTCGCGAGCTCGCCGCGCAGGTCCCGCCCTCGCCGACCGCTACCTCCAGCGCCGTCGTCTCGTACGACCCCAGCGTCAACAAATCACCCTCTAGCAAGCCGCCGCCGCGCACGAACGTCGCCAAGCCACCGATTCTGCTCTTTGTCGGCCCGCCGGGTACGGGGAAGACGAGCTTAGGGCAGTCGGTGGCGCGCGCGCTGGATTTGCCCTTCCAGCGGATCTCGCTTGGCGGCGTGCGCGACGAGGCAGAGATTCGCGGGCATCGGAGGACGTATGTGGCCAGTGCACCGGGGCTGATCGTGCAGGCGCTCAGGAAGGCGGGGCGCCCAGACTTCGTGATGCTTTTGTATGTTTATTGGTTTGACTGTGGGAAGTAAGCGGCTAACATGATTATAGAGATGAAGTGGACAAGTTGGGAGCCTCCAACTTCCATGGCGACCCTTCAGCCGCATTGCTCGAGGTGCTTGACCCAGAGCAGAACCACTCGTTTAATGTGAGCCCGATATACGCCACCGTATGTATTCCAACTGACCATTGCCTTATAGGATCACTACCTCTCGGTACCCGTCGACCTCTCGCGCGTCCTGTTCATCTTGACCGCCAACTCGCTGGACACTATGTCCGGCCCGTTGCTCGACCGCTGCGAGGTGGTCCGGCTGTCAGGCTACACCTACGACGAGAAGATGTCGATCGCGCGCCGATACTTGATCCCCAAACAGATCCGCGCTTGCGCGCTAGAGCAAGAGCCAGCTTCGACGGAGAGCAAAGATGCACAACTTGCTCAGGCTGGTGCTCAGCTCGGCAACTCAGACACGCAGCTCGTCAAGGCGGACCCAACGGTTGTCAAGGTCGGGGGCCCGCGGGTCATCATCACCGAGCCCGCCCTCCTCACCATCGTCACCAAGTACACCCGCGAAGCCGGTGTCCGCAGCCTCGAGCGCGCCATCGGCTCTGTCGTGCGCTACAAGGCCGTCGAGTGGGCCGAGCACAACGAGGACGCGGCATCCCAAGCATCGTCCGCTCGCCCCTACAACCCCGTCGTCGAGGAGCACGAGCTGGAGGCTATCCTCGGCATCCCGCGCTACGAGGAGGAGCGCGAGCGCGAAGCGCGCCCGGGCGTCGTCTACGGCCTCGTCGTCACCGGGCAGGGCGAGGGCGGCATCATGCCCATCGAGAGCACCTCTGTGCCCGGCAGCGGCGCGCTGAAGACGACGGGCAGCCTCGGCGATGTGATCCGCGAGAGCGCGGAGCTGGCGCTGACGTTCGTGAAGCGGCACGCGTATGACTTGGGGATCACGGACACGCGGTCGCAGGACCCGTTGCGGCATCCGTCGGTCATCGACGTGCACCTGCACCTCCCCGCGGGAGCGCAGAAAAAGGACGGGCCGAGTGCGGGGACGGCGATGACCTGCGCGTTGGTGTCGCTGCTCACGGGCCTCACCGTGCCCACGCATGTGGCGATGACGGGGGAGGTGAGTCGCCGCCTTGACATCCACCCCGTTTAGGCCTTTGACTAACAATATCCGTAGATCACCCTCCGCGGCCGCGTCACACCCGTCGGCGGGATCAAGGAGAAGGTCCTCGGCGCGCACCGCGCGGGCATCACGCGCGTCATCCTCCCCTGCGCGAACCGCAAGGACGTCGAGCACGACGTCGCCGCCGAGATCCGAAACGAGATGGAGTTCGTGTTCGTGCGCACCGTGCGCGAGGCGCTTGATGCGGCATTTGGCGAGAGGAAGCTCGCGTGGCGCCGGGACGTCCAGCTGCCGCTTATGGAGAGTCGGATGTAGGCATATATGCAGCCGGGTGTAGGCGCATGAGCAGCCGGATGTAAGGAGGAAATACGGACTATATGGAAGGTCAAGGAGGGACCTCCCGTGTATAGGGACTGCTGACGATACTTATGTCCATTGACGATACCTTATGTCTATAACGAGTTCAAGTGTACTTCTAGGATATCCCCTGCTCCAATGTACAAATATCATTCTGGTTCCAGATCAGACAGCGTGCCTGTGAAGTCGAATCGAGAATAGTATTAGTAAGAGGAAAAGGAAGGCTTGAGTGGGATCCGTCCTCGGATATCTCTCCAGGTGGGAAAGCTTCCCTTAATTACCATCCTCGTATATCGCAAAATGAAGGCGAGTTTAACAAGTGCGCAACCACCACACATTCGACGCGTCCCCCGATTTCGGCTCAAGGCCCTGGAACATGAATCCCGGCAGGAAATCCACCCTCTTGAGGCCCTGCTCGCGTTCATAAATCAGACCCGACCCATAAGCACCCGTGTCGCGACATCGTCTCTCGTACGCCCTCGATGCCTGGCGCCTCAGGCGCTTCGTTGGCAGCCATGCGCGATACTCGGTGCGCGAAGCGGGCTGCTGGAGCTCTTGGTATATGGTACGCAGGACGTCGTGCACGGTCACGTAGGGGTGGGTATTGGGTGCGCCCGGGTACACCTCCATGGCTCCGGGGAAGTGTGGCGTGACGATGGATATGGTTGTACAAGGTGTCAAGGTGGCAGGCTCGATAAGCGCGCGGGGAAGCGCGCCAGGTGCGAGACTGTAGGCGGTTGTGGGAGGCTTGCGGATGTCGTAGATGATTTGGCGAGTGCGAGATTTCCAAGCAAGGAGAGGATGGGCTACCCGTGGAAGGGTGGTTGAAGGCTGTGGATTAGGCGCGGGGAATTGAATGATTATGGGTGAGGGTAGGGTAACGTTGTAAATGACTGGCTTGTACGCCTGCTCAGTGGCTGCCTCCGGCGAGAGAGTCGATGAGGAAGAAGTGGAAGACGAGGCGCTTGAAGCTGATAGAGTGGACGAAGTAGAGCTCGATGGAGAGCTGAGCGACCCCGGAGGCGAGTGGTAGGTGTTTCGACCAAGGGCAAACTGGACATGGCGGGGGGCTTGCATGGTACGAGGCGAAGGCGCTTATCGAGCTTCATGAGCGCTGGCATACCATATGTGTTTAGCTACGTGAGGAGGTAGGCTTCGCCGTAGCGTGCTCTCGGACCGTAAATCACCGTCTTGTGGGTGTCTGCATTCATCTGGATCAACACGAGTTAGGGACCTACTGCTTGCGACGTGCTTCTGGATGAAGTCATGGTGAGCAGGAGGAAGAAGCGTACGCTCTTTTAACGCACAGCTTAGATAGGCACGGCTTTGAATGCAGAAGCCTCATGCCTCAATACAGGGCATTCACCCTGTAGTTGGACTTGAAGATGAATTTCGCGCACAAGACCTAGCAAGATAGTAAAACAGCAAACACTTCCTGTAACGTGCGGGTAATTCGCCTACTAGCACATAAAACATCTCTTGAGAGTATAAAGGTGGCATTACCTGAACCTGAAGGTGAACATGAGAGTTGTGGACAAGGGCCGAAGTGATCACGTGCAATTCTCCCGCGCTTGGTCTGCCACGCGATCATCATCGAAGAGCTCGCGTCTCGCCCTCATCCGTCGACGAGCCCGACGTTGTCGTCGTCGACAACACCGCAACATATCTTTTCCCACATACTCACGCAAGACGACAGATAGGCTCAATTATGGCCACTATACATCCTTCTCGTCTGGGACTAATCCAAGGCGGGGCGAGCGCAGCGCAGCCCAGGCGAAACGACAGCGGCCCTGCTGGACCTGCGCATGGCTCCAGCAGCGACTTTGCCATCGATGTTCCGAGCCCCGGGCCTCCTTCACAAGTGACCGGGTACGGACCTAGGCACGGCAGACGAGATAGTAGGGAACGAAGAAACGACAGCCGCGGAGGCGACGAGGACAGAAGAGGACGTGATGATGACAGGGGACGTCGCGACAACTCCAGGGACAGGCGCTCACCCCGCCGGCGGTCGCGGTCGGCGGATCGACGCACACCCCCTCATCAACGACGCGACAGCCCCGATCGCGGTAGGCGGCGCGCCAGTCCTTCCTACGCCGACTACCCTCGCCCTCCGAGCAATGTGCCCCGCACCATGCCTCCGCCCCCTCCCCGCGGCTACGGACCGGGACGCTATGGTCCTGTCAACGGTGGGGGCGACTATCTCGAAAGCCGGCGACTGCAGCGGGAGGAGGCCAAGGCCGATCCATGGCCACCATCCCCCAAAGCCCCCTACGTCCCCGAGCGCTCGCCCAGTCGGAAGAGCAAGCACCGCAAGCATCGGCGTAAACACGATGACTCGGATAGCGAGGAGGAGGAACGACGCCGCAAGAAACACAAAAAGCACAGGCGGGCTAGGAGTACGTCTACCGAAAGCGACTCGGAGGACGATCGTCGTCGTCGCCGCCATAGCCGTCACAAGAGCCGTCGCGACCGCTCTGAGTCGGTCGACAGACGGCACAAAAGCAAGAGCAAGTACGATAGTGACGAAGAGGAGCGCCGTCATCGGAAGCGCCGCAGCCATCGTACTCGTTCTCCCGACAGCAGCGAGGACGAGCGTCGGTCGCACAAGCGGTCGAGGCGCACACGCAGCCCAACGCTCGAAGAGGTCGACTGGGTGGAGAAGAAGACCGCTGGGCCCTCTGTGCCCGCCCCACCGCCGCCCCGTCCACCCACTACCGAGCCCGCTTCAGGAGACGAGGACGAAGAAGAGTTCGGTCCCCTCCCCGCCCCCTCCGCCAACGCCAGCGGCCGTCGCGGTGGCGAACGCGCCTACGGCAGTCAGCTCCTCCGCGGCGAAGGTGCTGCCATGGCTGCCTTCCTCCAGGACGAGGACGGCGTCAACGCACGCATCCCGCGCCGCGGTGAGATCGGCCTCACGAGCGACGAGATCGCGAAGTACGAGGACGCGGGCTACGTGATGAGCGGCAGCCGCCACCGGCGCATGAACGCGGTCCGGATGCGCAAGGAGAACCAGGTCATCAGCGCGGAGGAGAAGCGCGGGATCTTGAAGCTGCAGAAGGAGGAGCGCGAGCGGCGGGAGGCGATTCTCAGGGATGAGTTCGGCGAGCTGGTTAGGGAGAAACTCAAGGGAGCGGGCGCAGCGACGGACGGGCCGTAGGTGTGTCGCCATATGTTGTTTGCTCTGAATGTAGGACTTCCCGCGACAAAGCGCAGGACCAATATACTTCCATATACGGCAACATCGGTGTTGATCCTCTTTGTTCTGTCCGCTGGGTGGCCATAAAGTATCCTTTCGGCGATAGCCCCTATTCCCGATCCCTATCCTGGTCAAGTGTCTGCAAGGTCGAACGCAGTGTCGTGGCTGTTCGTTGGCGCTGTGCATAGCGCTCAGCGCTGCCGTCTGTCATGGAGACTGGTGACCAGCGAGCTTCGAACCTCGAGTTACGTTGAGCACGTTCCTGTCGGACGGATTACCGAGGTCGTTTGGACCTTCCCTCGGGCAACCCTCGAGGTGGCCGTAGCCTGTCCTCTTGACCTCTTGATGACTTACCATTCAGAACTCGAGTGCCTCGGCCCTGATCTTCGTTGACGACATACACTCCAATTCATTGCTTCCATGCTGTCCCCATGCTCACCTTCCTTGAAACTGCCGTGGCGCTCGCAACAAGCCGCCTCTCGTCCTCTGTCGGCGCCAGGGCGGCCAGCGCGCTCCGCGGCCGCTGCGCAATGCAGCGCACCCTCGATTCTCACCGAGCTGCCTCCCCGTGGCGCCCGCCCACCCAGCGTCCAATATAAAAGTAAGCTCAGAGCCCTGTCCCTTTTCCCCTCAATTTCCCCCTTATTCATCCGCCTCCCCTTCACGTCGCGATGGCGTACCCCTCACTCCTTCGCCTTGTGTCCCTCTTCTGCGCGGCCTCCTGCGCACTCACGGCGTATGCATCGCCTTTGGCGGCGCGCGCGCCGCCCCTCGTCCCGCACGTGAACGGCGCCTCGATCGATATCTCGCCCAACGCGGACGGCGCGTACCCGCGCCTCGCGCAGCTCTCCGACGGCACCTTCCTCGGGACGTACGCGACGACGAACAACGGTGTGCGCCAGCTGACCGTGTCGCGCTCGACGGACGGCGGGAAGACGTTCTCCGCGCTGGGCAGCATCGCCGAGGCGTCGGGCGACCTCGACAACGCGTTCCTGCTGCAGCGCGCGGACGGCGCGGTCGTCGCGGCGTACCGCAACCACGACCTGGACGCGAACAGGAACCCGACGTACTACCGCATTACTGCGAGCCTCTCGAGGGACGGCGGTGCGAACTGGGAGTTCCTGACGCAGATTGCTGAGCGTGCGGCGGCGACGGACAGGAAGAACGGCATTTGGGTGAGTACATTTAATTCATGAGGGGTCCTCACACAATGTCTATGTTGAGGTGATGTCACGCACTCAGCGGCTGACTGACGGGCACGTTTGCAGGAACCCTTCCTACGTCTTGCGGCGGACGGCCAGACGCTGCAGGTCTACTACGCCAGCGAGAACCAGAACGACGACCAAGACATCCTTATGCAGACTTCTACCGACGGTGGCCAGAGCTGGGGCAACCCGAGCACGGTTGCCGGCGCGACCACTACTGGACGTGATGGCATGCCCGGCGTCGCTGGTAAGTGTCCATCCAAGAATCCGTTTATTGCCTGAGTACTGACACGGTCGTTTAGAATACGATGGCGGTCTGATCTGCATCTTCGAGACGACCGAGGCCCGCAACGGCAAGTTCTGGGTCAAGAGCGTCACCTCCACGGACGACGGCGCGAACTGGGATAACCGCAGCCTGGTCTACGGGACCTCGGATACGAGCAGGAATGGTGAGCACTCGTTCTTCAGATACTCGAATTTGCGTGTTCATAGTTCTCCAGCCGGCGCCCCGCAAATTGTCACTACCTCCCAGGGCACGCTCGTCGCCTCTTTCATGACCGATGAGGACGCTACGCAGACCGGATGGCCTGACGTTGGCGCATCTTTCAAGATCATGACGAACACGCCCGGTGGCGAATGGGGCCACAAGACCGAGGTCTCCGGCATCCAGTCGTCGTGGCCAGGTCTGTTCGCGAAGGATGACGGCACGGTCTTGGGCTGCTCGGGGCACTCTGGCGAGGGCTCTGTCTGCCATGAGATTACCTTCACGGACGCGTAGGTCGCACGTTGGCTATCAGTAACCTGCACGAACTTCCTTGGACTTTGGATAGTAATATTCGAGATGCTTTTAGGGTATTTATATAAAGTAACACTCCATCTAGTAACAATCAACACAGGGTATACCTCATAAATGTCTGCCAAGTTCGCAATGGGATTTATCTTGCTGAGACTGGCTCAGTGATTGAGCGCTAGCGAAAAGCGTGACAGTGTGATGTTGATGTAACGCTTCGAGTTGCGTGATCGAGCTATGCAGCAATCGTGCACCCTGTTCGCTTCAGCACTTTCATCTGCTCTTTGCTCCTGGCAGTCATCATCCACTTGTCGGCTATTTGCTGGTATGTGTGCTCGGGCATGTGCAAACTAAGAGCACATTGCTAACACCTACTCATGAAAAAGATGACCGTGCTCTCCACCCCTCTTTGCTCAGCATGCAACCATACGTTCACTTGCGCATATCCAAGCTCTCCCGGGGTCGACCTCCTGTGCTCAACACACGTTCCCACTAGTAGGGAACGTGCCGACATCGACGCGACCCTCGCAGATATGACCGGCTCGCTGCGCGTTCTCGACGCAGAAATTTCGAATGCGAGGGACCGTTTCACAGCACTTCTCCTGAGTCGCAAACGTCTCGAAGTAGACATGCAACTCATAGCGAGTGCCAACGCGCCCATTCGACAACTCCCTTTCGACATACTGGCCCTCATCATCCACTTCGCGCTACCGCCTGGCTGGGGAACTTACGCCCCCTGCGGCACTGTTCGCTTCCCGCTCATCATTTCATGCCGACGGTTCCGGGAGACCGCGCTGGCCATGCCTGACCTCTGGTCCAAAACTGCCCTACCTCACAAGTTTGACACGCCTTCAAAGCGAGCCCGCTTTATCCCCGCTGCACAGAAGTACATTGAGCGGGCCGCTCCTCGTGCCGTGGACGTCATCTCGGCGAACTACGACGCCCGTACTCATCATTGGACGTTCGTGCAGAAGGAGTTGCACGGTGCGGAGGACTGGATGGTATCCAAAATCCATCGCTTTAGAAAGCTTGACTGGCCCTTCTCTCCAGAGCCAAAGGGTATACCAGACGAGCCTCTAGATGCGCCATTGTTGGAGTCCATCAGATTCATGCTGGAAACACCGGGAAACGATAGATCGTCCACGGTAGACATGACCCTTGGTGAATGTCCCAAACTGCGGAAGGCGGTCTTCTCGCGCTGGTACTGCCCGTCTTTCGCCAGATTGCCGTGGAAGCAATTGACGGAGCTCACGCTGGATGTCTACGAGATTGTTTCGGTGGACTGGCGCTGCATAGGCCGTTGTCGCGCGTTGACGAAGTTGCACCTCCAGATACGCCAAAGCCGTGACTTTGTGAATCTGGACGAGGACGAGGATGTGGAAGGCGCAGACGATTCAGACGAGGACGCCGAGGACATGGTGCCTGATTGGAATAATCGCCGACGCATCACAATGAACTCTCTACAGAGCCTCACCCTCGTCAATCACGGACTCGACTTCGCCGCACAACTCGTGGCCCCCAACCTCGTCCACCTCTCTCTACAGGTGTCTGACGACGACTTTAGCGAGAGGCCAGACGTCGCGGATCAGCTCTTGAAAGCGCGGGCGATCGTCAGTCGCTCCGCGGTCCATCCGCTTCGCAGCTTCAAGATGACGGGCTTCCAGGGCCAGCTCCGCGCGCCAGCCGTCTCACGCAGCCTGCTATCGATTCTCGAACGCACGCCCGAGCTCCGCCATCTTCATTTCGTCTATAAGCTGGACACCGACCTCGACGACACGCTCGTCAGAGGCCTCGCCTCGACAGCTATCGCGCCGAAGCTTGAGCACCTCGCTTTCACGTTGGAGAAGGGCCATTACTATCGGAAGTTCCCGACGTGGTTTGCCAGCAAAGAGTCTGCTCCGGGCACCCTGCTCAAACGGCTAGCACGCGCGCGGTGGTCATCCGTTGGCGGAGGGCCACAGACACTAGTCACAGTCGTACGGGGCAAGGACACGCTGGCATGCGCACGCTGTAGGCCGCCACTCGGATGGCAGGGCCAGCTCGAAACAATCGGCATCGAGTTTCCGGCGCCGGACGAGCTACTCTACGTGTTCAGCCTTTCAGGCTTTGAGGCAGGCGTGGTCCGCCACCTGTATGAGTAGTATGTATCGACGAGGCCGATGCTGCTTTCGAATGAATGACCACTTTCTTGGAGCTATCTACAGACACGACGTTTCGGAATTTCTTGCTTTCAGACTTATGAACTCTCGCATCGAACCTGGTATCACACAGATGTATCGATATCTAGACAGGTTTCTGTTGCGCTCCCGCTATCTTGATAATGCCGTCGTACTTTGTACGCTCACAGCCTCAGTTACGCTCCAGATGTGCGTCTCGGTTAATTACTTTCTTGTATTCACACTACGCGCTTCACATTGTACGACTAATACCCACTACCCTGTTCCCTATGATCCCGTTCATCATCTCCCGCACCTTTCTCAGTGCAAAGCCAACTACGGTCCACCGGGAAACTTCAACCGTGACCCGGATCACAAAAGCGTGACAGAAGACACATATGATCGACACGCGAGCGTTGTGATTCGACTCAGCTTCCTCTTTCATCCCCCCAGAATGCCGCAGTCTCTGGACGATCTTCCCAACGAACTTCTCGAACAGATAACGTCGTATTCTGAAGTCTGGGAGAAACGGCCTCCCCCCAGTTCTAGCATCTTCGGTGTCCTTTCGCGTGTAAATCGTCGCTTGCGAGATTTTGCGCTACCACAATTCTTCGCAACGCTGCATCTGCCTTTGACGGATGTCTCATTCGCAGTTCCAACAATTAGCGCTGGCCCCTTTGTGCGTCTTCTGGCGCTGATCAGGAGCAATCCAATCTACGGAAACTCGATTAGGTACGCCCGCGTCGCCATCCTAACATCTGACGATTGGACGGTTATCAACGAGCAACCACTCCAGAGACCTTATCGTTGGACACAAGTTCTACCCATTCTTTGACCTGTTTTATATTGGCAGCGCCAACGCATCTCTCTCAGCGAGCCGATATGCTTGGGAAGTATTCGGCGCGGAAAGGCCCTCACCCTGGTTGAACCTGGAAAGCTTTGCGTGCTTGGACATGTCCTGTGGTCCTGCAACGATAGAGGCCCTTCAGTCCTGCGCCAATCTGCGGAGTCTGACACTGGCATGGGACGACACTACGTATCCGGACTTGGATGGTTTCCCCAATCTCGAGTCGTTGCGCCTTGCCGGGAAGGCGATAAGCTGGGACACTCGTGAGAACCCTCCGCGCACTGCCGGCGGTTTAGCCTTCCCATGTTCCAGCCTCCGTATACTGGCTCTCCATGGAGGAGTAGCTCTTCCGGACGACCTGACGGAGAACCTGCACCGCCTATACCCTCACCTCCGTGTCCTTGTTGCTGATAAAACATGGCTGACGCCTGCGGACGTTCTGCATATGATCGGCCAACACGCGGGACTGGAGGAGGTCAACGCAGACTTTCATCGGCAGCATACCCTGCGACTGGAGAACGTCGTCGATGTTGCGATTGGGCGAATACAATCCTGGTCTCGGATACAGGACGCGAAGACGGACGTCACCCATCGCATACGTACTCGCCATACGATGTGGACCAGATTGATGGCGCAGAGCTTCGCTTTCGTTCGCGAGAGGAAGATCGACCTCGTCGAGTCGCAACCAGAGCGCCCGTTCTTCGATATCACGTCCTTTGCTTTCACTATGTACGGTAACGACAACGGTGTGCCATTCGACGAGCTCTCGGCTTTCTTCGACCAACCTGCGGAGTTCCCCTTCCAACATATCCGCCACCTCACGTTCTCGATTGGGCCTCAAGAAAATTATTCCTTCCCCGAGCAACAGTTCGTGGATGACTTTATGGTCCGTTTTTTTTTCTTTTACTTGAGCTACTCCTAAGCTTTCTGCTGATCAGGCGTTATAGAATCGCATGGCCGACCTCCTGTCCAATTGGACGGTACTTGAGACGTTTACCTTTCACTTCGACCTCCATGGGAGGAGATGGCAGACTACAAACCCGGAAGGATATGTGCCAATACTCGACGACACGACGGTTCCTACGGAGCAGGCTGGTGAAGAAGAGCCGACCCTTCGCCACATACTATATCATCTTTCGCCATCTGCCGCTCTCAAAGTCATCGGGGAGGTATCGTGGGTTCTCGGTCGCGACGTGGGCATCGACGACGATTCTATCGAGCTCGACTTGATTTGGCTGGATCGAAACGAGCACATCGTCACCAAAGGCGTGCGCGTTCTTGCGGAGAAGTGTCGGAAGTTGCGAGCGTTTCGTTGGTTCGTGGACCTGTCTTCGGACAACCCGTCGACGCAGTGGGCCTACGAGATTGCGCGCGACATGGACGGGAAGGTTCAAGATGTACAGGTGCAGACATCCTGCTTGATGAGCCGTAAGGAGACCCTCCTCGAGTTCAAGGTATTGGTCGGGCAGGAGCTACAGACTGTGGCAGAGGCATGGCCAGCGCGTCATGACGAGTACATCTGGTAGAGCAACATGGCGGCCAAACGAGCCTGGCTCAAGCCTTGCCGGGACTGCATAAACCACGTTTCCCAGTCACGATATTCCATGGCGTCGCCATGATGTCCAATCTACATTAGCGAAGGTATGCATATAGTGTAACGGTCGTGATAAACATAATCATCCAATGAAATTTAGAGCCCCTAATCTGCCTTCGTAGCCTCGTCCTTCTGCCGCATGAACCGGTTGTATATCTTCAGCTCGGGTGGCGGACCCAAATCCTGAGCAGGCTTGACCTCTACAGACCGTCGTGTCCTCTTGTGGGACAGCGACCGACGCATCGGTGGCGCCTCCTCGGTCGACTTCCGCCCACCGCTGCGCAGGTCCTTCCACGACTTGCTCTTGAACAGCAACGCGGGGCTGAACTTCTTTCTTTTCCCCGCCTTGGGCGACGCATGTCGCGGGCTCTTGGGGCGGTCCTCGTTGCGCGACCTGCTACGACGTTCCTTCTCTGGTGCCGGTGGTGGCACCGCGAGCGTTGGCTGCACCACCTTCTCCGGCGACCGGTCGCGCGCGCGGGACTTGGGTCTTGTCCTCGACTTGGACCGCTTCTCGCGCTTCGGCGGCTTCGGGTGCTCCGACTCATCCTGGTCCGTTGGTCGGTCCTTGATCACCATGGAAAGAACGCGACCCACGGTATGGCTCTGCGACGACAGGCGGCGCATCAGACGGGACGAAGGGCGCTCTGGCGGTGCGTCTTCGTCCGGCTGCAGCGCGGACCCACTGGTGGCACCCGCGGGGTAGCTCGAAGGAGGGGATCCGGGCGGCTTCGTTGAGATCGATACGCGGCCTGGCGGGCTGGTGTCTCGACGCGCTGCATCCTCTGCCTCCTTCGCCTTCGCAGCAGCGGCCTCCTCAGCCGCCTTCGCCTCCGATGCGGCCCTGGCCTCCGTGCGCGCCTTCCGGAACCGCTTTCTCGCCAGAGTGCCGCGAGCGGCGGACTGCACTTTGAGAATGGCTGAGGTCTGCTTCTCGATGCGCATGCCTTCGAGGATGGGGAGAACGCGAGCGCGGAGGAAGATCTTGGTCCTTCCTGTCTGATACTTATCGCCTCCTCCTACCGTTCTCTGCAGGATGACGGTCGTGAGGCGTTGAGGGTCGCGCAGGTAGGGTCGCGTGACATGGCGCGGGAGAAGAAGGGTATAGCTGGTGATCGCATGAGTACGAGTCTGGACCGACACTAAAGTCTCTAACGTACCGCGCGGCAAACTCTTCGTAGGTCATGCGAGAGGGGTATCCGGCGCGACTGATCTTGACGGTCTCCAGCACACCACAGGCGCGAAGCTGGTCCAAAACATGGGCATTCTGGAACTCCCACGGTTGCTTGTCCTCGTTCGGCTTGATGCAGCGGATGTAGTGCATGTCGGTCTGGTCGAGCGTGCGCATCAGCAGGATGAGGGAGGATTTGAAGACGGATGCCTGGGTCGGCTTTCTGTTTGAGCCCTTCTTCGGCGCCGCGACGACACTGCTGGCGTCATCCTTGCCCGCAGCCGACTCCACCCCCGCCGACACCGTCCCATCCTCCAGCACCTCCCTCAAAAACTCATTCGTCGACTCGGCAAGTAGCGCCAGATGCTCCTCCGGCACAATCCCGCGGTTCTTTTCCAGAAACCCATCGACCGAATACGCCACATCCCCCGCATAATGCACGATCTTGAACGCCGTGTTTCCGTGCAGGTGGTCCTTAAAGACGGCCTTGTTCGCCGGCGTCTTGAGCTGGCTGTTCAGCTTGTCGACGAAGGTCGTGTCGGTGCCGGCGGCGAGGCGCGACTCCTCATCGAGGAGGGAGATGATGCCGATCTTGCCCTCGATGAGGGAGATGCAGGGCTGGTTGTCGGGGAACTCGATGGCGTTCCAGGGGATGCCCTCTTCGACGTACTCGGCCTGGTCGAGCTTGAAGACGTGCGAGAGGAACTGCTGCTGTAGCTTCTCGTTCGCGTAGTTGATGCAGAACTGCTCGAAGGAGTTCTGGGTGCGGGTCAGTTCGTGAGGCAATGCAATCCTCGGACGCGACTTACCTTCTCGAACTGCTCGAACCCGTAGATATCGAGCACTGCGATGAACGTGGCCTCGAGATCCTCTTTGCCACTCGAAAGGCCCTCGTTGACACGCGCCACCAGCCAGTTGAAGAGGCACGAGTAGATGTACTGCACCACACCATCACGCACCCCCGCTGCCTGCGCCACCGTCCTTGCCGCAGAGAACTTCTCGCCGCGCGCGTCAATTTGCTTCGTAGTCGTGCACTTTGAGAAGCCCTTCGCGTCGATACCCAGTAGCTGAGCCGCTCGCAGCAACGCCGCATCCTCCTCGTCCATCGTCGCGTCCTTGGTGTCGCGCTTCGAGCGGATGGTCATGTTGCCCATGTGCAATAGCCCGGCTAGCAGCTGGAAGATCGCCTGCCGCTTCGCCGCGTCGATCCCGATGACTTCGAGAGCTTCACAGGTCGCTGCAAAGTCCTGAGCATAGGAGGTTTGCGTGGGATCGGAGGGCATCCCGCAGAGGTAGCGGAAGCCGGTGACGTCCGCATCCAGGCCCAAATCCTGGCGCTCCTCGTCGTTTGCACCGGCACAGAGCTGGTAGAAGATGTGGTAGTTGCGCTCGGCAGACTGCTGGAAGGTCACGCGGGAGCGCTCGAGGAGATAGGTGCGTATCCGGGCGCCGACGATGTGCTGGTGGGCGTCGAAGAGGATCTGTGCGATGTTAGTACGGAGCGTGACAGGTCGACGAAAGTAGGCTTACCTGAATATACTTGCCGAAACGCGACGAGTTGTCGTTACGAGCGGTCTTGGCATTGCCAAAGGCTTCGAGAATCGGATTCGTGGCCAGGATTTGCTGCTCAATGGAGACGCCGCTCGTGTGAGGGCCCAAGGACTCGCGCGCATGGACCGAAGCTAGATACCGCATGATGTACTTGGCCTATTGGATGAAACCACACTGCTCAGTTCGACGCCTTTGGTGTGAACATCGCTGGACTTACGGATTCTGTCTTGCCTGAGCCACTGAGAAGCCGTTAGTATGTTTGAATTGCGGAAGCTGACTAGCTTGACATGCCTCTCGCCGGAAACAATGATACTCTGCGCCTTTCCTGTTCTGTCCATAGTCGAAAACGCCTCTTCCGCCACAGCGAACAAATGCGGGTCGAGCTCGTCTCTGTTGCGGCCGATGTACGACCGAATGACGTCCGGCGCATAGTACGCGGACATGTCCGAGAAAGGGTTGACAGCAATAAGGACGATGCCGCTGTACGTATAGAGGCATTGATCAGCGTAGCGGTTGCGGATGACCTCGAGGACTGGTAGCGAAAAGGTCAGCATTCGGGGCGTTGCTCAAGCGACTAGAGGCGTGACCTACTCGAGGGCTCGTTGAGATGCGGTAGACGCGTCAAGTCCTTGATAGTCCTGAACTCTGCGGTGTTACGCAGTGGTGGTAGGCCTCCTTCCTCCGCAGTAGCGTCCTTGAAGGTCGCTTTCAGAGTGATTTCCTGAATGTCATGTTAGTGCGCTTCGTGCTATGCCACCGCAGCTCCGGCCTACCTGTCCATCCTCGTTCTTGACCAAAACAACGGGAAGACCGTTGTCCGTTGTGGAGAACGATTTCACTTCCCCGGGAAGCCATCCTTGCTCCCTATCTACAAGCCACACAGGCGTTCCGGGGCGGTATATAGACTGCGCCATGGCGAAAAGAGACGTAGTAGACAAAGGAAACGAAAGAGAGAGTCAAAGACCGAGAGGCTGACGTAGTCGCCGAGTTAGAGGTTACTGTCAACAAAGATGCAGTCGCTATACAGTTCGACAGCGATATCGTGTCGGGTGTCGTCTGTTTCGGGGTATATGTCCTGGTAGTTCCCGTAGTTTGGCTAGACGCGGTCAGAGATTAGATGACAGTCATAGGTAAGGTGGATGAGTGGCAGGATAGACTCACATAGACTGTAAACAGTGAACTTGATGGGTATATGGAACACGAACAATCTTCCGCACTGTCACACTTGGCAACCAACAAGGAAGTGCGGCCAAAGCCGAATTCAGACCCGAAGCGCGACCGTGATGAGCTTGAGAACGGTGGCACTGGGTGGCCTGTCGTACGATGCAGTTACCGCGCAGTCGAGGCTCAAGAGATGGCCCGGGGTATATGTATCCGAGAGACAAAGGAATGGAAGCTCTTGAAAAGAGGCGTTGCCGCCTCCTGGCTGAAGACTGCGGAAAATGCCGATCACACACGTGGCTCTCGCGCGAGGTTCGTATTCACTTTGTTTCGCTACACTTGAGACAGACAAGTAGGTTTACAAGTCAAGATACGCTAAAAATAGATGTAGATATAGATACAAAATATAGAGTAGATGGACGAGAGCATATACAGTCGCGGTCACTAAATCGTCAAGTCGATAACAGTGCCAGGAGCAGCGTTGTAGGTCTGCTTGCCGCCCGTCTTCACCGTCGTACTCTTCTTAGTCCTCGCAAAGTCTAGCATAGTCCGTTGTGCCATGCCCTCTCCAGTCCGCGCCTGGATCCGCAGCCGCGCGGCTTGCAGAGACGACATACCCGTCTTCGGAGGCGGGGGTTTCGCAGGTGTGCCCTCGTCGCTGGTGAGCTCGATGATAGAGACGTCCGCCATCTTGGTGGACGCAGTCGGTCGTTTGCGTATGGGCGATGGGGATGGGGCCCGAGACGGTAAAGGCGAGAGTCGCCGGACGGGAGAAGAAGGTGAAGTGCGCCGAGTGGGACGCCTCTTGCGCGGCGATGAATGCTCCCTCGAGCGTCGGGGCGACTTGTTGACGGTTACCACATCGGAATCGGGATCAGAGGACGGCGCGGTGTTCTTGCGTGAGCTACGCGAAGGAGCAGAAGCTCTGCTGCTCGAAGCTTTCGACGGACTCGAGAAGACATCGCCCGGGTCCGGCAAAAAGCCATCGTCCTCTTCGTCCGACGATGATATCGAGACGTACTTCAACTTCGGTGGCGGAGCAGGCTGCTTCGATGCCGCTCGAGACGGACCCTTCAACTTGCTCAGAACATTCGACGGCAGCTCGTCATCCGAATCATCGTCGGAGTCGAGAGTCATCCGTCTAGGTGGTCGGGCAGGGGGTCGAGGGGGACTCTCCTCCTCTTCAAAAAGAGGCAGTGTAGCTGGCGCGCGCGGCTTGGACGTCTGGCTGGCTGGCTTGGGTCTGGATGTAGCGTTGGCCGGCCTCTTGGCAGCTCTCTTCAGCTTGGCCGACGAGGACAACGCGTCGAGATCATCGAGCAAAGAGGTCCCGGTTCGCGACATCTGGCCGCTGCTCGCGCGCGACAATTGGCTGCTGTTGGTGCGCGAGCGCAAAGGTGCTGGCTTCGCCGCATCCGCCTTCTTCCCTTTCGAAGACGCGGGGGCGGGGGCAACATCGTCGTCCTCTTCTTCCTCTTCCTCGGATATCGCGGGAGCCCTGGCTTTCCTCGCCGCTGTAGCCTTCTTGCCACCGGTCGTAGACGACTTCGCCGTACTGGCCGAGACCTTAGCAGAGCTCGACGCCTTCTTGCCACCAGCGGTAGATGCCTTCCCCTTCCCCTTCGCCCGCTTCGCCGCCTGCTTCTCCTCGAACTCCCTCACCATCCTCGGATGCGTCATCCGCACCATCACCGCCGGCACCCACACGCGCAACGTGCTTTCCGGCGCGGGAGGTGCCTTCTTCGTGCCCTTGGCTCCTTTGACCCTCTTCGCGGGTTCGCCATCGGAGTCAAAATCCTCCCCACTGTCCGAGTCGGCCGACCACTCGTCCTCATCCATCGGCCTCCGTGTGCCCAGAACGCCGGACTCGGCCGCGCGCACGAGCGCGCGAGGCGCGACCTCGAGCCGGTACTCGAGCATGCCGTCCGTGGACGCGTGCGTGCGCGAGGAGTGGATCTTGAGCACCATATCGTCCTTGTCCTCGTCGTCAGAGTCGGAGTCGGAGTGGTCGCGTGCTCCCGGAGAATCCAGCGTCAGGCCGGACAGGTACTTGGCCACCAGCTTCGACGGGGAGCCCGGCGCGCCCTCGTCCTCGTCTTCCCGACCCCGATGCTTGCGCGGTGTTGAGGGCACACCTAATCGCGCCCGCCTTGCATCCGCATCCAGCACCGCCCGGCGCAGAATCCTCAGGATAGCCCCAGGCCACACCACCGTCCTGAACCTCTTGACAATGATATCCTTGAAGCCCCACTCAAAGTGCATCTCGCACGTCCTCGCCAGAGCGGCCATATTCGGGTCCTTCCCCCACGTTATCTTCAGGTTGTTTTCCTCGCGGCCCATGCTCTCCGTCGTAATTGGGCATGTATAGCTCCTCAGCACCTTGATGCTGGGGAACGACTCCGGGAGCGCGTCGGCGAGCTTCTTGCGCTTCGAGGGCAGCTTGCCCTGCGCGTTGGTCCGCAGCTCGTGCCGAAGTTCGTTGCGCCAGTTCTCGAGGAAGTCCTCCAGCGCGTCGTCATCGAGCGTGTTGGCAGCGTCGTAGAGGGTGTCGCCAAAGCCGCAGCGCGCGAGGCCCGTGGCGACCTTGATACCGCAATCGGGGAGGCCGGCTTGCTCGTAGTCCCCGCCGGCCATAAGGCCGATGAGGATGAGGCCGCCGCGGGTGAGCTCGAGCTGGGAGGTGATGTCCGCGAGTCTGTAGACCATCGTATGCTGTTTGTCGTCCCTTCCCTCGGAGTTCAAGACTGGTTTCGCGCGGTTGGCGGATAGGTTGTTGCTGGGGCTGTACGGCATGTCAGATGCATGCGAGGGGGAATGTCTGAGGGCACGCACTTTCGAATGACGGTCAGAGCTCCGAACAGGAAGTTGTCCGAGTCGTCAGATAGCACACCGTCTATGATGCCTATGCGGTTGAGATACGCCAGCTCGGCTTCTGCTTCGCCGGGAGCCTGGGTTAGAAGTCAGCGAGTAAGCCTCAGATCGCCAGTGTGGCACGCACCATCCTCCACTCGTAGCCGAATGCCTCGACAATCCCCTTCATGCCATTGATCAACGCGTGGTTGTTCTTGCTGATCCGCTTGCCCCTCTTCCAGCTCGGTCGCTTTGGCCCATCGAACACGAACAAGGGCAGCCAAGGCGCGTGCATAAGGGTCGCGCATCGGAAAAAGAGTGTTCGCAGTTCGGGGTTCTCGCCCTCCTTCCCGTACTCGGCGTGAAAGAACCAGATGCTCGCGTCTATGCCTATCCTGAAGCCCCGCAGGTTCTTGGGATTCTTCTCAAAGCCCTCTGAGACGGGCAGCTCGAGCATGGACCGCTTGACCGCGGCGGGCTTCAAGACCTTGGGTGAAGCGTTAGTACACGGCGAGATTGGCGAGCTCGATCACGCACATCCCATAGTCCTGCGATACCCATCTTTCAACACGACACCGAGCGTGCTATGGCCCGCAATGACAAGCAATGGACGTGGCGTTGGGTAAGACGCGCGCGACTCCCATTCCCCCATTTGCATCACGTGCATAATACGTGACTCGGACCTTCAAGCACCCACAACAGTTGGTGCTTTTTGGCTTCTGCAAAAGGACTTTGTCCGCGCACACTCATTCCTATTCTCACTTGTACAGCATACACCACATACTTATCACTCTTCTGCCTATCAAATCTCCTCATCCGCATCCCTAAGGATCTCCCTCGCCAGCTCTCCTGCGATCCTCAGCCCACGAGCGTCTTCGTCTTCTTCGTCCATCGAGAAGTACTTGGATCTGAGGATAATAAGCATTAAGAGCTCGTCCAAATCTCTCAAACATACTCAAGCCTCGAGATGTAGTTGCCATCAGCCTCAAGATCTAGCTGAGGCCCCATGTACCTGGCAAAATCGTGAGTGAGCGCACGCTGAACCACTGAGTCCACATACAAGTCGTGTCGCAGCACGAACTGCAGAAAGCTCTTCCAATAGGGATCGCGCTTGAGCAGATTCCCATTCCCGACGACGACCAACAACTCCTTCGCGCGAGTAAGCGCAACATTCATGCTGTTGCGAGGTTCATTAGCAAGACCTCTATCTGATACTCCGAAACTGAGTCTCACCGTTTCCTTTCAAACACCAATCCCAGCCCCTTCTTCTGATCCTCCGCCAGAAACCGTGTCCTGGACCGTACGCACGAAATGATGCACACTCGACTCTCCCTGCCTTGGTAATCTTCCACGGTACCCACGTCCACTGCATGCAGGTTCTCCTTCCGCAGCCTATACGACAATGTCGGGAATCACAACATTCAAGTGACGACGGTGGTCTTGAGGGGTCATGCAACGCACCTCTCGCGTATCTTCCACACCTGTTCCCTCCACGGTGCCATCACACCGATCTCCCTCTGCTGCAGCGGCGGCACACTCCGCACCGAGTCCGCCATCAGCGACTTCACTGTATCTACCACGTGCTGAATGTCCCCAGAATTGAACCAGGATGACCTCTGGAGTGAAGGTAAGGGAGAGAAACCGATCAGTACACCTCCATCCCCTATCGCAACTCTCCTACCCACCTCGTCCACACAATCTTCGTACCCCTCGTGGCCAATGAACAGTAGCGGTATATGCCTCTGTGGCAGCCCCGCCCACGCCACGGTCCCGTTTTGCGCGCACGGCTCGAGCGTGTCGTTGTAGATCATTGCCGAGGGCGGCATCAGTATCACGGGGTGGCTGCGGTAGTTCTAAGAGGGGTGGATGAGTGGACGAACGGGCTCCCTATCGCAAAACCCGAGAAGCTCACCTTCACCAAATTCACGAACGGCACAAACTCTTCACCTCTGAGCCTCCGCCTCTCTCCTTTCGACCTCGCCTCCCTCTCCGCTTGCATCCCTGACAACGCTCTTTCCACCTTCGCTTTCGACATCGAGCTTCTCCTCAGCAGACGGCGTTCCGCCAGCGTTGCTCCCTCCGCCCTTCTCTCTGCGACCTTCTTCAGGAAGTCCAACTCGCCACGGGAGAGCGGGTGCTCGGCGTATAGTGGGCGGAGGAAGAGGCGCTCGAGGAGGGACACGTCGAGCTCGGAGGAGCGGGCGCGGGAGGAGGCGACGATGGGGCCCACTAGTGGTGCGGGTCAGCGACGGGACGGTTGTACTTCTAGCATTGAGGGTGGAGGTGGCACTGGCACTCACGCTGATGACAATCCCCACAAAGGACCAACTGCGGCGTAAATAAGAAATTCGACTCCGGCTTGATGTCCGGGTGGTCCTGCTGCCTCGGTACAACGACTGAGATCGGGATTAAGAGCTCGGGTTCGGAGCCCTGTGCAGCCTGCACACGAAAGCGGGTCAGTATGCCTATCGCCCAGCTGGACCACCGAGCCGAGGGTTTTTGCTTCTACCAACGAGCTGCCCTATCCACACCCCCTTCACCCCTAATTGTACTCACCTCGTCAATCAACAGATGCGTCCAATGCGGCACGACGCCCCGCGACACCTCCTTTGTCGGGTGCAGCGCCGACATCACATAATGCTCCAGCTTTGCCAGTGCTGTGTTCGTGCACTGCGCGTTCACCAGAATGCTCGCGTCGTAGCAGGTCGTGACCACCACTCGGAACTTCATTAGCTCGGGCCAGGGCGGGATGGCGAACCTGCAATGAGGATTAGCAGTCCATCGAGTTGTCCCCATAACCGCTCGCTCACTTCTCATTCTCGATCCCTGAATGATATGTCAACCTTCTCATCAACATTCAATCATGGGCCCCACTCACGACAATACGAGAAAATCTCCACCGGCACCTCCGCAAACGTCCTATACTGGTCATTCAGCCGCAGCATCTCGCTTGGCTTCAGGAAGTGCCGCAGGCGCATGACAAGCGTGTCAGTAGCCGGGTTCGATGGCGCGCACAGCAGGATGCACGCCTCGGGCTGGAGGCGGAGGATCTGGAGGACGCATTCGACGAGGGTGCGCGTCTTGCCGGTGCCAGGGGGCCCGCTGATGAGGTAGGGCACGGAGAATTGGTGCGTGGCGATGGAGGACGCGGCGATCTACAGGGGCCGTCAGTCGCCGGGTTCCAGACCAGTGTCGGGTTTATGCGTCGGCGCAGTGCCATAACAACGAGCATCTACACTCACCTTTTGCTCCTCATTCAGCCCTTGGTCCACGTACTCATCGGCAGTGATCGTCTTCGGCCTCGGAAACGATATTGAGCACGTCGAAGCCAAGTCCGTCGGCTCTGGGAACAACCATCGCCTCGCAAAGTTCGGCCAGTCGTGCGTAGGTCCTGATTGGTCTTCCATAGAGCCCGCCTCGCTTCTCTGTGCAGCGACTGCATAGCTTTTGGATCCCTTCGCTTTCGAACCTAATTCGCTCCCCGCATCATTCCCCAGTGCCAACTCGCCACCAATCGTCTCCGCTGCAGTCTCCATCAAGAATAACGGTCGAGCGTTGATGATGAATGAGACATTGAAGTACAGGCCCAGGACATCCTCCGGACCGAAGATGCGCCAGCCATCTTCGACGCCGGTGGAGTGGGTGGGCGTTATGTGAGTCTGAATGTGCCGCTTGAGGGCTGGACAGGCGATGTCTGATGCGGGGGAAGGTAAGGACGAATGCAGATGATAATGGTATGCGAAGAGGAGACGAAAGACAAAGATGTCAGCCAAGCCAGTGAGTCATCGCACACCGACGTACGCACGAATCCCTCCCGCTTCCTCAGCGCTACAATTCTCCCCTCATACGCAATCCCACTCCCTGCTTGCTTCTCCTTCAGCACCTCGCGCATATGCACTAGATCACCCAGCTCCAGGCGCGGGTAGCTCTCCCGAATATGCGGCACGTTCAGGCGGAATTCCGCGTTCGTCCAGTTCGCGACGAATAGCGGCAACTGCCACAGGGTCACTTCTTGCTTATCCCGCGCGAGCGTGTCGAGCTCCCATCCCAGGACGGCTTTCCAATGTGCGTGGTACTCTTCGAGGCTGAGATGGGAGGAATCGTTGGAAGGAGGCGGGTCCGCCAGTAGCGTTTTCGTGCGCGATGCGCAGAGCGAGTCGACCAAGACGGAGGGCAAGAAAGATTTGACATAGGCACGAGAAGGAAGGTCCACAGTCGCCGGATACGGCGTTAACTTATGAGGCTGTTTTTGTATTTTTCGCAAGTATTCGGGAACATAGATATCGGCCTATGAGCGTAAGCTTCAATCGCAAGCACGACACTGTGTGAAACAGGACTTACATATCGGTCAAGCTTGTGAGGTGACTTCTCTGCCACAGGTGACGCAGCTACGGGGCTGTCGATCTCGGAGAACGTACTCGTCGAAGGCGAAACAGAAAAAAAAGAGGAGGAAGAAGCAGAAGAAGGCGGCGAAAGAGGCGAAGCTTTGGGTCGAGAAATTGCAGCAGCAGTAGAATCAGGTCGTCCAAGAAGGTCTGGGCGGGACATATATCCCGGAAACGGAGCGAGCCTGCCCCTCCAGAATTCGTGAATATCGATCGGCGGTAAGCGCCTGCGACGTCAGTGTTAATGCACAGCTTTATGGTTGATGAAAGATACACACGGGGCATTGCTTGAAGGAGGCACTGGTCCTGGAGCTGTAGGCGAGGGAGGATAGTAGAACCCTCCGTTCACTGGGGATGCGGGGTATTGGGGACCGTTGGGCACGGCGTTGGGATGTCCGACAATGAGATGCGGTGGCACGGGTGGATACGCATACTGCGCGCCTGGATGGGGGATACCTGGGGGAGGAAAGCCAGGGTACGGTGCCGTGGGTGAACCCGGAGAGGACGCTGTGTATATGTTGGGATAGGGGTGCGTATGATTCATGTCATGTCCGTGCTGGAGTATGAGAGTGGACGAGTTTGTATCTCGAGGTGATGAGAGTAGAAAGCAAGTGCTGTACTTGTGCTGATCACCTCGCTCACAGCCAGTCGACACTGCCTACCGACTGCGCTGCTGTTGAAGGGCACTTGCTGGATCAAGAACAAGGGCAACCGAATTCAAATTCCTCAATGAGCTCGCGCGTGCCTCAAGAGCCTCGTGGACTGCATCACTCCCACGATTAGATGTTTCCGGTTTTGGACAGCTTCTGGCCTGCAGAGCACACTGGGCTATCGGGGGATCCACAAAGCCAAAGGGATGCATAGCGGATGCATCGATTCTCAAATAAGCCCAATCAAATGCTTGACCTTGAGTGAAGTAGCTGTCGTACATAGCAAAAGCTGTGAAAGAGCGTATTTTGCTTCCTACTAGGGTGTGCTTTACAGAAATGAACAAAGATGATACAATACAAGCGATACATATAGAAACACCAGTCCCATCGAGCCATCCAGCAACCCTAATGCAATGAAAAGCCCGCGAACTCAGAATGCCGTAGTAAAGTCCCGGAACTGCTCCTCCCCCATGAGCCCGTCCGCCGGTGAGGGCTGCTCCTGCCCCGGGCCCAGAGTGCTTTTGAACATGCGGATGCGCTGCAGCCGGTTTTGCCAGTTCGTCCGCATCTCCTTGCGCTCCGTGTCATTCTTCGTCTCCTTGAACACCGACGCGAACCAGTCGGCGAGCAGACTCAGCTGTCGCACGAGGAGCGGAAGGTTCTCGGCAGAGATGAGCTTGAAGTCCCCGATGGGCGCGAATTCAGGCATTCCCGGCCCGCGCTGCACGGTCACCTTGAAGTACTCATTTTCGTGCACGTTGTTCGAAAAGGCGGCGATGCCGCCGTACGAGTGCGGCTCGATAATGATGTTGACGAACTGGAATTGGGTGGAGAGCGTGTCGAAGCGGTAGACCATGCCGGAGTCGTTCCACACGATGCGTACGTAGTCGTTGCCGATGTGCCGTTTCTTGTCGTTGCACTGAGGGTCGTGAGGCTTGTTCGGCATCATAGTAGCGGCGTGGTACAGAATCTGCCCTATGTCGTCCCACCATGCGTACGCATAGTCACCATCTTCACCCGGGTCAAGCCCTCCTGCGTAGACATCGACCTGCCCGCGCAAGTCGATGAGACGACCCAGGCCTTCGAGGAAGCGCGTGTAGGCAGGTGACCCATGAGAGTTGCGAAGGATTTCCGTCTCCTCCGTTTGACCCGGGGCGACGTACATGATTCCGACCTTGTGCGTGTCAATGACCGGCATGCGATCCAAGCTGCTGAACAGTCGCTCGATCTGCTTCTGGTCATAGGCCGGTCGAATGGTCGATGGCGTAGGATATGGCGATAGTTGCAGAGCGAAGAACGAAGGTAGGATAGCCACATCCTTTCGACGCTGCGAAGGCGCGGTCTTGCTCCAGACGTAGCCCGTTATGGGGTCTGGCGCCGGTGGCTCTTCGACACCTTCAGAGTTGCGTCGGATGATGTCGTCAACAGCATCGTCCTGGACACCCTGTCAGTCTTCATCAAAACCCAGCAGGCACGTCGACTTACATGCAACCTCTGCAGCACAGACGCCCCGCCATCGACTGGAGGTACTGGATTCTCCGCCACAGGCAGTCCCCTCTCCATCAACAATGCCGCCGGCCCCGTTATCATGTCCGGATGCACATCGCCCGGCCCAACCATCGGCGCGTTTTCGATCCGACACAAGAACTTTGTTAGCCCCGATGGCCTCCTCCCAATCACTTCCACCCAGCCTACTCTCACAAGCGTGCGCACTGTGATCACCGAGTTCCCCAACACCCACGTCCGCGAGTCCACCGCCGCCTCCTGCTGCGCCTGCTCCCCACCACTGGTCCCCGCACCCGCGTTCATCACGATATCCGAAAGCAGCGAGTGCGCAGGGCGCGGGTCCGCCGTCGCATACGTGTACCGCGCGAGCCAGTCGAAGCACACCTCCGTCGCGTCGTCGACCGCCTCGCGCCCCTCGTTCGCGAGCAGCAGCTGGCGCGTGATGTACGGCATATGCGCGCGGCGGTCGGGCAGGCGCACAGCGAGGAACCACACGTAGACGATGCGGTAGGAAAGGATGCGGACGAACTGGCTGAGCGCCCAAGACATCGTCGGCGACGCACCCTCGCGGTTGTAGTGCTGCAGGTACTGCAGCGCGACGCCGAAGACGAGCTTGTAGTCGCTCTCGGTGAAGTTGGCGTATAGCGGTGGGATGGAGCCGACGATGGCGAGGAAGCCGAGGATATGGACGGCCATGTCGGGGTTCGTCATGATCTGCGATAGCTTGGTGAGGATGGTGGTCATGTACTTGGCCATAGACTGTTGCAGGTCGAATGCGGAGAGCGAGAGAGCGTGCAGACAGCACTTGATGGTTGCAGGTTGTCGTCCATCCAAACCCGCCATGAACAGCTCAACAAGCGCGTTTCGCTGCTGCGTGTCGAAGCACCGCCGATAACTGATGAGTACGGAGAGTGTGTGATACACTAGGCCCTGCGCATCCCTTGCCTTGAGTCCCGGCTGCCACTTATCGACTCCAGAAGCAAATGTGTCGTTCATGATCTGCGCGCCCACCGCATTGAGGATCTGCGACATGAGCGCACGCGAGTTTGGCCCACAGAACATATGCTTGTTCGCCAACTGCGCTGGTAGGTGGCACAACACGTACGACAGCACCTCCCAGTCGCGCTCGCCCGTGATGATCGAAAGGATCGCTCTGAGATAGTACGATGTCGGCAGTAGCACCTGGTTCGCTGGTCCCGAGGGATCGTAGCACACTAGGCCCTCACTAGGCATGTCCGACTCCGTCACGGTGAAGGGGAGTATGTCAGATATTCGCCAGAGCATGGGTCGAGGTTTCGGAGGTGCTGATTGCTCCGACTGCGCTGGCACTCGTGAGCGACTGCGACTTGCTGTCGAGCCCGATGCTACGCTTCCGCCTCGCGCTGCTCGCGAGGTTCGTCGCCCGTCTCGCTGGATCACCCTCGACGGTCTAGGAGCCGTGGAAGAGACGCTGCGCTCGAAGATCGGCCGACACTCATCCGGCGACTCAGGCGGCGATCTGCGCTCAATGAGCGACGCCAACGTCGACTGATGCCCATCCAAGTCGAACCCGCGCTCGCAGAAGTACAGCTGGTGGTTCCGATCCGCCCGCAAGCGCATCACGAACTGCAAGATGCAGATTCGCGCGCGACGTGACTTCGCCCCGTGGCTAAGCAAGTCCACCATCTGCTTGTATACGCGCACCGCGAGGTCGAGGTGCTCTGTGACCAGCGCGTGCGGCGTGAACGCCAGCTGGCAGAATATTCGAATGAGCGCCGTCACTGCGCCCGTGACACGTGGTATGATCGCAATGGGCCGTGGTAGGGGAGCCTCTGCCGCGGGCTCGTCGGTCGATTCCTCCTGTTCTGTGCCTCGCTGCTGGACCGACTGTGATCGCGAGGCCGATCCGGAGGTGAGCGACGTCAACAGCGACATGATCCCCACCTCCCGCTCGCGCGTCGGGCTCTGGAAGTCGCTTTGCTGGCGCGACATGCTCGGTGTTGCAGTGGTCGTGCTGAAGCTCGTGGAGTGCGGGAAACTTGGTGATGGACTCTGCTCCGCAGTAGCGAGCATGACAGTCTCCTCGTCATCCGCATCTTCTCCATCGCCCTGCGTGGCGATAGCCAGCAGCACCTCGAGATATCGTTCGATCGAGGTCTCGTCGTCTTCCGCACTCTGCCCCTCGACAGTCCGAGAAACGACCTCGTCGCCCATAATGATCCACAGGGCTTCACAGTCGTCTCCCTCCGGCGTACCCTCGACGTCCGCGGAGTCCCACCGCGCGCAAAACTCCAGAATCTGATCGGCGAACGGTCGTCGGTATACTGGCATGTCGCGAATGCTATCATAGACGGCGAGAAGCGCATCCATGACGGATGCCTTCGTACGTGGACGCTGGGGACCGACAAGCGCTGCATTGGCCAGCAGGTTTTGCCAGTTCGACAGCCATTCGGGGGAGGTGGGGTACAGGTCGTGCTGGTGCAGCAACTCGGGCGGCAACTGCGCGGTCTCGTCGTCGGTGAGGTGGTCGGCAATGGAGAGCTGGATGGCCGAGAGTGACGGGTAGAGGGTAGTGCCGGGGTTCCGTCCTAAAAGTGCAGCGAGGTTGCGCAACAACTCGTTGGGAGCCATGGTGGAGTGCGATTTGGATAGTAGGAAAGGAGTGCCATCCGGGTTTCTGCAGTCGATCAGAAACACGCTTATAACCCGCAAGTATGGACCATACCTAAGATGCAGCACATAGCTCGCCAGCTTGAGCAAGCTCTGCCCCACCGTCTCCGCCTCGTCATCCTCCAGCTGCGCATCCGACGCATCCCTCGTCTCCAACTCCTGGAAGATGTCCCGGATCATCCCCGCTGCCTCCTCCAGTATCCTCTCCTTCCCCCTCCTCACCACATCTTGCTGCGCCGGGTTGCCCTCGACCCAAAATTCGACCCATCGCTCGATCGCCGGCGGCAGCACCTGCCCTAGTCTCTCCGCATCCCACCCACTGCCGGGGCCCGCAGCAAGCATGTCCTCCCGCGGCCACGCGCGCTCGAGCAGGTCCTGCTGCACCTCGATATGTCCCGGTGCACCTGAGTGCGAGTACGCCATGGAACTCTCCCTGGCTATGAGTGTCCGCGCGATGCGCGACGACAGGGCCTGCCGCACGTGCGTCCGAAGCGCGCGATATGCACCGAGGGCGGTCTGCATCGCGCGCGGGTAGTCGTCACTGGGCATGTGCTCCGCGACAACGCCGCCGTCGCTCGTCGAGATGTTGTCCTCGTCCGTCCCTGCCGTGCTGGGAGGGTACATGTACGCCGAGAGCAGTCGCATGCACGCGCGGGAGTGCGGCCCTTGCAGAAGCTGCATCACGACCGCGGAGATCTTGCCTTCGGTCGAGGGCATGCGCGCTGACGTTTGGGTAACGCTTAGACGAGGAAGCGGGCCAGAGGCAAAAGCCAGTGCTCGGAACAGCACTGGAAGTATCTCGCCTAGTTGTTTGGCGCGTAGTGTCTTGAGTTGTGAAGTCAGGTGGGCTAGATAGAGCGCAATGGCCACGTCAGGTGCTCGTCTTGACGGCTCGGTCGGCGAGGCAATGAGCGACGGCGTCGACAAGGATGATGGCGTCCGCCTGTGTGAGTACCCAAATCGTGAGGGTGACTCGGATGGCGGGGGAGGTGGAGGGGAAACAGGTGCTGGCGATGGGGCATCGGTGAACGATAGTACTGCAGCCGCGTCTACCAGGCTGGCGTAGAAATGGAGTATGCCGGTGATCTCCTGGTCCGGTATGCGTGACACGAATTGCGGTTTCTCGACAACGCGTGTAAGGAATGTCGAGAGTATGTTCAGGCTGCGTTCGCGCGTCGATACCTCTGTCTTCTCCGCGGGCACCGCGGCGTCGATGAGCCCCTCGAACGCGCCGCGGATCCACGTCTTCAGGATGGACAGCAGCTCGATCTCGATGCCCACGACCTCCGCGCCGTCCTTCGTGAGCAGGCGCAGCGCCTTGAAGCGTGGCTCCCACAGATCGACGTGCCACGCCGTCTCGCTGCACACGAAGAGCGAGAAGTAGGCGAGTCGGGTGGAGGTAGTGAGCGTCGGATCAGCGGTCTCCATGTACGAGGCGAGGATATCGAAACCTGCGGCCTGGAAGGCGACGGGGCTGCTTGGGGAGCACAGCGTGCCCACGATCGGCATGAGTGTGTCGTGGGATGGCAGGGGGGACATGGTGGTGAGCGCGCTGGCGAGCGCGCGGGCGTAGGAGAGGCTGGGCACGGCAGGGGGCATGAGGGCGTCAATGAGCTCCTGGGGGGACAGCGGGTTCGAGATCACCGGCGGGGGATGGCTCGAGGGGGACGTCGACTGGTTTGGGGAGTTGTTCTCCGGTCGACGCGGCCGCCATGCCAGGAAGGACGCCGTGTTGGAACGCGGGCGAAACCTGCTCGGGGACTCGACATCCTGGTGGTTTTGTGAGGGCATGAACCCGTAAACATCGAGCTGATTTGTGTCAGTTGCGCCAAAGTCGACGACGTAGCAGACGCACCAGCCTGGCCAAATCTTCGTGGTTTGTCGTGGGGAAGTCGTGGACTGCACGACGTCCAGTAAGTAATGCTCAGCCTGTGGTGAGTCAAGCCGACATACGGGCAGAAAGCCTTCACGTTCCCGCCGTCGTCAGAACCGGATGATGGTCAGTGGCCAGTAAATTGAATAATTGACTCAAGGTACCAGAACAGCCACGTGGTGGAGGTATTTTCTGTGAACATGTGGCTTGAGTGCGACTTTCGAGGGATAGGATTAGGAAGGAAAATTGGTCGACAAGAATGGGAAGTATGATTGGATGTCTGCACCGAGCACTGCAGAAGCAAAGAAGTGGCAGAACCGACACTACTCGATCATGATCCCACTCCTTACGGCAGGTACTTAGAACAACGGCTGTGCAGGGAGCAACACGGAAATCGCAGTATCTCAGCCTCGAGTGATGATGGTCGCTCACGCTCGGCCACCTGGATATATGAGGACAAGAAGTTCAACACTATTACTTCCAAATTCGAACAATGGCCGGCAAGTGCCGAAAGTGTGTTACGTTATACCGTCACGCAGCCCGCGCCGGAGCAGCAACTCTCTCATCCCCTTCACCACGATGCGCTGCCCAACCTACGATCCCCAGGCGGAGTGCGCGACTGGTACACCAGCCCCTCGCTTGTGCGACATGCCCGTGCCTCCACGGGCCCGCCGCATACTTGGCTTCCTTTTGAAGCCACGAGTCGCTGCGCCATTCTGCGACGAATACTGTCCGTTGCCGGATAATGCGACTGGTGTGGACGTACAGGCCCACCTCAGCTATATGAAGAGCTACATCCCCTTCCTGATGGCCGAAAAGCATGGACTGGCGAACTCAACCTCCGTCCTAGTGTATCGGGACGGTGCGCGCCTGGCCATGGCTTTCGCGCTTGTTCTGGCCGACACTAGGGCACCATACCCAGCCCAGCGTAGGCCTCCCTCGCGTGAAGTCATAGACGCCGTGGCTACTGACCTGGGGCTCGAGGGCGATGATCGTGAGCCTCGCTGGTACAAACCAGCCAGCTAAGCGCTACTCAGGTGAGTGCAGCGTTGTCCTGTCATTCTCATTTCCTTGTCGACGTCTGGTCCAGATCATGATCATAACAAGGTGCGCGAGCGGCGCTCGTTACAGCTCTCGTCCTGCTGGGTGCATAGCTCGATGTATCACATCGCTGGACCCGGCCGTATTCCCTATATAGATTGAACCCCCTTTTAGAACTGCTTGTACACGACTTATGACTGCTTTTCTTCGATGGAAGTCTCACCACAATATCTGATGTGTTTACTGAATGACTGATCTGTCGTCGGTTGACCAATGGACCGAGACGAAGGAAAGAAGTGAACAGCGCCGGGTGGTCTGACCTGTTCTGCGTGGTCATTGTGAGGATCAGGATGTGCTGAGATGCTGACCATATCTAATAGCTGTGCAGGCAACCTACAAAGGGAGATGCTGCAGCGGCACGTTTGGCATGGACGGTGCAATACCATATTGTGCCATACATTTGTGGCACTTCTCTCCATGATACGATAGCTACATTCAGAGAGCGATAATGGCTGAGTTTACCGAGCTTATCGCGAATGAGTCACATAAACTCTCAGCAGGATCTTTCACCTCTACGACGCCAAGGAAGTCAGCTCAATTATCTCTACTAGGTAAGTGGCCCCGGGGGCGGTATACGAGACCTGCCTTTTTGGGTCAAGCCAGCATGCCCCTCCCCGTCCGGCGCTTGGTCGATGCCATCAGCATTCTTTCGTCATTTTGTGACACGCAATCGCGGCCAAGCACCTCGAAGGCGGCCTTGTCGAGGTTCAGAAAGGAAGCGGAATGTGGTAGGGGTGCCGGAGAGGAAATGGGGAACGAGCCGGACTCCGTGGCGGTGGTTGAGGACAGGAAATGCGCGTCACAAGTGCAACAGATAGCCGGCACAAGACGGCGCTGCGCGCTCGTCACTGCACGTGGCACGCGTGTCGTGAGGCTGCTCAGAGAACTAAAAGCGAAAATCTGATAAACTGATGTATATGTATCCTAATCAAGCACTCAGTCACTCGTCGAGTCCACACCGGAGTTAGGCCAACGCGGCTCTGCCCTGAACACAGCGGCAGAGCCCGATAAGCTAGAGATTGAGTAGAGGTACGTGTAAAACTACAGGGAGCAGGAGGGTGGGTAAGCGCAATGTACTCGACTACGTGCTGAATACGAGAGGTCAGAAACCCGACCCGTGCCGACAGTCTGTAAGGGGACTCACCGGGAGCGCGAGAGGTCAGAAACTGCCAACCGATCTCGCGCTCGCCGGTTATATACACGATCGAGAAAAGATCGAGAAAATTGAGATTCGAGGGACTCTGTAACAAAAACCGAAAAGGGCGGACCGGGCCGCTATCCGCCGAGGGTGGCGCGCAGTTCGTGCAATGGTCGCATCGCCGACGGAAAGGGAGACTGGCCATGAATTCCGCGAGAGCGAGCAGACCGTCGGCGGGGGAAGGCCCGGAAACTGTGATCGTGAGGCGCGAATAGACTTGAGTAAACAACCGTTTAAACTCGATTAATTGATACATACTGCACGTTGTGACGCGGCAAGCGCTGAGCACATCGCGAGGTGAGAGGAGAATGGGGGTGGGGGTGGGGTAAGACGCGGTGGTGGCGGGATCTCTGCGAGAGCAGCACAGTGCGTCCTTGTCAAGCAATTGCTTGACGAGGGGTGCGGGGAAGCCCCTGCAACGGAGCGGTAAGGGCTTGATGGTGGGGGCACACAGATCGAGCGGTGCAGGCTCCGCAAAGCGTGCGCGATCGCCATCGCGCCGGCGTGCGAAGGGAGAAGTGCAATGCAGAGGGCACTGCGAGCGATTTGCTCGCGCGCGCTCGACGCTCCTGCCTTTCCGCTCCCTTGCTCGCATGCCCCTTCCCCCGTGTGTCCCCTCCTTCGCGCATCCACCTCCTTCACGAATTCCCTCCCCCCGCGCGTCCCGCCAATCGTAGAGCGCTCATCCATCCCGTCTCCCTCGCCGCGCCTGCCTCCTCTGCGCCTTATTGAGGGAGCGCGCGCTGGTTTCCGCGCGGTGCGCTAGCAGAGCCCAGCAGACGACGATCCGCGCGAGGAATGGGGATGGGGAAGCGAGGTGTGGATGGGGAAGGGGAAGGGGGAGAAGCATGCTAACGACGCAAAAAAGGAGGATGGGTCGGCACCTAAGCCATCGCCGAGTCGCCTAGGGCGCACTGCGCAACCTAGGCGAGCACCTCGCGCCCTCAGACGTGCTCTGAGAGCGAAAATGGCGGAGAGGGGGGCCTTATTCGGCCCCGCTCTTGCGCATGCTGCGCGTCCTCCCCGCCACCCTCCGATCGCCATGTATATATGTAAATTAGTAAATCTATGAGCGCGGGGCGTATGGACGCACCCATTGACCTCCTCCTCGCGCGCCGAGGCATTCATCGTATAGCCCGATGTCTGCGTTATCTTGTGCGACGCGACCGCTGAGGGTGCCGGCACTTTTTGTACTGCGAGGCACGTTTGGTGAAGGGAAAGGTGGGGGAGGGGGGAGGGGTGTTGAACGCGGTACACACCCAGCGCCTCCACGCCTCCGCCTTCACCATGTCTTGTTTCGCTTGTTTGACTGTTCCTCGGGTGCAGATCGCGCAAGATTGGTGATGATTGGCATGCAGTGTGAGGGCAGTAATAAAAGAGAAAAGGAAGAGGAGGACAGAATGAGGCGGGGAACGCGGGGGAGGCAACGAAAATGGGAGAGGGTGAGAAGGAGGATTGCAAGTCGTGATGAACCGCCGGTGACACCGGTCCGATGACCGAAGAGCGACCAGCCGTGTTCAAGACGCCGCTGTGCAGCAGTGAAGCTTTTAAAGGCCATAAAAGCTGGCTGGACCAGTCTAAGCTACTCCCGGACTCTATACAAATATTTTCGTGAATTTATATGTGCAAAGACGACGACAACTTCGCTACGAAGAGGCCATCGAGCGTTGTGGCTGTGCACTGCAAACGCGATCAACTGCGCACGTGTCTCTAGCCACTGTAGAACAACGACGCAAGCACCAAATGGCAAAATTCAACTGCATAAACACCAACTTACAGGTCTCAAGAGTACGCTCGATTTTTTTTGAACGAGATCCGGCAGAAAATGGCAAGGAAATGGGGAACGGACGAGTGCGTTCCCAATTTGGAAGGTGCCGCTTGGACGTCAGCCAGTGATGAATTTCAAGGCTTTAAGACGAGCCTGGCAAGCAGGTCTCGTAAAATCCGGACAATGACCGATGATCGATCATTGCGTCGAACGCTGCTTGGCCACCGACAACCATGTCCTTTCGGGCTTGCGCATCGGCCATATTCATTGTCTTGAAATTGCTACTTCGCTAACAAGAAGACGCGTATTTGCCACTCGCACCAGTCTGAAGCATGTCTTTGTCTCATTGCTTGGTCCAGTGACCCGGCAGGCTGATAGCGGAGACTCGCGTTCGGCCCAGTCACCACTTGCTTGATGGGTATGTCGCCGCGTGCATATAAATCAGCGACAACATACGCCTCATGATCATGTTCTTCCTCCGCAACTCTCATCAGTCTTGACCATCTTCCACTATGAGCTCGCTAGGCCCGCCCAAGTACCTCTGCAGCCGCGTCATTCGCGAACTCCGACGACATGGACTAGACCGCTACCGCATTCCCCCGAATTTCTTCTCATCGAGGCTTTACCGAGACGTGCTGGACAGTCTTGACGTTTGCAATATACCCAAAGCGAGCGCTTTGAACCGTCAGCAGTGGCGCAATGTAGTGAACGCCGCGGATAGCATGCGCGCCATCGCATACCTCATGAAAGCAGGAGAGAGCGGCTCCAAAGCGGCACCGTCGGAGGCCTGCAACCGCATCGTGTCCGACTCGCTTTCTTCTTTATGGGCTTGGTCGCAGTACCTGCATCCTTTTCTGCGTAACTGTGACGAAGATGCGCTCGAGGCTGCGACGAAGCTCTACCAGTGGCAATTCCTCGACCTCGGCAGAGGTTGGCACTACGCCGCCGTCTCTGACGTTCTCCTCGCCTTGTCGCGTTGTACCGCGCCCGACATGGAGATCTCTGCGCTGCAAGCCACGCCGGGATCAGCGTCGCTCATCTATGATCTCTGGTGGTACATGGCGCACGAGACTGGCGATGCGATGCGCGACGCAGCGCTCATGTCAACCCTGGCTCTCTTCGCCTTCGACGATCCCGACCGGCATGTCGCGAGGGCGATCGTGCTGAAAGGCGCCTTTGGAGTGGAGTCGCTCGTCCGTCGGCTATGCACGCTGCTCGACGTGAAGGTCGAGAGACCGAACTTCCGCGCGATCTTCCCGTTCGTGTACCTCCTCGCCCAATGCGCGGAGTGCGACGAGGGCGTGCGGCCGTGCATGTACCCGCTAATTCGTCGTGTCTGTCCCATGCTCCGCATCGTCGACTACTCTGCAGGGGACGCGGATGAGGCGGAGGACAACTATCTGATGCTGTACTCCGGGAACTGTCTGTATCTCCTGTCGCACCTCAGCGGCGGGCTGCGCGGCACGCGAGATATCATCCGCCTGGTGCGGCAGGGTCTACTACAGGCCATGTTCAGGTATCTGAACCACTTCTCTGACCCTGTGCGGGAATTGAGCGTCAACGCCGATATTATGGAACGCATCATTTCGCCCGCGATCTTCGTCCCCTCGGTGGCGACCGCCGTGAACGGTGTATTTCAACGCTATGGCCTGTTCCTTGACCCTAGGAAGAGGGATTTCGATCCTTGGAACGAGATGCGCGTATCGCTGCACAAGATGTTGGAATTCAAAGAGACATACAAGGCAGAAAAGAAGACGATGCAATTTTGCCACAATAGACCTGTGCGTACCATCACCTTGCGAACCATAAGAATTCATCTGACGACATTCAGTGTGATAGTGTGGGCCACGGCAAGTTCAAGCGATGTTCGTGTGGCTGGGCCTTTTACTGCTCCAAGCCTTGTCAGGCTTCGGACTGGCCACACCATAGGACGGTTTGTCAGACCAAGGGTAAGTCCTGCGACCATTCCTGTCTCTTTCTGATTGCTCACAGTCCATAGTTCAAGATCCTAATGCGTCTTCCTTCCGAATCGGTCGTCCCTCCGATATTCGCTTTCTTCAATTCTACGCGTACCGTCTCCTTGCAACCCGCGACGACTTTTCGTCAGAGGGCGCGAGATCCTTCGAGGTCAATCTCACATCGGAGTACACAGAGCCAGTGATCACCGTCCTATCGGACTCGAACGCGGCGGAGGAGCGAACGGTCTCTGTCATCGTCGGCACCAGGACGGCGAAGACTAGCTTGGTGTTTCCGCTTCCTGCGGCCCGTTTCCAATAGCTAAGTTCATCAGGATGATTTGATCGCGCATGCAAGGAGACGATGCGTGCGCGATCCAGATTGAACATCATCGCCCATAGACTCGAAAACTCACGCCGTCCACAGTGGGAATCAAATCCGTCCATAGATATTCCATACTCAGTAAGCCTACAATGATGAGAAATCGATAGCCTTGAAATCGAGTGATCAGACGCGAGTACATCAAGATCCAAGCCAGGTTTGACCCTCTCAGCCAGAGCAGTACCCAACAACCTCGGGCTCGCATCTGTTGACGAAGGGCGTTAGCCGACATTCAAGCCTATCGTTACGACAGAGAGCTCACCCGCCAGCGCAGCCATCATAGAGCGTGCAGGGGTGCGACGTGTCGCTGGGAAAGGTGTCAGTAGGAGAGGTATCGCATGTGAGGAAGGCCCATGACGCACTAGCACGCATCGATAATAGTTGCAGTGTCGCCGTAATTGTAGTTTATGCCCGCGAGCGTGCCGCCGTCCACGGCCTCAACGCCCTCGATGTACACATTACGCTTGCATTGCTTGGAGCACTGATGAGGCTGCGTCAGCCACCCGGCGATGGGTTCCAGGATAACACTTCGACGTACGTTGCCGCACGAGCGATAGAGCTTGCCGTAGTCCCTGTAAAGTGGTCACTATGTGGTAAAGTTCGCGCGATGAGGAAGTAGCACGCACTCGACGTAGAAGTTGATGATGTTGACAGTCCCGCACCCGTTGTGCTGCACGACCTTGTCCTCGGCGTGGTACGCGCCGCCGCCGATAATGTTAGAGTATGAGCCGGCGGCTGAAAATTTGTTATTTCATACAGAAAGTCTCCCCCCTAGGTCGGACTGACCATCGTTCTTCTGCAAGGCAAGTTAGTACAAAGCAACTTCGCTGTCTCTAGCACTTACGATAGATATGGCGTCCTCTGAACGTGCATGATCGTGTCAGTAGAGAAGTTTCGCAGCCGCGAAAACTCGTACCGCAGACATCTTCGAACTGTTTGATAGAAAATAATCAGCCAATCGTCGAAGAACGTGTTCCATAACGCTTACCCAAACGAATCTGAGGTCACAGTCTTATTGGAGGGAACGGTCAGCGGAGCGAAGCGCTCGTAAGCACAGTGCACTCACGCCCGTCACAGTCTTCATGCATGATGCGTCAGCTTCACAGTATGAAGTAGGAGACGAGCAACTCACGGACGCCTTCAGCCTGATTTGCGCCGATGATCACGTTCTGGACTGCACGAGCGAATTAGCGCCGCGGTTCGTGCTTTGAGAACAAGATAATCGCCGTTACTCACGCGTAGCACCCTCGTGAAGGTAGAAGACTGGATAGCGCGTTCAGACAAGAATTAATGCGTATGGCCATCAAAACACTCGCCCGCGTCCTCCCAGTCTGGAAAGAATAATTAGCACAAGTCAGCGCTAAATCAACATCGCAAACATACCACCCTCGCTCTGCTCACTACCGCCATCGTCAGCGCTCCCTAACTCACATACCGCGATAAAGATCCCTCACTTGCAAGCCCCCGAACCGCGATCGTACTTCGCCCAACCGCCATCGTAGGTCTGTCCCGCGGCAATCTCGATGACCTTGCTGTTCGAGATCTGGCTAGTGGGCTGCGGGAGGTGAGCTCAATGTCAGCGCTCAGTCCTTCCGCGTCGTCGATGGGCACCGCGAATAAGGGATGAAGAAGCAACATACCACCGGCACACCGCCCTCGTACGCGTTGCAGCGCTTCACGTTGACGCTCGCCGCGTGCGCGCCGCCAGCCAGAATAAGCGCGGAGAGGAGGAAGATGGACATCGTCGAAGCCGAGAGTTGTTAGCTGAAAATCGGTAGGGCTCGTTCTCGAAGTCGAGTCCTATGGATCTGTTGCCTCGCCACCCATCTTATATACTGTCGCAGAGCATCGTCAGGGCTATCAGACTCATCGAAGAAAAAGCTCGAGCGGCAGCGGCGGACCCGTGCGCCTGAACCTCGGTTGAGCGGCCTCGAGGGGCACTGGGCCATCGCGACGGCGTGGTCGGAGAGGCTTCGAGATAGGTGGACGAGAATAAGCTCTGAGTTTCTGGGTCAAGAGTTAGCAAGGCCTCGCAGGAGAGGCATCGGGACGTACGACTTATCACACTGGGCCCGTACGATTATTTCGTCGCAATACTCAAACTGAGTCGCAAATCCTGCTCACCCTCTAGACATCACCTGACTCTTCAGGCACAAGACTCACACCTCGAAAACTCTCTGAGTCTCTCTGCACAAAATAGACGCACCGGACCCGCGCGGGCCGCGCCTATAGACGCGTCAAATAGGCACGCACTCACCGTGAGGGGATGTCACCACGGATCATCGTGAGCAGGACAAAAGGGCTCATGTGTCTCCAGCGTACTTGCCTACGAACACCCGGTGCGTACTTTGTGAATGCCCGCAAGGTGAATCGTCCCTGGCGAAAGACACTCCGTCCCTGATGAGTGGAGAGGTGAGCTTGACAGAGAAGAGTCTGTAACCCTCCCCTCGACACCCAGAAGCCTCATCCTCGGAAAAGCAGGCTCGGTCCACGCGCTGATTATGAAGAAGGCCTTCCTTGCGGCCGCCGTTGTATTCGTTCGAGGCACCGCGCATTATGGGCGTACAGGAATATCAGAAGAGGCGAGAAAGAAAGGCTTGGCATCGCATGGTCGCCGAATCACAAGATGGAAGTAAGAAGCAAGGTTAAGTTGACGGATGTTTGTGGAATGTCTGTTTGTTTGGCCCTATGGCTCTCGGCTTCGGCAACTTCCGTTGTTTGTTCTTCGTCACATCCGGTCACACCCATCCTCCTCTCCCGCCATCATGCCGCTTTACGCTGTCCCGCCTTTCGCTGACCGTCCGTCAGTAAAGAAGCACACCAAAACAACACCTGCACGGTGCAACAAATTTTCTGGCATATGCTAGGCGCCATTACAAAGCACTATAATACAGGTTACACTAAGTAGGTTACTTTCGCTCGTGTGTAGATGCTCGTCGTTCGTTCGTGAGTGCAGCAGTCCATTCGGCCGGGCCAGGTCGGGGAATCCAAGCATCCCTCGAAGCAGCAATACAGCAGCCATCATCTCCAGAGACACGCCGTCACCCGCTTACAGCTCCGTCTTCGCCTTCGCCTTCGCAGACGCCGATGACGCGCTCGCCTTCGCCCGCACGCTCGCTGACGCGGCATCCGCCTTCCCCTTCACTGTCGTCGCGTCCGCCTCCGCCCTTGCCTTTGCCGCATTGCCCTGCACAACCTCGACCACGCGCGCGAGGCCGTCCTCGGCACTTCCGACCGCGCCATTCACAATGCTGCGGACTTTCTCCCAGAGCGCGTCCGAGCGCGTCTTGCCCTGCACATAGCGGATGCGCGTCTCTTCTGCGGGCGTCAGTTCAATACGATGTCTGGTACGCCCACGAAGCATGGGCAAGGAATTACAACTCACGCAAAAGGCTCGTCCGGTCCATGCCACGGATTTTCGTGTCGTCGACGCCGTGCTCGCGGAGGTAGGCGCGCAGGCGCGCGTCGGGCCAGGTGAGATAGGACGCGGCGGTCGTCGTGATGTCATTGTACTTGGAGCTGATGAGGTTGACAAGCTCCTCGCGCTTCTTCTGCTCGTCGCTCTTCAGGTATCCGTGCTCGATGAGGTAGCTGCGGAGGTCGCTGTCGCTCCATGAGGACCAGACCGTATCCTGTGCCGTCGCGTAGTTGTCCCTGGACAGACGGTGAGCATGCGAAAGTTGGTGTATGAGAGCATATACTCACTGGACCATCTTGAGCAGCTTGTCGCGCGAGGCCTGCGCGTCCGACTTAATGACGCCGTGCGAGATGAGCCAGTTCTTCAGCTCGCTGTCGGACCAAGTCGAGTACACGTTATCCTTCGTGTCATAATAGTAGAGTTGCATCTTGTCCGCCAGCTCCTGACGGCTGGGGATGGAGTCGGTGGATGGGAGGATGCGGTGCGTTGTGAGCCATTCGTGGATGTAGGAGTCCGTCCACGCCTCCCAGATTGGGTTCGTGACCTTCGCGTATGCATCGCGCATCATGCCGAGGAGCTCATCGCGGCGCTTTTGCTCGTTGCTGTGGAGGACGCGTCAGTAATGCAACCTTGAGGCGGTGAGTCCAAAACACACCTCTTCATGTACCCATTCTCAACAAGATACGCCTTCAGCCGGGTGTCATCCCAGGTGGAGTAGACGTAGTCCTTCGTGTCGTCCACGGCGCGCGCCACGTCGTTGGTCGCCTGCGCCGCGAATGACGCGACCGACGCGCTCGCGTCATAACCGGCCGAAGACGCCTGCGACGCGTACGAGGACGCGGCATTCGTATACGACTGGTAGCGCTGCTTCGCGAGCAGGACGAGCTTCTCCCGCGGGCCCTTCGGCTCCGCGACGCCCTGCTCGGCCAGCCACTCGCGCAGCCGCGACTCGTCCCACGTGTCGAACGTCGAGTCGCGCACGTTGGCGAACGCCTGCTGCGCCGAGTTGTACTGGTCGTACGTCCACGCCTGCGCGCCGTGCCAGTTGGCCTTCACGCGCTCCCGGAGCTCGGCCTCAGTGAGGGTGCCGGTAGGCAGTGCAACGTTGTTTTCCTCGAGGTACTGCTTCAGCTGCTTCGTCGACCATTTGTTGTATTCGGGCTCTTCCGACGACCACCAGGAGGCGGACGCCGTTGTCGCGAGCGCTACTAGGAAGACTGATGAGAAGCGCATGGTGGGAGGGAGGAAAGGTGAATGAATTTTTCGAACACGACGCGCGCGTATATAAGGCGGGGGTGCGCGGGTGATGTCATTGCTGACGACCCGCCTGAGCATATACTGGGGCCTGCTCAGTGGCGACGCGCACGCCTACGCTCCTTATGACGTTCACCATAGCTCTTTCGCCTCCCGGATCCCTGTCAAAGTCCTGTGACTTGTGTTGAACTTTCGGTGGCGCAGAAAAGAGGAAAACATTCACTGACATCAATACTTGCCTAATTTGGATTTGCTTTTGTCGTGACATGTCACAGTTCGTATTGATGTTGAGCACTCCAAGCAAGCTCCAAGTCCTGCGTCTGCTCTGCGCAGGTGCGCACACATACACGTCTATCGTCAAGCCAAGCATTCTCCGGACTAGCTTGCCTGAATCCAAATCCATGACATTGAAAGCCCGCAGGCGTCGGGGGAGTAAGGGAAGGGTCCATGAAGCAAGGGTGCGTAGATGATAGTAAGTAGTGAAATGCGATAGCATATGCACGGCGTAAGTAAATAGAGCACAGATAAGATGAAGCGGGATATATGGGACATGGGGAATATAGTGGACGTGACAAAGGGGAGGGGGCCGTGGCGAGGAACCGGGACCAGGGACCGGCCATAGTGAGGGGAAGAGGACGTAGTGAGAGGACGGGCGTATGAGACATGGCGAGAGAGTATGGGACGTGGGTAGAGTATGAGACGTGGTGCAGTGGGATATATGGAACGTGAGTGCGAGGGGAATATATCGACATGGTGCGGGGTATACGGCAAAGCAAGTATACGGGGCACGGAGGTTCGTACGCCTGGCACAAGGCGTGTACACCCAGGCGAAAAGAAGCACGACTGGGCGAAGAGCTGCACGCGCCAGGCTATGAGTCTTCGCCCATCTCCTCTTGTATTCGCCGCTCGATGGCCATACACTGGGATAGCAATTGCACGATGACGGCGCGCCCGCAGGCATTGGTGGTGAAGGCAGACTGCAAAGCGAGATCAGTAGACGTTCACTTGACCATGAGCCATATACGCACCTTCATCAACGCCGCCGCATTCGGTCGCACCGCCGCAGGCTCCGAGCACAATCTCAAGAACTCGTGGAAGGCAGGGGAGAACAGCTCAGGCTGTCGCACGGCTGGCCAGCGCTCCGTGAAGACCTGCGTTTCCGCGAACGGCGGCTCCGCCTGCGCTGTCTCCCATACCGTCGCGCCTAGCGACCAGATGTCTGCTTTCAGGGGGTCGTAGGGGCCGCTGAGGATGCGTTAGGTGGACGATAGTCACTCGAGGTGAACGACTTACACTCGCATCTCTGGCGCCTGCCAGTAGACGACGCCCACAACTTCTGAGCTCAAAGGTGCTTCTCGCGTGACCTTGACGGATTGCGAGAAGTCGGCTATCCAAAAGTCAGCAACACTACGAGGAGCACGCAGGACTGCGACTCACTTATCCTGACTACACCAGAGTTGTTGATCAGCAGGTTGTCCGACCGAACGTCGCGGTGCGCAATTCCCTGCTTGTGCAGATAGTCCAACCCAAGCAGGATCTGCAAAACATCGATCAGCCCCTCCCCATGAAGAACGAACCAGACCCCACTCACATCCCCCGCAAACCGCGCAATCATCCTCTCCTGCAACATCAGCCCCTCATTGACCAGCTCGATCACATCCGCCAGACTCCTCTCCATCAAATCCATCCGTATCCACAGCATATCCTCCACCACATCCACATACACCGCTTCCATCCCCAGTATGTTCTCGTGCGCCAGCCCACGCATCAGCCGCAGCTCGTGCTGCAGGTCGAGCAGCTTCTGCGACCCGTGCGGCGTGACCGCGACCTGCTTGATCGCGACGAGCGTGCGCTGCCCGGCGGCGCGGTCGTGCGCGTCGCGCGCGGCGACGGAGGCGGGCAGCCGGAGCTTGCCGACGAAGGACTCGACGAGGTGCGCGGCGAAGACGGAGCCGGACTCGCCCTCGGCGATCTCCTGGAGGTCGACGTAGGCGGCGCGCGGGTCGACAGGCCCGTCGATAAAGTCGGCGAAGGGCGCGACGGCGTCGGCGAGCCAGCCATGCACTCGCGGCGTGGGTGGTAGGGGTGCCTCAGCCTGTGGTGCCTCTTGTGCAGTCGGTGGCGTCGGAGAATCGCTCACGACGATCTTGGGCTTTGGGACGACCTCGACTGCACCCGAGCTCCCACTATCCCGATTTGACGAGAAGGTGCTCGCAGTTGGGGACGGGAGATACGCTTGCTTGCGCGCGTCTGCCGGGTTCAAGTAGTACACCTGCGCATCCCCGTCCAAATCCGTCACCGGCGTCGGGTAGTCCGCCGAGCTCGACGAGGAGCTCCCGTCATCACTGCTCCCAAACGTCGAGCCCGCGGGCGAGTTGCGCGCCGGCGGCGACGGCTGCGGCGACGGCAGGTCTCCCGGCGACTTGCTCAACAGCAGAGGACTTGGCGCAAGCTTCGTCGTCTGCCCGTCAATCACGTTCGCCTGCATGCGGCGCGCGACGGAGGCTTGGGTGATCGTTGTCGGTAGTGCGTGCGCCATGATCGTGCTCGTCGATATTGTCGACGCGACGCTCTGGCTCGAGAAGCGATTCTCGCGGTCGCCAGCGCTGAGAAGCGAGTCGTCTTCGTCCAGGCTGTCTTCCCGTTCCGCGACGACCTTCCCGTCCGGTCCTATACGGTACGCGCTCGCCCTGTTTCGCGGCGGAGACAAAGAGGCGCGCGAGTCTGGGGCATGAGCCGACTGTAACGGCGCTGGTGTAGGAGGCTCTGCCATCGTCGACTCCCTCCCGTTCATCTGACTCCACAGGATTGTGGCACGATGATCCTCCCAATCGCCCGAGAACGTCCGCGGCTCCTCCTCTTCTTGCACTTTCGACAGACGACTGCGAGACGTTTTCCGTTGTACTGTATGCGCCGCAGCATCGCCGTCAGACGCTGGCGGGTCATTTGACGGCGAAGGATTGCGGTCGGTTGACGCAGGTTGTGTGGTCGGCGCTGAAGGCGGTAACGAAGACGACGAATAAGTCGCAGACGTGGGTGTTGGGCCAGACGTAGCGCTCAGAGGGCTCCCGGTATCCGGTATTGACGACAGTAAAGACTGCGACCAGGATGATAGGTCGTCCCCAAGTCCTAACCCTAGCCCAAGCCCGAACCCTCCAAAGTTATCCTCATGTATACTCAAGCGCGGCGGCGCGGCTGAGAAGCGTTTTGAGCGGCGCTTCGCTGAGCGTGCCGAGTCTGTGCTAGGGCGACTGTCCAGAAGCGTGGGTTGCCGAGGCTTAGCCGCAGGACTGCCTGTTGGCGTCAACGACTGCGACTCGTCTTCCGTTGGACTGCTGCCATTCGTCGATGAGGAGGCCAGTAATGATGGGTCCTTCACATCCGTAGGGAAGTGCTCAGCAGAAGGAGTATACGAAGGCGGTGGCGATCCTGTAGGCGATGGCGGTGATGCATTCGCGACACGGAAGGTTGACCTCTGCCTCGGAGGCGTATGTGGTCTTGATACATAACTTCCCGCCTGCGATCCCGGCGGAGATGGTGGTGGTGCCCGCGAAGGTTTCATAGGACTACTTTCGTTGATGTAGATCCTAGGAGCTCCATTTGGTGCACTCTGACCCGTCCCAGTCGACTCCGCGGAGTACGACTCGGCCGACATGGACATCGCATACGAAGAAGAGGACGGCTGGTGCGAGTGACTCGAGCTTGTAGGCGCATATCCTGGACGTGGCCGGTGTGGCGAATCATGAGGACCGGGTAATGATGCGACAGAAGAATCCGGGGAAGCCACCAGAGCGGGCGCAACGATCGGACGTGACTGCGCACTCGTGATGGAAGACTGGGAATACTGCCGTGGCAAAGTGGTGGAGCGTGGGCCGATAGGAGATGGGGAATCGGTGCGAGGGATGTTGAGGGAGGGTGAGTAGGCGCGGTCTGAGGTGATACTGTTCAGGCTGGCTTGCTGCTGCTGACTGGCGAGCCGCTTCTGGTTGATGACTGCAATCTCTTCGGGAGAAAAGCCTCGATTTTGCAGTTCGGCCAGCCACGAAGGCGGCAGTTGGCTCATCCTGTGATACGCGTCAATTACTGGCACCACAACTCGAGCCTGGGCCGTACCCCTCGTCAACATGTAGGTTGTGCTGGAGGATGTCAATACCATGCTGCTTGTCAGCAAGCATAATCCACGCACCTGGAAGTTCCACGGCAACGATATCCCGTCATCGGACTCCTGATGCATCGAGTGCATGTCGTCCGCGGTCGATGTCGCGCTCCTGATCGACGGCGAACGCGGCGTGCGGCGCCCGAACCGGAAGAAGCTGCCCGCCTTGCTCGTGTGCGACCCCGTCTCCGGGTTGTACGACATCGCGGACGCGGCTGACGTCGACACGAGCGACACCGCGGACCCGTTGCTGTGAAGCGGCTTGCGTGCGAACGGCGCGTTCGGGTAAATCGAGTCCATGGGCGTCCCCGGCTGCGACGTCGGCGAGAGGGACATCATGGACCGGTTCTGCATGTAGTACGGGTCCTTCGGGGGCGGGGGAGGCGGCCGCGCGCCGTCCTTGCTCTTTGGCTCCTTGCTCGATCCGAACTTGAAGACCTTGAGCGTCGAGAAGCGCGAGCTCTTCGACCCGATCGAGCCGGAGGGGTTGGTGCAGTTGGGGCTGGACATTCTGATGGGTGTTCAGGAGACAGAGACGTAAGGAGCGCGCCGCGGGGCGATCCCCGGCCAGCGCAGAAGAGCGTCGGTGTCAAGCTATATTGGCGTCGGGCTAGGTTGCGATGTCGTGTGCCGCCGCGGGTAATAATGATAGTGCCGCAGAGCAGTAAAGGAGTGTCTGTACGCGCGTCGTCGACGACGGCGACGATGAGGAGACGACCGTTAAGTACAAAAGCGCACGCGCCCGCCTTCTTTTCCTTTTTGGGAGATTCGCAGCTCAATCCTTGCCACGTGATAGCCCTCAGAATCCGTCCCCACTGCAGTTTTGCGTTCCACCGCGATAAACGGTAGCGAGAATGAGACTTCACGGAGACTTGGGAAGCAAAGGACTGGATGGAGGCATACATATAACTGAACGAACGTAACACTATATTTATCCACGCCCAGCCTTCCGAGTTTTTGGTTTTGGGAACTCGACCGGCGCTGACAGAACCGCCCGCTTCTTGTCGTCGGCGACGCCCAGGCGCGCGCGGTCCCGCTCCGTCATCTTCCCAATCTTGCATCCCATCGTCTTGAAAAGACCATTGACCTGCGCCTGCGCCATCTGCAGGTCTGTCGCAAGCTGCGCGCTGTCTGTGGCGCAGTTGTCCACGCGCAGACACAAAGCGAACATGTGCGTGAGCAACTTCGTCTGCATTGCACTCGTTGCCTGCAGCTTGGGGTCCCCAGGACCTGCGTCCCGCGCGCTCTCCGTGAACCGCGCCGCGAGCCCATCCACAACCACCGCGGGCACGCCCGGCATCTTGGTGTGCAGCTCCTCCTTCGCCACGCCGCGCCCTGAGAGCAGCCGGCGGAAGGCCATCATCGCGGACACGTAGAACACGATCTTGAGCACGCGCCGCCGCGCCTTGCTCGACAGCTCCTTGTCCTCGAACGCGCGCCGCAGGTGGTGCTGCAGCCACTCGGAGCGCCACGCGGGGAGCAGCGCGCGCCGCTCTGCGAAGCCCGCCGCCTGCTCGAACGCGCTCACCGACAGCGCCTTCCACTCGGGCTCCGGGATGACGCCGTGTAGCGGGTACACGTCCATCGGGTCGTCCGTCGCGGCGTCGTACGGCGGCACCAGCCGGTTCGCGTCCGCGGCCTCCTTTGCCTCTTCTGCGAGGGAATGAGCATGATCAAGCATGCGAAGTCGTCGGACGTACCCTTTGTGAGCAAGTTTTCGGCCCCCTTGTCGATGCCCTCCATGACATGACCCATCACGCCCTCCATCGCGCCGACGTCGACTTTATTGCGCTCCTGCGCGCGGATCGCGGCCTTGGCCTTCTTCGTGCCAAACGTCTCGCCTAGGTTGTTGCGAGCTTCACGGAAGGCGCGCGCAGTGGGTGCGGGGGCAGGGGGAATAGACTTAAGTGCCTTGACGGTGTGGCTCAGGATTTGCGGAGTGAGGGGAGTTGGGTATACGGTTAGTGATGATGTCCTGGGATTGTGGATGGCGACGAGGTATCTGGAGTATATATGAGCTTGGGAATGTTAGAGTGGGCATAGTGGCGCACCTGCATCCTGCCTCCGACGCCTTTTCTGTCTCCTCCATGTTCGTAGTGAACTCGACCTTGTCCGTCTCCCCTCCGATGAAAAGGCGATCGGCGTCGTCCCCCTTCGACACCTTCGGCTTCTTCACATTCCATGATCTGAATGGGGTCGATCCGGGGGGTATGAGGGATGGGAAGCAGGCTACACCGTGTCAGAGAGAGTTATCTGGAACGAGGGAATGCGAGCGTACCGAGTGTTGGCCCAATGGTGCTGGCGTCTGCGGCTGGCTGAGATATGTTGATGTTCAGGGTCTCGCCTGTGGATTCTGCTCGCTTGCGCTTCTTGGTATGCGTAGCAAAAGACATCTTCGACTCTCCGAGTCCTCGAACTTTGTCAAGAACCGTCAAGATCGAGCCGAGTTTGGAGATTCGCCACGTGCAAGTACACGTGACAGCACAAATTAGGCGCCCGCCGGGAATGGTTTACTTTCTTCCAACTTCAAGTCATCTCATTTTTCATGGCCTCTGAACAAGCACCACCTGGAGAGGGTTCTACCTCTGAGCGCGCACCGACGTCTGGGCTTGTGATGAGGACATGGTTTGGGACCGATTCGTCGACAACGCAACCCCAGGTTCAGCATCACAACCCGCGCTCAGCTGCCAGAGCAGCAGCTGTGCAGAAGAAGAAGTTTGTAGCTGCTACCTGAGCTCTAGTACAAGCTGACCAGATTGTGGCTTAGACCACAACTAGAAACTGCTCAGAATACAAATACGTACCGTGTCATCCACCCGTCAAGTACGATAGGGAACACCCAGTCGCAGGCGATGGCGCCACCGCCGATCCCGTCTCATGCACCTTATCTTCCTGCTCGTCGGATGGACCATCGTGAAGTGCAAGTCCCGCGCGTCACTGGAAAACGTGCTACGGATACTCGCGACAGAGGTGAGGGCATTCCTGTATTCACATTTCTCGCGCATCACCGTGCTGATTGCGTAAAGATGCCGAATCCTCCACGGCGTCTGCGTCTACATCGCAACAAAGCGGCCAGGTCTCTCTGAACGCGAGCACAAGCGCGGGACATATAGGCAGTAGACCTGGTGGTTCATACACACAAGTGACGCATGAGCAACCAAATCAGCAGCCTATTGCTACAGATCTGCGGCTTTCTCAGCGTCTCCGCCGTAAGTTTTTCAGTCCAGCGCTCGTAGTGATTGCTCATGGGTGCATGTCTCAGTCGATCCCCTTGCATCATCAGGTCGACTTCGCCCTGCATCGTGGACATCGTCAAGCTGTGAGTGGCCTATTACAAAGTGTCAAATGGAGGATCTCACGCACCCAAAGCGCAATGTTCGTCACAGTCTGCCGCCCGTTTGCCAGAAATCGTGCCCACAGAGGGTTTCCCCGAGGATGATATGGACATCGACGGCCTTGAAAGTATATCCATGCAAGGAACCGGCACAGGCAAATATCATGGTGGAAAAGGAACAACTGTGCGTACACCCCAATGATGTCGCCAATGACGCGTCTGACATGGACCCAGGGCCAAGGGACGACTAACGCAAAGGAAGTCAACATGCACGCGGAAAATGGCTTCAACGCTGGCTGGCGGCGCTTCGGCCCTGTTGGCAGGGACATTGCGGACTATGTCTCGCACTATCCATCCACACCGAAAATCGACTGGCCGTCTGAGCTGACGACAATCGCGCCCTTCCTCCCGGACGAACGCTTCGCAGACGAAGTGAGGAACAAGCTGCAAAGGGTCAGTCAACGACGACACCGCGCCTCCCTGTGGCATATCTAATTCGTATGCAGCACCAGAATTATCTCGAGAACGCGACGAAGAAGTTTCGCAGTTCAAGGGAGCGTCCGGACCTATGTATGCATGTGCCGTACAAGGATGCGCGCGACGCCATGAGGCAAATACGGGAGTGCATGAAGAAGGGTATCCCTCTTGCCTTCGATGACTTCCCGGACTCCGTCCTTTTTGCTTCTACGCGGAGCAGTGCCGCTGATGGTGACCCCTTCATGGACCCCATTCGATGGAGCCAAGATTACAACAAAGGCAACATAGGCGCGTGTCTGCCCACGCCGCGCACATTCAGAGGTAAGGCTGTGATGATATTCCAGGAAGCGAACGCTATTGACATGATATACGCAGACTCAGCATTGCGAGAGGCTAGAAACTCGCGTCCGGTCGTCACCGCCACTCTCTCAGACTTCAAGGAGTGGCTGAAGTCGCCGTGCATCATACGCGGTATCTCGGACGTGCCGTGCGGGCTGCGGCAAGCAGACGATATCACAGAGTGAATCGCACGTACTTACTCGGGATGGCCAAAGTCAACTGACAACCGCTCAGCCGCATCTCGGACAATGTCGTCCAGAATCGCCAAGACAGGTTCGGAAAAGGCTATCGCGGGCATCGCATTATCGTCCACAGCATGATGAGCAACGATTGGTTCGATGTATCCACGGCCGGTTTCTTAACGTTCGGTCACATCGACTATAGCGGCGTGGCTAGAACCGTTCATGTGCGCGGCAGTGGGATGCAACAGATCATCATCTTCTCCTCCCGAGCACTGCCAATCGCGCCTTCGGACGCCTCGCGAGAGGAACGCAAAGAACTTCAGAAGCAGCTACTCACCGGTATTACCGAGCTGGCCCAGGCGGCAAACAACAGCAATCTCGAAACGCGCGCAGAGGCGCGGGCTCGCAAAGGCAAGGCAGCGGAAACGGGCTCCAAGGACGGAGATGTCCCGTCGACAAGTTCGATTGCAAATCCAGACAAGATAGACGGATGCATCCTCGAGCTTCGGCCAGGGATGAAATTGTAAGTCATATATAGGCGTGCGGGCATGTGTGATGGCTGATATTCCTTTTCACTAGGTACCAGCCCTCGGGAACAGTGTTCGCTACCTATACTCCTGTTCCCACCGCGACCGCCGGGAAACGTTTCTTTACCTATGGCGACCTCCACCGTGTCGAGCTATTTCGCAGGGTCCAGTATTCGAAGGATGGACGAAAGAGGAATGAGCACAACTGCGGCGTGCAGCTCACGCTGATGGCGATGGCCGCCGGCCTTCCATCGCGAACCGCGAACAAAGAAGGCAAGCTCACCCATCTTTGAACATCGCAGTGACCTGACGCTACTTCTCAGTATTCTTGAGAAAGCCGATGATAGCACTCGCACTCATGCTCACGCGGCCGGCGGACTATATCGCGCCGATAGAGCCGCTGCATGACCTCAGCGGCATTCGGGAAGAACAGCAGGAAGATGAGGATGAAGAACAATTCAAGGAAAGGCGCAAAGCGAAGGAGCGCCTGCGCCGCGAGAACCAAGAACGGCGCGACGAGGTCGAGATGACCGAGCGGCTGAGGTCGAAGCGGTGGGCGGACAACGGCTCGGCCTTCGAACGATTAGCTTATATGGTCGCCGTACGCATTCTGCACGCTTGTGCTGGACGATACAAGGACGACGAGAAGGTGGAGCTACCGGGTCCTGAGTATATTATGGAAGGCGCTCGTTGGGACGACCCAGGACTTCCGCTGGAGCTCGGAATGTACCTAAAGGAGCTACTCGAAACGCACGTCGATATCCTATGGAAGGGACGGCTCAAGCAGGGCGGGGCAGGCTCGGACTCGGAAGACAGCGACAGCGAAACTTCGTACCCTGGCAGTGATTGAGGGCGACAATAATGCTGGTTACAATTTGGTATGTACAAATATACTTTATCACCTTCCTAACTCATATGATTTTGGCATGAAGAGCATCGACGAGAATGAGGAGGGGAAGATGCGGTCCAATTTTTACAATAGGCGTTGGTTCACGAGACAACCACGTGCGAACTCGGCAGCTACTGCCGACCGACGCAGACTTGTCTCTTAATGTCATCTACAGCACCTCTTTGACCATGAACGTGGAAAGGAGCCCTTTTTTCAAGGTCTCAATGCGCTGCTCCTCATGTTGTCAGCGAGATATCAATCATCGCGGACTCGAACAGGCGCATCGATGCCGTCCTGCAACGCTCGAATCGATCATCCGTCGTTGGGTGTTTGGCTACGATCTTAGGCCGACATCAGTGAAGGACGCACTGGAGTCTCTCCATCATCTCTACCTAACTACCCATTCTATCGGACATGAAGCTCGCCTCTCCAACATATCCAAGAGGTGAACAACGTAAGTTAGGCCTCACGTACTTCCGTCACAGTCTGCGCTAGCTAACAGCGTTTCCGAGTCATGAAGGCAGCTGTCTGTCTTTGTAACTGCGCCCTCATCTCATTGTCATGTCTGGCTGCCCTACTCGCACCGCAAATCCGCTTCCGCCACCGGAATTTCTCGCCACAGTAGCATCGCCTTCGCCCTCTGAGTAAGGCCGGGACTATGTACGTGTGCCCGAAACGGGGAATCTGACGAGGTAAGTATATCGCTCAAGATATCGCCTTTGGTTAGCCAACCTGATCTTATGCTCGTCGGGTCCATCGGTATGGAGGATGCGATCTCCCGACCTCATCGAGGTTTTGCCAACACCGTACCTCACGCTAAGTCTCCGTACATTCGCCAGAAATTTCATCGCAGATTATGTCCAACCACTGTGCTTATTCACTCGTGATTCAGGCCCTTGAATTAAGGCGGAACATGAAGAGAACATCGTAACGGGCGAAACCCCATCGCATGCAAATGCTGTCTTGGAGGACCTCTCCACCAAATCTGCAACTACCGCGGCACTCGGAGCGCTCGTCGCTTACGAGTGACACGGTAGAGCAAGACCGAGGACTTGCTGTAGGCCCTCAAGAAAATTATCGATCACTCTGCCCCAGCGATCAAATCATGACTCTTTGTCTTCCACTAACCTTCCAAGGTAGGAGAATATATACGCGGAAGTATGCTTGACAGAGTACACGCTACGGTCGGTTGAGACGCGCGCGCCCAATACACATCCTCCAATGGCGCGCTTCGGGCTACAGTCTGGTCTGAATTCCCGGCTATCTCGTGGATCCAATCTCATGTCGTCGCGTAATCGGCGTATGATGCCGGTGGCGCTTGTTCACTCTATGTCTGAATACGAGAGGTGCGTACCAATGGAATTGACATAGGCGCCTGTCTGATTAGCGCCTGCAGAATTTCAGCGATGGATAGCAATGGGCGCCGCAGCGAAGATACCATTTACGCGCTTGACACACTAACGCGATACATTCTACTGCAGAGTGGCTTGGGCGGCTATGTGTCGATCCCCTGCATCCCACGCCGCACAAGTTCTAGCGCGAGAAAATCATGCCTGTTCTGCGCTCTGTCCGGGAGCAGGTGCGCGTCTTCTGCTTCAAATTGATGCCTACCGTCTTACACACCATCCCGGAATGCGCGTCCTGACACCGCCCATGCTGCGAGGGTGGGCAGGTGCTGATCCTTCACGCTCGGGCCTCTTCCCAAGAAAGCTAGCTCGGGGGGTTGAACGCTCTCGGCCCCGTGTCAATTTCATGCCTAGCGGGAATGCTTCCGCGCCCATGTCACTGATGCCCGGCCAATATGTTGCGGACTTGGTATAAAAGCCGGTAGGATCGTCGAACTCTGGCGGCTTCATCATCTCTTCCTCTCCGTTCGCGGTATGGCTATCGACACGGATACTATTGTGGTAAGCGCCCGACCCATCATCGTGCAAGGGTATCTCCTGATTGAGCTTTCCAGCCCTCTTCGACAAAGGTTCTTGTTATCGGAGGCGGCCCCGCAGGCTCTTATGCGGCTGCTGTGCTCGCGCGCGGTACGTATAGCGTCCCGTCATCATGCAACGTTGCATTGAGATGGAATTACAGAGGGCTTTGAGGTCACCGTCCTCGAGCGCGACCATTTTCCCCGGTACCACATCGGCGAGAGTATGCTCCCTTCACTGAGGTCTTTCTTGCGGTTCATCGACGCCGAGGACAAAGTCGCTGAGCGCGGATTTGCTGTCAAGGTACGTGGTCAGCGGTAGTAATTCAGTGGCATTGACCCGATTGCATTCATCAGCGTGGCGCTGCCGTTAAGTTGCACCAAAATAAACGAGAGGGCTGTGCGTGTACATATCCCCGTCGTCTACCCACTGCTCACGTGCTATACAGATACCGACTTCTGCAAGCCGAACCCCGACAACTGGTCGTGGAACGTGGTAGGTAGCATCTCCCTCTATGCCGGGACGTATGCCCATCAATCTTTCCAGATACGTTCAGAGTTCGATGAGGTCCTACTTCGCCATGCCGCATCATGCGGTGCCAAAGTCTTTGAAGGCATTCGCGTCGACGCCCTCATGTTCTCCTCTCCCGTTGATCGCGACAGACCTCACACTGCTCATCCCATCGCCGCGCAATGGACGCGTCCCTCGGACAGGACCAACGGTGTAATTTCCTTCGACTGGCTCATAGACGCGTCCGGACGCAACGGCATCATGTCCACAAAGTATCTCAAGAGCCGTACCTTCAATCCGAACCTGAAAAATATTGCGCAATGGGGCTATTGGCGAGGCGGAGGCATGTACATGCCCGGTACCGATCGCCACAACGCGCCTTTCTTCGAGGCCCTGACAGGTGCGTTCCCCTGACTTCCGATACGCTTGCGCTAGTTCTGACATACCGGGTAGATGAGAGCGGCTGGGCATGGTATATCCCCCTGCACGACGGCACTATATCGGTGGGGATAGTCGAAGCCGAAGACTGCAACCGACGCAAAAAGAATGAGGTGAAGGCCGGATGCGCTTCGGACGACGCGCTCCATGCCCACTACTTGCGCGAGCTTGAGCTTGTCCCCAACCTACGACGGCTCCTCGGCGACGCGACCTTTGCGGAAGACAAGGGCGGCGTCCGTACGGCGGGCGACTACAGCTATAACTCAAAGGCGTACGGCGGTGTAAATTGGCGTCTCGCGGGCGACGCGGCCTGTACGTGAACCTGATCTGGTCGCTAGCCGCGATGCTGACATTGACTTTCATTCCCTTTAGCGTTCATCGATCCCTTCTTCTCGTCAGGCATCCATCTTGCACTCACTGGCGGGCTATCGGCGGCCAGCACGATTGCAGCCGTAATCCGCGGCGACTGTACGGCGAAGCAGGGCTTGGAATTCCATCATTCCAAGGTCGGGACCGCCTTTACGAGGTATGCGATTGGATGAGTGACTACAGTGTTTATTGACGCTGTTCTCAGGTTCCTATTCATTGTCTTGGGCATCTATAAGCAGATTAAAGCCCAAGAGGTACCGGTGATGTTCGAGGTCGACGAGGATAACTTCGACCGTGCCTTCCAGTTCCTTCGTCCTGGTGAGTACCACACGCTTGCTCATCATGCGCCTTCTTCTTACCCTTTACGTAGTCATTCAGGGTGCTGCTGACACCGACGCCGGCGTCAGTCAAAGCGAGCTTCAGGCGACCATGACCTTCTGTCAGAACATATTCTCAGACTCGCAGTCACCCCACGCGCGCGACAAGGTCGATCTCCTCGTGCAAACAGGCGCGGCCAGCGACATAAAGCGCATCGACGAGTTATCAGGAGGCGACGAGGAGGTCAAGAATCTCTTGCTGAGAGTGAATGCGCGCAAGGCTTTGCACGACATGTACGAGTGCAAGCGATACTTCGGTTCGGAGGTCCTGGGTGGCTTCAGTGTACGCATGGAGAGAGGATCACTCGGCCTCGTTCGTGCTTTCTCAGTCTAATGTGTCCCGAACGAGCATCCAAAGTAATCATTAGCCTCTGAATACGGTATTACATTATTGTAGACTCCCTAATTCGCGTTTCTGTCACCAAAATAATACAACATCATGACGCAGATAGTCCATCCTTCTCGCTCGCACTGACGACCTTTAAGCTCTGCAACGCTTCCACTCGTTTGGGCTGTAGATGCAGCTTCGTCCGCCGTTCGAGTTTCTTTTTCTTCAACTTCGTCTTACATCTTTCGCAAAGAAGCCCTGATAGAGCTGGACGATGACAAGCGGGGTTACTGCATTCTTTGGCGGTTGTAGACGGTGCGAGGGCGGCGTCGCACTTCGGATCAAGCTCCTTCACGTCGTGTGAGGACGACGGGTGGGCATCAGACGCAGCCTGATCATCAAAGCCGCCTGAAGTCCGTCGCCTTTTGGGACTGATATCCTGCACAAGCCGATGTCAGTAAGGAAAAAGTGCACTGCAGACGACAAAATACCTCGTTGTCTGCATCACGACCTTCGCGTCGTGCAGGTATGACCGCCCTCTCAGAAAGACTGCCGTAACCCTCATACACAGCGCTGGGTGGCGCTGGCGGGACCAGGGCGTTCAGCGCTGCCCCCTCCGAGTCGCGGTGTTCGTCCCGAGCGGCTCCTCTCTTCCCGGCTAGCCAAGCGAGGGTTGCCGACGGCGGAGAACTGGATTCGCCAGGACCATCATGACGCTGGCTTTGCCACTGCTGATGATACTGGCCTGGCTGCGGATAGTCCCTCGGATAGTCGGAACTCCACTCGCTCCGAGATCGACTGCGCTCTGCATGCTCTCCATTGGACAACGTTGTGCTTCCGTCGTCATGAGCTGGATCGGGGGATGTCTGGGAGGTAGACGCTTGAGTTTGAATAACAGCCAGCCTCGTCGACGCGGTATCCTGCGTGTTGCCCACCGCCTCGCCCGTGCTCGAGAGTTGCTTGCTCGAAGATGATAACTTTCGTGACGCTGCTGACCTGCGAGACGTCCGAACCGTCTCCTGACTGGTGTCTGTCTTGTTCGCTGCGTCGACGTTACCCGCTGATGACGATTGTTCAGGTGCAGGTCCAGAGGCAGGTATTGGGTCACCAGTGATCCCAATGCCGGCAGAGGAGGATGGCGTAGGCGTATGTCCCGCATTGGTTGGTGCGCAACATGAATAAGGACAAGGCGCCGGATACGCGTACGGATAAGGGGACGGACACTGTCCTGCGGTCGTTGTCCCATCAGTGGATGTCGGCGGAGGGTACGTTGCATAGGCATAGGCATAAGGGTAATGCGGCGGCGGATAATAAGACGTCGATGGGTAAGCATAGCCAGGTGATGATGTCGGTTGTGCGCTAGGCGGAGCTTGGGAGGAATGGCTCGCATAATGATGAGAGTAAGCACCGCCAGGCGCAGGCGAGTACGTATATGCGACAGGTGTCCAGCCAGCATAAGGAGGGTATGTTGCTAACGTATAGGTTGCAGATGGGGTAGCAGGCTGACTTGCAGGAGCAGTGGCATCCGTAGAGGGGCTCGTTGCGGGAGGACCTTGCTTGGAAGCCTCGACAGTCGGATGACTGAAGGTCGATGGCGTAAAGCTTCGGCTGGAAGACCACTTCAACGAACCAGGAGGGTCTGGTTCCGTAGGCGATGCTTGAGACGGACTAGCCGGATGAGGAGCGGAATCTGGCGCGCGACCTCGGGCAAAGGCTGGTCGGCTTGCGGTCGAGGAAGACGGAGCACCGATGGGCGGTGTATACCCCATATACGATGGCGAAACATACACCGATGGCTGATACGTTGCGTCCCTCGAATAATACGGGTACACATTCGTCGACGGGCCAGTCGGCCAGGTGCCAGAAAACGCCTTCGACACCTCCCCGCGAGCTTCTGCTTCCTTGCGAGCCGCCTCTGAGGCCTTATCCGCCTCGAAGCGTGCCTTGGCGCTGAGCTTCCGCCTCGCGCGTTCTCGCTGGTATACTCCGTTTGGCGGGGGCCATGGAAACTTGCTGAAGCGGTCTCGAGTGGACGAGGTATTGGAGCGAACGGACGTTGAAGGCGAGTTGCTAGTCGAAGCGCCCGGCGTGGCGGTCTGAGGCGGATCAATGTCCATCGAGCCCTCGTCACGAAAATCGGCGTCCGCTTGCTCTCCCGTCGATGTCCCCTCCCCTTGCTCGCGCTCCCCTGCATCCTCCACATCAGATTCCCCGCATTCCCCGCCTTCCACAAGCGGCCCCTGCCAGCGGCCCTCCCTCTGCCGCTTGCGACAGAGGTCGCACATCCGCCACCTCTGCTCAATGTCCATCAGGTTATAACACCCCGGGCCCGAGCACACCTGCCTGCGCTTCTGGTCCGCGATCTTCTTGTGCGACTTCTTCTTTCGCTTGCGCTCGGGCCTCTGCTTCGTTGGGGTCGCAGATGCGTCTGCTGTAGCCATCGTCGTGGCGTCGGTGGACGTCGCCGCCGAGGCTGGTTGTGTCATCGGGGGTGGCATCGACGAATGCTCGGTCGCAGGATGATAAGCGGTTTCGTCCTGTCCCACCGACTCCGGAGCTGCGCGCATAAGCTCCTCCACCACCCGCATCTCATCCATACTTTCATCGCCCGCACCATCCACGTTCATTTCTTCGCCCATCGCAGTCGCCTCCCCGCCCTCCGCTGTCATCTCACTCGCCGCTCCGGTCATTCCAGTTGTCGCCACCGCCATCCCTTCACCGTCAATAACCCCCTCTCCACCCTTCGCCGTCTCCTCCCCCAGCACGTCATCCGTCGTCATCGCGCCCTCCGCCGCCATCCTCCTCAGCGCCGCCTGCACCACGTCTGGCATGTTCGCCGCGCCCGACGTCAGCGCCGAATCTGCCGCACCGGGCGTCAACGCCGCATCCGCGTCCGGCCCCGCCTCCTTCGCCGCGCGCTCACGCACGCGCTTCAGCGTGCTATGGTGCCGGTTCTGAACGCGGTGTTGTACGCAGCTGGGATTAGTAGTCAGTACATCATTTGGAAGTTGGTATGCTGGTTCCGACACAAGTGGGTCGCACAGATTGGAAGGCTGTACACTCACCGCTTATACTGGTACTCCCTTGGAAGGACCTGATGACAGTGCGAGACGGTGCACATCCGCACGGCGGGCGACGCCGCCTGGTACGGAGAGGACGAAGGACTGAAAATGGTAGCACCTGGTGTTGTCGCCATGTCGATAGGCTGAGGATCAACGGAGCTCGTCGTCAGATCATGGGTGACATTGGAACCGCTGCCGTTAGCCTGCGCGTTGTGATCGCCAGCTTGTGCACTGTTGTCGCCGACTTGAGTGCAATTACCTCCGACTTGAGGGCTGACGACCTCTACATTTCGATTGGCCAAAGCCGCAGACGACCGCCTGCGCTCACTGAGCGGAATTCTACTGTCGACGATTGCCTTCTCCCAAGCGTACAACTCGTCTGCGTTCTCTGATAATGCCTGCGCGAGATGGTCATTTCAGTAATCGTCCGTACACCATAGCGCACGTCTGCAGAGGGAGGAGGGTGAAGTATGCATTACGCAAGAAGTAGGCGACAAGGACTGCAAAACAGCAGAGATCACTCACAGGCATCCCCGCCGCCCGTCTTCTTGCATCCTCCGCCGCGCGCAGCGCTGCGAGCTCCCTCTCCAGCTGCTCGCGCTCCGACTTCCACTTCGCGCGCTTCGTCTCGCCGTACTTCTTGTACTTGTCGCGGCAGGGGACGCACATCTTGAACTCGTAGTCGCCTGCGTGGGGTGTTAGCGGGAGTGCGGCGGGGCGGACGAGTAGGGGAAGGGCGAGTGCCGAGAGGGGGAACGGTGAGTGCCGAGAGGGGGAAAGGCGAGTGACGAGAGGGGGAATGGGCGAATGGCGAGTGGGGGAATGGCGAGTGACGAGTAGGGCAAGTGCGGGACAAGTGCGAGCGATGCGTGCACGAGTAGAAAGGAGAGGATGCTCACCGGGCAAGATGTTCTTGCATCCCTTGACGGAGCAGAAGCGCGGGATCACGGCCGAAGAGTTTGGCGCGATATTCGGTGGGCCGCTAGGTGCAGTCGACGTCGCTTGTGATGGAAGGATCTGCAACTGCGCCGACTCCGCTGTCTTGCGATGCACCTCTGCCTCTGTTGCATGAACAACGATCGGACTGGCAGTTACTTGTGCGGTGATCGAGCTGGCCACGCCCTGCACGGTGGCAGAGAACCGCGGACTCTGGTGATATGACGGACCGGGAGGCACGTCGTAAGTGAGTGCACGAGCGAGTTCGGATTGAGGCGGGGGACGGTAGTTTGAGGGACCGAGCGAGTACGCGATAGTTCCCTGCGCGTATAGTGCTGGATCGATACTGTTTCCCCATGGCGACATCTGGGAGGTTGAGGGCTGCGAAAGCTGCGCTGTCTGCACTTCCTGCGTCTCATGAGAGGCTTCGACCTGGCTCGTCGATGCCCCTGGTGTCTGGTCCTATATCGCATCCTTTCAGCCTTACCGAAGACGACGATCCCATCGCGAACGCACCCAAGTGGCAGAATCCTGTCCCCCCTCCAATGGTCCGACAAGCCCGTTCAGCACGGCTTTCTCCTGCTTCCGCCGCGCACGCTTCGTCGTCGCGTATCCTCTGTGCTTCTCCCTACACGCATCGCACATCTTCTTGACCTGGTCGGGCGGCAGAATATTCGTGCAGCCTTTGACTGAGCATTGCCGCTCATACGACATCGCATTCGCATTCTGAGAAGGGTCGGAGATCGTAGACGTCGACGCTGAGGACTGTGGTGGTAGCGGATGATAAAGATTAGATTGCTCTTCGTTCCCATTCATCACTAGATTAGACCCGCATAAGACTCGGGTCTGAGACGCGTGAGGAAGTGGGGGCGGTGATAGATGTCGTCTAGTCCGGGACTCAGGCGGCACGGGAATTGCCGAGCGACGCCGAGTTGCCGTCCAGGCAGGCTCGAAGTCGAGTTTATGCTGTTATCGAGGACTGTCGAGGCTAGGAATAAGAGTGTATACCTAGTTTTATAAAGCGCGCCAGAACAGTGTCGATCTCAGTGCAGAGGAAAGGAGCCAGATCAACATGCGAGGTCAGAAGTAGACCTCTCGCGTGCGCTGGAGGTCTGGTATTAGGAGGAAAAACTACTGTATCGCCGTGCATAGCTCGGTTCGAAGCTTGACGCTCGACTCTGCGTGAGCGGAGCGTCCTTGCAATACTGTACTGAAATTCACGGCGATCTACTCGTGTGAATGGAAGGAACTCGAAAGCGGGAACACCAACGTCGTCTTCGCCTTGAATGTTCCGACGATCACAGTCAACTTGCGATTTTCCCCGCTCTCGACGACAGTAGCCTTCGGTTCAGCTGATGAGCTGAAATCGACCTGGAATGCTGCATGCGTATCCTTGTTGGACGTTTCGCGTGATATGTCCCGAACGGGCAGATATTGGTAAGCCAAGAATCGGAGGAAGCGGACGTCAGAGGGGTTATGGATGCGAAACTCTTGGAGATCAGGACAATAATCTGCGCTCGGGCGGTCAGTTCGTGCCCATTACAACATCGTATGAGTACTAGCACTCGCCTCGGTTCTGACAGATCTCTCTGTGGCGTTCCCAGTCCAGCGTCTGACACGATTTGGAACAGTAGTAGACATAGCCGCATGGGCATCGTTTGAGCTTCTTGACAAGCTCAGGAATGCACTGAGGTGAATCAGAAAAAAATAACCGGAGATACCGATGGGTGAGAACGCACAGATTTATTGTGACAAAATCGGTTCGCCTTCTTCTCTGCCATGTAATCGTCCTTCGCGGCGGCCAGTTTGTCCAAGCTTGCGCACATAGCGTGCCAGGCTTCAAACTTGTCATCATCAGCCGAGGGGCGCAAGTTATGGCGCTGGATGGCATCGTTGACGACAGCCGCCACAGAGGGAAGACAGCTCGCAGGCGCAATGATGTCGTTCAGAATGTTGGAAGCGATGGACGATTCAAACTTGGAGTAACGGTTGATGAAGTCGAAGATAGCCTGCAGGAGACCTTGGCGTATGAGGCGGATGATGTCGCGTGTGCCGCCCAGGCCGATGCTGATGCACGACAAGAGACAAAAGCAGTTGGCAGAGAATGTCACGAGATAGCCTAGCGTTTGCGCTTCAGCCTCCGACGAGTGGAGGTCTGCGAGGCGGATGAGAGGGCAGATTTCCCAGAGCAGGGGGCGCAGCTTCCGTCTTGTTGCGTCGTCGCAAGCGGCGGCACATCGCGCGATGAGATGGACGATTGGGTGGACTGCATAGAAATCCGGGTCCCTCATGTTGAGCAACGCGTAGAATCGGCGTACCAGCGCGTCCACTCCGAGGCTTCCTTTCGCAACTATCTCGCCTGCGACTTGTTGGTTGGGAGCTCCCGAGGATAGCAAGACCAGTGTTGCCACAATCCCATCAGCCGGGTCCACGCCGCCGATGACGTGCATCATGTACCACCAGAGATCGTACATGTAAGATACCGATCCTGGAAAGGCCAGCAGCGCGGAAGTTCCTGTGTCGGTACGATCGGCAAAGGCGAAGATCGCGTCGCAGATGGCGGCGTAATGCCAGCCTTTGCGGCCTGAGAAGTGCCACTTGTAGAGCTCGGTCGCAGCCTCGAGCGCGTCTTCGTCACAGTTTCGGACGAAAGGATGCATATACAGTGCCCAAGCCCATACAGACGACATCGAGTCCGCCATGATGCGTGTGCAAGCCGCCGAGGGTGTCTTGAAGCCGGTGGCGCCTGCCCAAATCAGGTGGCCGATCGCGGATATGCTGTCCGCGGCGTTGACGATGTTGAGCCACTGATCACGCTCTGAGGCGCTCGTCTTGGGGATCTTGGAAACATCAAGACTGTCCAGCACGTCTCGGTAGAGCCTCGAGGAGAAGAAATCCGGGGGGATGTGGTGGCGGCCTAGTCCATGTCGTCGGAGTTCGTAAATGACGCGCCTGCAGAGGTACTTGGGTGGGCCTTGCGAGCTCATAGTGGCAAATGGTCAGAGGAGATGAGGGTTGGGAAGGAGGTCCATGTGGCGTAAGTTGTCACAGCTTTATATGCACGCGGCGACATGTCCATCAGGCAAGTCATGGCTGGACCAAACACGAGGCTCCGCTATCGGCCAAAGCGCCAACATGCCTGATTCGGCTACTCATTCATGTTCGAACAAAAGACAGGTCCGCAAGCAATTGGCGATGAATAGCATACAATCATCAATAGAAATACGGTTCACAATATGGGGACTAGAACATCGAGGGTGCTGAGGCCGTCGACGGCGGCACGCTCGCAGGCATCAACTACAACTACGGCGACACTGCGACGAATCGATGCGTGCTAGTGCGTTCGAAGCTGACCTCTCCTTCTGACATCGTTTCCAGCGACGCCTCGCACCCATGCACGCGCGACTACATCATCCCCACAAGTTGAGCTATCGAGAAGTGGCCGTCGGAAGCGGGAACACCAAGCTAGTCTTCGTTGTCCAGGTGCCGACGATGACAGACACCGTTCGCTCACCCGCCGAGTCCGAGTCGGATACAACGGTGATCACTGGCTCTTTCGACACCGAGGTGAGGTCGACCTCAAAGGACTCTGTGCCCATTGACGAAGAGTCGCCCCGGGCCACCAGGAGGCGGTGCGCGTAGAACTGAAGGAAGCGAATATCGGAGGGGCGGTCGATTCGGAAGGCCGATGCGTCAGGTTCATGAGCTGTGGACTGTGAGCATTCGGAGAGATAGTGAAATGGTCCGAGGACTTACTCTTGGTCTGACAGGCCGTCCTATGGGATGACCAGTCCGAAGCTTGACAGGCCAGCGAACAATAACAAGCCCAGCGGCACGGGCATCGCTTGAGCTTCCCGTAGACCTCATTGGCGCACTAGATGACAGAAAAGGTGAATAAACGGATGAGGAACGACATAAGACAGTACGCACGGCTTTGTTATGGCATGACTGCATCGCAGACTTCCTCCCTGCCTTGTATGTAGCCTTCATGTCTGCCATCTTCTGCAGAGATGCGCGCAATTTATTGAAAGGGTCATAATCCACCCTGCCAGGGTCGAGAACCAGACCATCTTCCTGAAGTACGTCGTCCACGGCAGTTGCCACCGAGGGGATGTTGATCGCTGGTATGATGATGCCGTCCACTATCTCAGCTGCGACGCTCTTCTCTTGCCAAGCGTCGTTGAAGCGGTCGAGATACCGATGAATGACCTGCAGAATACCCTGACGTATGAGGCGGATTATATCACGCGGGCCACGCAAAGTGCAGCTGAGGAGTGGCAGGAGATGCAGGCAGTCCACGGAGTACGTCATCAGAAACATGCCCTCCTTGCTGAGAACATCGTGATTTCCCATGGAATAGTCGACGAGTCGAAGCATGGAGCAGACACGCCAGATAAGAGGATACATGCGCGGTCGCACGCTCATGTCGCATATCGCGCAGTTGTTGAGGATGTACGCGAACGGGTAGACCGCGCGTGTGTTGCATTGTCCATTGTTCGCGTCGAGGAGGGCGCATAGTCGACGAACCAGCGGGTCCACTCCGAAGCTACCCTTCGCCACAATCGCCTTGGCCACATGTCGGTCGGGATCATCGAAAGCGGACATGGCCAAAGTCGATATTAGCGCTGCTTGACGGGCCTGATCGCTAGTTGCGTGCGCCATGTACCACCAGAGGTCATAGATGTACGAAGCCGAGCCCGGCATGGTTTTTACAGGATGGTCCTTCGAATCGGCCGCAGTAGATTGCCACAAAGCGGAGATCACATCGCAGAGGGCGTCGTAGTGCCAGCTTCGGCCGAGATCGTGGAATTGCCACTGGTAGAGCTTTGTCGCAGCCTCGAACGCGTCCTCGTCGCAGTTGCGCAGAAAAGGATGCATGTACTGCGACCAGGCCCATACAGAAGAAAGTGAGTCGGCTACGATGCGTTTGCACGCCTCTGATGTTTCCTGGGGGCCGCTAGGCTGTCCCGCTTCCATGAGGTATGCGATGGCGCGCAAGCTGTCGGCGGCATTCACAATATTGAGCCACTGCGCGCTGTCGGAGGCAGATGCCTTCGGTATGTGAGAGACGTTGAGACTATCCAGCACGTCCCTGTAGAGCTTCGAAGAGAAGAAGTTCGGTGGGATGTAGTGTCGATTCGGTACATGTCGTCGGCCGAAATCGTGGATGACACGCTTGCAGAGGTATTTGGGTGGCAGATGGCTCATAGCGAATAGAAGTAGCAGGAGGGTGAGAGTCAAGAGAAAGGGCTCGCATACTATCAGACCCTTAAATACATGCGGCATGTGGCGTTGTACCCTTTAGGAAATGAATGGCTAATGCAAACACACCGTCACAAACGAACAAAACGCCGTCAACAAATGGCTGGGCAGCTCGAGACCTCTTTCATGAAAACGTTGTCTCTGGTCAGTCGCATCCGAATCCTGTCAATATCATGAGAGATTAGTTCTTTCAAGTGCTCCTCACTGTACCAATCACAATTGGTAAAAGTACAGATTATAAATGGCCGGGGGAGGCTGTCAGCCTTGTATACGCTGGCGTTCATGCCTTTGAAGAATCTTAGAGCTACAGCTTTGCCATCATCGCTCCTTGCGGGTGTGTCGGGATTTTCCAACAACACGGGGTTGAATGAAGGACGCGGCCGAGGGTGTGTCAACCTAAAAGTCCGCCACGTCTGCTCCTACACGCGGACCCAGCGAAGGTGGCGGTAATGGACAAGGTCATAAACATATGAAATTGACGACGGCCAGCGCAAGAGAACGTGATCATCGGCATTTGCCGACTGCGATGTCGAACCTTTCCCACTCACCGACTCCATACATAGCTTCTGTCAAAGGATACGTACTTCTGTCACAGCGTAGAATCATTGATCTTGATGATTGTCCCAAGCGGTTGTCAAGCTATGCACTGAAGTACTACTCTATTGTACCGGGTTTGGAAACTCTAAAATGGTCAACACTGCCGGCTCACTGGCATGCCCGACCATAGCATAACAACAGTTCGGGCTCCCTGGAACGTAATGCACAGTTGTCGAACTTCCCTCGCTGAAGTCAACAAGGAGTGATTGACCATCGTCGCCGGATTTGGTTACATCCAAGCTGGCCAGGATCTTATTGGCCCGATAGCGGATGAAGTAGATATCGGCGAAGTGGTCGATGTCAAAATCTTGAGACTCGCTCGCGCAAGCTACTGTCCACGCCAGTCAGCTGTGACGGAATGGAACTGTATGGCGCAGACTCACCAGGTCGACAAGCGGCCTTGTGTCGTGACCAGTCCGCGACTTGACATGTTTTGCAGCAATAATAAGCATAGCCGCAAGCGCACCGCTTCAGCTTAGCGCCGGAGTCGCGATTCCCACACTGTGATCCTGTAAGATGATAAAGAGATGAGGAGTTGAGAGCTCTCACCGAGACGTTGTGACAATATTGAATTGCGCTTGTCGTGGCCTTGAACTTCTCTCTGTCGTGCTTAATCTCGTTCGATGCCAAGTGGAAGCCAGTCCAGAGCGCCCGACAATATGCCTTTTTGTTGGAATTCTCCGCAGGCGGGCCCAAGCTATGGCGGCTGATGACCTTGGACACTGCATTCGCCACGGAAGGGAAGATGAACATCGGGACCATGACGGCCCTGAGTGCGTGCCCAACGATACAATGTGCGCCGCACGCATCCGAATAACGTTGAAGATGATCGAAGAATGCCTGGAGTATGCCGCTCTCGACCAAACGGATCACGTCGCGAGTGCAGCGCAGCTGGGGCCGCAGAAGCTTAAGCAAATGGAAGCAATTGTCAACATAGTGCCGCAAATGAGGCCCCATTCCAGGGTCCTGTCTGTCGATCATCGCCGCAAAGCTGACCGACTCAGGCTTGTCGGCGAGCCGCATCAAAGGAGCGATAAGCCAGAGCAGGGGTCGAAGAACGTATTGTGTGGACTCTATGGACGCCACACAGATCGCGAGCTCGACAAGCGCGTAGACCTCCCGGAAGTTGAGCAGGGGCATGTCGACCACAGCGCGCATGCGGCGCAGGATAGTCCGAAGCGGATCCTTTCCATAGCCGATGACCCTCGTCATGGCAAGCGCATCCCTTTGGATTGTGTCGGTGACTCTAGTGAGCGTGTCCAACAGAAGACCGGTGCGCTCGTCTGCCGGCTCATGAGCGCCTAGGTCTCGATTCCGAATCCTCCACATGTCGAAAATGTACGTGGCCAAGTCGGTTACATCGACGATTCTGCCTTGAGAGCTATTGTCGATTGTAATGAGCGCCGCAGAGACAGCTTTCAGAAGCCATCCTTCCTCCCCATGCGGAAAGTCCCACCCATATGCTTCGATGGCCGCGTCGCACGCCTCTTCGTCGCAATTGTGGGCATGCGGGTGCAGCCACTGAAGCCACTTCCAGACGCGCGGGATTGCACTCGCCGCGATCTTGTTGTAGACGAAGGCCGGCGTTGGACGGCCGAGGTCGCCAAGTAGGCCGACGATGCAGATGATACCGTCCCAGGCGTTCAGGACATTCAGCCACTCAGCGCGATCCAAAGGCACAGCAGCGGGTATACGGGCAACGTCCAGCGCGGCGAGGACATCCTTGTAGAGCTTGCTCGAGAGGAAGCCCGAGGGTATGACTTGCTTTTGTGGTCCGAATGTCTTGGAGAGCTCGTCAACGACGGACTTCGAGAGGCGTCGAGGCTGGCCAGTGTTCATTGTGGGCGACTTGGGTAGCGGTGAATGATGGTACGAACGAGATGAAGGCAGGGCACATGCGCCGGCTTTATGTTGCTTATATGCATGGTATGGCGATCGTCACATTGATAATGACGATGGCAACAAAAGACTACAAAGGTCAAAACATGATCATGTCCTCAACAAAACTTATCAAAAACATAGCCTAAACCGCGCCGACGGATATACCCTTATGTAGCAACAAGTCAGCGGAGCTCACAACAGAGGGATAGCCGATACCATCGACGCGGTGGCCGTTATAGCCAGTCAAACTCCAGGTAGCATGCACCTTCAGACTTCAGTAGGTTTTTGCACGTAGACAAAGACTCCCCCTGGATGTCAGACATGTGATATTAGTGAGCAGCAAACATACAACCCCACTACGAGAGGTGTTTACACGATAAGATCCTTTCAAAGGCCACTGATGCGGCCAGCGACAGCTTCCAAAGCGTCCTTGAGCTTCAAAGATTCGCGCACGACCGCATCGTTCTCATCCTCGCTTGTCTCCGCGACGAACGTTGCGGTCTCCGAGGCGAAGCCTGCGGAGATATGTGAGTCCAAGACTTGCATTCATGAAAAACCGGTACTCACCCAGCAGCTCGCCTCCGTGGTTGCGCCAAAGCGCCTCAGCACACTCCAATGCCACAAGCCGTACGCTTGCTTCTTCCGAGCGCGTGTGCATCAGCAAATCGAGATTGATGCTCTTGAGTAGCACGTCGTCGTTGGAGGTGTCGACGAGTGCCGTCAGAGCATCGCGCAACAGTCGTTTGCCATCCTTCGCGTTGATGCCCACATAGACGGGCACCTGCTCGACGATCGGCTTGGCGAGCTTGCGCAGTTGAGCTTCGCGCCAGAATGCTACGACAAACCGTTAGTGTGAAAGAGCGAACAGAATCAAACTATAGGACTCACATCCGTCATCGTATGTCAAACTCTTCGCCACAAGCTCAAGCAAGGAGCTCCAGAGCGCGGCATCGTCCAAAGCGCCTGCTGAATAGTATCCGAAGAGCTCGACCATCGTGGGGATCATGAAAGTCATGTACGGGTTCATGAGTCCCTAAAGCAAAGTTGAGCGTCACTTGTCATAAGAGACAAGAGGTGACCTACGCGGAAGTAGTCCAGCAATGCAAGGTAGAGATGGCAAAACGTCACGCGCTTCGTATTACCATCTGGCAGGGGGTCAACATGGCGACTGACTCCAGGGTGGAAACCTTACCATCGGGGCCCGTGAAAGCCCAGTCGTACAGCCTGCGGAATACTGGACGGAAGGCGGCCTCGTTGAGTTTCACCACCATCTCGATGAATGCGGCCGCAAGGCTGCTCTCCAGCTGCAACCCTCATGAGCAACGGTCGAGTATGGACAGGGTAGTGCGTACCTCAGCCGATTGCGTGCTCGCAACTATCTCGAGGCCCTCCGTGAAGCGCTTCAGGGCTTCACGTACACCGTCGATGACAACGACACGGTCCGCTTTGTGGAAGGCGCGCTTGAGCAGATCAAAGTAGCCACGAAGCCGATACTGATGCAAGGTCAATAATCTGTTGTTCGTGAAGTAGCACAGCGGACGTACGATGTTCGTCGAAGCCTTGTCCCACAGATCGAAAAGAGCTGCGACCAGAGCTTTGGCAGGCAGACGCTTGACGACAGCCTTGCCGAGCGCTATGCTGGATGTCGCGCCGGGACGATCGAGCACAAGGGTCAAGACGGTGGAGATCTCATTCGATGACCAGAAAGCCGGGATAGAGGACAGCAGACCCTGGATGACAGATACCGCCAGGTTATCCAATTCTGAGCGAGTAATAGGTCAGTCAGACAGAGGATTAATCGTTCCTTTTCCCAAACGCACCGGCCCTGTCGGAGCGAAGGACATTGACGCACAGCGCAACCGCCTGGCGAAGGAAGGGTATCACGCGTGGTCCAAGTTTGGATCTGTATAATGTGTTATGCGCATTTTCCATGCGAGAAGCGTGCACGTACAGCAAAGGTGCAAGCGCAGACAAGGCGAAGGCGACGTTGCTTCCGTCTATCGCCGCCAGTGTAGGCGCAACGCATTCCAATAAAGCAGACTCCTCTCCTGGCAACATGGTCTCGCTGATAGCCTGCAGGGCTTTGAAGGCGCCGCTTGCTTCCGGACTCGACTTGCGCGTCTCGATGAACATGTGCACCACCTTCATGATCTTGAGGACGTGTGGCGTGACCTGCTTGCGGACCTTGTCTGCTATCTTGCCCAGCCGCTCCGAGAATATGCACAATGCACGCTCGCGGAGCTATGTGGCATCAGTATGAACCGAGAAGCTTCACGAGAGATGTACCCACAGCGTCGTCGTCCATTTCAAGGATCGTTTCTATCGAGATCACGAAGTCTGCGGCGGGCATGACGGATAGCAGGCGCTCCAACGATGATCTCGACGTTGAGTAAATCTCGTCCGATCGGTCCAAGGTTTCCTTGCGCATGCTGAGCCCCAGCAAAGCAAAGAGAAGCTGAGGAACGGTAGTGTCGCCACTTTGAACGCTGCCCGTCTTGAGTGCAAAGCCAACGAACAGGATGAGGGCCTTCGCGCGGCGCTGGAAAAGGATCTTCTCGGATGATGACTCATCGTCACTGTGGTTGGATTAGCCAGAATCAGTCAGTGAGCGGGTGCGCAGCTTACAGTTTCCAATCCAGGAAATTGGCAACTGAGTTTTTGCTGGCGCAGCGCTCCAAAAGGCGACTTGCTTCGTGTACGATCTCGGTGAGAGCCTGGACGAAGGATCAGAGAGATGTTTGGCGGTCGATGGGCTAGTCAACCCACGGGAATCTGCTGCGTTGCCGGGAAGTGGTGTAACAACGTCAGAGGCAGGAACAGAGATCCGCGTGCATCCTCCTCCTTCTGCTTCACAACTCGGTTCGTAGCGCGCTCAATCAGCAGCATGCATACGGGGGCGAGGAAGTCCTCAGGTTTGAGCACTTGCAGCAAGTGCGTGAAGAAGCTGCGATGAGAAACGGGTCAGCATTCGGCCACCATTCCGATGGCGTTGACTGTACCTGACCCGACGATGTCTCGGAATGTGGCTGGCAGCATCCGTGAAGACACGCAGGAAGTCACGGGCGGCGACGTAGAGTTCCAGACGGTCCGTGTATTGCTTGCGCAGACTGTCCGCCATGACGGGGACAATCATATCAATGGTCTGTAGGACAAACTTATAAGCAGGGCTTTCGACGATACGCCTCAAACGACTGACCTTCTGTATGACGCGGAAGCTGTAAGTGTCGTCCCTATGGAAGACGTTCGAGCCCATGAACGTGAAGACCGGCATGACGTTGCGCAGGATCGCCTCGGGCGCAAGGCGCGTAAGCTCTGCCATCAGCAATAGGGCCTGGTGGAACGTCTGAGGGTTGGAAGCGCCTGACAGGATACGTCAGTAGCGAAGAGAGTAGGACATGCTGGGTAACGCACTTCTGATTACATCTACCAAGACCTCGACACGGATCGTCCCAGCAGTGATGACCGTCGAGGCCGTGACCTTGCCGGCCGCATGTCCAATGGACGACATGAGCAACTGCACCACATACCCGACCTCTGCACCGGATGAAGGCGAGTGCACGACAGCACCGAGCGTGTCCAGGAGGCACGCGACCAAGTCCAACGATCCTGGCAGCTCCTTCGCGGCGAGCACCTCCGCCAGCATGGTCAAGCGAGACAGCGAGTAGGACGTCTCGCCAACGGTCTTCTGCTTCTTGGCCCGGGGGCTCGTCGTGGCATCCGCAGGGCGCGTGCTCGTGAGCAAGTGATTGATGAGCGGCACCTCGACGAGCAACTTCGACAGTAGCGCGTGAACAGCAGGCACGTCCTCGACGTCGTCCATGTCGAGTAGCACTTCGCAAAGCTCAGCCTGCCTCTCAGAGCTCAGCCCCTCGAACAGCCCTTGCTCGAGAGCGCTTGCGATCGCATCGCGCGGCGCCTTGAACTGACCTGCAACATCGTCAGTTGTCATACATACCTCACCGATCGCAAAATCATACCCGCGAAGACGTATTGCACGGTCTGCACATAATCCATCCACAGCTCGTTATCCGCTTGCGACAACACATCCGCGGTGCTGGCGTCAAAGGACGAAGCTACGAGCGCCGTGAACTTCTCCAACGCATCGCCATAAACATTGGCGAGGTACGTAGGCACCTTGTGCACGAGTGATCGGATGGTCGGGCGCAGGATTGTCGCTTTCTCGGGTGAGGGAACAAGCTCGAGCGCGCCCAACAGGGCAATCTGAGCTTGCGGAAGCACGAAGACATCGATGTGCGATAGCAGAAAGCAAAGCACGCGATGCTTGTATCTGAAAGATGAATCAGTTCGTGTTACGAAAGGCTCGCAGAACCGACTTACCCCACAGCCTTCTTGTCCTTCTTTGCGGGCGCAAGGTGCTCATGATGGAAGCTGCGCCCATAACCAGAGTCTCGCAAGAAGTGCGCCTCATGCTGGAGCAACGCATCGAGGTACTGCTTGAGGTCCCCCTGCTCAAGATACTGCAGTTTCCCTGAGCCCGAATCAGCAACCCCCTTGAGTCAACTACCCGGTCAAACTCACCACTCCCCGGCCCATAGATCGTGTCCAGCCCATACACCCTGCTCTTCGCCGTGAACTTCCTCTCTAGACTCTGCCTCAACACCTTCAGCACATCGAACGCCAGGCGCGCGTCCACAGTTTGCACGGCGACGAGCAGGGACGGCAGGATCGCCTGGAAGTCTGTCGGCTCAGCATCGTCCTGGCGCGCCTCGAGATACCCGCGGCCCAGCGCAAGCGCGGCCTTGCGGCGCGGGTCATGCGGCTGGAGGAGAGGGTCCGCGCCGTCCCAGATACCGGCGAGGAAAGCGAGGGTCTCATCCTGAAGGGTGTGAAAGATCTGGCGGAAGATGCTGGCGGCGAGAATGCTAGGGAAGCCGCTGGCGACGCGGAAGGTCGAGCGCATGAGGTTAACGTATTTGGTGCCGCGAGTGTCGGCGGTACGCTGAAGAACGAGATGAGCCGAATTCAATGGATGGCGCGAATGAACACGTACCGAAGGCAGTATCGTCAACCAATCCAAGATGATGTTGGCAGGGCGCGCGATGGTCGCAATCTGCTTGATAATGGCCAGGCGCAACCACAGCGCTGTCGTGGCCGACTTGGTCTTCTGTGCCGCCAGCTTTGCGACATGTTCGTCCTTAGCGAGCTGCGGTACACATCAGTTCTCCTTCTCCGTGGTTGCCTCCAACGAAGAAACTCACCTCGTCCACATCTTCTTGCGCACCAACCTCCGGCGTCGACACCACACCCCCAAAGCTCTCCACCGCCTCCAAGATCCTATACGCCGCGCCGACCTGGTGCTCGCCCGACATCCGGCGCAGGAGCGCGATCGCGACGAGCCCAGCCAGCAGCCGTGCGTTCGCCTCCTCGCCCTTCAAGCTGGCGAGCAAGAACTCGAGGTGCGCGGCGTACTCGTCCGACATAATGATGTTTTCTGACAGGTTGATTAGCACCGTTCGCCATAAGCATTCTTCCACGACCTCGCCAACGGGCTTAAGTCGTCGACAGGAAAGAGCTCTCACTCACCCGCCATCCGATTCGCCACCTTTAGGTTCACCCTCGCCATCTTCTCCGCACCTTCACCGTCCTTCTCATCCGCACTCGCCGCCTCCCACACCCGACCACACTCCACGAGCAGCGGGTGCTTTCCGAGTCCCTCGCTCCCCGCTACAGCCTTCCACACCGCCTCCGCCGACCGCTGCCGTGCCTTCGTGTACAGCAAGTGCGGGAACAGCAGCCGCACAAGGGCGTCAAGAGTCGGAGCATCGACTTCTCTTGAAACCTGACCAGCGATATAGCCAACGTGTGCAATCAAAGTGTGCCTATCGACCTTCACCGAGCTGTCAAGCGCAGACGCAAGGTGCTGCAGATATACTTCCTTCTGCGCGTAGAGAATGGGCGTGAACACATCAGGGCGGCTGTACAGGGCATTGAGCACGTCCGCGCTGTCGTCGGCGACACGGGCGAGGAGGGCGGAGGTGGTGGAGTCCTATCGGAGTTGTATCAGCCGTTAGAAAAGTGATAGACCAAGTGCACAGTATCACTCACTGTCAACTCATCCCGCTCCGCCCTTGCAAGAAGCTCCTTGACAGCAGCGACGCGAGTTGCCGCGTTCGAATCCGCAGCAGCGACCGCCATGTCGTCGGCCATTCCCGAGGATCCTATCTAGGAAATGGTCAGTAAATGGCGCATATATGCGGAATATTCGAGGTTACACACCTTGGATATGGTAAGCAGCACACTATCCGCGCCTGGCAGGCCACTGAGAGATTCCGGATGACGCTGATACACCACGCCCAGCAGGTTGCGTGCGTCCTCTGCGGTGTCGCCTCCCTCGTTGACCACTTGGATGAGGATGGCGACGAGCGCGGACACCGTCGTTCCCTTCGCCGCCGCGAGCACGGCCTCCCAAGTGTTCGTGTAGTCCTCGAGCCTGCGACTTCGTTAACGCCAGTCTCGCTTCATCATGCCTGTGATCACCCACTGATCCACCGACCCCGCGAGCAGCGGTACCACAACCTTCTCTCCATGCTCCCACTGCAACGCCTTCACCAACTCGCCCTCGATGCCCGCGAGCCGCAACACGGACTTCGATGCCTTCCGAGAGAAGGACGAGAGCGCCTCCTGCGGCCCGCACACGCTGACGAGCGCCGTGACCAGCTGAACCGGCTCAACCTCATGCGCCGACGCAGCCATCGAGCCCACGACCGACTTCAGCGCGGGACCCGGCAGCTGCACCTTGTGCGAAATCGACGCCAGGAGGATGTAGCTGCCCAGCACCGCGTCGCGCGAAGTGTTGCTTTGCAATGGAGCAAGAATCGCCTGCAGCAGGTGCGCGATCGCGCCCTCGTCGAGCGTCCTGCCGAGCGTGATGAAGTCCCGGAGGACGGAGACGTTGAACTTGATGAGGTTTGCGTGGGCGGCGCCGTAGGGGATCGCGCTCGGGACGAGCGATGATATGAAGCGCGCAACGACGGGATTTTTGCGCATCTCGGCGACGAGAGCGGAGCGGGGGACGCGAGAGGCGGCAGACTTGAAGGGGAGGAGGAAGGCCCAGGTGGTGCTTGGTCTGCAGGGTGTCAGATGTGTGATGGTTCAAAGAATATGTATGCGCACTGGATCGACAATATGGAGAGCATCTTGGTGAAGTGGGGGGACTCCAGGTAAGGCAGGAAAAGCGCGAGCACATCATCAACGTTGAACTCGTTCACTCTGGCAATCGGTCAACATGTACTCCGTCAGATTACCGTTGGCACGCACCTGAACCTCCGCACCAGCCATTCGATGACCTTCCCCGCGGGTGCCGTCAATAGGTGTTCCCCCAGAAGCATCATCACCCCCTTCAGACTCTCGTTCAAGCGCGCGTCCGTCTCCGTTGAAAGCAGCGTACGGTCCGTGGCCTTCGCAGCTGGAGAAAGGATCGCATCTTCGTACTTCCTCAGCTTCGGGGTCAGGGTAATAAGTTGCCTAAAGCCATTGACCGCAAGCGCGTGAATGGAGTCGAGATCGTAGTTGTCCGCATCGCGCCCGGTGAAGAGGTACGACTGAGTCGGCTTTCTTTTTAAGCGATCGACCAATAGGTTCGCATTCAGCGACGCGTTGTCCGCGAGCTGCGCGGCGAGGGAGGATGTCATGGAGTGAAAAGTACAATGGAGGCAAAGTACAAAAGACTTTGCAAAAACAATGATCGGTTTCCGTGAGTGTCCAAGCGGCAGATTTCGACCTTCCCCATTTGGCAACGAAGGCTCTCACGAACTATGAGCCACACAGTTCCTTCGTTGAACCTCCGTATAGACTAAATATCCTTCAACAAAATTAGCCAAACTAAGCCTCCTCGAGCGCTCGCGTCCTTGGCAACTGCTCAATCGTCTGCACGAAGGCCTCAAAGGTGAGCTCATTTGCATAGGCGTTGACATCGAAGACCTTCCTCCTCTTATCGACCCATTTCGTTGAGCTCTGGCGCGCAGTATCAAGCAAGCACGCAAGCGGTTTAACCCAGCACTCGACAACGTCTTGCCAGATATTCAGCGTGTTCTGCAATACTCCGTCCATGGTATACCCGCTGTCGAGAAGGTCAACCTTGAAAAAACTCGATTCTGCCCAGCCTCCGTTCCAATCTGCAGACATGTTGCAGTCGAGGTGACGTTTGTTGTTGAGGTCGAAATGCAGCACGGCCCATACCAAGAGCCAGAAGAAGGACTCGAGATCATGACAGTAGCGGTGGTTTGTGACGGCATATTTTCCGCCCGCCCGGCGCTGCAGATCAATTGCCATAAAAATGGTAGACCCACTGCGAAGCTGAGGCGCCAACTGCTGGCCGAGTCCCTCTCCTTCGACTGCGCAAGTGAGGTCCCAGTCGTTTAGAAGGCCAGCGACCTTCCCGTCAGGCCTGAGTCGCGCCAAGGCACTAGTCGCGCTGATATCCCGATGAAGTACGCGGTCAGGGTCGTACGCGTGGAAATGCGCTAAGGTGAGCGATCAGCATAATTCGCACATGCAGGCCTACGCAAGCTCACCTCTCAAGAGGTCAACGTAGCAACTCTTGAACTCCTCGGCACTTTCGAGCAGCCAGAGAGGCCTTATTTCATGTATCACCTGGTACACGAGTGTGCGTCTGCCGTGCCCAAATGCAGCCGCAGAGCTCTTGACAGAAGACGGGAGAACACCGTCCGTATCCGGAGAATCGAAGTCGTATCCCGCGCAGACATCCAAGACGCCCGCCTTCAAATCAAGTAGCTTCTTGATACCATCTGGACGAGTCAGATGGGGAGCGCTGTCTCGCCAGGCAAGCTGCGTAGTCAGATGAGCCACATTACCACGTCTAGATAGACCCATGTAGCGTAGTGAGTTCTGCGTAGATCCAGGAATGGACGTTGATGGTGAGGTCTGTCCGCCTCGCTTTAGGTTGCGATGATCGTTGGCTAGATCGCACAAGCTGAGCTCGAGGGAGATATTCGGATGTTACTTTACGACGATGCGCTTGAGATTATTGCGCACGCGGGTCGAAAATTGAGCCTGAGGACGGTGGTGGTCTAGATCAAGTTCGGCGTGACGCGCCACCGCATCGTCATCAACAGAAGTGCACGTTGCAGTCACCTGACCAGGATCACACGATTCGGCTTGCTTCAGCTATCCAAGATCGCTGGCATCCTCAACGGCGTCCTCTTTTCGGCACTTCAGTTAATTATTCTTCAGCAATAGGAGACGGTTCAAGCCATATATGATGCAGCGAGTCAACAAATACTGTGGACACAACCTATTAAGTATCTAAGCGTCCTTCTCGTGTGCCCCCTCTCTGGGCATCTGCTTGATCGTACGCATGAAGAGGTCGAAATTCATCTCCTTTGCGTAAATGTTGTCATCAAAGGCCCTGCCAGCGTCGTCGTCCCATCGCGTCGATCGCTCTCGCGCATCGCAGATCATACGAGCAAGGGGAATAACCCAGCGCTTCACAGTGCCCTTCCACATATCCAACGCATTCTTCAACACTCCAGCCAGCATACCTGGTTTAGACAGGATGTTCCACTTGAAGGAGTTTGACCCAGCCCAATCCCCGGTCCACTGCTCATATGTGCAGCTGAGGCGGCTCTTGTTTTCGAGGTCGAAGTGCAGCACTGCCCATAAGAGTAGCCAGAAGAAGGATTCGAGATCGTGGCAATAGCGGTGCTCTGCTGCAACGCAGGTTCCGTCCGCCGCGCGCTGTAGATCGATCGCCATGAAGGGTGTAGTCCCAGTATGGTGCTGGGATGTTGAACCTGTGCCGATACCGTCTGCGTCGACGAAACAGCCGAGGTCCCAGTCGTTTAGGAAACCAATGGCCTTTCCATCGCTTCCGCGTCGCGACATCGCATTGTGCTCGCTGATGTCCCGATGCAGTACGCAGGCATGATCGTAGGCACGGAAATGCGCTGAGGTGAGCGTTCAGCATGATTCGCACGCACATGCCGAAGTACACTTACTGTCCAAGAGGTCAATGTAGCATTGCTCGAAGTCCTCGACGCTTCCGAGTTCCCAGAGGGGATGGAAGTCCTGTGTTACCTGATAGACAAGTGATCGTCTGTCGTACGCGACTGCGGTCCCAGAGCTTTGGTAGAAAGGCGCCGCCATGCGACACATAAGCGGTGGCTCGATGTTGCATCGTGCTTCGACGCCCAAGTAATGCGACTTTATCTTGAACAGCTTCTTTGTATCTTTTGAACAAATTGACTGCGGAATCCTGTCTCGCCAGGTAGACAGTGCGGGCACATGAGCCACAGTAGCGGGCCGATAAGTTTTGGTGTAATCTGGCAATGAATCCGCAGGGTTAAGACCAGTTGGTGAGATAGGGTGTCGTCCACCCTCACAATGAGCTGTGATCATTGTTGGCTCAATGAAATGAACCGACGAACAAGGAGTATGGTGGCTGAGAAGTCAGTCAAGTAATCCTCTCAAGCGGCCACTCGACGATATTGCGATGCGGCGGCGGACAGAGAAGTTTGAGGGCAGTGGGAGTCGAGAACAAGTTGGTGTGATGGCCCATCAGCACGACTTTAACAAGGATGCACGTTGCAGTCACCTGACCAAATTCTCATTGTTCGCTTTGCCTTTGATCCCCATCCTCTGTTGCTCTCAAGGACGCTCATAAGCGAGGCGCTTTCTACAATCCTACACATCTGGTGTCACTCGTCGCATATCGTCCCGTCTCCGCCCCGATGCTGTCTATTGTCCTTTCTACCTGTGACTCAATATGAGTGCTTGATGCCGAATGCGTGCGATCGCATGCATCTATCCTTATCGCGTGGGCTATATAAAACCTTCACTGATTACGACCATCCCCCACACCATGAGCATCCCCACACCCACCTTCGCCACCCTCTCCAAGCCCGGCCTCACCCTCCGCGCCTTCCGCGACGCTGACCTCGACGCGCTCACCGCGACAATCGCCTCGCACGAAGTCCTGCGCACCGGACCCGGAAACACCGTCCCCCACTGGAACAAAGTCGCCGAAGGCATCAAAGGCGTCACAAACAGCGCGACTTTCTTCGCCGTTGTCGACCTCGACGGGCAGGCGGTGGGCAATGTCGAGCTGCACGGCGGGCAGAACAAGAACCGCGACGGCGGCCTGGCGATCGTGCTGCACGAGAGCATCCGGGGCAAGGGGTATGGGACAGAGATCGTGCGCTGGATCGTCGACTATGCGTTCTTGCAATTGGGTCTGCATCGCGTGTCATTGAGTGTAATGGGCGACAATCCGCGTGCTGTGGCATTGTATAAGAAGATGTAGGTTAGGGCGATTTTTGTTGGTCCGATAGTGCTGACAAGCCATACAGTGGATTTGTCGAAGAAGGGCGGAAACGCAAGGGCATATGGCAGGACGGCGATTGGGTCGACATGATCGACATGGGGATTCTTCATGACGAATGGCTCGCATCTAGGAGAAGTGGGCAGTAATTGTGATTGTTGATATCTATCCAATCTTGTGGGGAATGCGCTGTAAAGCCCGGCCACTATACCAAAAAATATGTGAGACAGTCAGCTTGCCTCGTCAGCAACCATTGAGACTGGGCATACCGGTATAGGGGGACCCCTGCAATATCGTCGCCAATCTTATTTAAGGTGCTTACGAGTCGTGATGAAGTTGTACTCAGAACATCGGAGCATTCAGGCAAGAAAGTATATGTTGCAAATTCATGGTCAATTGGTTCGGTGTTCAAGGTAAATATGGTAATGTGCTCGTTCCTCTCCTGTTAGGGCCGTGCTGGCGACACGCAGCTGTGTTCGCGCGGCTGGTGTCGCACTCTCTCCAATTTGACGTGGAGGGCGAGTGGCCTTTGGCTTCGGATGTGCGCCGGTGGTCTTTCTCCTTTCGTCATACGACGTCCTATGCGGCATCCCTTTCATCCTTCTCCGGGATCGACGCCAACGACGACGCGATCGAGCTCACGGATGACCATCTCCGCGACCGGAACGTCCGCGGCACGAAGTCCGGCTCCTCGTCCTCGTCCTCAACGACGTCTTCGTCGGCTTCCTCCAGCACTTCGAGCCGCGGCATGGCGCGCAGGCGGCGAAGCGAGGTGGCGGTGGAGTGGGTCATGGCGACCGCGGTGGGACGCGGAACGGCGGGTGTGTATGCTGGCGGGCCCGAGACGAACAGAGTCGGCTCGGTGTACTGATAGCTGCGCTGGTGGCGGCGCTTGCGCGGGGTGGGTTGTGTAGTGAACTGGGAGATGGAGTTTAGCTTTGGAACTTTAAGGAAGGATGCAGGAAGTATGCTCACCTGCGACGAAGACGCCTGCTGGCTGGGCCATCCACCCGTCAACGCACTCTTCTGAGTACGGCCCCGCCCAAACTCGATAGGAGTGGCGGGAGAGCGGGACGAGGAGGCGTGGTAGAGGTTCATAAACGCGGCGGACATGATGTTGTCGGCTGATGGTAGTTGTAAATTGGTTGGTTGATTGGTACTTTGTTCGGCGGGAGTTGAGTTGAATGGGGGAAGTGTCGCCGCTCATGCCGCCCTTATATACCTGCAATGCAGTGAACACAAAAGGCGATGCAGTGAGCACGACTTGGACTCCCGCGGTGAGGACCCGCAGTGAGTACGACACCGCCACCGGAGTGAGACGCTTTGGTTACCGCTCCGGATGCCTATTCCATCGCCGTAACCAGCCTGAAGCACCCCTTTACCGAGCCTGAGATGTCTCGTAGCGGGTCTCGGTCGGTAGTAAAACGCGGACGAGTCTCTGAGCTCGCCGACAGGTAAAGGAATCCTTTGAACGAAATGATGCTCTTGCTTCTGGCGATTCTCTCAAGTCAGGTGCACTGTGAGGATACGCAAGGGAAGTACACGTACATATTGCTTCCCATGCTTAGATCCCAGTGCATTGCAGTCAAGGATAAGCTGCCAGAAAAGTATGTCTTACTCTTCCTCGTATCCTAGCAACAATTTTTGGTCTGACTTGCTCACTCAGACCTGTGAAACCTCTTCTCTCTCGTCGATAGAGCAATTCCCTAGGGGACGAGCTTCGTGCACGAAACGCCCTGATTGGGGCCTTATATGATTCCCTATAGAAGGATAGCAAGGCATAACTACAGGACCCCCCACGGCAAGATATACGTACAGAAGATCCACGACGACGCAGAGTTCGAGACGAAAGGTCGGATAGGCGCAAACATCCTAAATCGGAGGGTGGAACTCATACAGACTCTTCATCCTTGTTGCTATGTTGAACTATGAGGCGTGGTGATGTAAGACCTGAGGGTAGCGGGCCTCCGTGACGCGGACATCTCCGGTTTCTCGTCCAACGTGAAGGGTTGAGGCGGAGCAGAACGATGCAAACCGATGGAGAGGGCGAGCACTTTGAAGAGCAGAGCGAGGCCGAGACACATGTTAGGAAGAAGCACATTGAATTACTAGATCAGAGAAGCAGGGAAAGATGCTCTGTCCCAGTTCGCCTCGGGCGGACGGTGAGGGTAGGGACTGAGGAAATCTAGGCTTCGAGTGTGACAACGTTGCTAGCACGTGCAAAGTCACGTCAAACAAAACTTCCCACGGTTCAGGTTCCCCTATTTCCTTCGAGAGGTCTGAGATGCCAAGCTCGAAGCTACGCATGCAGGGCACAGGACAAGGTTCAAAAGATACATGTGTTATGCGTGTCGGTTTATTACCACTATAGTACAGAATGCAATGATAAGAAGTGTCCACGCGATGCGAAGTACAGCAGAACGAGACATGCAAGCCCTAAGAAAGTGCTAAACAGAAATTGGCGCGCGCGCCATCTCCACCTCGCGAGCCTGGGGAAAGATAGAAGAAGCGGGAACAGGTGCTTGTGTAGATTCCGTGGGGTCAGTAACCTCCTCCGATGCTTTCTCCTCGTCCTTCGAAGGCGCATCTGCTGGCGCTGGCGCTTCAATACCCCACGCGTCAGTATCCGCCCCCTCAACATTCTCCCACCCCTCCTCTGCCTCTGCCTCCGCGTCCGCCATGACGATGCTCTTCGTCTCCGCGTCCGGGTCTGCCATCATGACGCTGCGCGTGTCCGCGCCCTCGTCCTCCGGCGGCTCCTCGACAATTGGCTCCTCCTGCGCCTTCACCGACTCCTGGATCACCTTCGCCACCTCGTCGGTGACCGCCTTCCCCTGCACGACCTCCTCGGCCTTCACGCCCGCGTCCGTGTCCGCGTCCTCGGCGATGATGGTGTCCTCCTCGTCCGCGGCGGAGCTGGGCGTTGGCTGGTCCTGCGGGGCATCAGACGCGGCTTGTGCGATGGCTTCAGCGACGGGCGCGTTACCCTCTTGCGTGTTTGGCGCGGCGGCGGTGTCCTGCTTCTTCTCCTCCTCCTCCAGTGGCTGCACCTTGCCCTCCAGGTGCGCCTTCCACAACCCCTTCCACGTGTTTTCGACCGCCGCGCACTCCTTCTCGACCTCGCGCACGACCTCCTTCCGCCGCTCGCGCACTTCGCGGCGCCCGAAGCTGTCGACGCCATCGAGCTCGACGAGCAGGCGGTTCAGGCTCTCCGTGTATCCGTGTAAAGGCACGTTGTTGGGTGTGTACGCGAGCTTGGCCTCACTGTCGAGGTCGTCCGCGGGTGGGAGGGATGCGAGAAGATCGGGAGGAAGCAGTAGAGACACGACCTCCTCGTCATGCGCACGAGCGACGAAGTCGACCTTCGACGGCCAACGGAATGTGTCCTTGAGGGCGACAAACTTGGCATGAAGCGCTCGCACAGAACGAAGGGCGCGCTGGATGCGGAAGAAGGTCTGAATCTTGGTGGCAGCCTCCTCCTCTTCCTCGGTGAATTGTGGCTTGGGCGGGGGCGGAGGGGAAGCCCGCTTCGGCGAGGGTTGGCGTTGCTGGGGTTGGGGTGCAGGTGACGATCGCGGGGAGACGACGGGGATGCGGCGCGGCGCTTGGGGCTGATGCGACATGCGCTATACACTGAAGTTAGAAGGCCGGTCACGTACATAGAGTAGATAAACGCACCCTTTGTCTACTCTGCTCACGCCCATATGCTCTCAAGCGCTCCTCCTCCGCCAAGCGCTGCTTCTCCTGCTCGAGCGCGCGTTGGCGAAGCGCAGCCTCGTACTCGCGCCGACGTTGCTCGGCGAGCGCCCGAAGCCTGAGCTCCTCCTCCTCCCTCTGCCGCTGGAGCTCGAGTTCGCGCAGCCGACGCTCCTCAAGCTCTCGAAGACGCTGCGCCTCGAGGTAGGCCTGCTCGCGAGGGTCGACGTACCCGTATGGGTGGCGACCCCAGTTATAGGCGTAGTCGTCGTCGTTGCCGTCGTAGTAGCCGTCGGGGAAGTACTTGTTGCGCATAGCCTCGCGCTGCCGCTGCTCCTCAAGTGCTCGCTCACGTTCGCGTGCAAGGGCAGCGGCGCGGGCGCGCTGCTGATAGGGGTTCTGGTAGGGGTTCGAGTAGTATGAGTCGTAGCCGTACGGGTTGTACATGGTGACGGTGCGCGTTCAAGATGCAATACGAGATCCGGGGCGAGGGCTCCATACTTATAAGACTGGACGGGGACTCGGCCTGAGCTCACTGGTGAAAGACAGAAGAAAGGCGAATATTCGAGAACAACCGTGACATGCGTCACGAAGACCGCGTGATGTCACGGTTCGATTATGTCCGCAAGGTAGACATATCCATAACAGGCAGGCTTTGTGTCGTCCCGAAGCGGTAGGCAGGACCAGGTTCAGTACAAGACATACGATCTCTAGATATAGAATGTTTATCATCGTTCCTATGTACTAGATCTGCTTCACCACGCGCTGTGGACGTGTCAAACGAGGCGGGTAGTGACGGAACTTCGGGTCCTCTGGCGCATCGCGCGCGCCCGGCTTCCAATAGTCAAACTCCATCCACGCATTCTCCGGCATCTGCGCCTCCGTCGCCTCCAGATACTCCCCCAGCTGCGGACAGAGCGGGATCACCCCCGTCTCCAGCACATACTGGTCCCACAGCTTCAGCAGCTCCTGCATCTTCTCGGGCCGCGCCTCCGCGAGGTCGTGGATCTCGCCCGGGTCCTCGCGCAGGTTGTACAGCTGCCAGCGCTCGGGGCCCTTGGGCTTCGGGATGAAGACGATCTTCCAGTCGCCCTGGCGGCACGCCGCGCGCCCGCACGTCTCCCAGCCGTTGATGAAGTCCTGCTCGTGCGTCGCCTTCGCGGCGCCCTTCACCCACGGGAGCATGCTCTTCCCGCGCATGTGCACGATTTCGCGGCCTTGGTAGGAGGGCGCGGGGTGCTTGAGCCCGGCCATCTCAATGAGCGTAGGTGCGATGTCCATAACGGTGCCAAAGTTGTGCGTGATACCCGAAGCCTGCGCGGCGGCCTGCGTGCTCGTTGGCCACTTGGCGACCATTGGCACGCGGATGCCGCCCTCAGTGGTGTAAGCCTTGAAGAGTCTGCTGGGCGCGGTGGACGCTTGCGCCCAGCGAGGACCGTACCAGATGAATGAGTCGAAGTTACCGAGGTTGTCGAGGCTGTTGTTGTAGTACTTCGCGAGATGGTCCATCATGTGGCCCTTGACAATGGGGTAGGCTGAAGAGCTCTGAGTGCGGTCACATTCAGCGAGAGGCAAAGGCTATGGTACCTTCATAGGCAGCGCCCTCGGCGCCATTGTCGCTCATGAAGCAGATGAAGGTATTTTCAAACTCGCCAATCTCCTTCAGATGATCGAAGATCTTGCCTGCGATGCATCCATTCAGTCACACGCACCCAGAGTGAACACGTCGACATACCGCAGACCTGATCGATCCTGTCGACCATGCCAGCAAACACCTCCATAGACCGCGAAGAGAGAGCCTTCTCCTGCGGCGTCATATCCGACCACTCCTTGACCTCAGGCGCGATGACAGGGTGCGGCTCGACGTCGGGCTCGATCAGGCCTTGCTTCTTGAGACCTTCGAGGCGTTTCAGGCGCAGAGCGTCGGGACCATCGTCGTACACGCCACGGTACTTCTTGATATCTTCTTGCGGAGCCTGGAGCGGCCAATGCGTAGCCGTGAATGGCAAGTACGCGAAGAAAGGTCTGGATTCCAGAAGTCAGATATCTTCGACTTGGAGAGGCGACCAACTCACCGCTCCTCCTTCCGCTCGACGCGATCCTTCAAATACTGCAGCATCTTCTCGCCGTAGCCGATCGTCGAGTACCACCCATCCGGCAGCTTCCTCACATACTCCCCGTCCTCCATATGCAGCGCAATGAAGCTCGCTTCCATGAATACCGGCGTCTCGTCCTGTCCCTCCAGCTGCGGCTCAAACGCGTAGTGGTTTGAGCACGCGGGGAGGTGCGCAAACGAGCGCTCGAAGCCGCGTGCCTTTGGGGAGCGCTCCTTCGTCAGGCCGAGGTGCCACTTGCCCGCCATCAGCGTCTCGTAGCCGCCGTCGCGCAGCACCTCGGGCAGTGTTGCGACCCGCTCGTTGAGGTAGCCCTCGTAGCCCGGCATTCCTGGACGCGCACACGTGAGCGAACATGCTCGCAGAAAATATTCAGAAAAGGAGCTTACCACGCTGCGGTGCCGTATTCTGCGACGTCGATACGCCCTCAGGGTCGTTCTGCCCCGAGATGTTCGTCCACTCGATCAGGTTCCCCAGTCCCGCGATGTGGTGATCAGTCCCGGTCATCAACATCGCGCGCGTCGGGCTGAGGGAGTGTGAGCTGAATAGACGACCTTCGGGATGGCGTGCTCTGCACTTACGAGCACGCAGCCGCGGCATGGAAGTCCGTGAAGCGTACACCCGCGGAGGCAAGCTTATCAAGGTTCGGAGTGCGAATCTCGCTTCCATAGCACCCAATGTCGCTGTATCCGAGGTCATCCTGCCCGATTCATTCAGCACAGGAACCCGCGGATGTGATGGTAGAGCGACAGACGCACCGCGACGATGACGAGAAAGTTCGGACGCTTCTCTGTGGCCATTGTTCAAAATGGGGATGAGGTGTCAGGGCGGGCTAAAGGCTAAAGGTGCGCAAGCCCGAATCATGTCGCTCGCTCTTTAAACGAATTCTGGGTGGTCTCGCTCGGGGAAAGAGCCCCCATTCCGCAGGCGTAAGGATGGGTTTATCGAGAGCATCGCCCGCTGGCGAGGCCGCGATTGGGACAGGTGATGGGCGATATGTGCCCCGTTCTGTGGCGAGCGGTATGGAAAGCGCGTATCGGTGCGGAGGGGGAAGTCAGATGGTGCAATTGCCGGGGCAGCTGACGCCATTCGAGTCCAACGTGAGAGCCCGTTGAGACTGTCCATCGGAGACGGATGGGTTGATGACGGACATGAGAGCGCCATTGTGCATGTGTGCCTTGACGAGACGTCGTAGATCCTATTGTGAGCTGCTCTGCTGCTTTGTAACAGTATTGGGCCGGGCGGAGAACGAGAGCGCGAGCGCTGTCGTTGAGCAAGATGTCAGATATCAATAGTCAGCACTCTACCGGCGTTGTGACTGGATCCGGGAGAGTGAAGCGAGACTAGGCAACACAGTGGCCCAGGAGGACAATCTTCGCAGAAACGGCCGTTCGTCACCATGGCGCTTCCATAACCGCTATAGCCGAGCGACAGCTCACAATCTGGCCTTGTCTTGTGAGCGGACATAGGCGGTCATCCATAGACCGGAGCATCGAAGGACTGTGCTTCAGCGGACGCAAACGACGAAGTCGAAAGCAAGAGGCAGGAGAAGGGAGCGGAAATTGCCGAACCCCGATCGGACGGACGGGCCGGTCACCGGGTCAAGCCGAGAACAAGTCCAACTCGACGTTCTTCACTACGAATTGCAGTCTCTCAATCCGAATTGCAGGCTTTGCGGACGTTATAAGGGCGTAGGCGACTGCTTTGAGACATTTTCTTCCCCTGCGATTGCTTCACGACGTCCATATCACTCCTGGGCAAATCTTGCTCCAAATTGAAGGCCCAGTGGCGCTTTGAGAACCCCTTCTCAAGGCAGCTCGCTGGTCCTAACTTCATACGCGAAATTCATCCGCGCAGCGTCACTGCTTCCGCTTGCAGAAACATCGATAACTACCCTCGGTGCCCTCCTCCCCCACGCATGCTCCCCTCGCCGCTATCGAAAAACCGCCGCCTCCCCTGCGGAGAGCGATACACCGGGTCGCACATCGCTAGCAAATGGCCCTGGCGCACTTGACATTCGCTAACCCACCATCTCTGCGAGCGCCTCAGCCACCGAGCAGCAAACGAAGAGGTCATCCGACGCCCCAATGGCGCGTACCGACCGCCAGCTGACGCGATTGATACTCACGGTCGCCATCAGTGCTGGCGGCGCCAATAACGATCAATTCACCTCAATACACTCCCGGATGCGTCCTACGCCCCTTCGGGATGGGGCGCTTGCGGCGGGGAGTCATGCGTGATTCTGGCAGGGATTGCCTCATCGCCTGCGACCCGTTATGAACCCCTGCTAATGGAGTCGATGCCGCTCTTCCTCCTCTCCAGCCAAGCGCCCGAAGATGAGCACGCCAACACAGACGGGATTGACGAAACTCGGTCTCTTCCGAGCGTATTGGCTTGGTACGGGCGCTTATTTTTGCTGCCGAGAGCAATGTTCTGATAGTACTTTGCAGGGACTGTCGCATGTATCGGTGAGCACGATGGGGACAGTGCCTACTACCCACGATTCTGAAGATACGCGCAGGAGGATTTCTATTCGGATATGACAGTGAGGCGTCTCTTTCTGACTGGTGAAAACTGGTCACTGACGGTCAAACCCTTCGCTGCTAGGTGGCATCGTCGGTGAGTACCCCCCATCATAGTCTTCCTTGCCGCGTTCTCAAACGACAATCAGGATCGACGATAACCCTCGCCTCCTTCGTCGAGGACTTCCGCTACGGCTCCGGCGACGCCACACGCGTCAACTCCCTCACCGTCGGCATCCAACAAGCAGGCGCCCTTGTCGGCTGCTTCCTCGTCTGGCCGCTCACCCACCGCTGGGGCCGCCGCGGCGCCATCGTCATCTGCTCCTTCGTGTTCTGCATCGGCGCGCTCATCCAGACCATCAACACGCACTCCCTCCCCGCCTTCTACGTCGGCCGCATCGTCGCCGGCCTTGGCCTCGGCGGCTCCTCCGTTATCGTGCCCATGTTCACCGCGGAGATGGCGCCGAAGGAGATCCGCGGGCGCCTAGCAAGCTTTTACCAGCTCATGTACACCGTCGGCATCTTCCTGAGCTACTGGGTTGTGTACGGCGTGTCAAAGAACATGGCGCCGTCGACAAGGCAGTGGCAGATTTCGGTGGGACTGCAGTTAATCCCAGCGGGATTGCTGGGATTGGGCATGCTGACAGTGAAGGAGAGCGCGCGGTGGCTGATGCGGAAGGGGAGGCGGGATGAGGCTTGGGCATCGCTGCAGTGGGTGCGCGCGGATAGCTCGCAGGCGACGCACGACGAGCTTTTGGAGATCGAGAACAACGTCGAGGACGAGAAACGTGCGACGGCAGGCCTTACCGTCATCGAGTTGCTGGAATGGAACAACCTCAAGCGGTTCCTCATTGCCGCGGGCGTTTTCCTGTGTCAACAGTCCGTCGGGAGCACAGCTTTGGTTGGTCCTTTCCCCTCACCACCCTCCGTTCGCATCACCGACCTCTGCGTATAGGCCTACTATGGACCGCAATTCTTCAAGCTCCTCGTCGGTCCAGGAGACAACAACATCCTCCTCTCTGGCATCTTCGGTGCCGTGAAGATCGTGGCCTGCGCCCTCTTCGTATTCGTCTTCTCCGAGAGGATGGGCAGGAAAGTCGCCCTCGCAGGAGGCGCGCTCGCCATGTCAGCGTGCATGGTCACCATCGCCGCCGTCGTGAAGACCAAGCCTCCTCCAGGTGGTGGCGTGGTCACCTCGTCCGGCATCGCCACCATCGCGCTCCTGTACATCGACATCATGATCTACAACTTCTCCTGGGGACCACTACCCTGGGCGCAGGTGTGTTGTGCTTCCCTTCCACCACTCTGCCTACCCACTTACCAACCATTACCTCTCCCCACTCAGGTCACCGAGCTCTTCTCCCCTCGCATCCGCGAAATCGGCATGGGCGTCGGCGTCGGCTCGCAGTGGCTCTTCAACTTCGTCTACTCCTTCTCCGTCTCCTACATGATCGACGGTATCGGCTGGGCGACCTTCCTCCTTTTCGGCATCTTCGACATCTTCATCGCGTTGTTTACCGTCGCTGTACTCAAAGAGACGCGTGGGCTGTCGATGGAGGAGGTGGACCGTTTATACTTTTCTGGGAAGACGCCCGAGCGGTCGCCGTCGCCATCCGTGTCAAAAGACTCGCTTGAGCGTGTCACGGAGTCGGAGGTGGGGAAGTAGGACAGTCCTGGATGTAAGGATCACAGGGAGGATTGCTTTAGCACGATTTCAACGACCGAACATACCTACATCATCTGTTGTATCATTAGAAACTGCTCTCAAGACCTTGAAGACGATATCCTCGATGTCTGCCCAGTCACATGCAGTATATGATTAGGGTGCTATTCGGGTGCACAGCTTGGCGACCTCGAGCGAACAAATATTTGTTCCGTCGTCTTTCTCACGTCCGTGATGCCGACGCTCACTGATCTCGCCTTATCTTTTGCGGTCATCGTCCCCGTCGCCTTCTACGCCCACAGCAGGATCCAGCTCCCAAAGAAAGCGCGCCGCGGCTATGTGCTCTTCAACTCGGTCACCCATGCGCGTCTTCTCCCTGCGGAGTCCTCGCACTCCTTCACCTACCCCACAATCTCGCTCTTCGTCTCCCTGAACGCCCTCGAGGCGCACGAACTCGATCTTGGGCCTGCTGGACTGCTGCTCGCCTACGGGAGGAGATTCGGAACGCTCCTGGGTCTGCGATCGAAGCCATACCTTCGCGAGGGCGATGCGGGCATCCGCGACAAACTCGATGCATTATTGCGCGAGAGGAGGATACTCGTAGACGGCGAGAAGCTGATCGAGGACGTCTGGATGATGACGATGCCGAGCTTCATGGGCTTCGAGGGGATCAATCCGCTCACGGTGTACTTCGTGTATGCGCATGGCAGTGGGGCGCTTTGGCTCGTAGTCTTGGAGGTGCGTGAGGGATCGCGAAGGCCGCTTTCGATCATATCGCTGACCAGTCACATAACCTAGATCCACAACACCTTCGGAGAAGCACACGTCCACGTTCTGGAGTGCGGCGTGAAGGAAGACGTGCAAGCAATTCCCTCTGGGTATGTATAGTGATCGCATATATCGCACGCCCTTGGTTGATGGCCTTTGCAGCTACAGCCACCAATGGACCTTCCCCCGCGCATTCCACGTCTCCCCCTTCAACTCTCGCGCCGGATTCTACACCGTCTCCGTCAAAGCCCCCTCTCATATCCCCATCCCAGCCTCCTCCCCACCTCGCCCCGCCATCCGCGTCCATCTCCACAATCCCGATTCCACGAATCCAAACAAGCCCGGCGACCTCAAACTCACCGCCCTCCTCCGCGCAACCTCGTCCGAAGTGCTGTCCAGCGGCTCCCTTCTGCGTACCCTGGCCCGCGCACCTTTCGCACTGCTGCTCCCGATGGCACGCATCCTGTACCAGGCATACATCCTGCACTACGTCAAGCGACTCGACGTCTACATCCGCCCAGAGCCGATCTATGGCGCCGGCGGGGTGCGCTGGCTGAAGGAAGGCTTCCTGGAGCGGCGTGCGCGCCTCGTCCTGGAGGAATTCCTGCGGAAACGCGCAGAAGAGCTCGGCACCGCTGTTTCACTCGTCCCTGCAGATCCAGATGGCCGCACGGTGACATTCTACCCGGATAATCAAGCTGGTGTGCCGAGTCAAGCTAACGCCCCCGGCTCGCACCTGGAAATCCGCTACCTCACGCCGCGGTTCTTCATGCTTATGCTTGCTGCACCATCCGCCGAACATGCACTTCTCCTCGGCTATGAGACAGACTGTGTCATCATTCCCTCGTCGATCGACCTATTCCTGCGTGTATTCTCCTCACCGCTCGAAGTCTCGACGGGCTCGCTCTCCTCCGAGTCGCCTGCGGGATTGCCCTCCTCCGGTTCACTTGCGGGTTCACTCTCCTCAGAACCTCCAGCGGAACCGCTTTCTTTTAGTCAAGAGATACGCTTAGCTCCGCTGCCAGACTCGATAACGCTGCCAATCCCCGCGAAACATTTCTCACATCCATATGGCTCTTCAACCGTAATCACGCTGCTTCAACTGTATCTGGACGCTCTGGAACGGCGCATATTCTCGCTCGTCGGCGCACGCGTCGTACCGGGAGACGAGCCTTGGCTCCAGTGGGAGCGGGCAGCACGCGTCTACAAAGGCGGCAGGGTCGAGAGGCAGCGGGACGCCCTCGGCCTGGGGAGCGTCCGCTCCGATCCCGCGAAGTGAATAAACATCTGGAACCGCAACTACTGTGCGCCTTTCCTAAGGGCCTGCCACTCTTCCTGCAAGATCCCCATGTCGATCATATCGACCCAGTCGCCGTCCTGCCAGAGGCCCTTCCGTTTCCGGCCTTCTTCGACGAACCCGCTGCACGACGTCTCAGCACCAGCATAACCCTCCTCGCAGACTCCACACCACTCACACTTTCTTGTACAACGCCAACGCGCGCGCATTCCCACCCATCAAGCCCAACGACACGCGGTGCAGGCCCAGCTGCAAGAACGCATGGTCCACGACCCAGCGCACGATATCCGTCCCATACCCCTTCCCGCGGACGCTCTCATGCAGCACGATCCCCATCTCCGCATCACGGTTCTTGTTCTGCCCGCCGTGCAGCTCGACCTGCCCGACGACCGCGCCATCGAGGTCGACGACGGCGAAGAAGGTCGCGCTGCTCGATATGCCCTTGACGGCTTCCGCGGTCTTATTCCACTTTGGGACGGTGTTTCCTGGTCCGGTGCGCTGGACGTCGGGCGAGGAGATGATCGCGATGAGTGCGTCGAGGTCGGCGTCGCGGAACGCACGGAGGGTGAGGCCCGGGGCGGAGAGGGCGGCGAAGGTGGGAGTGGGGATGCTCATTGTGCGGAGAGCGATTCTTGGTCGATTGAAGATTTATATGGTTGGCACACGCGATAAGAGATAGATACACGCGATCGCGCGCATTCGGCATCGAGCACTCAGATTGAGTCAGAGGCTGAATGGCAAATAGCAATCATCATGGCCGCGATCAACCGGCGAGATGGGCAATGATGGGCAACAGATTCGTAGTTTGGTCAGATGTGCTCCCAACATGAGCGATCCCCCACAACAACATGCACTGGTTGAGCGACAAAGGAAAACTCAACCGTGAGAAATATAGTCAGGTGACTGAAACGTGCACGCCGTTCATGCACGAGGTGGTGGCCCATCACCCCCACCTTGCTCTTGACTCTCGTCGCCCCTCTGTGCTCGGGGTATTGCGCTCGCCTCTGTATTCCATTCCTCTCTGCCAGCTTAGAGATCATCGAATCTTCTGCCATTAGCCACCATATTCTTCACTCGTTAATCTAGCAAACAATGATTGCAACTCATCGTGAGGGCGGACGATACTCGGGTTCAACCACCATTGCGCTCGAACAACTGGATAGGTGGAACCATCTCGCGCCTCTTGATCAGAATTCCGGATCTACGCTCGCTCATGATGGACGGGCGCTTGTTTACCAAGTAACACAGGACTTGCGGCCTCTCTGGCGGCTCGAAAGCGCCGAGGAGCTTGAGCAGTGCTATGTTGAACTATTGGAAGGTAAGTGCTCCTGCTCCTGTCTGTTAGAATCATGCTGAGCGCCTACTCTAGCGCATTTTCACGCCTACAATCGTGCCCGTATACTTCACGGGGACATCAGCGCGAGCAATGCCATGGCGCGACGCGACGCCAAAGGGAAGGTCTTCGGACTCCTTAGTGACTGGGGTCTAAGCTGTCTCGCCGACGCCCACAATCTCGGAACAAGTTCGACATCTCGCCACCGTACCGGGACTGCGCCCTTCATGGCGATGGATCTGCAGCGCGCGGCGAGCAAGTATAGCGTCGCAGCGGACCACCGCTACTGCCACGATCTCGAGTCCTTCTTCTGGCTTCTTCTCTGGGCAGTGCTGCACTTTGACCTCAAGAGGAAGCGTCACCGCAACTGCACGCACGAGGATTGGATCGGGGACTGCCGGGAGTGTGCGGCTCGCTTCAAGCGGGATTTCATGACTTACGGAGGGACTTGGGACAGAGTGGTGGATGATGTGTTGGATATGTGGCAGCCCATTCTGAAGCGCTGGGTCAAGCCTCTTGCTCGCATGATCTATACCGCGCGAGAGCGTTCGACCCACTGGAACGACGACAATTTCAGGGTCTTTGATGACGACGTCTACGCAAAGGAGCTCACCTTCGAGGCCTTCATGCAGAGAATCAAGCAAACGCCAAGAGATAGGACTCACGAGGAAAAGGGGAGATACAATGGCGAAAGACACATGGCAGGTCAACGACGAGTATTCTCTGAGTCTTAGACTTTTAATGGATCACATGACGCTCGATATCGTCGCTTGGACTATCCCCCTATTCTGTAAGGACGACTTCAGGTCAACGCCCAAGCTACTCAAGCCAGCTTTCCCCATGGTTGACCCCTCCTCTCACGCTTCGGACAGCGAAGGGTCGGAGTGCAGCTGCTGCTCGCTCCCTGCCACCCCTGAAGGTACGTATAGTAATACCTGGTCGCACAGACTGCTTCTATGCTTCCTCCATTGATCATGTCTCTCCTCACAGACCTTCTGACTCCAGCACTTCGCGAAGAACTCGAGAGTCGTGTCATCGACCACCGAATTACTGTCGAACAATTTGTGCGCACCGTCTACGGCGTCGACAATGCCCTCATACAGCGCGTCCTGGCCCGCAACGTCACCTTCTCTCGAGAGCATCTGCAAGAATATTTGGACGGACTTGCCAGGGGCGAGGCGAACGAGACGTCGTGCAGGCCGTTCCAGGCGATTTTTGACGCCTGTGTGAGGGCGGTCCGCGAGGAGCTCGACATCACCGACGACCCGCCACTAAAGCTCTTCACGGAGACTAGGGGTTGCTTCGAAGGTTGTCCACAGCGCATGCCCGGCGGGATATTTCTGGCCCCCGCGGCTTGTCGCGGAGCCACCCGCATCGCCTGGGGATTGGTGCATCACGTCCTTGTATTCGAGGACAATTGTTTTGAGGGCGACGAATCTTCAGAAGGCGCTTTCAACGATTTAAAGGAGCGCAGCGGTTCATATGATCTCGACACCGCTTCACACCATCGCAAGCCAACCCCTTCGCTCTCCTCTCAAGAATTGAAGGGTGCGCAATACGCTCTCGAATGCATGAACGCCGACACGAGCCGGTATTACGCCACGGTCTTATGCGTCGATGGCACCAAAGTCTGGCTCCTGTACATCGACCGCGACTTCGTCTCCCGAACGACCTCCTTCGACTTCGTTGAGTCCCCTCAGTTGTTCGCCGTCGCCGCGTACGCCATGTTGTACTGCACGCCTGTGCAGGCAGGCTTTGATCCGCATCTTCATTTCCCTGTGACCACTGCGGACGGCACTTCCAATTATTTGAACGCTGTCGCCTACCCGCGCGAGCTGGCAGGGGCTCAATTCGTCTTTCCCGAGAGTCAAGGTCAACCTGCCCTGTCATTCACCGTCAAGAGCCTCTCTCCCGTCTATAGAGACGCGATCCCTTCAGTACGCGACGCTGTTACATATGCCTTGAAAGACACGAACAGTGATGGTGAGGAGATGGAGCTCAAAGTATGTTGGACACCTCGCGGCCGTACGCCGGAGCCTATTATCCTCAAGACCCTGCATAAGACGCTCCCCGACATGGTCGACCATCTCCCAGTCCTCGGAGGGTGGCGGGTGGTAGAGCCTACCTGCTCGCTGCTGGCCCTGCTGGACGAGAAAACCCGAATTGACTGCCTGGAGAAAAGTCGCAGGGTGGTCTACCAAGTCACGCCCCGCTTCATGCCGCTGTGGGAGCTCAATTCGGTTGAGGAGTTCAAGGAATGCTTCGTTGACATTGTCGAGGGTGAGCCGCTTCGCTAATCCGCCGCCTGTAGCCATGTCTGATTTTCGTCAGTGCATCACCGTGCCTTCGAGCGCGGCGGGATCATCCACTCCAACATCGGCGAGCACAGTGCGATGATGCGCCGAGAGCGCGGTCGCGCACTGGGCGTGTTGAAGGACTGGGATCGCGCACAACTCCCGAATGATTTGTTCGGTCCTCCTCACCATCAATTCGAGACCGGCACTTTCATAGCTGTCGAACTCCAGCAGAACGCTGGAACCCAGCACCGCTATCACCACGACCTCGAGTCCTTCCTCTTTCTTCTCGTTTGGGCCACGCTCCACTTCGGTCTCGAGAGCAAACGCCGCCTGCCGTCCAAGCTCCCTGACTGGCAAGGCGAGTGGCAGACGGCGGCCTTGAAAAAGAGGAGCTTCATCACCGATCCCGACACGTTTAACGAAGTTACTGTACCTACGTGTATGGAGGCAACCGTCCCACGTCACAACCCCTTGGTTGCGTTGCCCATGTCACAGGTCACAGCGACTTTGGAGGTCGGAGATCCTTCCAAAAACGGTAATTTTCGGTCGAAATTCCCATTTTTGGCGGCCCGGCTGACGCCGGGCCGCTTCCCGGGCCTCTGGTTGCCTCCCTTGCGGAATGTCACACCTGAGGGGCGGTTGCTTCCATACACGTAGGTACAGTATTCAGCTCACCTTGCCGCAGTTCAGAGGTGTCGTCGCTGAGTGGGTCTTCCCGCTGGTGCGGCTGTTCAGAGACGCGATGCGGGCGGCGGACGTGGTGAAGGTGGATGCTGAGGGAATATGGGAAAGGCACTTTGACGAAGACATCTACGCGGAGAAGATCACGTTCGAGGCGTTCATGCGCGCGATAGGGAGGACACCAAGGAAGTGATAGCACGAGCAGACGTAGATGTGTTGAGGCAGGGATATGCAAGAGAAGCCAATTCTCCAGGTTATCGGCAGCATAGGATTACACATTGACAATGTATCCGCCAACCAAATCACAGAGTGAGATTATACTCGTACTCGTTGCTCCCGCTCTGCGCGATCCAAAGCACGACCGCGCTCAGCATCATGGCAACATTCTGCGAGACGTTCGCGTAGCCGTAGTACGTGAACTGCTCCGCGTAGTGGGGGATCACGTATTTCAGAATGAGGACACACTGGGGGAAGGAGTTCGTCAGCCTTAATTCTGCGCAGGGATCGCGCAGCACACGCACCACGCTGCCCGCGAGCCCGCCCGCCATGCACGCGAAGCCGATGAAGAGGAAGAGGCGCGCGCGCCAGACGGCCCGCTCGTCCCCCGCGCCGAAGCCCTCGCCCCGGATGCGGTCCTTGTCGATCAGGTTGACGATGAGGAAGCCAAGGAGGGAGAAGATGCCGGGGACCCAGTCGACGAACGCGACATGCACTGGGGGATCCTGTGGGGGTGCACCGGGAGCGGTGTATGGGGAGTGCGCGTGCGCGGAGAGGATTGCGGCGTCAAGGAACGTCCAGTTCGCCAGCGCGAACTGCAATACGTCGCTATCAGTGGGGTCTGGGATTGTTACAACGCAGTAACGCACGAGAGCCCCTGAGAGGTATACGCCGATGGTACGCCTATGTTTGCCGAGAGAGAGATTGGGGAACGGGTTGAGGCATACCCGACGCGGGTCGTAGCTGGAGTGAGGGAGCGACATGGCGGCAGGAGCAGAGGCACGGCTGGTCTTCTGACATACGCTGCGCGGACGCCGAGCACCGGCAATTTCCGAAGGTGGACCCACAAGTGCATGTTCCAAATCAAGGGCCCCGGCGAAGGACATCGAAAGCAAACGGTACCACGAGCAGGTGTACAATCGGCATTTCCAGGAATACATATGTATGTATGAGAGCATGAGAGGCATAGCGTATAAATAGTGATGCTGGTATGCGCATGCAAGCGGTCCGAAGTTCATGAAAAACAGTCAAGTTCATCGGGCTCGTCATCGGGAACAAGGGTGTATCGACGCTTCTTCAGACGTGCAGCGACGTGCGCGGGCAGGCCGCTTGGCTTGCGATCTGTCTCCTGAACAGCAGTCAGCATCAGTTGCAGACGCTCAGATAGATGATCCCTACCTCATCAGTCTCCTTCCGCGAAGGCTTGCCCTTCCCGAGCCCGGCGCCAGCCTTCTTCTTCTTGTCCCCCGTCCCAGCCTTCTTCGACTCCCCGGCCCCGTTCACAGGTACCTCCTCGTCCATAGGCACCTCATCGTCCACTGCCTTCTTCCTGCCCTTCTTCACCGGCGGCGCGGCCACCGCGACGTCCTCGTCCTCGTTCTTGCGCTTTCGCCGTGAAGTAGCAGCTTTGCGCTTCGGCGGCGCACCTTCGTCGTCGGAGGCGTGTTCAAGCTCGGGCGCATCCTTCGCCTTCCTTCCTCGAGGCTGCTTGGACGGCTTCTCTGCGACCTCCTCAACCTCCTTCGCCTCAGTCGCCTTCGCTCTGGCCTTCGTCTGCTTAGCGTCCGGCTCAGCGGAGCCCTCGGCCTCCTCAACGACCTTCCCCTTCTTCCTCCGTGCCTTCGGCGGCGCCACGGGCTCTCCGTTCACTCCCTCGCCAGCGCGCCGCTTCTTCGACGGTCGACGGTCGTTCTCCTGGTCGTCGTCATCGCTGACCTTCCGCTTCGGCGATCGCGCTGGCGGCGAGGGGACAATCGGGGCAAGGTCATCGTCAAGGTCGTCCGGATCGGGTGGGCGAGCGATCTTGGAGGCAGTAGCGGTCGCTTTCGCCGGAGCAGCCTTCTTCCCCCGCTTCGCCCCGGCTGCCTTTCCACGCTTCGGTTTTGGCTCGGCCTCGACCTCAACATCATCTTCCACCTCAACCGGGGGCAAGTCGTCCTCTACCTCGACAGGTGGTAGATCATCCTCGACCACAACAGGCGGTAGGTCATCATCGTCGTCGACCGCAACCGGTGCCTTCTTCCGTTTACCCTTCGACGGTAATGGGGCGGGCGGGTGGGTAGGTGGCAGGTCATCGTCATCCTCGATTGGTACTGCTGTGGCTGCCTTCTTGCCTCGCTTGGCCTTCGACGGCAGGGGTGCCGGCTTGCCCTTCGGTCGCGGCAGTGTAGGCTCGTCGACGGGCGGGAGGTCATCGCCTTCGGACTCAAGAAGGGGAGCCTCCCTCGCCTTGGCCGCCTTGCCCTTTCCCTTGGGTTCTGCCTTCCCCTTCCCCTTCGCCGGTTGTTCAGGTTCAGGTTCTTCCTCCTCTATGACCTTCGTCTTCGTCCCCGCTTTCCCCTTTCCCTTCCTCCCCTTCTCCACCGCCTCGTTCGCCTCTGCCGCCTTATTCAGCGCCGACGCGATGTCGTAGCCATCCTCCATCGCGACCTTCTTTGAACGCGATTTCTTCGGGGGCGGCGCGGGCTCCTCGTTCTCCTGTCCTGATGCGGGCTGCTCATCCACCTCCATCCCCGCCTCCTCCTTCCTTGCCTTCGCCAAGCGTGACTTCTTAGGTGCAGGCTCCTCCTTCTCCGCGGCTTCCTTCCCCTTTCGCCGCTTCTTTGCCTTCAACGGCAACTCATCATCGTCATCGTCTCCAAACAGGGATGCTGCATCCGGAAGGGTAGGTGGCGGCTTTGAGGTGGCGGATGAAATGGGAGGTGGAGGGTCTGCACGACCGGAGGTCGATGGAGGGTCCGCGGGAGTGTTGGTAGTGAAAGGGTTCGTAAGCGCACTGGACGGTGGAGGTTTGGTGGGAGCAGCGGAGCTAGAGGGTATAGGGAACTTCAACTTTGGAGGAGGTTTCGTCGGAAACGATGGCGCAGCGGTCGTCTTCGACTTCGCCTTCCGGGGCGAGCGGCGGAGGGCGGGTGTCTCTTCCTCAACAACTTCCCTCTCCTTCCCCTTCGAACTCTCAGTGGGAGGCGGCGCCAGCGGTACATCATCATCATCGTCCTCCAAAGCTTCCTCGTCAACCTCCTCGATGTCGGACAAGACACCAATAGGCGGCAAGATGCTCTTCTTGCGCTTGGAGGCGGCGGCTTTCGAGTTTTTCTTCGAGCGGGAGGTGGAGGGGCCCTTGGTGGAACAGCTGCGTCTGGAGGAAGTCGAGGTGGACTTAGAGGTAGAAGGGCCTTTAGGGGAGGTCGAGGCGCTCTTGGATGAAGTCGAGGCGGGTTTAGAGGAGCTCGCCGCACGGGAGGTAGAGGATGATTTGGTGCGTGAGGTCGAAGACGCGGCGCGAGTCGATGAACGCACTGCAGAGGCGCTCACGCTAGATGTAGACGGTCCAGCATCATCGTCAGCACCTGCCTTCTTGCTACGCGACTTCCCCTTCGTCTTTCCCTTGGCAGAAGCGCTCTTGGATTTGCTGCTTGCGGCGGACTTGCGAGGGGCGCGCTCTAAAGTAGATCAGCATGCATGCGATAGGGCGATTGCATACAACGTACTGGATGTACTCGCAGCCGGCTCTTCGTTTCGTAGATTGGACGGAGGTCTCTCTGGCGAGTTGGATGGACTGCGGCGCATCAGGCCGCGTCTTGGGGAGAGCGGGGGCCGCACGCCCATAAGGATCTCGAAGAGTACCGTGCCGCTGTCATCGCTGAGTTGGGGGACAAAGTTTCTACGCGCGCGATTCAATTTTCAGCGCATATATGCGGGTGTCAAGCAGGGCACGCACCCTCCCCTGTTCCGAATCCGCGCCTGCTGCCTCTGCATGCGCTCCGCGCGCATCTGCTCCAGGCTCTTCCCCTCGTTCGCCTTGCGGATGGCGGCAAGATCGGGCGCCTCGTGCGACGACGAGCGCACATAGCCGGGTGTCGCCATCGCGGCGGAAAACAATCAACAAACGCGCTCGACGCGCGCGCGGTGGTTCAGGACAGGAATCAGCGGCGACGCCACCAATTCAGCACGTGCCCGCGACACGAGGCACGCGGCCCGGCCATGCGACCATTGGGATCTGGTTCCACTCAGTCAAACATATAGTATCTCATCCCGAGCTCGCCGAGGTGATCCTGAAGCCAGCAGGAGTAGGACCCCGGAATATACGCACAAAGGCCGTCCTGGAAAATCCGGCTCTGGCGCCCATTTATCCACTTTTTTTTGGGTTCCTGACCCCCAGATTTATCCGTTTTCTGGGACGGCCTCTCGGGACCCCCAGAATTTATCCGTTTTCTCGGGACGGCCTCAAAAATGGCAATAAAATCGGGAAAAATCTGATTTTTTCTCCAGGGTCCCTACGCGCTCTGCGCGTAGCGTCTGCAACAAAAGAAGGTTGAGAAGTACAAAAGAGAGAGCTAATTGCCTCCCATACCCATTCGAGGTGCTACCACGCACCGCTGTCCTTCGAAATATCGAGCTTGCCAGTGGTAGAAGGTGCCCATGGGCACAGGGAGGTTATCTAGGGTGCTACTGCCCGCTGTAACAAAGTGGTCACTTAGCTTACCGGTATCGCGTGCGTCTGGTCTGAGGGTAGGTCGGCGGTTCGAATCGATCGCCCGATATCCACTTTTTCGGAACGGCCTCCCTGTCTCCCCTGTGTATACCCGCGTTTTTGGATCGGCCTCTAAGCTCTCAGGCCCCCAATTTGACCGTTTTTTGGACCGGCCTACCGGCCGGAAGCCCCACGATTTATCCGCACCGCTGGACGGCCTATGTGCGTATATTCCGGGGTCCTGCAGGAGTCAGCTTGTAGCCCACCCTGAGACACGAGGCGTACAGTACCACATGGTTGCGGGCGAAGAGCCTAGTACCGGCATGCGACTGCATCAAGGATGGACCTTCGGCAGGTTCCATGATCGCCCACAGGTCATTTACCCCCGCCGCCCTGCATGGGCCCCCACAACCTCACCTTCAGCCACCTCACTCAAGCTGCCACCCGTTCCATCCACCTGCACCATCCTTCTGGTTTTCGGGGCTGCTTTTCTACGACGACCATGACCTCCTCAGTGTCGCGCTCGACCGCAAGGTCCTCGGCCGTGTCAGTAGATTTCGGCAGCGCCCAGCAGATGCGCGTGCTATGCGACAAGCTGCAGAAGCAGACCACCTTTCTAAGCGCCGCCGCTCTGCTCGCAACATGGGCGCGTCTCGATGATTTCGAGGTCGGGCGATGTGGTCGCAAGGTCGGTGGCAGGCGTCGTTGCCTCGTAAATCAATCGTGTTGACGTTGCCTCTTCGCAGATTCTCATCTGCTATAGTGTGAGTACTATGAAGACGTAGGTGGGAGTACGAAAGAGAGATGACCAACACATTGTAGATGGCCCACAGGTACCTGCGCGGCGAGGACATCGACCTCAGCCCCTTCGTCGGATGCCTCCCATGTGTGTACAGCCACAAGCGGGTATACTTCGATTTGTTGTGGCCATTATATCAGCGGCGACACGTCTTCGACGCAGACCAACGAGGTAAATAGATGCCCACTCATTTACCCTCGGGTATCCACTTCATCCTTACCACCGCCACCTTCTGACCACCACACAGAACGCCTCTCACTCCTTCTTACACCATTCGCTATTACTGGCCCAGTGGGTTTGCCTTGCCGACAACCACCGCAAGGCAGTGGGTTCTGGGACATTGATGCGTGCGCCATCCCCACGGGGCCGTGCAAGGCATCGTACAGGTTGATATCAAGGCGTGAGTCACTGTTCTGCACTGCCGTTCTTATGAGCCTCTGCACCGCCCGCCACTGAACCGTCCGCGCTGACATCCCATCTACAGCGAAGCAGAGTTTGGAGCAGGCTCCGACTACCGCGTCGTCACAGCCGAGTCAAGATGCGCGACCGCGGTCGTATTCATCCTCTGCGTGTCCACCGGGCTCGCCTGATCCTTTGGCTATCGCAAAATCCCTGCTCGCTGCCCCGAAACCAACCTCCTCCTCTCCATCGACGACCTCCACAGCCTCCGCGCCGTCCACTCCCTCAGTCATGCAGCGCCTCGTCAAGCTCATCGCGCCCAAGCCCGACGAGAAGAGGCGGCGCTCGAAGCACAAGCGCTCTGGGGCGGTGTCTATCAGCTCTGAAGACAAGTCACCGACGAGCGCGCGCTATAATCCTCTGTCAATGGCGGGGCGGCGGAATGCGTTGTTTGATTTCGCGGACAAGGATCAATCGGATGGCGAGGACGGATCGGGAAAACGGAGCTGCAGTGGTGATGGCAATGGGGCTGGGGGGAGTAGGGGTACTGGAGGAAAGGAGTGCGAGTCGAAGGACGAACACGAACCGATATGGCGCCCTCGACCGCAGCGGTTCGGGATTTTCTGCACGGGGAAGGGTGGGCAGAAGGCGCCGCGCTCGTTGCATTTGGTCGGTCAATGAGGGTGGCGGCGGCACGGGTGCTGTGCATATGGCATGAGATTGGAGGTAATGGACTGCTGGTACGGAGGAATGATTGCATAGAATCTGGAAGAGACAATTGCCAAGCTTCGGGTGGATGGAATCAAGGTGCTTTATGCAACAGCTAAATTCAAGGCGAGGCTTTGGTCTTTCAGGAGACTAAGTCGACCAAAGTTAAAGGGCGGCCATACAGTGATTACCAAGCGCTCAGATGCGCTTCGCGGAGCGCCCAGCCCTCTGAGAATACGAGTCGCGTCTTGCCCCGAATGGTAGCCTCTTCCATCAACGGAAGCAAAATATGTGATGTGCTAATCATTGCCTTATGGAGAAGGCCCTTAAACGAGCCATGATGACACCCAAGGGTCTGGAGGCGTTTCCAGCGCTTGCTCCGCTCTTCGCCATGTGCAGGACCTTCTTCCTGATGCACATGCAAGAACATACTCAATGGGAAGCTAGGCAAATTGAGTGAAGAGTGAAGGCTTTATATTTCATGATACAGTAGCGTATGCGCAGATTGTAATTATTGTGGTCAAGCAGCAGCGCCTTCTTGCGCGTTCGTCGCCGCAGAGGATCCCACTCGTGTATAAGACGCCGATGCTTGACCATCCTGCACAGGGTGAATAAGGTCCAACTCCTTCGGGTCGATCCCAGAGAAATCCCTATCCATCACCGTGCGCGCCTCGAGTTCGCGCTTAGTAAGATATAAGTGCAGGAGCTCGAGGCAGTCCTTGGCCTACAAGAGGAAATTAGGGAGAGGATCATGGGCATAGGGAATCAAGACGTACGACAACGAAAATACCGAAACCGATTGCATTTCGCCACCTGGGAGTGCTTAGTTCGAGATCAAGGGCGTTCACTGGCTTAACTCACCACACCGGATCCGCTTCCGACCAACTCCACGCCCCGCGCACCAGATACGCCACTACCGCCCGCCAGTTCGCCGACCCCGCCGTATATGGTGCATAGTCCATGATCGACGCCAACTTCCGGTCCAATGGCGGCCTGATCCCCAAGAACGCGCGCAGCACCCGCGAGTGCCTGGCCACCCTCAGCAGCAGCTGCCCCATCACGCGCGCAATAGTAGGCGCCAGCAGCGCCCCGCCAACGCTGCGCCCGAGGCTCGAGGCGTTCTTGCGGATGCGCTCCTCGGCGGCGGCGAGGACGTTGGCGTCTTGCGGGGCCAGGGCGGGCGGCTGGTCGGCGGGAGGGTTGACTTCGTCGTCCTCGTTCCCAGCAGGCTCCCGCAGCGCGCGAATGCGGAAGTTGACCTCGCCGAAGCCCTCGTTGACGCGCCACACAAAGTCGTCCGCGCCGCCGCGGGTGTTCGTGGTGGGGGCAGGCGGGGGCACGTCCAGTACCCAGTACTTGAAGCGGCGGAACAGGCGCCCGTACAGCCGCTGGACGAGCGGGATGCCGCCGAGGCCGACCAGTACAGGGGAGGGTGGCCACAGCGGGAGCGTCGCGCGGCGGAAGGGAGTAGTGGGGTCGCTGATCTCCTGGTCGATGAGGCCGCTGATGAAGGACTGCCGCGCGGCGATGGAGGGGACAACGGGCCAGTAGGAGAGGAGGGTGAAGAGCGCGGGGGAGTACCCCGGAGAGAGACGGGCGGAGATGAGGCTGAGAGGGAGGGAGGGGAGCAGGATAAAGGCGGTCACGGGCCACTTGCACTTGTCATCGGTGAGGATGAGGTCGTACATTCTGGGAGGGGGTGAGTGGGAGTACGGGGGAAGGAGGAGGCAGCGCACTCGTCGCCAAACATCTCTCGGAACGCAAATTGGCCGTATCTTGTCAGCAGCTGGTACACTCCTGCGAGCGGTCAGCAATTGGATGGTGCGCTCGGAGGACAGACGCACTGTGCATGATCGTGCCGCCGACTCCGGCCATGAAGAAAATAGTGAAGCTCCTTCCTAGCAGCTGGAAGGCTGTATTCCCCGCCGACAGGACCTTGAGGAGAGGGGGATTGTCGCTGATGATGCGGTACGGCTCGCCGCATTGCCTGCAGGAAGTCGCGTTCTGCTTGCGGTCCGCGGACTGGATCCATTGCAGCAAGCAGGACTCGTGCGCAACCAGCGTGCACTTGCAGGGATGACACCAGGCGCGCGGGGGATCCTCCGGTTCTGCAGGTATTTCAGTATGTTCCTTCCCCGTTTCCTCTCATGGGCCCACGGTCGTATGTTTCCTCCTCCCGGCATATGAAGCAGAGCTTGACCTGAAGTATTGTTACGGCGCTGCTTCGTTACATTACAAGTATGCATACCCTGAGGTCGTTCACTGTCGGAGGCCGGTCGCTCATCGTGTGTACATGAAGGTGGGGAACAACGTGATGGGCCGGAAGCCATCACTCGGCACCATCATTTGTTTGTTTTGTTTGGGCGTTTCCCACCAAAAGCCTTCCATATGATAGCTTGCCAGAAGCTGCTTCTACAGAGAGTCATATGAATCTACGCGAGGGCCGCGATGTCTGCACGCTATCCTGAACAGCCGGAGCAGTTGAGAGTCTTAGTACAATGGCATTGGACGTCCCGAAAAGGAAGTTATTGAGCGTAGGTCACGTGCTTAGCAAGCGATGGGCATAAACTCAGTTTTAAACTCGGCCGTTGGCTATGTGGCTTGTTCAATCCACTGTACTCGCATCTCCTGTCAAAGCTGAGGTATCTCCATGGCTCAGTTTATACATATTTATGATGAGTAGTAAAGAGGAGTTTGGCATGACGACGTCAGTTCCTCGCTGCATGACGTCGAGCATTTATAAAGGCCGTGGATATGAACTGGCGGCTTTCCATTGTTCTTCTGGGCCACCATACTCTGCGTAATTCACTCCATATACTCCTCATACTTCGTTGTACCAATGTCTCTCGGTGAATGTAGGCACTACCCATTTCTATCCCTCATTGCCACTCACCTTTGATCATAGCGGATGCGAAGTTCCCGCAGGAAATCCCTTCACCTGGTCCGCCTGCGATCCCCCCTTCACCGACACGAGAGAATCCAGGGCAGGTGCGCTTCATTCCTCGTCCACTTTGTCTGGTTGATCTACGAACTCACCAATCCCTCAGGTTTACCCCAAATCCGACCCATCACCAGGCCCAGCACGGCACACGCCTCAACACCTGGACGCAACCCACCAAGCCGGTAATCCATATGTCATGAAGGGCGCTTTGGACAAGCTGCACCACTCGCTCACCGACGTCATCAACCTCATCGAGGGCGAAGAGTCGGCCGAGGGTGGCACGATAGGGGAGGACGCGCTCCTCAACAAGTTCAAGTCATGGAGATCAGAGTTGGAAGCCATCGCCTCGGGCAGTGTGCAGCTTTCGGCGGCGCCGACAGATACCGTACGCTCGGAGGGGCCTTTGTTCACGGATTAGATGCGCTGAAGCTGAGTTGAAGATGAAGGAACAGCGCAGTCGTGCCCATCTGTACAGTACTTGTGACAAGCTCGCATTGAATGTTGCATAACTGTATCTTGTGCGACAGCATCGAAAGCAAAGCGAATAAAGTAGGACGAAATAAGTCCCTTGAGGTGACATAGGCGAAAGTGCAGGTTCATCATGCACTAGCGGTCACAGACCGAGAACGCAGCCGCGGATCCTGCGTCGTGCTCGAGCCTCCTATCGGTGAGGGTATCGACAGCCCATCGCTCGTCCCGTCCTTCATCACGACGTCCGGGGGTGCGGCGTCGGGCATCGCTGATCGTTCGCTGCCGTCCACGTCCATAGCGGATTTTGGCTCCTCGTCAACGTCCATTCGCCCGCCCTTCCCATCGTCGGGGATGCCGTCGCCTGACCTGCCGTTGCCGCTCACGTCCGGCGTCGCGTCACCCTCCGCGTTCGGCTTTCCCGCTTCCGCTTCTCCATCCTTCTCCTCATCCTCGCTGTCCGACTCCGATTCTGAATCCGACTCGTCCTTCTCGTCTTTATCATCCGCATCGGGTTCCATGTCCATTGCCTCCTCCACCGTCATCTCCATATCCGGCGTATCCAGCGCAGCCGACGACGTCGATGCACCAGGCGTGCCAGACGTTGACGCGCCGGGTGTTGCTGATGCCGAGGCTGCGTCGTCCCCAGCAGGCCGTCGTGAGGCCTTCCCCTTCTCCTTCTCCTGATACTTGCGCATGACCTTGGCGATGTAGTCGCGCGAGAACTTCTTCATCTTGTACACCTTCTCCTCCGAAAGTGCGTCCAGCTTGCCCTCCTTGAAGCTCGACGACTTCTTCTCCTTCTCCGCAATGATGTGCGTGAGCTGTGTAATCCACCGTCAGTCTCGCCATTCCACCCCAATCATCGAACAAAATCGTATCCGCTCACCTCCTTCGCCTGCTTCTTGAACACATCCCTTGGCAGGCCCTTCGCGTACTTGCTCATGGACTTCACCACCACCTCGCCCACCAGCTTCAGCAACCGCTTCTCCTTCCCCGCCTCCTTCTCCTCCGGCGTCTGGTGCTTCTTCTTCTCCCTCTCCCTCGCCTTCCTCTCTTCCCTTGCTTTCGCCTTCTCTGCTTTCCGTGCCGCCCTCCTCGACTCCTTCTCCCTCTGCTTCCTCTCAGCACGCTCCTTCGACTCCCTGTCCGCTTTAGCGCGCTCCTCGTGCGCCCGCGCCTGCTCCGCCGCGAGCTGCTGAGCGCGCTCCAAGAGCTTCTTCTTCTCGTCCGCGAGGTTGAGGTAGGAGACTTTTCGGGGCGGCGGGGAGGGGGCGCGAGGTTTGGGCGGACTAGGTGGGGGTGCGGTATGCTGGATAGGAGGACGAAGGGTGGCCTTGAAGTCGACAAACTCTTCGTCTTCGGGTATGTTATACCGCACACGCTTTGGGCGGGGGTCTTCGTGGGGGAGGGTGACGACCTCAGCGAGGTCGGACTTGCGCTTTTGGCTGGGCTGAAGGAGATGTCAATGGACGACGAGCACCGAGACAAGGGCAGACGTACATCACGGGCTAATCGGGGTATACGGTACGCGATCTCGAGCTTGTCCCACGTCTCCAGTAGCTTGTCAAGGGCGTGAGTTGCCTGATGCTACCAACGAAACAAAGGACACACACCTTCGTCGCGACGTTCTTCACCGTCTCATCCTCCATCTCCGCGTATTTCTTCACCGGATCTGTGATCTTCGAGTCCTCGACCTTATTCCGCTTCTCCAGCGGCCAAGTCGTCATGCACTCGAGGGCCTGCCAGGCTGTCAGCTTACTGTCTTGAACTAACCGACCCGCATACGAACCATAGCCACGATCGTCATGTCCTTCGCAAACTCGTCGAGTATCATGCGCATAACACTAAAGCCACGAAGTCGCATGAATTCGCGCAAGGCTGATGCGTCCTCGGTTGTCTAGATAGGTGAGATGAGCCATTGGCTATGATGAGAACAAGACAAGATCGCACCTTCAGTCGCAGAAGGATCTTATACAACACCTTCGCGCTTTGTACTTGCCGCAACGCCTGCACGACCTTCGGCACCTCCTCCCGCTTGATAGGCTTCATCTTGGGCTGCGCCATCATTCGATACGTGTCTTTGAATGAGAGGCAATTCAGATGCGCACCATGAAGTCCGGATCGTCAATCTTCTTCCCCTTCTTCTTCTTCGAGCCCTTCAGCTCCATGAGCTCATCCGCATCCGTTATGCCCAACGCCTCGAGGTAGACATCGTCGATGACCGCGACGTCCGTTTGTGTTTTCCCGCCGATGTAGCCCACGCAGTTCGGCTCGCCGCAGTAGCACGTTTGTGCTTGATGACTATGTGCGCCATTCCGGATGAGCACATTGGAATAGGACGGGGAAAGAATGAATAGCGCACCCATAGCGATCGACATTGTAGTTGAAGGTAAGCTCCTCGTACTTCTTGATGTTTCGTTTGGCGAAGATGCCCATGCGCACACGGTCGCCGACCGTCCACTTCGCGACGTAGCAGTTGGGGGAGCAGGAATGGTTCGCGAAGCGTCCGATGCCGCCGCTCTTCGTCGCGTCGATGAACTGGCGCCAAAAGGTGAGATACGTGCCCCGATCACCGTCAGCGCACCACGCACCTCATCCTTCTGCAGCATCATGAAGTAGAAGTGCTGGATGCCCTCCTTCGCATAGTCACGCATACGCTTCTTGAACGACGGCGAGTTGACCACATCTCCGACGTACTCGTAGATGAAAGTGTCCCTGCGTAGGGCGAGTTAGCTGGTACTTGAACGTTGGAGCACAGGTAGGCGATCGTACAATGCAGGGTGTACAGGCAGTCGTGCAGCGAAGAGCTGCAGCTCGAGTGCCCATGCCCTGCGACGAAAGAGCCCGTGTGCCCCGAACAAACCACGCACCTCTGGATGTCCTGCTCCGCACGCAGCCCAAAGCCCTTCTTTTCCGTCTTCACGATCTCGATGGGCGCATACTCCTTACGCTGGAAGCTAAGGGCTAGTTAGCATTGTATTCCGCTATCTACGTCTGCTTGAAGCTCAAACTGCCAGCAAGACTACGCTACGATGTCCGATGGGATGCTCACCGTTGGTTCTGGCAGAACTGTCTGCAGTGGCATTCCTCCTCCAAGCACTCGACCTGCGTGAGCCTGTTAATGCAGTTGGAGCGTGGGCCGCAGGCATGGTCGAGGTTGTCGCCTGTGGGAGAGGTTAGGGCACTAGGACTAAGTTTTCTAGAGCATGGGCAGCGTCTGCCGAACGCAACGGGCCGCGCCTGGAGTCGAGCACGAGCATGTGCATAGGAGCATAGGGACGCTGCGAGAAGAACGAAGACGGCGCAAGCACTACGCTATGGCTGTAAACTACGACCCAGCGCCGCATGCTCACCTTCCTCGTATTCACAGTCGCACGTCGAGCCTTCCATCGCCTCCCTGCTCTTGCCTAGTTTCGCGTACTGGTACCAGTTCTCAGGTATCTGCCTAAACGTGCGCAACGCATCCTCGCGCGCGACGGGCAAGTGTCCAATGAACTGCGGCGGATTGGGCGTCGCCTTCTTGCCCTTCTTCGGCTGGGCCTGTGGCGGCGGGGTCGCAGACGCCTTTGACGACGCCCGGGAGGCCGCTTTGAGCGTCGTAGAGGATGGGGTGGGGGACGCGGAGTCTAGGGTCATGGAGGAAGCAGACGCAGAGAGCTCGGGCGTGGACTCGGGTGGCTCAGACTTGAGGACAGGCGTGGACATCCCGGAGGGCGCGTCCAGCGCAGGTGTCATAGGCTCCTTCTCATCAGCCGCGAACAGTTGAGAGACGTCTTGAGTGGGGGAGGGAGTAGGGGGAGCGCCATCTTCAACCATGGCGGCGGACATGACGGTCGGGGAAGACGTTTGGTCAACGCGGTTCCGGGGTTACGGGCGATCACGTCGCCGACGCGTTCACCCAAAGGTGCAGAATACCGACCACGCAAGGTGTGGTCAGAAATTGGATATGTGTGTAGGGGTAAAGGCTGGTACAGGGAATGTGGAGGGTGATATGGGAACGACGACGTTGCGAACGCCGTGATCGTCGGCGGCGATGATGATGATGACTCAAAGTTTCGCCTAGTATGCCATGCTTCTGCTGACTTTCTAGAGGTCTCTCTGTCAGGGCAATGCTGGAACGTGCGGGGGAGAGCTACGTACGGTGCCCGACGATGGTGACAATGACGGTCGAGAACAAAAGTGCTTATTTCCCTCCTTGTCCGCAACCTTCATCCCGAGATCCTGCTTCAGCGTCTCTGGCTGCTTTGGCATCTTCTATCCTCCTTCCTGTGGTAATCAACCCCGCCCATGCCCTTGCGAAGCAAAGTGCATGAACTTCGGTGGCAAGAGGGCTCTCGCGAGTGGCTATCTCCGGCGATCCGATCGAGGTCGAAACTGGCATCGCATCCCCTGGCCCTCTCGCGTCCTCCTATGATGGCAGCTCTTAACGGTCTACACCAACAGACCTCATAACAACTCTATGAGCCTGCTCTCGCTGAATATCCCTTCGTCGTTGCTCTTCGATCAGGGTGTGGGCTGCGCTGCCGATCTTCAACCCATTGCCGCCTAGCGATGCATACTGAACACCCAACGCACCATCACTGCCCCTTGAAGGCTTTGAGCATACACATGCGGCCCTCAAAAGATTCTGTACACGCTGGAAAACATTCAAATTACTGTAGCCATATTCCACCTTGTCTAATGCACCGCCCCTACATTCGGCTCTATCTTGATCGTCTGCGTGAACGTCTCGAACGTGACCAGCTCCCCATATTGCTCTTGGTTAAGGAAGTCCAGACCCTCTTCATCCACATCCACCGAAGCGTCGCGCGCCCCGGAAAACAGCCTGAATAGCGGCCACACCCAGCGCCTCCTCAGGTCGTCCCACGACTCGAGAGTCAAACTCAAGTATTCGCGTCGAGTGTGAAAGCTATACATGAAGGATTGCCTCTTGCACCAGTCGTCGATCCACCCGGGGTACCTGCAGAGGACACGGCACTTGCGCTCGATGTCGTAGTGTACGATAGCCCATAGCAGCAACCAGAAGAACGACTCGAGGTCGTGATGGTAGCGATGGGTTTGTGGAAAATGTTTGCCGTCCGAGGCCACGTACTGCAGGTCGAGGGCGATGAACGGGCTGGTGCCTCTCCTGTTCAGAGGGTCGGTAGTCTCGTTGTCGACATCGTAATGAATTGGGTAGGAAAGATCCCAGTCGAGCAGACACCCAACGACTTTCCCGTCAGAAGACCGGTGCCACAAAACGGTGTTGTCGCTGATATCACGATGCAGAATACCCCGCTCGTACGCGCGAAAGTGCGCTATGATGAACGTTCAGTCTATTTCGCACGCATAAAAACGGATGCACATACTTCCCACTATACCCGCGTAGCAGCCTTTGAACTCTGACACAGAGTCAAGCTCCCACAGGGGGCGAAAGCGCGAAGCGGCTTCGTATACAAGCGTATTGCGGTCGCCGGCAATCTCACACGCGGGAGATATGTAGCGGCCTCCGTCGGTGGTATCGCCCATATCCTTCGGCGCACAGATCCGCATTCCACGCTCGGAAAGTAGCATTTGCCGCTGCGAGTTTGGGGATCCTCAAGCACACGGAGAATATTTGCTGACGAGGAGAGTTCAGAACGAGTCAAGAGCAAGGTGAGCACGACCGGGGCCGCTCACCACGCGCGCATCACATGATCGTGACCAACCACGGTTCGTCCTTTCAAGTGGACGACAGATTCTCGTTTCCTACTTGTCCTATACAGTCAACGGTGCTTGCTTCGAGGGTTGCCCTTATTTCTCTCTCACTGGTATTTATCGTGCGGCTCGATGCGATGCGTCTGGATCAAGTGCTTCGCTGCAATCCAGAAGTCACTCTTTGGTACATTAGTATTTTGCCCAACGGCACCCGTACCATGACCCTCCCTACCCGGTCGGCCTCGATGAGATGGCTATAATGAAAGTCTGTCAAACACATGGCGCGGGACCTTATTTCGCAGCACGGCAGATGCCTACCTCCCCCTGAAGTCTCCAAGACATCGTCATCGCTCAGAGTCAGACAGCCCACCGAGTTAGACACTGACAGCCCGCCGAGTTAGACACTGACAGCCGGCACAGAGCATAAAACCAGTAGGTTCGAGACGGGGCGCGCTGCATAACGCGTGTGGCGAGACCCCTGCACCTTGTCATTGACGCACCCCTTGCCGTTGTACTTTCATCCCGCGCAAGCGCCGCCGATCGAGTCCAGCGTCACGCTCTTGTGCCACCACCATCGCGCTCTACCCCCTCCGCCCTCCACCGCGATGACCACCTCTGGCAGTAGTAGCACCACCTCAAGCACGGAAGGCCCCTCGAAATCCCCTTCGGATTCCTCAACATCCGCGGTCACCCCTTCCTCCTCCATCCAAATCACCCACCGCTCCGACCGCTCACTCGCCACCCACATCATCCACACCTCCCTACGCACATACCGCCCCATCGGCCAGGCGTTCTCAAGGCCCGGCTCGCCTTACCCACCCGGCTCGCCCCGGCTCTCACCCAGCGCATCCTGGACGGCCGGCTGCAAGCTCACCGAGCGCCACATCGAGGGCATCTACGTCTACGACCTTGTGCGCAGCGACGACGCAACGGAAGACAAGACCTCACCCGCCGACACGTCTCACCACACATCGCCCCTCATCGACCGGCGCATCTACTTCATCGCAGGCGGGAGCTGGCGACAGCCACCGACCAAGGAGCACTGGAAGTTCGTGTCCAAGCTAGCTCACGAGCTGCCGCGGACCGCCGTCTCCGTCATCAGCGTCCCCCTCGCGCCAAGGGAGACGGCGCCGACAGTGTACCCGCGGCTGCTCGCGCTGTACGAGCGAGCCATGGCGGACGCAGAAGCCAACGGCGAGCGCGTGATCTGGGCGGGCGACAGCTCGGGCGGGAACATCGTGCTGGCGCTGGTCGGCGAGGTGCTGCGCGTGGGCCGGAAGGGCGACACGAAGACCGCCGTCGGGCTGGAAGGTTCAGCAGGGCGGCGCACGGACGAGCAGGCCCCGACAGAGGAGCGCGAAAAGAAGCGGCCGCTCCCCGCACCCGCCGCGCTGATGCTCATCTGCCCCAGCGTCGACGCGAAGCGCAACAACCCCGAGATCGCGCGGATACAGAAGGTGGACCCAGTGCTCGATGCGGAGGAGTCGCAGCGACACGCGGCGGAGTGGGCGGGCGAGTGGGGGCTCGAGGACGAGCGGGTGAGCCCGGTGCTGAGCGACAAGGAGGACCACGTCGTGAAGCTGCTGCGGGAGCGGGGCGTGCATGTACACGGCGTGACGGCGGGGCACGATATTCTTGGGCCGGATGGGATCAAGCTGAGGAATAAGCTAGCGAAGGAGGGGGTGGAGGGGAAGTGGTTGGAGTGGGATAAGATGATGCACTGTTTCTCGTTGGCCTGGTTTTACGGGCTACCGGAGAGTAAGGAGGCACTGCAGTGGATAAAAGACGTACTGAGGGCGGAGTAGGTTTCATTTAGTAACTTCGATTGGGGCGGGCAATGTATATATTGTCGAGGTTTAATTCTAAACGATTCCGCTTGCGGCGGGTGTGATAGCCTCCTCGTCCCGACCTGCACATTCCGTGAGCGACTTGCTCCGATACAACACAACCAGCACGCACCTTCGATGAACTTCTGCATGAACGTCTTCTGCGGGCGCTGCTTGGGCTTCAACAACAAGCCCAGGACGTGATCCCGCATCTTCCAGTGGTTCATCGTCTCCTGGAACTCCATGTGGCTCTTGGCGATCAGGACGTCAATCGCCTTCGGGTCGGTCACGTAGCGGTTGTACTCGAAGCGCTGGCGGATGGCGTAGCGGGCGGCGGAGACGGGAATGCTGAGTTCGTAGGAGGAAACGATGTCGGGAGCCTGATGATATCTTTATGAGTGCGACTTGTACGAACGCGGGGAAAGTTGGTGAACGCACGCAGCGGTACCATTCCCGGTAGAGCTTGAGGACGCGCTTGCGCGCCTCAGCAGGGTTCGCGGACACGCGAGTCGGCTGCGCAAGCCTGGCGGGGACGTAGAACGCGGACATGGCGGCCGCCAACCGATGGTGAGGGCAGGAGGAGAGGGTAATGCTATTTGTCCGTGTTATGCCGAGGGCGCTCGCCGTATGTCGCGCCGACATCACCAGGCTCCTCAACCAATCCCATCTTGTCTCTGACTGTCATTCTCACCGTGAAGCCAGCTTTGCTGAAGGGGGCAGATACTCACAGCTGGCTACCCGATAGACGCGGCTTGGTGGGAAATTTTCTGGACGCGTTGAGCCTCGCAGGTGCGTCCCCGGAATCACCGCTACTGCCCAACCGACTCTGAAGTTCGGACAGATGCATGAGGCTGGACGCCGCCCGCTATGGGATTAAGTCTATCGCCCGACGCGCACTATCAACTTGGACCGGCGCCCCCACACGCACGCTGCAGTTCGTTCGCCATTTCAAGCATGAGACGCGCGACCCGGCTTGGACGATCCTAGACCACCTCCACTCCCCGGGCCCGATGAAGGGAAATGCGCGTAGGGGCCTCCCCCTCGCGCACCGCGAGTGGGACTTCCTCCTCCGCGCGGGCGACATCCGTGGCTGCCTCGACGCGCTCCGCACCCGCGGGATCCCGCTCGACACCGTGCCGTTCTGGGGCCTGGCGGAGATGGTCGCGTTCAACGTCCAGCGCGTGTCACATGCGGACCTGATGCTTGACGTCGCGCGGTCTCGGGCACCCGAAGAACCAGCGGGACCCTTGCTCGTCTTCGCCATGCTTCATCTCGCGCGCTTCGACCACGTCTCTGCGTTCCCAAGCACCGTCTCCGCCTTCCTAGGCACCGCACACACACACCCCGACCTCCACTTCAACCTCTTCCTCCAATCCCTATGCCTGTCCACGCACCCCTCCAAGGACGCCGCGCGCTCGGCCGTTCGCGTCCTGGAAGCCATGGATGATCGCGGCGTCAACCTGCGCCCTGAAGTCTACGACGCCCTCCTCCGCAACCGCTTCGTCACGCTCGAACTTACCAATTACCTCCACGACCGGATGGTGCGCGAAGGGCACGTACCAACACAAGCCCAGCTGGAGAGTTTCCTGCGTGTCTTCTCGCGCGAGGGCGCCATCCACGACTCCGCAGCCTACGAGAAGATGGTCAAGCCGCTGCTAAAGCAGAGCCGCAGGGCGTTGCGTCACAGTCCGCGCCTTTCCCAGTACGCCTTGGCCTCGCAGGAAAGCGGCGCCTCCGCCTTCGCCTATCTCAAGCAGCTGGTTTCCAAAGACGAGCGTCGGCGCGAGTCGGATATCTTATATATGCGACAAGACCTGGCCAGACGGCACCCTCACGTCGACATCCCCCGGCCCGGCGTAGCAGAGGCAACCACAGCCCTGCACGCCCTCACGAAGGACTACAGGGTCGGCGCGAAGCAGCTCATGCGCGCGTACACCCGCCTGCGGCACCTGCGCCCCCTCCACCGCGAAACCATTGCCTCCCGCAGCGCCCTCATCTCCGCCCTCCTGCGCCGCCGAGCCTACGCCAGCGCGCACAAGCACGCAAAACGCCTCCTCCGCTCCGGCCTCCCACTCGACGCCCGCGCGCTCTCCATAATCATTCAAGCCCACATCCTTGCCGGGCGCCCCCAAGATGCGCTCGGCATCCTCGAAACGCACGCCGCTAGCCCCTCCTCCGCCTTCCCGGTGTCTACGCCTACTTCTACATCCAAGCTCGCCCCCCGCCGCATCCGCCTACCCACCGCCGCCCTGAATGACATCCTCGGCGCCCTCCTCGCCGCGAACCGCCCGGACGTCCTCTTCGCCCTCGCGGACACCATGGAGCCGCTCTACGGCACCCGCCCCGACACGCGCACGCTCGGCCTCGTCCTCCGCGGTGCAGCGCGCGCAACCCGCCTCGACAATACCTTCCGCGGCGCGCTCGCCGCGCTCCGGCGGCGGCTGCACCTCGGCAGGCCCCCCGCGCCCGCGCCGCGAACGAGGGAAGAGGCGGTCGAGGCGCTGCGCGCGGTGGCGGCGGAACGGTACCGCACGGGCGCGTGGCGGGGCATGGGCGCGGCGGAGGCGGCGAGGAGGGTGTTTGTGGGGGCGATCACCTCTGGGGATGGGGACGGGCGGTTGAGGGGGGTGGCGGCGCCGGCGGTGGCGGTGAGGCCGCATCGAAATGCGGACTCGCTGCTGCTGATTGGGGCGCAGGGGCTGCCGGCGCGGACGGAGGATGTCGTCGGGGATGCGCTGCCCTGGCCGCCTGGGGACGAGGTCGTGGGCAGTGAGATCGGCACGTCGACGGCCCATACGCCCTCGGAACCCTGCTTGGCCACCCATCCCAGCCCGGCTGCCCCAACTGCCCGCGCTCCCGCCTCGACTACCCTCCACCCCGCCGCCACTACCACCCCTCCCTCCGCCCCTCTTTCACCACAGCCCAGCCCCGATCGCGCCCTCGAGCACGCCTTCTTCGCCTACATCTGCGTCCTGGGCCACGCCCACCGGTCTCCCGACATCGCCCTCGCCCTCGCCTGGATGCGCGCCCTGCGCGTCCGCCCCCGGCCGCGCACCCTCGCCGTCGCGCTCGCGCTGTGGGCCGAGGTCGCAATGGAGGCGCCGCTGGTGCAGCGCATGAGCCGCGGGGACGAGTACGCGCGGCTGGAGGCGTGGATCGAGCAGTGGGCGCGGGAGGCGGGGTTCAGGGTGCCTGAAGCGAGGAGCCTGAGCAAGTGGAGGCGGTGGCTGGAGAAGCAGAGGGGGGAATGAGGGGTAGGGGAAGGTGGCAACGGTAGATAAAGAGATATGCGTTGCATAGCCTACATTCAGGAAAAGTACTTACGCTGAGATAATTTGCGCCACTTGATGCAGACCGACCATTGCCCTCTTCAGTGCTTGAATGCTTACGTGTAGACCCGAGTTCCTCGAATGTGGGTATGGCGGCGAAGCTCGTCCGATTGAGCGATATGAAGATATAGATACAGTCAGTATTGGTGGTGGTACACAGATTCAAGCTGTATGACGACAGGTATACATCCAAACTCTAACGTTTGCGCTGCTTCTGCGCCGCTGCCTTCTGCTCGATCTCTGCATTCTTGGCTGTGGGGATGTGAGTTGACAATCGATGAAGGAGCGAAATAACAGAATGAGTTGTTAGGGTTGAGAGAAAGGTGGGGGGAGGGGAAGGAAGGCTGTGGTGATGAATGAGTGGTCGGTAAATGGACTCACCCTCCTGCTCTGCCTTGCGCTTCTCCTGCGCCGCTTCACGCTCGGCGCGGATCTTGGCCAGACGAGCGAGATCGGTCTTCGCCTGCTCGGTCTTGCCTTGGACGTGGAGCTGCAAGATCTGAGCATCTATTTGTGACGCGATGGGCGCAGTACGCACCTTCCAGTACCTGTCTTGCGCCTCCTTCTTCTCCTTCGCTTCCCTGTGATACAATATAAGCAAATTGCCACATTCCGCAGATCGGTGAGCAGTACCGTTCGCGACGGGTAAGCTCGCGCGGCGCATTGAGGTCAGAGATGTTCATCTTCTTGGTGACATGGTTGGGGTTGATTAGGTCCTCGTCGTCGTCCTCATCCTCGCCGCCAGCCTTCTTCGCTTTCTCTGCGGCTTGCTTCTTCTTGAGCTCACGTCGTTCTGCGCGCGTCATCTCAGGCTGGCCGGCTTTGTCCTCTCCTCCGCTTTCTTCTTCCTCTTCGCTTTCCTCCTCCTCTTCCTCTTCTTCCTCCTCTTCATCGCTATCGTCGTCGGAGCCCTTCTTATCCCGCGGTGCCCTGATATGCGATCAGAAACAGACGGATGCAGCGCGGTGAGCGCACCATCGGCGATCGGTCGAGACAGCAGTGCCGTCCTTGTCGAGGACGAGGTTCCTTCTGCAATGGGGACCCAGGATGAGATGCCATAAATTCAGCACGAGATGGATGGTGCGCACGAGAATTGACGCCCACCGCCACGCTTCTGCTTGTACTTTCCTGATGAAGGATCGTTATGATGGGTCTGCTCATCATTGCTCGTGACGACGCACCTGTTCCACGGACCATGTCTGCTGTTGTGCTGGATGTCGAGGGCGGCGATGAGAGGGCGAATCGGACAAGTCACAATGACAAGCGCCGTCCGCACGTGGCTGGGAGCCTGCAGGCAAACAGGCACAATCACCAAATCCAAGTTGTCCTTTTTTTCCCGCGCGCCGCCTTCCTTCCGCCCATCGTCATCGAGGACGACGCCGACGAGCCCGTACCGCCGCCGCTGACAACGCCGCCCGCCATGCCCCGCATCCTCTACGTCCGCAACTTTCCCGTCCATACCCGCGCCCGCGACCTCGCCTACGAGTTCGAACGGTGAGCCGACTTGTAAATTCTGACAAGTGCCTTTGTCTGACGGTAATCGCCCTCGCAGGTTCGGCCCCCTGGTCCGCTGCGACGTCCCCGCCCCGCGCAACCCTCGTACATCCGCGACTCCGTAAGTCTCAAAGCCTTTCGACCGATTCGAGCAAGCCCGCCGCCGCCGCGATGCGATGAAGCCCCGCGAGCCGAGCCGATGCCACGCGCGCTGCGACCTCGACGCCGTTTCCATCTTCGATCCGAATGACGAACATGCGCTCAACGTACGGCCCGCAGTTATGCCTTTGTCGAATTCCGCTCCGACCGTGACGCCGAAGACGCCTACTACGATATGTGCGTCGTGCGTTTTCCTATGTTCACCCGGTACTGACATGAATGCTAGGCATGACCGCCTTTTCGACGGCTATCGCCTCGAGGTCCAGGTGAGTATGTCCTCATCCTCTATCCGTCGACGCCTAATGAGGTTTGCAGTGGGCGAAGAACCCTCCTTCCGCTGAATGGCGCTACAATGAAAGCCGAGGCTACGCTCGCTCCCGCTACCGCTCTCGCAGCCCTCGCCGCGGCAGGGACGACCGGGACCGCTACGACCGCGATCGTGACTATCGGGACCGCGACCGTGACCGCCGCCGCCGTACCCCGACTCCTCCCCCTCGTCGTCGTACGCCAAGCCCTCCTCTTCGTCGCCGCAGCGCATCGCCCGACCGCCGTCGCGACGACCGTGACCGCGACCGTGCGCGTACCCCGCCCCCACCAGTGGTCGACGACCTGCCCAAGAAGGACGATCGCGACCGCGCGCGGACCCCTCCCTACGATCATTGAGGGGTAAGCATGTTTCGTCGTCGATGGGCTGACATCTGCCTCGCGCCAACTCATTCTCTTGACATCCTTACCTGCGGCTCGCTATTGAGGTTGCTGCCGGCCCAGCCCACGGCTGGATGGTTCCCCACGATTGCGCACCGCACAAAAGTTCTTCGCTACGGCCTTTAACTTCCTTCGTCTATACCTTGCAAATGTCTTCTGTCACGGACTCCGATATCCCTACTCCTATTGAGCCACCTTCCCAACCCCCATGAAATCCTTTTCTTCGAGTGCCTTGTCTTGGCGAGCAGATTTGTTTTCCTTTTCCCCTTCTTGTCTGAGCTTCCGTTTCCTCTTCCTACTGTAGAAGCGTATAGCAGTAGTCTGTCGTACGAAGTATCTTGATGAATGCCAGTCGATCATGCTGATTCTTTCGAGTGTGGTCGGGGGGACAGTCTTCCGACCCCGATTCCTTTCTCAAGTCCTCGAGAATCGACTCGAAGCGGAAGGACCGTGATAAATTGAGATCATGTGACTGCCACGCGCGATGACGAGGGCGTCGGGCGCGGTCGGTTCGGCTTTCTTCTGACTTTCATGGTCTTCGCGTTCCTGGGGGTTTTCAGGGAGATTCCATACCCCACTTCACCCGAAATACACGACAGCTATACTCAACGCAAATTGTCCCTTTCGTGAGCATACGAAGATGACCGAGTGTAGCAGCGCTGGCGAACTTCTGTTGCAGGAGGCCGCTCGAGTGGATTTGAAGCGTCCGGCTCCTGACAACTTCTTCCTGCCGCCGCCCGGCATCAGCTCTCTGGATACTGCTTTGCACAAGCGTCGCCGGATTGATGCTCGTCCGCACAGGCGGGCAACGGATTCTTCGATTTCCCGTATGTAAAGACCTTCAGTGGCCGAGACGACGAAGGCTGCCGTGTCCTTGTACACCAAGTCACGCCACGTCTCCGACCGCTTTGGGAGATGAGCTCCGTCGACGAATTCGCAGAATGCTAGATTGACATAGTGGAGAGTACGTGATTCTGTTGTATCCCGCTTACTCTGGCCGACAATCGGTAGCTCACTTCCACGCATACGAGCATGGTATTCTGCATCGCGATATCAGCGACGAGACTGCCCTGGTGCACAAGTCTGACGCAATGGCCGTCGGACGCTTGGTCGACTGGTATATTTCCTGCCCCTTCGACTCTACGAACGACGTTGAAGCCAGTGCTCCCAACCGCAGAGGCACCACTCCCTTCGTCGCCATCGGCCTGCAATCCGCTACGGTGGATGGTAAACCACTCCCACTGCACTCGCGCTACTGCCATGACCTCGAGTCACTGTTTTGGCTGCTGTTATGGTCGGTAGTTCATTTCGACATCCCCAACGCGCGTCGTCTTCCCTGCAGGATCCCCAAGTGGCGCCATGGCGCCTGGGAGGACGTAGCCATCTTCAAGCATTGCATCCTAACTTCTCCAAACACTCGGCAGGGTGTCCTCGATCTGGCGCTTCCGATCTACGAGGACCTGGTAGAGCGCTGGGTCGTACCGCTTGCAGCTATGTTCAGAAAGGCTCGGGATGACGCGGAGGATATCGATCAAAGGAGGAAATGCTTCTTCAATGCCGAGCTGTATGCTAAGGAGGCTACCTTTACGCGGTTTTTGGAGACGATCCAAAGCAAGCCTCTAACGTGGTCGAGGAGGTAGCGGAGGATATTTGGGTTTCGGTAATCAGGTTGCTATTCGTGTATCCTGTCTCGCTGTCTATGCAATGTAGATGGGTCCAATCAGAGAGGATCTCCCTGCCTTATAAGTTCCAGTGCAACGAACGAATCGGGGATTCCCATAAATATTTGTCGCGGCCATGTGACACGCGCTGCGCGCCTGGATCGGTCTTTCTCTTGACTCTCGTCATCGTCTGTGAGCTTTGCGCCTAACCCGCGAGCTCCCGCGCTGGTAGTGCGATATCTTCTTTACCCGGTATCCCTCATATATGCTCCGCAGGCGACGTTAGCCACGCCCGGTGCACGACGCTCTGGATCCCCTCGTGATCATAAAAGGATGTCCGACAGTTATAGACAGACGACGGAGAGCAACGATGCTAACTTTCTGCTGGGAGACATCGCTCATGCTGGCTCGAAGCGTGTCGCTCCTCACGATGCTTATGCGCCGCAGCAAGACTTCAGCTCGCTGAAGACAATCTCGCACAAGCGTCGTCGCGTCGAATGCCCTCTCCTCCTCGACTTAGTCCCCCGTACTTCGGGCTACTGCACGCCTGCTCTAGCGAGGTTTCGTATGCTCCCTCATCCTTTGGTGAAGGGAAAGGAGGGCCCGAGTTCCTGCTTCCAGCGTGAACTAGAACATCGCACCCTCGTATACCAAGCTACGCCGCGCCTCCAGCCGCTTTGGGAGCTAGGCTCCGTAAGCGAATTTAGTAAATGCTACATCGACATACTGGAGAGTACGTGTCTATTCTTTTGATTTCCTATACTTGCGCTGACAACGACCAGTACACTTTCGCGCGTACGAGCACGGTATCCTGCGTCGCGATATGAGCGAGGAGACCGCCTTGGTGCACAAGTCCGACGGACTGGCCGTCGGATGCCTGGTCGATTGGGACCTTACCTGCGCCCAAGACAATCCAGCCGACGGCGAGGCACTTCGTCGAGGGACCGGTCCCTTCGTAGCCATCGACCTACAATACGTCGGGTCGAACGGGAAGCTACAGCCGCAGCACCGCTACTACCACGACCTTGAATCGCTCTTCTGGGTGCTTGCGTGGGCGCTGATGCATTTCGACATCCCCAACGGGCGCCGCCTCGACTGCTACTGCCTAGCTGGGGAAAGGGAACATGGTCAGAAGCGGCCCTCTTCAAGTCGTGCTTCATTCACGGGGATTGCCATACTATGGGGGACTACCTTCGCGGGGTTCTCCCGCCTTACAAGGACCTGGCACTCGATTGGGTTATACCACTGATGAAGTTGTGTGGGAACGCTCGACGCGCCGCCACTGAACCCAACACGGACGATTATACAGTGAAGTTCGGCACCGTACTATATGCCAGGGAAGTTACATCCGAGAAGTACATAGATATAATTCGGCCGCGTCAGGACGATCTTTAGATTTTGGCGATTGGTGGTTGTTGGCACGCTTTGTCTCAATTTTATATCGCACTCAGCTGGACCAGCGGCCTTTGTCTGATTGTGCTGACGTCTCTAAGGCGGTCAGTAAGAGGTCACGTCCATGGACACATACGGACTCACTCAAAGCATATCAGTATACCTCCAATCATCATCCCGTCTGGTTTCTCTCCATGTCCACAAGGCGTCGGACCTCGTCCCACTTCGACCCTGGACCTGTCTCCGCTTCTAAATCACCGTATGGCGACACGGCGAAGGAAGACACCGCTCTAGGGAACGCGACACACAAGAGATGTGCGACGTCCTTCGGGTGAGCGCTGCCCACCTCGGAGTTCCAGACTGGTGACATTGTTGTCAAACGGCCGGTCTCCTAGCTGCTGGGGGATATCGGAAAAGTCGACAGACAAGGTAAGAGCGTGCAGTGAGGTGGCGCGTCGGGCAATTTCGAGGAGGCCGAGGACCGTGCAGGTGTATACGACAGGCGTGTCAATTTTTTCCAAGGCCTCGCCGTCAGAATCAACAAGATCCTCTGCGTCGTCTGCGAGTGAGGCGTCTTCCATGGGCTGAACCAAACTCAGGGTCTGCAGCGACGGCCAGGCCTGCATAAGCGAGACGATGTGCGAATTGCTGATTGCAATCCCTCCCCTGTTCTCTAGCGACACCGTCTCCAAGTGTGTGAATGGTAAGAGCATTCGAATATCGTCCCCGTCGAGCACGGCCAGCTCGCTACCGTCCCGGACGTCGAGGTGACGGAGGCTCTCGTGGTAGCAATGCGACGCCAGGGCCTGGAAGAGCTCGTGCCAATGATCGGTGGGACGCCTCTCTCCATCGCAGACATCAGGTAAGTCGAGATCAATCGTGAGGGTGGATAGAGTGAGGATACCACAATGGCGCAGGAAATTCGCGATGAGACCCCTGTACGGGCTGCCCTTGTAAGCAGCTGCGCGTAGCTCGAGTGTCCTCAGAGCATGGAAAGGGCGCCCGACGGACGAGAGTTTGGTGAAGGAGGGTGGATCTTCACGGGGCGTGACGATGCGGAGAGTCTCCAGCGCAGGCAAGGCCGCCGCGACTGCGTAGCCCTCGTCGTTCAAGTCATCGACGTCGAGTTGTCGGAGGACATCTTTGCGGACACCGACAATGTTAGGCATAGTCCTCAGTCCAAATACAGCCAGGGTAATTAGGACATCTGACGCGCAGCATGCGCACAGTGCGTCGATGTCCAGACGAGGCTTCTTCTCGCTTGGCGTCAGGGAGACGCGCAGCTTTGATAACACCGTAGACGAGAATGGAGTCAACTCCTCGTCGTGGACAACGTCGTCGCACAGAATATACACGCTGAGGTCGGTGAGACGCGGGAATAGTGGGTTCGCGGGCGGGTGACGGACGAGCATGTCGATGAGTTGTCTGTTGCTCAGCACTCTCAGGACTTGGATACGCGAGGTGATTGTATAGAGCTGGTCATACTCGTCCTGACTGGGCGGCCGTACCCATCGCGGCTGAACCGTGAATATCTGAAGGAGTTTCCTTGAGAACACCACCATGACGAAGATGGAGGTATATACCCGGTTGCGAAGAACAGGGAATTGCCTCTTACGCCGGTAAACCTCCCTAGGCAGCGTGCTGAAGAGCTTGTCGAGGGCGTCGCGTGCCAAAGTTTTCCAGAGATGGTCGAGAGCTTGGTCTCGCCATGCGTGGCAGACTTTGGACATATTTCGGACGTCCTTGCGATGAGATAGGGAGCATACCGTAGCAATCACTTCAGGGATCAGGAGGGCGCGGTGCATCCTGGAATGGACCCTTCAGCGCTCCAAATGCTTAGGACGATATGGACGTTCGGGAGAAGGCCGTACAGTGACGAACAGTCACAAGGTCACACTGTCAACGTAGGCGTCGAAAAAACGGTTCTCCCGACTCAAACAAGGCTGGTCCCGCCGCGAATAATGAGGCTGAGTTCATGGATTACAAGAGATGATACTGGTAGTTCCTAATATGCATATGTAGTCAAAAGTTGTGCTGATTCCCTATACAAGACAAAGTTATTGGCTCCCAAGTTCGCTCCCCACCTCCTTCAAGCATTGTCGTGCCAGAGTGCGAGCGTCATGCTGCTCAGCGGCGCCGGATTCGCTCCTTGCACCTGGACTAGCCCAAGTGGTCGGTGGGGCACGAGGGGACGTGGCCAATTCGCAAAGCACTGGGTACAGGTGGAAGAGATGTGCTTTTGGCGAACGCTTCGCTACGTCAGCCAGCAGTTTGGAGTGTGGTTGTGTCGTATCGATATCTGAGCAAAGGATTAGTGGAAGAGTCTATTGAGCTACGGACGGCATACCTGGCTGCGTCACGCAATACCGTCCTGGATCGTCCGATGTAGCTGCCCAGAGGGAGCCGGTGTACAGACGTAGCTCTAAGAGCTTGCGCAACACGTAAATGAGTTCCTCCTCGCGAACTCTGTTGGGGAGCTCTGTTACCCGAATACACACGGATGCCACAGTGCGCCTTACCTGGAGAACGGCAGACCCCCACGCAAAGCTTCATCAGCGACGAAGGTGACCATAGCTCGCCTACACCGGTCGAGAAGCGACGGCAAAGAAAGCGCAGCTAATCGACGTCGTGAGCTTTCGTTGTCTAAGTGGGAGCAATAAGCTTCCATTCGAGACGAAAGACATGCGACGCTCACCATTCGTCACGCTGGAACAAATCAAGAACAATAGATCGAAGCACCAATACGAAAATCGTTCTCTTGGTACGGTGACACCATGCTCTGTGCTGCCCGGGACGTCCCACTCGACCTTGACGTAGTCAGGAGACGGAGGCTCCTTCGCACTGACAGGCGATGCGCCACCACTACGTCTTGCGTGCGAGCCCACCTCCCATAAGTTGCTGCCGCGAAGCAGGATCTTCGCCAGCTGCGCGACAAGGTGGTCTGGGACACAGGCTTCGCCTATGTACGGCACCACGTCGATCTCGAGGGCAGCAATCAGAGACAGGTCGAAGTTCTCTTCGGCCTCCTGCTCGTCCAGTGGCAGCTCTTCAGCAGGCGAGCTAAGAAAGCGACTGAGCGGTAGCCAATGATAGCGAGGGAAGACACTCACCAGTCCGCGAGTATTGCTCCGCGGAACACGTCAAGGACCTGGCGCCAGATGCCCTCAACATGCTCTGCGCCAATGTCTACAAAAATCGTCAAGTTCACGCTCAGGGTGTGTGCTCAGTCAGCATACCCTCTAGGTGCGCCTTCATCTGCGGTCCGACCTCCTTCACGATACGCAAGAAGCTCGTTGTGGCTGTTTTCCACAACGGCTCGTCCTTCGCAAACTTGGAGGAAGGTGGGCAGTCGTACTTGAGCTTCATTGGGATTGCGTATGCCTAACGCACGGTATGTCAATAAGAGCTTGCCAAAGCCTCAAGAACCCACGTACCGACAGAACAGCGTCCAATGTGCCGTCCGTGTAGATGACAGGCTGGTCCTTGAACCGCAGGAAGAGATCGACCAACAAGGGCATAGTTCGCTTGGTGAGTGCGATGTACGTGATACACTTCGTCGAGCTGGTCGGTACGGCAGCGCCCTTGGCAGTAAAAGTCTTCGGCGGTGGTGGGACGTCGAAGGCCGCGAGGAAGGCCAGAAGAGCGAACTCCGAAAGGTCATACATGACTCGCGAAGCTACGCCAGGCCCCGCAAGGTCGATCGACATCACGGCGTCCATGACTGCCGCCTAAAAATTGTTTGAGTATGGTCTCCCGAAATAGGATGATTCTACCTACCTGGACCGGCGTCAAGTTGTCCGCGTCTGGTCTGTAGTCGGGCGAGCTAGGGTAGGTCATGATCCCTACGCCACGTTAGTAAATTGCATAGCTAACTCCATGTTCACAAACGCACCTTTGAGGATAGCCATGAGCCGCGAGAGGCGCTCCAAAGGCCATTCTGCCTCATCAAGCGTCTTACTCAGCGCCCGTACGCTACCTACCAATTCCACCAGCGCTACCAAGCTGCTCTGGGTGAACGGCGCATACGGCATGACGTCCTCAGGATCAATCGACACTCGCTTCAGCACAGCGTCTCCCATCCTGTCGATCGTTGCCCAGGTCCGCGTCCACACCACCTCCACCCGCTCGCGCACCTCCTCGCCCGTCCCCGCAGATGCAGCGGCCTGTACTCCCAGTTTCAGGCATTGGAGGGCAGGGACCGTGATCGACCGATCGTCCAGCAGCACCGTCTCCACCACATGCTCCACGAACGCGTCCCATGCCTTCTCAAACGTCTCCAGCTGCATGAGATGGGAAACGAGGAAGTCGCGGAAGATAGTTCCCAAGGACTGCAACGCAAGCGTCTTCGACTCGTCCCAGGCGCCCTTCGCCGCTAGGATCTCCTCCTGCTCGTCGCCTTCCTCGGCCATGCTGATCCGCGCTTGATTCGCGCGCATCTCCGCCGTGAGCTGCTCGAGCAGCGGGAAGACCACGTCCCAGATACACTGCGACCACGTCTCCGACCCGAGCGTCGCGCCGTAGAGCAACATTGCGCGGAAGAGCGTCTGAATCGCCCCGTCGCGCACTTCCGGACGCGAGTCCGAGCCCAGCCCAAGCAGCTCGCGCAGCAAGACCATCCACAGCGCACTGTACTCGCGCTCGCTCTCCGCATTCTTGCGCTTCGCTTGGATCGCGTCCGACACGCTCCACATGAGGCTCGCCGCAGCGGTCAGTGCGACATTCGTGTCAGCCTGTCGACCAAACTGGCCGAGGGTGCCGATGCACAGACGTAAATGCTCCGGCGCGAGACCAGCGACAGCGTCGATGACAAGGGTCAGCGACTGGAACGCGATCTTGACGAGTTTGTCCGGGGCGCCAGGCGCGGCGTAGGTAGGCGGTGCGCACACGCTGCTGAGCATCTCAAAGATGACCTCCCAGCCGACGACGAGGGTGTGCCCTGAGGACTGCAGGATCTGGTGCAGCGTCTCGAGGCCCAAGCGACGCAGCTCTAGCTCGGAAGTTGACCACGGCGTGCCCTCGGCAGGAATGACCTGCTGCGATAGTACAGTAAAGACACGACCTTGCACGGCAGCCTGTAGCTCTCCCGCTGAGGAAACATTGCGCGGTACCCGTACGAGCACATCGTCCAGCACGCGCGCTGCCTGCACACGGATGGTTTGCGGTGCGGACGTCAAGCGGATGATCATGAGCAAATGTGAGGTTGCCGTCTCCCAAGCGACGTCCGGAGACCTGTAGATGAGCCGGTGCATGTTCATTAGGAGCACACCGCCGAGCTTTGTGAGACCGAAGTCGCCAGCTTTCTGCGTCGAGTTGCATAAGCAATGGTTGAGCAACAGGGACCCTCAGACCTACCAAAGTACGAGGCAAATGTATCCCACTGACGCGCCGCCTATCCATCCGCGGCGTCCTCGGTGTCGGCGGCACCTCCGACTTAGGCGACATCGACTCCAACGACGCCTGCTCCCCCGCCTGCATCGCCACCATCTCCGCGCTCAACTTGCACAGCGCATTCAAAAACTGCGTAAACGCCCCATCCTCCAAATTCTTCGACGCATCAAACAGCCTCTGGATCGCATTCAGCAGCGTCTCCGGGTCCACATCCGCCAGGATCGGCGGCCGCGGCGTGAACGTCGGCTGCGAGCTCGTGAAGGTCGGCTGCGTGCTCGTGATCGGCGTGGAGGGGATGCTCGGCGCGGTGCGGCGGCGCGCGGAGAGGACGTAGTCCGCGTTCTGCAGGACCTCGAGCACGCCGAACCAGCTGGCGCCGAGGCTGCCGGCGAGGAACATGGCGCAGCCGACGAGGACCTTGAGGCAGGCCATGTTGCGCTCGCTGAGTCCTGGTTGCGGACCCTGCGTATCTGCCTGGTCGACCGCGGAGACAACGCGCGTGGGCACCGCAAAGCGCGCAAGGCTGGTGAAAAGGGCATCTCGCGGCGTCGCCAGACCAAGCATACCCGCCGCGTTGGTGAGGGCCTGAAAAGCAGCGAGCACATCAGCGAAGAGCTCGTCGGAGAGGTTGGTGGAGATGATGAAGGATAGACCAGCTAGGAGAGCTGGCCAGCCGTCGCCGATGCAGCGCTTGACGATATTGAGTTGCTTCGTTGAGGGCTCGTCCGGCGGTAGCGTGTCTAAGTCCAATGCAGGCGGTGCACGGATGACTGCGTCTCCGGCTGCGCGAGGTCGCTGAATGACGAGAGCAGTGTAGAGCGGTCCAGTGTAAGCAGCGAAGCCTTCACAGAGGGAGACCAAACACTGTAAGCCAAGAAGGTAGATGTAGGACTCAGGGATTGGAGGTGCTTCCGCCTTGTCGAGCTGGTCGATACTTCGAGTAATCTCAGCCCCATCTCACCCAATAAGAGCAATCAACTCACCACTGCAGCTTCAAAGTAGAGTTCTGCATGCTCAACCCGCCCGACGCGCCCAGCATGTTCACGACACCCGATACGGTGGCGCTCGCTGCGTTAGCCACCATTCCCGTCATGCCGCTGACAGACTCCAGGCTGTACGATGAGCTCGTGCCCTCCGCGGGTACGCCCACGCCATACATCTGTGTTCCGACGCCTAGCAAGGACGGCTTCTCCGACAGCAAGCGGTTGAGCGCAGTAACCAAGGAGGCATATACGTTGGAATTCTCCGCCTCCTGCGCATCGTAGCGGTCGTAGATGCCACGCACAAGCTCGGCATCGCTGCAGAGTCCTCGCATGATCTCCATCGCGATGACACGCATCCAGTGGGGGCGGGGAGGGTGCTCGGCCGGCTCCGACTCGGTGTCCTCTGTGATTATCTTGATGAGCATGACGAGGAACACCTCGGCCTCGGTCTGCAGCTCTGCGTGGAACTGTTTGAGAAGGAGGAAGACGACGCGCGTGCAGCGTAGCGTGAGCGCGAACTGGGGCCGGTCCGAGAGCGCCTTGATGAGGAGGGGGCACAGGTGGTGGCGCAGCAGGAGCGTGAGTTCGGGGTGCTGGCGGAACAGGGCGTGGTAGTTCGTGAGCACGCTCTCGATGAGCTCGAGAGCGAAGGTCTTGTGCAGGTAGTCCAGCTGCAGAAAGTGCGGCCTCTCCGAGTTCGCGAGCAGGCACAGGTCCTCGAACACCGCGAACGCGTCGCGCGCGGAGGGCGGCAGCGCCTTGCTCGACCCATCCGGCAGCTGCACGTCCGCCAGCGCCTCCGTCTCCGACTCGCCCGCCATCTTGTCCACGACGAACATCACGAGCTGCCGCAGCGTCGCCGCCGCCGTCGACGACACGACCGCGATGCGCGACTCGTGCAGGCGGAAGCACACGAGCAGCGCGTCCGCGAGCTGCTGCCCGTGTATCTCGGGGAAGTTCGTGATGAGGGAGAGGATGGTCTGCAGGATGCGCAGCTGGATGTCGACGCCCTGGCTCATCGCGTCCGCCGCGGTGCTGATGATGAGGGGGACCGCGGATGGGGGGACGGCCTTCATGCCTATGAGCCGCTGCAGCGAGCCGAGCGAGATGGCGACCACTTTCGCGTTCTTCGTCGCACAGCCCATGAAGACGGGCTTGAGGAGCTCCTCGCCATCGCCGCCGGCGAGCTGCGCGGTCGCCTGCTCGGGGGAGGCGCGGAGGATGGCCAGGGATCGTTCTGCGGCCTGTATTCGTTAGCAAGCGCTGAGGTAGAGTGAACGGATTGACCTCTCGGATATCTGGGTGCTTCCTCCTCGTCTCGCTTGCCAGAGACTGCAGCTCCGTGACGAGGAACGTGAGCGAGCTCATGACGGACGGAGACAAGTGATCGTGTAACTCGGTCTCCGTCTGGAACAATAGCACTATCCTATCCCTCCCTCCGAAGATACAAGCCACGCCAAGGCGTCCTTTCATCCCGGATATCTGCTTACTGCGTTGAGATAGGCGTCCTCAGAGGGCAATAGCAACTATTCGACTTCGCTCATCACGAACATGGCGCTATCTCACATACGCCAGCAATTGCCCTTCAAACCCGCATTCCATTGAACATTCCCTAACGAAGGACCATGCCCATACTACAGACAAGCTCAATCCAAACCTCCTACACCTATCTTCTCGTCCCCAACCACTCCATCTCTTGAACACTCAGAGATTGCTCAGCAAATACAGCGAGCCGCAGCCCAGCAGCGTCGCCGTCCCCACAGCGAAAACAAGCGCTGGCAGCGGCAGGAAGATGCCAGAAGGACCCGCCCAGTCGAAGGGCTTACCATCGAGGTCTGAGAAAGGGAGATTGGTGAGAAAGATCGGTCATGATTGAGCAAGGTGAGGGACGATGGAAAGGGACGCACCTGCGGTCGGGATGGCAAGCGCGGTCTGCGTCGCGTTCAAGGTCACGGAGGGGTTCGATGCGTTGCATGCGGCGGCGTATCCTAGGAGGGATAATTCAGTGACAAGCTGGCGAAGGAGACAGAGATCACGCACCGGCCAAAACGACCTGGTTCCCCACGCGCGGGTCCGGCATCTTGATGTTGGCCACGATGAGGGCAATGAGCATGCATTGCTCGCTGAAAGGGGCGTAAGCCATCTAATCGGACACCCAACGAGCTGCGCGCTCACCAAGTCAAAAGCGACGCAACCGTATCCTCTCGGCACAAGCAGGAAGTATCATCGCCGCAAGCCTTCGAGAAGGGTATAATTTAGTACCACGGGTCGCAAAGCCAGCGATGGACGGGGGCGCACCTGGATGTTCTGACGGGCAGGATCGCACTGGGTCTTGCACTGAGAGAGGTTAGGGTCTGTGTCAGTACATGGAAGGTAGAGAAGGAGATGGGGAAGCTCACCGCGTCCACCGGCATGCTACTGGGCAGGTCGAGGAGCTCCGTCGCCGTAAAGTTCTGGGTGCCGACGGTGACGACAAACTGTGCAAGTGCTAGACCAGAGGTCAGCGAGTATACGTTTACACAAAGGAGAATGGAGAGAGTGATTGGCGGAGGGGAGGCAGGACGGGGAAGCAGATGTTAGCTTACCTTGCCCCGCGAGCATGAGGATCATCGCGAACGCAGAAACCGTGAAGGACTTCATGTTGAATAGCTTGCTCTTGACGATGAACAAAGGGTTGGAAGCAGAGAGCACTGTGCACGGAAGAGGGAGTTTACGCAGTGACCGGAATGTATGGGATCAACCCAAAGCTTCAAGCCAAGGACAAGTTTAGGAGACAAGAGGAAGAAATGAAGGAGAAGAACGAGAGTAAGCGGGATCAACCCGAGGACGAACGAAAGGGAGAGGGTGCGAGGAAGATGAGGGCAAGAGCAGAGGACAGCGAAGGCGCTTCGGCGGCTGATGATGCTGCTGATCGCCCCTGGCGACGCGCCAGGCGATCGGGCCGATTTAAATCACGTGGAAAGTTCAACTTTGCACGTGACGTGGACAAGGCTGCCGGGTAATATCGACTAAGCAGACGGAATCTCGCTGAAAAGTAGACCAGAGTATTGAGAGGGGATATGATGTTATAGGAAGGTACCGTATCAGAAGGAATGACCGCGGAGATCAGGTCTTATCCACCTCCTTACCAACCTCCGCGTACTGCTCATTCCCCGAGGCTTCTTCCCTCTCAGCACTTTCCTCCTCCTCCTCCTCTCCTATTAAGCTATAGGTCTCATCCTCGTCGCACAGCTCTGACAGCGCATCCCACTCCTCCGTCATCACGCTCTCTAAATCACCGAGGTCCGAGAAGGACATAACCGATTCCGGGCGAGCGACGGCCTGGAAGCGATGTTTCTTGTCTGTGTGTTCTTGAAGCCCCGTATTTTCAAGGAGGGCAGACACCAGCGAGCAGGACCCACCCTTCCGCTTCGCAATATCCATCAAGCACACCACCCTGTCCTTCGCTCGCGGCGCATAGTCGTCTTCCTCCTCTGCGGTCGCCGTGTCTTGCTCCTGAGCGTGCGTCGTGCCCTTATCCTCATCCTCCTCTGGCGCATCGTCGTGATCAACCTTTTGCGGCGAGATGTAGGCCGAGCTACGCCACCGCAACCCGTCCCCGCGCCCTGAATTACGCCGCGAGGAGCCTGGTTCGCGTTCGAGCTACACAGAAAAAAGCAATCAGCTTTCCCTCTATATTCATCACAGTGGCAAGGTTAGGCAGAAGGAGATGCGGATGATAGGGTTTCATGGAGAGAGGCAATGTCGCAGCAATACCTTTCTGATCATGCGCGCCATGGTGATCCTTGTGCCGCAGTAAGATATGAGGCGAGGGTGTTTAATGATGCAGCGATGCCAGTTACCTTTATACTCCACAGAAGAGGCCTGAACTGACTAGGAATAGCGGTGCACTATTCTGACTCCGACGTTCAGGCTGCATAGAATTCGAACGTCGAGCACCGCCCAACGGCGGTGACTGGCCGAGTTACATGTTGCGAGTATGTTTCGTGAGGTGAGGTAAGCTTCTACTCGCATTGTGACACTGCTGTGCGCGTGAGTCCAATCGTTAGGGATGGTTCGCTCGGATGTAGGCCTTGCGCTTGAGTATTCGCCGGATTCCTGCCATCCATGTTCGAACCAAGCGCGCAGCACAACCTTGATCCACAGGTCTCCTCTTCCTCGCCTGCATTGTATCTCGTACTCAACGCGAGCATGGCCATCGTCGCCGCAGAGGTATGGTTGTTCTGCGATACCGCCGTGGAGGCGGAGCAACAGCGGTGTTACGCGTGCATGACCTGTGACCGCACCGTCACCGCAGCGTGACTGTACGCGTCCATCGCTTCTTGTCCTCGACCTCGACCATTCACCGACCTGCGGATATCCGTAGCGACTTGTTACCCACTAACGCTAAAGATATACCCCCAAAGCTAACTGACAAGCAAAATGCATCCAGCGCTCTCCATCCCAGAACTTGTCAGCATCATAGCTGGCATGGCGCGTCGAGGGGACGCGTGTAGGATGGCTCGCACCTGCTACGCGTGGTATGAAGTCGCTCTTGACCACATTTGGAGAATACTGTGGAACCAGAATTTTGACATACTCTTCCGCACCTTGCCGCCGAACGTCTATCGACCTCTCCGCGACGCAGCGGTACGTGCATCGGGCGATGGCTCCACCATGCTAACGCGCACATGCCAAGTGGTATCGCATTGAACCCACATGGCTCGACGCTCCTACCGACGAGGACTACGAGCGCATCTACCATCTCACGTCGCGCGTCCGCGAGATTCGCAACCCGCAATACATCGAGCTCCTGCAGATCACCAACGATCATCCACCACCCCGACCGCTCTTCCCTCAGCTGACTACTCTCATTCTGTATGGCGACTGGCAGACAAACACCCCGCTGCATCCACTCTTGATACCATTCTCATCTCTCGTCCTGTCGCGCCTACACATGGACTTGTCCAAGATGAACGAACGCGAGCACATCGACCTCGATGCCATATATCAAGTGTGTGCGCCCTCAGTGGAGGTGGTAATGGATATGAAGGCGCTCCATGATAAACCGTTCCCTGCCGTTGGTCGACACGAAATCCTTCACAAACTCACAATCAAACAGATGGACGCTGAGGGATGGGCGTTCATAGCTTCTCTACCCAACCTGCACGAGCTAGACATCCATCGACCCTTTTCTGTACCCGCACTCGATCTTCTTGCCGCAGTCGAACACCCATTCCGAGCCTTGCGGGCGTTTTCAGTCTTCTCCTGGCGCTTCGACTGCCGGCTCTTCTTCGTGGACCTGCTCCGGCTGTGCGGCTCGCTGTCGCTATCCACCCTTTCGATCCACTTCTGGCAAGACGACGCGGACCGATTCGCGCATCCAACACAGCACTGGACACTCCTCTTCCTCGCTCTCAAACGACACCTGTCGCACAGCACCCTCCGCTCTCTCAAGCTGATAGACCAGGGCGAGATGACGCGGATTGACGGCAGTATGCTCCAGCTACTCGCCCCCTTCTCCGAGCTGCGCACGCTTTGGATCGAGAGCAAGAACGGAGTCGTCGTCGAGGACTCATACGTCGCGCCGCTGCTACGCAGCTGGCCTGCGCTCGAGTCGCTGACGCTCGCGCCATCGCCGTACCTATCGGAGGACTGGGATGACCGTGACGAAGAAGACATGTACGGCTCTGCCCGCTGGATCAGCACCTGCTCCGTCCGCGGCCTCCTCGAAATCGCCCGCCTCGGCACCTCGCTCAAATCCCTCGCTCTCTCCATCGACTTCGAAAGCGGCTTTCCTGTACCTGAGGACGACCTGGTGTCCTCCTGCAACGCAAACATCACAAAGCTCGACCTCTGGAACTCAGATATGACGGATCCTGACGATGTCGCGGACCTCATTCTTGCCGTGTTTCCGGCAGCGGCGGCGAAGGTGGAGGTGTCGATCGTGAAGTGGAAGGAGTTTGACATTGGTCTCGAGGAGGGGAGCCGCGAAGAAGATATCGAGGAGAAGTGGGACGAGGTGCACGATATCATCAGGCTGGAACAGAGCGCGGACGCGGAGTACATGTCGTTGTTGTAGGCCAGCGTAATCAGCAAGCGCCTGCATTCCAAGCATATTTGACAAGCCTCTTTCTTAAGGAGATGGTATGATGATGTTGCTCGGAGAAAAGCCACGCGAGCGAACAGAAGAGAATGGTTACCTCGGGTCTGACGCCTTGATTGTGGATACCCTCGCATACGGCTTCGCTGATCAGTCTCCTGCCCTGCCACCGAAATCCCCTCCTTCTCGTGGCGCTGGATCTTCATCCTCATACAATTTGTTCAATCACTGATTAGACAAATATCGTCAGAACAGCAACATCGGGTACCTGTAAATTTGCCAATGGAAGGATGTGAGCTGACTAGGAGTGCGATGTACTTCAACGTTGTACAGCTTCGAAGCCTGAGGGTGCGCCACCGGCGGAGACGGAGCAAGTTTTAAGTACGTTGTGAGTATGTTTCGCGAGGCATCATTCATACTTACCGTCGCCCGTGAATTGACACTGCGGTGCGTGCAATGCTCTCGGAAATGCGGTGATTCATTACTTAATGTAGACCACACGAAGGGACGCACCAATAGAGCAGATCCTCATCGTTGTCGCACCTGAGCAATAGTACAGATTGATATGAATACACCTCAGAAAGTGACTAGTCGACCTCCAAAACGGTACCCCTCTGTACGCTACCCCAACCTTAAGAAACATCAGCGCAAGCGACGGAGTCGGACTGGCATGCCACTCACCAACCAACCGCCAATGCTTCTCAATACGACGCGAGAGCGCGACCTTCTCGCCCACCTCCGTGCACGCCGGCGACGTGAGCTGAATCTTCGCCAGATCCGCCTTCACGCTAAGCACACGCCCACCCGTCGACGTCGAGCCGATGTTGATCAGCAGGAGTTCGTTCTTCACAAGCTTCGTCACCTTCGTCTGCTTCTTGTCCTCCGTCTTGACACCCAGCAGCCGGCGGAGCAAGAACAGGCTGATCTCGAGCTCCGAGTATATCTGCGGCAGCTTGCCCACCGCACCGAGCACCTGGCCGACAAGACGATCCGCGCGGCAGAGCGTCGGGTCGATGCGCGTGCCGACACCGATGAGGCCACCGGGGACGGCGAAGTTGAGCAGGTTGTTCTCCGCGTGCAAGGACATGATGCGGCTGAAGATGGGTTTGCAGCGGTTGCGGCCCGCGGCGTCCTTGGTGACGATGCCTGGCCGGATCTCGACCTCCTGCCCGAGGTGGAGGACGCCGGTGAGGATGGAGCCGCCGGCGACGCCACCCTTGAGATCGTCGACCTCCGCGCCGGGCTTGTTGACGTCGAAGGAGCGGATGACGATCAGTCGTGGGTCGGACGTGAAGTCGCGCACAGGGATGGGGATCCGCTTCACGATGTACTCGTTTACGGCGTCGATGTTGTACTTCAGTTGCGCGGAAATGGGTACGATGGGTGAGGATTCGGCGACCGTGCCTGTGTAATGTTAGCTGGGTTTGAAGGTGACAGATGACGGTATGTGCGCACCCTTTACGAACGCAGCAATGCTCTTTTGGTGCTCAAGCGCCTGCGCCTCCTTGATGAGATCGACTTTGTTCTGGAGAATGATGATGTTTTCAAGCTTCATGATCTCGACGGCGGCAAGATGCTCAGATGTTTGTGGTTGAGGGCACGTCTCGTTCCCTGCAATCAAGAGAAGTGCGGCATCCATAACCGCGGCGCCGTTCAACATCGTGGCCATGAGAATGTCGTGGCCGGGGCAGTCGACAAACGATACATGTCGCACGAGCTTCATTCGGTGGCCACAGCCCGGACGTTCGCAAGGGGGATTGTCCTCCTTGTCGGAGCGGTAGGAGCGATAACATCCAGGTCTTGGGCAAGCCTCATTCTCGCACTTGTAGATCTATACAACAGATCGGTCAGCTGGCTGCGTCGGGTACGTGTACGCGCCACGCACTTTTGCATTCGCGTAGCCCAGCTTGATGGTGATGTTCCGGACGAGTTCGTTCTTGAAACGAACGGTCTGAACGCCTGATATCGCCTTCACCACGGTGGACTTTCCGTGCGCGACATGTCCGATGGTTCCTGCGCGCCAGATCAGCTTTCGCGGTCGCGGTTTTTGGGCTCCTCTGCTAGCGTACCCAAGTTTATCGTTGCCTGTGAGCTCCTGTGTTTAGTATACATGTCGTTTCCTTGCCACTGCACGCGCACCTGTTTTGAGATGACTTCAGGCGTGAGCGGTGTCAATTTGGTCGCGTCAACGTCGAATTTCGGGAAAGTCTCTTCCTCCTCCTCCTCGGAATCGGACTCCTCTTCGTGGGGCTTCTGAAGTGTCTCGTCTCCAGGCATTTTCGGGAACTTATCGGGCGAGATGGGGTTCAAGATCGAGGCTGATCTCCACAAAACACGATGACTCCGCGTCCAAAAAGCGTGAGAAATTCCCTCTTTGGGAAGTCTTTGTTCTTTGTTCTTTCGCCATTTCCAAGTCCTTGACGACCTTGGGCGTCCCACTTCACACTGGAGTAATAGATCAAGAGAATTCTGTTACTGCCATTCCTCTTCCTCCAAAGCTCCCCAAGCACATAATAACGTCGAGTAAATAATAACGATGGATACGTCTATATCATCAAAAAGCATCTGCAAACCAACGAGCGGAGACGGACGGTATACAGTATGCACATGCCCGTCGTGAACAAACGTATATACGCGCGCGCAAGCTACACGAAAAGTAGAAGCTGCTGCGCACTTATCAGTACATCGCCAGAGCCCGCTGGAGCATGTCGGTATCCAGTCCGCGCAGTCGTAAGCACTTCTGGAAGACGCGCTTGTCGATGGGGTAGTGCACTCGGCTCGCGAGGTGCTGCCCAGTGACCAGCGAGCGTACAACGCCTGCGATGGATCGCTGCTTCTGCACGTTGATCAAGGGTTCGAGGTTAATGCTGGGTGGCAAGGGCTTCAGTGCTGCAAACACTTCCGGATGTGCCGGTGGGTCGTAGTTGTTCGTGACAGGGTCGACGCCGACGATCTCATGAGGCGCAGTAGGATCAATAAGATCTGGAAGCTGGCTGAAGCGCTTGAGAGGAGCCAGGTAGATACCTGCGCACACATCAATCAGCCACCTATCATGATGAGCTTCAATGGCGCATACCGATAAAAGGTATGCAGGCCGTAGGTACAGCCCTGTCCCCGCCGTTCTTGCCCTTCCCAGGTGTGTCGCCTGCACCACCGCTGACCACTGATGGCGCATGCGAGCCCGTGTCAAGCGGCTTCGAATCGGCGATCGCCTCGACTGCGTGGCGAATATACTTGAAGTCGCCCTCACTGGTCGTATATTGCTTGAAGTCATTCAGCATGCGCGTCTCAAACATGCCCAACCGATGCCACAGTCGACGCATCGCCTTCGCTACCCAGTCGCTCCGCAGGCCGGTCAGGATCGCCATCAGCGTATTGAAGCTGCTCAACTGGTAGGCTTTCTGCAATTGTTATCAGTACATGATAATCTCCTTGACATCGCTGGACGTACCCAAGCTATCCGAATGAACTTATCCACGACCATCGGGCGCTCGTTCGGCGGCGTTAGCACAATCTCCGAGACGACAAAGTTCGCCAACAGGTTGAAGCGCGCACGCACAGCAGCCAGCGCACTCGTCTTGTCTGCACACCGCTGCTCCGCCTTCCATCTTGCTCGATCTTTCAGATACTGCGCCCAGTCCAGCACATTCACCTCTTCGCAGAACAGCCAGTCGCCGGATATCAGCTCGTCGAACTTGACGGAGATGAACAGCTCGCGGTCGATCATCGAGAAGTGCTGCACCAGCTGCTCCGCCTTGTAGTTCATCACGAACGTCTTGTGGAAGCGCGGTAGGTCAGGGTCGCTCGCCCGAGGAAGGCTCATACCGATCTTGGGCAGATCAGGCGACTGCGAGGGCATGCGGCTCTCTAGAATCTCCATCGGGACGGCGTCCTCGGGTGCAGGCTTCGCATCGCCCGAGCGCGGAGGGGAGCCGATCTCTGCTCGCCGGTGCAAGGTCTGGTCTGGCATGGGCGTGGTGGACATCTCCTGGATGGCGGTGTCTTCGCGCTCGTGCCCGGAGCTATCGACGGACAACCGAGAGCGGACCTCCTCCCTCTCCTCATCCTCCTCGCCCTCACCGTCTTCCTCCAGATCCTCGTCCACGAACGACGCATCATCCTCATCATAGTCCCCCGTCTTCAGCCGGTACTTGATATCGCGCATCCAGCCTTCGACCTTCGCGCGCTTCTCCTGCACCTTGTTCGGGTTGATCTGGCCCTCAAGTTGCCGCAATGCTGCCTCGACGTCGCCTTCCTCTTCCTGCTCCGCCAACGACTTCTTCAGCGCCTCGAGCTGCCACTTGGTCACCGGCCCGCCGATACTACTGGATGAGGCTGCCGACGAGCGGTTGGCGCTGCCCTCAGAGAACTCCGAACCAGATGCGAACGATCCGCGGGAGATGACGCCCATCGAAGACGCGCTTTCTGGACGCTGAACAAACTCGAAGTCTCTTCGTAATGGCAGTTTGCGCGCGGGCTTGTGCTGTCCGCCCAATCCTGGAGGTGCGGTTGGCCCGCCTTCGTCTGAAGACTCGTCCGACAGATCTAAATCATCGATAGACGCGACGTCAAAGTGGTATGGCGCCCCTCCAGGAGCGCGGAAAGCCGCCGTGAAGTTCCCTTGCGGCAAGGGTGCGCCAAATGAGTCCGTTGACGAGGTTCGTATTGATGATGCTCTGTTCGGCCTCGGCGAGGAAGAAGAGGTTGACGCCGTACTAGGCGCAAGCGCAGCAGACTCGTCTGTCGAGGGACGCGACGCCTCCGAGCTAAGGGTGACCGCATCCGCATCTCTGTCCTCCGGGACCTCCCAGCTCGGCTCGTAATCAGGTGGTACGTCTGGTGTGGGTAGCGGCAGGGGTACATTCGCCGGGTCAAGGGGCGAATCAACGGCCGTGCTCGTAGACGCAGTCGACACAATACGCTCTGCTGACGCCCTCGGGCGCATCGTCGTCGACGCCTCCGACACATCCGACGGCCTCACCGTCGCCAGGCTCTGCTTCGGCGCTGCCTCCCCTTGATCCTCCGGCTGCCCAATCATCTTCAAGTAGGCGCCCACGCCACCTTGCACAGTCAGCATGTCCCGCGATACGTTCCACTCGAGATCGAATGCGGACACGTCCCCGCTGTCGTTCATCGGCGCCGGCGGCAGCGCGCGCGAGTTCAACACCCGCTTCCAGCGGCCTATTCGTCCGATGGTCTTTACAAAGACACGGGAGAGCGCGTTGTGGTGCACTGGCAGCGTGCGCGCCGTCTGCACGATGGGTAAGCTATCTTCGCCTGGCCCTGGTGCATGATCCGTTCGTGCGAGGATATTCAGCGAGGTCAAGGGTATCGTCGCGGGCAGTGGCGCAGCTAAGCTCCCGCTGGGCGTCGCCGTGCCAGAGGCGCCGCCGTCGCTGTCAAGAAAATCCAGTTCTACATCCGAGTCCTCATCCTCCGCGTCAGATCGCCGCGTGGCCTCCGCAAATTTCTCGCCGAATATATGTCGCGGTGGCGAAGTTGACTTCGTCGACGCTCTTGGCCTATTGCGCACATCCCCCGTACGTCGCGAATGCGTGCGCTGGCAGTCCTTCGCGACCTTGCGAAGCTTACGCACGATGTTCTGCCCAACGGATCAGACAAAGTTCTCTCCCATACTCCCCGCATACGCACCAAGCCGTCCGTATGCTTTGTCAGTGCCGGATCTCGCACGAGTGTGTTCAGCCAACTGGACACCAGCGCCCTCAACTCGCGATCCGGCAGGAAATCCACATTGAAGAACGTCAGCAGCCAGTACCGGATCGCGACAAATGTCCGCACGCGCACAATCCGCCGCGTCTTCTCATCCTGCGGCGTCTCGCCCTGCTGCAGCGCCCAGTGAAAGCGGCAGATGAGCAGGTGGCATAGGTCGACCGCGCTCACGTACGTGCGGTACGTCAGGAAGAACACGAGCAGCTCATCGTAGTCGAGGTCGCTCGTGAGCTGCGCGATCCAGCGCTCGATCGTCGCTGCAAGCATCACTTTGTGCGGGTGCGAGCTGCCATCGCGGCATACGCGCAATTGCGGCACCTCGGCGTGCTTGCCCTTGATGCTCTGTCGGCCTGAGCGGGTGCTCTGCTTGCGCGAGATAGCGCCGCTGGAAGGCGCGGACTGGTCGGTCCAGCTTCCTGACACGGACACATCGTCCCCAGTTGGGTCCAGCGTTACGTCGCCCCAAATAACGAATCGAGGATCATCGCGCGGTGCCGCAGTATCGTCGGAGGATAAAGAGAGCTTGACAGTAACTGTCGAGTCTTCCTGTTCCGCGGCCGAGAGCTTATCTAACTGCGGCAGTCCACGGTAAGTCTGTAAGACGTCGAAGACCTCCGTCGTGTATCGGGAGAATAATGCAGGTTCATCGGCTATCTGAGCTGCTTCCTTCTCCGGCGCGGGCTCTGCTGTCTCCGCTTCCGTCTCGGCTTCGTGGATAGTTGGTGGCCGAAGCCGGACCGCGGAAGGGGGCCGCTCGCCGTCGTACTCCAGATCGGACCGGACATCGTCTTGGCGCGCAGTCATGACAGACTCGAAGGATTGCATTTCGCGCAGAAACCTTGGAGGAGGCAAGAAAGGCGCTGATGGCTTCGGCGATGGAGCGTCAAAGGTGACACCCTGGCCGAATGGCGCTGGAATGATTGACGGGATGAGCAGTGAGGACGACGAGGAGCGATCGGAGTGGACGAGGGAGTGCGTGCTTTGCCCGGGAGAGGGTCCCGAGAGGTTCATCACGTCCGCAAACATGTCGCGCTGCTTCTGAGACGCGTTCGACTCGGTGCTGGGCAGGCGGAGCATGTCCGCGGCGGTCACGCTGTGCGAGTGGCCGCGCCCGGACGGAGGTCGTGACCCAGAAGCTGTTGTGCTAACCATGTCGGGGATCGAGCGTGTCTTGCGCAGCTTCTTGGGTGTGGCGTTGGGCATAGGGCGTGTGGCGGCGGCGGCGGCGTTGCCCTTGCTGAACATCGAGGGATTGAGGAGGGTGTGGACGCTCATGCGGGATCGGCGCTTCGTGCGACCTCCAGTGGGTGGTTCGCGGGGGCGGACCTCGGGTACAGCGGAGGAGCGAGCCTGACTGGCCTCAACTTCGGCTGCTGAGGCCGCTGGGGCGGACATGTCTCTGTACCTGCAAAGACGTCAGCGCGAGCAGACAAGATGGCTGACAACGCACCCGACGCGGTACATCCACCTCCCATGCTGATTCACAAAGCCTGTGATCGCGAACGGGGAGCGGAAGTCCTTGCCAACTCCGAGCCTCTGGTCGTAGATGCGCTTCAGCTGATGCGCCGCCGCGCCCGACGGCGTCTCCACGAAACTCCCGTCGGCTAAGAAAGTATATCTCAGATATGAGGTCAACTTCATTGCATGGACACGCACGCGCGATGCTCACGTCCGCCTTCTTGATCTCTGGCGGAAGGGAGTCCAGTGACCATACTGCCGCTTCATCGTTCTGATCGGGGAGCGAGAAGGATGCTCTTGATCTGTTCGTCGAGGGGGTCGGAATCGGGAGCACAAACTGATGAGAGGAAGAGCTGGCGGTCGAGGCTGTCGAGGGCGACTGCAGTGCTGCCGCCTCCGCATTGACACTCGAAGCTGTGTCGAGTGCAAGCGGCGTCTCCGGGCGCTCCTCGTCGATGTCTTGAGAAACAGACATACGGTCGTTAGTATACAGAGAGTCAGAGCGACATGAGAGAGCTTGATGATATACCAGAGGAATTTCGTGAATGTCGAGAGCAAGTTCGTCGTTCGGGCTTCGTCCCTGACCAGGAGAAGCGTGACCACATCGTCACATGCACGTGAGATGCTGACAACAATTGCGCACGTGAGATATACCTCCAAAACTCACAGAATCAAACCATGAGTCTCTATGCTCGACTCGAATGAACATGTTGCGGTAATTTTTTGTGTCAGAGGCGTACGGAGTCGGTGTTATTCACAAGGTAGAAGCCTGTGACCCCGTCGGAACCAAATGTTGTCACAAAGACCTTCCAAATATGGGAATTGCGAATTCGACGCGTCGCGTCGCGTTCGAGCTTTACGCGCCTTGTCTTCGACTATGTCGATTGTCACCATTCGCGTATGGGAATCCCTCCTCGACCCTTGGAATACACTGAACGCCCTTTCAGAATGTTGAGTTCCTCAATAACCCAGCACGGTTCTCCGATCCATATCGGTTTCGCGTCACCTTTGACTGCATCGCACACTTGCAGGACGGTGAGCACAGTCTTCGTGGTCTTCAAACCATTGTATTGACCCTCGACAGACTTAGAATGGCGTCTTATATACGTGTCATCCCCCGGGAACGAAGACCTTGACCAGGAGCTCGACGATTGCCTGGTCGGACCAGTCCCAATGGGGGTCAACTCCTTCGAATTCGAGGGCTCCCCGCCCGATCCCTCCAAGATACCAAAAGAAGACGTGCTCGGAGTGGCCGCACTCATCCTGACCGGCTCCTACAAAGACCAGGAGTTCGTACGCGTGGGCTACTACCAGAACACTGAATACGACAATGAGGAAATGAAGGAGACGCCACCGGAAAAGATCATGTTCGAGCGGTTGGTGCGGGATATCAGCTCAAAGCCGCGCGTAACGCGCTTCCAGATCAAGTGGTGCGTGGCGCACAGGTTGTGCGAGGATCGAGTGCTGATCGACGCGCTTACAGGGATGTCGCGCCACCGAGTACGGGCCGCGCCGCGGCGGGGGCAGCCACTTCGGCAGCCGTCCCTTCTGCAAACGACCTCGAGACGGAGGACGCGTCACCTTCTGCACCGAATGGCTCTGCGTCCTGAGTCGATCATCACCCTCTCCCATGTTATGTCTGGCGTCGATATTGCTATGTACCTGTCTATACTTTCCCCCGCATATTCCAAGGCTCTTCGCATGTAAGTCAACAAACATCATTGAACGCACCAAAGCCGCTCCCACGAGCTATACAGTTCTGATCCTCCTCAAGCACCTTGCGAGGGTGTCTGCTGCATCGCCTCCGCTCCCTTCGGTCTTGCCCCCTGCCACAGACTTGACGGTGAGTGCGAACAGCCAGTTCCGTGTCGTCTGCAGTCAAGGAACAGTAGCCCACCTCATGCTCGCTGGCGGAGACCCGATGCGCAGAGTTGCTTCGTTGCGCGATAGGTGGTGGAGTCAGGCTCGGAGTGTAGCTGTACTACTCATCTGCGTTCCCCATCACCGACAGTCATAGCAAGCCGTAACAAGTAACACTGCAACAATGACACTTGGCTGGATAGAACCGGTGCTCCTGGAGACCCGACATTCGGCCACTTACAGCGAATGACTCACGGTGGCGCACCGATAGTCAAGGCAGTTCCAAGCTGGATGCCTGCTATATAACGCGCCTCCCATCCCAGCCTTCTCCTCAACAGTCATATCTTCCTTCCCTTGCAAGCCGAATATATCATGACGCGCTCAAAGAACAGCAACTCGCCCTTCAAGGAATTGAAGAAGGTACGCGACCCGTCTCTCGTTGAGTCTGCCTGTTCACTGACGACCCTCTCCTCTCAGAACATCCGCGCCGAGGCCGTGAAGGACGGTATCAAGTACGCCGAAGCGATAGAAAGGCGCAATGCGCACACGGGCACGAGGATGGTCGACCTCTCTCCTGGCTCGACCCGACGCAACCCCGGGCGCATGGACGGCTGGCAGTGGCGGGGCTCGACCTTCATACCGCCACAGAAGGTCGACAACGGAGAGTTCCGTGTCGATGAGGCGGACGATGCGACGCTGGTCGACGATGAGGGAGCGTATGCACCGCACCCCAAGGACAGGGTGGTCTGCTTGATGGACATCGCGCGGCCGGCGAAGCGGAAGGGTGAGTGCCTGTCAATCATTCTTTGGCAGGATACGACGGCCTGTGCCAGTGGCAGGAACGTGTATAGATACTGAGCTAACCCTACCATCAGCCGCGAAGGACCGCTTTGAGCTCGTGGGCCGTCCGAAGGGCGTAATCGCGCTCTCCGACGATGAATTGGAAAGCGTAGCGACGGAGGAGTGGGAGGCATTGTCCGACGATATGTATGAGGAGGATGTGGCCGTACAGCGAGACGCCGCGACTAAGACTGAAGGCTGGGGATCGAGGCCGTATGCGGAGGTCCTAAAGGAGGCTCAGACTTGAAATGATAATCCTGCTTCTGGCCAGCTTCGCCCGCATACCACCTACAATATCTAACATATAGCCGTTCTGATGGAGCGCGGTCACTTACACAGGCCTAGGATGTATCATGGGATGTCTTCGTCGAATACATTTGCATGTCGAAGGCAAAGCCTTGACTATGCATCTACGACTGAGAGCATAAGCTAGGCTCCCAACGCCTCAGTGACTAACTGGGAGCGAAGTGGAACACTTAGTGCACTTCATCAGTACCTGCGTTCACCTTCGAGAGGCCTTGCTTTGCGCGATGTTCCCCTCGACGTTCTCCGCGATGCACCATCCTGATAATCATGCGCACTTGCTCCCACTTCAGGGCCAACGCTCCATCCCGGCTCTCCTGCGGAAAAGGATCCCACCACTGACCATCCACGACCGACACCCCCACCTCCGCCGCCGCCTCGGGAAACACCCGCAGGATAACATCCGCGACATTGCACGGGAACGTCATGTCCGAGTTCCACAGGTCCAGTTCTATTATCTTCGTGTTGCGCGTCCAGTTGACATACCGAGGCAAGTCCTGTTCGAAGTCGACCGAGAGCGCTAACGACTTGAGAGAGGTTCCTAGCCGCGCAAACTCGAGGAGGCCAGGGATCGTGCAGGTGCTGATCCAGCGCGCGGAGTTATAGTGGTCGACCACGCCGCCGAATTCGTCGCCGAAGGCCCTGTCCTCTGCTGCAGCCGTACACACCGACGGCGCCAGCCTCAAGGACACCAGCCTCGGCCAGCTGCTCATCAGACGCCCAATAAAGCGCTCGTGCACGACCACGCCGTTCTTGTTCTCGATCCAAAGCGTCCGGAGTTCAGAGAAGGGCGCCAGCAGCTTGAGCGTGTCGCCGTCGATGCCGCTCATCTCGCCCTTATCCTCGAGTTTTAGGGTGCGCAAGCTGTCGTGTGCGCAGTGGCCTTCGAGGGCGCGAAAGAGGTCGTCCCAGTTGGTTGTCGGATTCCTCCTGCGAAAGGCGTCGTCCTGAGTGACCTCGAGCGAAAGCGTTTCCAGCGAGAGGCGACCACAGCACTGAAGGAGGTCCGCGACGAAGGGCCTGCTATCCATCATGGAGGACACATGCAACGCTTGCAAGGCGCGAAAGGGCTTCTCGACAGTGTAAATGCGGGCGAACGTCGGCTCAGAGGTAGGCCCCTCGATGTGCAGCTTTTGCAGATTCGGTAAAGCAGCCATGAAGAACCACCCTTGAGCGTCCACATTTTTGATAGTGAGCTTGTGAACGAGGTCGCGACGTCCTTCGGTAAAGCGCGGTATAACAGACAACACCGCCACATCAACATGTATACTGAGCGAAGGCGCACAAGCCCGGTATATGGCATCGAGGTCAATCACCATCTTCTTGTTGTGCTCCGTCAGATGGAGGTCAAGCTCCGAAAGAACCGGCGACGAGAACGGCAAGAGCAGTATATGCGGCGGAATGGTGCTGTCGCCACCATTGAGAGTAAATGTGGCAAGTCGAGGGAAGAGCGCGCGCGGCGGCGGATGCTCCATGGTAATCTGCAGAAGCTCGATAAAGCCGGGCTCCGTCAAGCTCCGGATACGCGAAGAGAACTGGTAAAGATGTTCGTATTCAGCCGGCGTCGGAGCTCGCAGCCATCTCGGTCGTGAATCTCCGTACTTTCGTGTGGGTCAGTGGAAGCGCGAACTTGCTTTGTAGATGGAATGCGCACCGGCTTCCCTCTATGCCAAGACTTGTACGGTTGGTAGACGTCCGTTGGCAGCGTGTTCAGTAGGACATTGATACTGTCCACAAAGTCGTTCTGTTGCCAGACACGGTCGAGAGCCACCGGATGCCACGCACGGCAAGTGCGGGCCATTCTGCAGGCGTCGCCCCGCTGCGACATGTGCGCGATGATAGTGATGAGCTCTGGAATGAGAAGGGCGGGATGCATCTCGAAGTTGAGACTAAGGAAAATAGTTGTGCGAGAATGCCCTGCGTCGTGCGGTATCCAGGACACGCTGGGTCGAAGTCGAAGACAGGAAACATATTGATCGAGGACAAGAACAATAGAGCCGCCACGGCAGCAAAGACCTCCACCGGATCAGGGTGGTCTCCGTGGATGTATGCCGATGGGGGCATCTGCTGCTTCGGCTCTATTGTAAGCGCCTGTGACATAGTTCAAGGGTGATCTGGCGAGGCCAGGGTGTCTGTACGATGGCAGTACGACGCCGGCAAGTTCAAGTTGTCAATTTTGTGACGAAGTTCAACTTTGCACGTGATTTGGAGGTTCCTGGACACAATTGCAATGATGTCATCCGGCGCGCGCGCATACGTACGTGTTCGCGTCGTGGACTCCTGCATAAAGACCTTGTCCCCGACGTCCATCATCCCAAAACCCTTCCCCGTATCGTCTGCTTCCCCAGCATTAGCAATAACCGCAGACCTTATCTTCCACAGAGAGAATACACCATGACGATTTAGTGCGTATCGAAGTCCTTCGAGCGGGAACGATGAACTGAAGTGCTTCCCTTGCAGCTATTCACTCACCTTTCTCATGCTGGCGGCGGAGGTGGGTGGTCTTAATAGCATCCGGGTGTCGCGCTCGGCATAGAGCCCGAGCCATTCCCTCGTCATGCGCGATCGTATATAACGAGGCTGACGCGCAGTCTCTGCATACCAGGTCGCCCTCTCCTTCGTCATCATTGCGCCCCTCCCCCACGCAGTGCGGAAACGTCTCTTCGGCTTCCTCGCCAACAACAAGGTGCGCCGACCCATCCTTCCCCCATCGACGTGTCCCAACACAGCCTCGCCTCCCAGATCGTCTCCAAGATTGCGTATGGTGTAAAAATCAGCTTCATGTGCGTGTCATGGACCTACTCCCCCACATATCGGATGCTGACATCCCTTCAGATTTATAGGAATACTTTTCCTCGATGCGCTCCAGCGCATGTTCCGCGTTACGGCCGAGTCCGATGCGGCGCGTGCAAATGGTGGGCTACTTCACCTGTCAATGCGTTCTTGTCATTCATCTCGCCTGCAGGTACCGCACAGCCCCAAGGTGCTGCGTTCGGTGACGGCGGTCTTGCTGCTCGTAAATTCTAGTGCGTCTTCACTTCACTAAACAGCCAAACACTTACTGACACAATATGCAGCGCCCAACGCAACACCTACCTGACGGGCTTCACGCTGTTCCTCTCCCTCCTCTTGACGCGCACCTTCTACCTCGTCCTCGAGCTCATCCACGTGCAGGACGAGTATGCGAAGGTGACCAGCGGGCAGGCCAAGGTACGCTCTCGCAATTCCTAAGGCTTTCGCACCATCTACGGCTCCCGCACCGTCTATGGCTCTCGTGTCGTCTATAACTTTCGCATCGTCCCCGCTGCTGCATATGCTGACACTCACCACTCCAGGGTGGCGAATCGGCCGAGGTCAAGAAGCTCAAGACCGACCTTGAGACCCTCCGCAAGCAGAGTCTGCAGCAGCAGAAGGAGCACGACCGTCTCGCCGATGAGTACAACAAGGCTGTTGGCAGGAGCGCGAAGAAGGATTAGACGATGGGCCGCGCAGTCGAATGGTGTTACTCTTGTTTTGCGGCATAGCGTCGAGAGATCTGTGTTCAATGTATGATTCTTTGCATCGAAGGCGCGGAAGCCCAGTCCAAGGCCTCAAAACGCACTGGTCCCTCGCAGCCATCTGATTCTGGTCACGTCACGTGCTGTGTTACTCGACGCGTTCGGCTTTTGCCTTGTTCGGAACAATTGCCTTCCTCGTCTTCAACGGTCAACAACACCTCTTCCATCGCAAAAAATCACAGTGGAAACATTTGAATATTTTGAAAAAGCAACGGCAGCATGCATCGCGCGCTCCAGGTTCCGGCGCTCGTCGACATTATAACCAACATGTCGTCCCAAGGTGACGCGTGCAGGATGGCTCGTACATGCCGAGCGTGGCATCAACCAGCTCTGGATCGTATTTGGCGAGAAGCTGGAACAATGCCTTGGATGTCCTCTTGCGCATCCTACCTGCCGACCTTTATCAACCTCTTAGCTTCGTATCCACATCCTACGGGGTATGTAAGCTCTAGAAATACGAATTTGCATTTTAACCATTTACGATTACCCCTCAGTTCCCGCAAGACATATCTCCCAAATGGCTTCGAGGTCCTACTCTGGCCGAGTACGAGCGTATCTATCAGTTATCGCCGCGCATGCAGAGCTTGGAGAACCCGGGATACATCGATGTTTTCCAGATTACCATGACGCATCCGCCACCGCGCCCACTCTTCCCTCGCCTGAAGACACTTCGTATAGACGGCAGCGGAAGTAAAGTCTCGCCCCACATGCTCCTGGAACCCTTCGCGTCCCCGGTGCTCACCCGCCTGGACATATTCCTCCCATTCCGCAACCAGTGGATGGAGATCTGCCTCAACGAGATATACAGCGCGTGCGCGCCCTCAGTCAAGGTGAACTTCGACCTGCGGGAGCTCACGATGATACCGCGCTTCGTGGGGGACCGGACGGACATGATCCACAGTGTCACGATGGCCAGTATGTGCGAGGAGGGGTGGGCGTACATGGCTGCTCTGCCGCGCCTGCAGGAGCTGCGCATCCACGACATCGGCTCAGCGCCCCGGGTCGACAAGGTTGACGCTGTGAAGAATCCCTTCCACGCCTTGCGGCTTCTCGAACTCACGGCGAACTTCGACTGCCGGCCCTTCGTAGCGGGCCTCCTCCGGCGGTGCGGGAGGCTGTCGCTGTCCACCATGAAGGTCCGTGTCTCCCTCGACACCCCCGAGCGGATGGCGCACCCGACCGACCACTGGGTGGACCTCTTCCTCGCGATTGAGCGCCACTGCGCGCACGACGCCCTGCGCACGCTCAGCCTCGCCGACGACGGCGAGATGGCGCGCATCGGGGGCGGCACGCTCCAGCTGCTCGCCCCCTTCCGCGAGCTCCGGACCCTCTCAATCGAGAGCAAGAACGGCGTGGTCGTCGAGGACCGCCACATCGCGTCCCTCATGCGCAGCTGGCCCGCGCTGCAGTCGCTCAAGCTCGTGCCCTCGAGGTTCCTGAACCTCGAATGGGAGAACGACGAGGACACGTACGCCTCCGCGCGCTACATCAGCACCTGCACGGTCCCCGGCATCCTCGAGATCGCCCGGCTGGGCACGGCGCTGCGGTCCCTGACCCTCACCGTCGATTTCGAGAACGACTTGCCTCTGGGAGACAGCGACTGGTTTCGGGGTGGCGACACCGTCGAGCTGCCCTGCAACACAAACGTGACGATGTTCGACGCGTGGGTCTCCGACATGGGCGATGTCTGCGATGTCGCGGGCTTTCTCTTGGCGGTCTTCCCGGCGGCGGCGCAGAACTTGTGGGTGTCTGTTTTGGCGGATAAGGAGCATTACGAGGGCAGCCGTGACGAGGCTGTCGCTGCGAAGTGGGAGCAAGTTTTCACCATGATTGACATAGTACGGACTGCAGAGCGCAAAGCGGAGCAGCGCATTAGGAAGGCAATCCAGGAGGAAGGGAAACCTCCACGCCACTGAGGGCTTCAAAATATAGTATCTTATTTGTGTGGAACAGAAAAGGGTTTGCGACTTTGGCAATGGTGGCATAAGATCATTCGCACGCTCTTCTGACCTCCTTACCGCAGCTTGAAATCGACAGTATAGTTCCAAGAATATGGCTGATGATCAACCTAAGTACCGTCGAATCTATCACGATCACTTTTTTTTTTTGGAACCACGTTTTTGTCACGTGTGGCTCATCATATGGGTGTGACTGGCCAAACGCGTAACACATCTCGACCCAGGGAGCGATGTCTGTACGATGGCCTGCACATGTCGCCCGCGATACGTTCCCTTACTGGATCGATCACAACATAAGCGCACGGTTGTAGTCACACCTCATCGTACATATCGATACAGGATAACAGACAACACACACTATCGTCCTCTCATACACTCCATGCCCTCTTATACACCTCACCTCCATCTACCACCTAGACTCTCCCATACGCTCCTCAGCCTTATCTAATCTTCCAACTACACCCAGACATCCCGCCCGACTCTACTCTAGCGGCCGACTCTTGTACAACAGCACGTAGGCAGACGAGTCCTCCCCGCCGCCATCGAGCGTCGCAATCTTGTCCTTCGGAAAGATCGACACCTTGTCGTCGTCAAACTTGTACCAGTCCTCATCCTCGTCAAAGGGGTCTGGAAAGCAAGTAAGTGACGCCCGGTTGTGAGTATGATAATATCCTGTAAGCATCAGAATTGCGTTGCACGTACCATCCTTCTTCGCCCCGAGGCGCTTCTGGAAGACGCTCTTCTTCACGAAGGCCATGTAGTGGCCCGAGTCCGCGGCGGCGCCCTTGTGCGTGATGATTGCTGCAGGCGCGTCAGATTTTTCGTCTTAGACTGACAGAACAAAGGCGATATGAACGCACCAACAAGGTCGTACAGTCCGCTCTCGCTGGCGCCAACATCGTTCCTGATATCCTCCGGGATGAGCGCGCGCAACTCCTCAGCCTCCTTGGCGCGGACAGCGCCCTCGTCTTCTTCATGATAGGATTAGTCACGGTCACGCATGCGTCTCAATATACACACCTTCCTCGTCCACCTGCATCGCGTTAGGGTCCTCGCCACCTGCGACGGTCGTCGCCTCCGCCGAGACCGCGGCACCGCCCGACGTGCCACCCATACCGCCCGCCGGCCCACCTGCCTTCTTCGCCTCCGACGCCAGACCCTTACGACGCCTGCCCAATTCATCAGCCTTGCCACAAACTCTTCCCACCCCCACTCACGCATGAATCTTCGCCCTATCCCTCCTCGCCCGCTCCACATCCCCCAGCTTCCGGTTCACCGGGATCAACTTCGACCTGAGCTCCTCCGTGCACAGCTCGAGCGCGTCGAGCACGAGCGGGAACTTCACCTTGCGCATCACCTTCGTGCGCTTGCCGATGTCCGCGCGCCACGCGAAGCGCACCATGTGCACGGAGAGGTACTTGGGGAGGCGCGCGATGCGCGAGGTCTGGATGTAGTCCGCGGGCGCGCCGGTGAGGGGCGAGTTCTTCACGAGCGTTTGGGTGAGGGTGGCGCGGAGGCCGCCGAGGAGGTCGCCGGTCTCGCGGGTGATGTTGCATTCGAGCTTGAGGAAGTCCTCTTCGGCGGCGCCGGAGGCTTCGTCAGAGCCGTCGGCGGCCTTTAAGCTGGGGATCGTCAGCGTCGGGAATAGTCTTATGGTCACTGAACATACGTTCGCCTCATAACGCCCATGGCGTACTTCTCGACGACCGGTACGTTATCCTTCTTCACGGATCGCAGAGAGTTGAGGATAAATGAGTATGACTCCTCAGCATCTGGGAGAATCGTCAGCTTGCTTGCTAAAGCCAGTATTGAATGAAACGGTCAGAGTGGGCTGTGGTCCGCAACTATACGTCGGGCTAGACGATAAACGGGTTACTGCTTCGCAGAAAATAGCCCGCACCAGTCGAGGACAATCGAAGTTCTCGATAGAAGAGATGCTAGATGTTCGCCAGACGCAGCCGTTGGACGAGCATCTTTGTCATGACATTCGAACGAGATAGCTGGTGCCACTTGGAAGCATTCTAAGGTGGATGCCAAGTAACGAATGATGTGCAGGGGTCGAGGATTGTGCGCAGGATATCTCTTTGTGCGAGACCTGCTCTTCGACGCATGGAGTATGTGTGCATGAGGCTAGGGAGGACCTTATGCCTATATCCGAAAGCCTCGGACATTGAGTGCAAGACCGAGCCCAGCCCACTTTGACCGTTACCTGAAATGGGAGACGCACCTTGCTGTGAGTAGCCACCCATCCCCATGTTCATCATCGCCGCAGACTTCTCCGAGCGATCACGCTCAGCGAACTGTGGGTTCGCAGCTCTCAACGCCGTCAGGAAGGACATCGGGTTCACGCCGTCCGCCGTAGACTCCAGTGAGCGAGTGAGAGTGGAGAGCGGCTGGACGAGGGCCCCTCCGTTTTGGTTCCCTTTGAGTAGTTCGCTGCGTAGCTCCTCGATGCAGCCGATCGCCTGCAAAGTCGCGTTCATGTAGCAGGTGTTGCCGAGGTTGACAAGTCCAGCTGGTGTGTCCATCACGGTTTCGCCTCCTTCCTCCAGATCTTCGAGAAAGACGCGCGGCTCTGGGGGAGGTTGTGGAGGTGCGGTGGCGCTACCGACCGCGGTGAGTGTTGCGCCATCCTTGAGCGTTTTTGGGTTGAAGTCATCTGAAAGGCGGTTCTGAGCGATAATCTAGGTCAGTGTGGTCTATACCACGTACCTTTCATGACTCCCTTCCCCTTGGGAAGCATAACCTTGACGCGATCTGCAGGTACTCCCGTTGTACGCGCTACGAGATCGCGTAACTCGGACGCGGTCGATATCGCGGAGACATCGAGGGAGTACGATGCCCCCGAGTGCTTCAGGGTTATAGGCATGATGAGAAACGGTTCCCGAGATGAGAGTAAGAGGGAAGGATGAGAACTGAGAATATTGGCGCTTACGCGTCACAAATGATCTGCCAACTCGGCGGAGATCCCGGCCCGGAAGCCGGCTTTGTTCTCGTTTGCTTCCGGAAGTTGCCATTGTTCCTTGTCCTCTACGCCCATCATCCCAAAGGACCCTCGGGCTGCGCGCCTTAGGTTGTCCGTCTTGACTGCTTCTTCTGAATATAGACATTGACTATCTTTTGGGACCCGGTACAAGGCTACACGCGGGCTAGGTCGGCGTCATGTCGAGCGCGACGGCCTTTTGATTGGTTCAAGACGGAATATATGGTCATTCTGTCTCAAGATATGTGTGTAGACGACACCGCGACAACTTCTGCTGCGTCAGTCCGCAATACGGCCTCACAAAGTGTGTACCAGTGAGTCCTCAACATCTTGTCCTTCGCGACTGCGTCGTCTGGCGATGGTGCAATCATCGGTTCGTCGTTCTCCCAAATCACCCTTCCTGTCTTGCACTCTAACTATTGATAGGATGCGCAGTACTCCTATGGATGCTGTCATGTTCGAACTTCGGGTCGTCGCACGCAATGCTGTTCGTTGTTCACGACGAAGTCTGCCTCTATCACTCGCGACGCCTTCTCGAATTCTGCTGTCTTGTCTTCGATGTCAGACCCCTTCCGACCGCACACGTAGTCCGGACAAAAAGATCCCTGGGGCGATCTCGCTACTTGCATCGCTCACGTCTGAGATAAAGACCTCTGATTCTGCTACCTCGGGCGCCGGACAAGCTATCGCCTGAAAGTAGGCTTAAGCACGAATTGCTACTGCGCGGCGACATCCGCCCGTAGCCCAACGCTCAAGCTTGCCTATAACTAACCGTGCTCCACCCTGAGGCTTTCTACAGCCGAGCTTGCAAGGGATCGGGGTCCAGAAGTACCGCCACCTCGACTTCGCCGTGAAGAGGAAAAGTTGTGGAAGACTCCCCATACGTATACACCCTCGATTGTCAGCCGTACCACACCTTTCGACGACGCAACGACCCCGCTACGCCAGCAGATCCTCCATTCTAGCTACGTGTAGGACTTGTATAGGTCCACTCTAGGTACGAATAGGTTACCGCATCGCCTACACCACCGTCTCGTTCCTCGGCCCTGCCCAAACTCCACGCGCAAGGCAAGACCGGGAAGTCATGTCCGTCAGTGATATCACTCGCTTTTATCCGTTGTTTTTGACCTTCATATCCTACAAGACCCTCCACAAAGTGCAACACACCACGCCAGCAGGCTCCAGCCGCCTTGTATCGACCATTACAGCCAAAGAAAAGGACTTCCAAATCCGAAAGACATGCACCTTCATAAACCACCCCCACGCGGCGCATGACGCCTGCCACCCTTGATTGCGTAGCTCGCCAGATGCTTCGAAGTCGAGAAATGGTGCAGAGGCGCTGTGCTTCTTTGACCCGATCAATGATCGCGCGCCAGCACTTATCTGCCGCAGCGCGCTTGTTCGTCTCTGACGAACGCGCCCCTTCCTGTCCTTCCTCCTCCCTCTCTCCTCTCCCTGTCCCCATCCCCGCGGCGACGCCTGCTGTGCAATGGTGTCTCCGCGGTCCCTCCTTTCTACCCTGCTTCCTTTTGCGTCATGCGTCCTCGCCGCGACGTACGATGATTGGCGGCAGCGAACGATTTACCAGGTGCGTGGCGCGCTGAGCAACGCGCTTGATGCGAAGGTGCTGACGCGCCCGCGTAGGTCATGACGGACCGCTTCGCCCTCGCAGATGAATCCTATCCCGCCTGCGACCCCGCGGCCGCCGAGTACTGCGGCGGTACGTGGCGCGGGCTCGAGAAACACCTAGACTATATACAAGGCATGGGCTTTGACGCGATCTGGATATCGCCTGTTGCGAAGAACATCGAAGGGCATACCGACGATGGTCAAGGCTACCATGGGTGCGTCTCCTCCCGTGCTAGTCCGCGCACAAACTCATGAACTCTCCCAGATATTGGACCCAGGACCTCTTCAGCCTGAACAAACATTTCGGCTCCGCCGAGGACCTCCACAGCCTCATATCTGCCGCGCACAAGCGCGACATGTATGTCATGGCGGACGTGGTCGTCAACCAGTGCGTTCTGTCCGCTCCACCGCCCTGCCACCTCGCTCACACATTATTACTTAGCATGGCCGGCAAGGCCGAGGACATCGCGTCCCTACAAGCGGACTCGTTCTCCTCATTCGCTCCTTTATCGACCAATGACTCCTTCCACCCGCTGTGCTGGGTGTCGGACTACACCAACCAGACCGAGGTCGAGCAGTGCTGGCTCGGCAAGGACTCGAACGGGTCCGTCGCGCTGCTCGACATCAACACAGGGCACCACAAGACGATGATGCAGCTGTATGACTGGGTCGGGCAGTTCATCAGTAATTACACGTTCGACGGCATGCGGATCGACCGGATGAAGCATGTGCAGAAGGACTTCTGGCCGGGGTTTGCGAAGGCGGCGGGCACCTTTGAGCTTGGGGAGGTGAGTTCGAGGGTTCATTGCGAACACATCTCATTTGCTCACGCGCTGCGCAGGTACGCAGCGAGAACATCAGCTACGTCGCGAACTACACCGACTCAATGGACGGCGTTCTTGACTACCCGACGTTCTTCGCGGTCCGGGACGCCTTCTCGTCCACCAAGGGCAACCTGTCTGCCATCGCAGAGGTCACGAACACGTCGCGGCACACCTATCAGGGCAACGAGTTCCTGACCGGCGCCTTCATCGAGAACCACGACTACCCGCGCATGCTCAATCTTACCCAAGACAAGGCACTCGTCAAGAACGCGCTGGCATTTAACTTCATCCACGACGGTATCCCTATCCTCTACCAAGGCCAGGAACAGGGCTACTCCGGCGGCGACTCGCCTGCGAACCACGAAGCGTGAGTGGTCTATGCTATCCTCTACCGCATTGCCCGCTGACCTGTCATCCAGGCTTTGGTTCTCGCGCTACGACACTCGCAACGACATGTACCGCACCATCGCCGCGATGAACAAGGCGCGCAAGCAGGCGATGAACGCCGGCAAGCACTTCCTCATCACCGCCATGGACTTCATCAAGCAGGAGCAGCCCGGCGTCATGGCTGTCTCGAAGCCGCCGCTCCTGACGTTGCTCACCAACGCCGGCAGCGGTGGCGCCGCCGCATGGGACGTCCCCGACGTCTACAAGCCCAACACCGAGCTCGTCGACGTCCTCACGTGCCGGACGTACAACGCCGGCGCGAAGGGCGAGGTCAAGATCAGCTCGACGGGCGGCATGCCGCACGTCCTCATCCCGTCCGCGGACCTCGCGCACGACGGCGGGCTCTGCACAACGGAGGCGAATGCGGCGCCGAGGCGCGCGGGGACGCCCTTGGGTGCGACTTTGGGTCTCTTGCTTGGTTTCGTGGGTTTCATGCTGCTCTGAAGGCCCGTTGGACGGTGCCGTTCGCTCGCTCCTTCCCTTTCCTCTCTTGCTATCGGCTCTCGTGGATTGCTCGACGACCTCTCACGCCCCGGATTCTTGTACACTCAGCCATCGGACGGACTTGCGTATTCGGACGGCTCCGATGGCCGTATCATCATCTCGTTATCGCTTTTTGGACCACTCTTGGGACTTCTGTGCACATCACTCTAGACTAGTACTTCAGGCGTCATTATCTTATCCCTCTCTGTCGCGCGCTATCCTACGTATCGCTTCTAGTACTACTCACGATTACCGCCATTGTATCATAGGCTCTCTTTCCTTCATGCACATAGACATAGATAGATTTAGACTGCAACCCTGGCTCAGGCTTGCACCCACACTCATTGTCTCCCGACTTTAGATGCTCTCTAGGCGTATGTTCTGGGTTGATTATGTTGTGTCTGGACTTGTGCTGTATAACGTGGTCTGAGAAGTGATTCTGAAGCTGAAAGCAGTCTTTCCTACGCCGACACGACTCAGGACGCGAACTTCATGGCGATCTATCATCTATCCCCATCTGGCACAAAAGAACAATGGCCAAGCGGATGCTGATCGCGACTTCGATCTGACCATCATGACGACCCCAGGAGAGGACGAGCTCAGAAGCGCACTTATCGAGCTGAAAGCTCAAAATCCCAGTCTGGGTATATCCAAAGTCCATGCCCTGCTGCTCGCCGCGCATCCTGACTGGACGGTCAGCGAGAAACGGACACGAAAAATCCTGCAAACGCAGGGCTTGGTGCAAGGCGCCGGCCCAGCCGTGCACCCGACCTCGCGCCTTATCCCCAACTTCGATGTGAAGAAGTACTCCTCGAAGGTCGCGCCAAAGTTCTTCGACAAGCGGAAGGGAAAGGGCCTCGTCGCGGTCGATCCGATCAAGGAGGGGGAGGTGATCTGGAAGGAGGATCCGTTCGTGATGGCACCCGAGTGGTAAGAGCGCCCCTCCCCCCTCGCGCTGCTCACCGTCCCGACTCTGAAGGTGCGCTTTCAAGGAACGCGTTCGAGATGCAGATCCAGGGCACGGTCTGCTGGCAGTGCTGTACGCCCATGCAACACACCGGCCGGGAGGTATCCTGCCGCGCACACACCTCCTCCGCCAACTACTGCCCCGCGCGATTCTGCAACCGCCTATGCCTCGTGCGTAGCGACAAGACGCACCCCCTGCTTTGCCCCGCTCAGAATCCAGCTTCGTCTCAGCTGCTGCGTTACGCGCACGACAAGCAGTGGATGGCGCTCCACGGCTACGCCCAATTGGTAGCGCGGATCATACTCGCCTATCAAGGCGACGAAGAGACCTTCAGATCCGAGCTGGACATCATGCGCGCCTTCGCAGAGATCGATGTGGAAACTCGCCACCGGAACACGAAGTACGTTCATGCGCCATGCACATTGAACCAATTCCCTGATCCCTGTCTCGCAGCCCTGGCTTAGAACCAGACAAGGAAACATGGAAGGCCGGACACAAGCACCTTTTGAACACCTTCGTCGACCCGCCGACGGCGGATGGCAAGAAAAAGCTCAAGAAAATCATCCGCAAACCTCTAACCGCAGAACTTGAGAAGGAGCTCTTCGACTACGACACAGCCTTCCTCAAAGGACTCGGTCGCATGGTTCTCAGTATGATCCTTTTCTTTTTGCGTACCGACCTGCCGCTTATCATAATCTCCAGACTTTGAAAGATCCGGCGGCCTCTACGTGCTGCACTCGCACATGAACCACTCCTGCGTCCCCAACATCTCTGTGCGGCACTTCGACAAGAGCACCAACTGGGCGCGGATAACGATGGTCGCGAAGAAGGACCTCGCGCCAGGTGAGGAGCTCATGATCTCATACGTCGACCCGGAGGCGCCCTACAAGGCGCGGCAGGCCGAGCTCGAGCAGTGGGGTTTCAAATGCGTATGCCCGCGCTGTTTGGAGGAGGCAAAGACGGCGAAGGCGGCTGCGCCTGTGCATGGCGAGGTCCGCGATGGGATTGACTTGAACGATCTGGAGAAGGAGCTCAAGGCGGGGCTGGGTGTTATGTAAAGCAATTCATGCCAATGCCCGAATAAATATAATTGTACTCGTATACCAACGAGATGGTGGTGTCTCTTCAGTGTGTCTGCGACGGCTCGTACACCGTGCGCTTTCCCCCCGTTCGCTATATAGTCTCTCGCTTCTGCAGACCGTCAGACATATTATAGATCACGGTACGATTGAATATCGCTTACCCTCGTCGATGTCCTAGGCCGGGTGCCGTCGAAATCCTTCGCCTCCCGCACCATCCACATGATCTGGAACACCTTCTCCCACTTGTCCCACGCAATCCATTCGCGCGTCCGCATCCTCTTCTCCATGTCGGTGATGATATCGTCCATGAACTTGTCGTGTAGAATGGCAGCCTGCACCTTCCCGTACAGCGGCGCTGCGGGGAACGTGTCGACGATGAGCTGCGCGACGTTGAACGGGTCCGCCAGCTCCGAGTTCCAAAAGTCGAGGTGGGTGACGGTCGTGCTCCGCGGACGGTCCTTGTCGTATATCCGCACGACGAAGTCGGCCTTCAGGTCCACCGTGATGGTCAATGACTCCAGAGACGTGCACTGTTGGGCAATCCGCTGTAATCCCTTGACCGTGCAGGTAGTGACGCGGCGCGCGTTCATCCACGCATCAAGGCCTGTCATGGAGGTTCCATAATGAACGGAGGGACGATCTGCAATGTGCGCAGGTGCTTCCATCCCGATGCGAGCGACTCCACGGCGCTGTCGGACAACTTGAACCCGCCCTTGCTTTCCAGCCTGAGCATCTCCAAGCGGCGGAACGGTAGCAGAAGCTCCAGAGTACCACTGTCAACCCTCGCTGGCTCGCCACTGTCGCGCAAGTCCAACGTCTCAAGTGTACCAGGGTCACAGTGGTCGCGGAGGGCCTCTAGAAGGGGACGCCAATTATTTGTCGGTGCTCTGACTGGCGCGTCTTCTTCCAGAGTGGTTTCGATGATGAGGGAGCGAAGGCGGACGAGATCGCAGTGCTTGATCAAGTCAGCCACGAATACTCGGCAATCTTCGTCCGTCTTTATAACAAGATCGCGCAGGGCGTGGAATGGATGGTCGGCGGATGGCAATCGCGGATATGGTGCTTGTCCGTAGCCCTTCCACGTCACTTCGAGGGCCTGTAAACATGGAAGGGAGGCCAACATGTTCCACTCGGCGTCGTTGACGAGATGGTATATGACGAACTTGCGAACTATATCCCAGCGTGGACCACGCATGGTAGGCATTATCGCATAGTATCGACTTGCCTCGATGGAGAGCCGAAGTTCGGGCGTCTGTGCGACACATGCGTCTAGGTCGATCTCCAAGCGCTGCCCTCGGCTGGAAGGAGTCTGCCAAGTGGCCCAAATCTGCTGAAGAGAAGCCGAATGGAAGAGATGCATAAACTTCGGAGACGGTCGTTCGCCAGCAGTGAAAGCCGAGGGAGGCAATTTCAGGACAACCAACCCAGGAAAGAGAGGTCGAGGTGGAGGGTTGTCAAAGAGTACGGAGAGAACGTTTGAGTCGGCATCCTCAAGATCCAAGCACCTGACGCGCTCTGAGTATTTGTACAGTTTCTCGAAGTGACTGTGATCGGGGGATCGCAACCATTTCGGCCCGTATAAACGGAATATCGTGACATGTTTGGTCTATCCAAGGTCGTCAGTACTTTACATTAGGCGCGAGACTTAAAGAGGCGCACCGTAGGAGGGCGATACACATCCAAGGGCAAAAGAGAGAACAGGTGGGTCATGAGTTGGATGAAATCCAAATCTCTCCAGATGCGACTTAGTGCAGCTTCCTTCCAAGCACGGCACGTCAAGGACATCGCATACGCGTCTGGTCTGTCGACGACCTCGCTGACAAGACATATAAGGTCATAGGTAGAGAGGAGCCGGTGCATGGTTGCCTTGAGTGCGCGTTGTGCGAGGACTTCCGATCGTAGGTGGAAGGAACCAGGAAAATAATTACAATTGACTGCTCGGCAAAGACCGGCGCTCTTCGCACGCGAGCAAATAATGGCCAACTCAGTCTCCCCACGGCCAGTCTAGGCAGCCGTAGACTTGTCAGGAATTTGCGTTGCCAATATACAGGGTTCCAAGCATACCGCTGATGAGTCTGTACTAGATACCAATCCTGTCAACTCGACGTGAATATACACAGCATAACAGCGCATACAATGATTATATCTCACCGTTCAAGTAATCGATCGCTCATGACGATCTTCCCGCATCGCCTGCCGCACCATATAGCAGATACTGAGCACTTCCTCCCACCTCTTCCAGGTAAACCACTCGAGCGAAAACTCTTCGTTGTACCGAACGTGCAGGACCGATATCCGTAAACAAGGGTCTAGCACCGCGGGGAACGTCGTCACGACGAGCTGCGCGACCTTCCAAGGATCGAACAACTTGGAGTTCCAGAAGTCGAGATCCGTGATCTTCGTGCTCCGCGGCCGCCCCTTCTCCCACCCGGGGGGCTCGAAGTACGACGTGAAGTCCACCGTCACGGCCAGCGTATCGAGGGAGGGGCAATGCCGAACGATCTCCAGCAGGCCATAGACCGAGCATGTGTTGATGTAGCGAGCGTTTTCGCACATGTTATCGCCATTGTCCTCGTCGACGCAGTAGACGGACGGCACCATGCGCAGCGTGCGGAGGTGCTTCCAACGCCGAACTGTCGACACGACAACCGCGTCGTCCAGGTCGAAACCTCCCTTGTTCTCCAGTGAGACCATTTCAAGGGCTTGGAAGGGCGCCAGAAGCTCGAGCACTGTCCCCGGCACGCGCGTCATTTCCCCGCAGTCGTCCACGTTCAGCACCGCCAGATCGAGATACGAGCAGTGGTCATGCAGAGCCTGCAGGAGTTTGTGCCAGCTGTTTGTCGGATTCGCTTCTCGCTCATTATCATCGCGACCGACACGGATCTCCAAGGAGGACAGCGTAAGAGGGCCGCAGCGTCGAAGAAAGCTGGCGACGCGAGGTTTACAGTCTTGATACGTACTGACCGTGAGCTCGCGCAGCGCGCGAAACGGGCGGGAGATAGAGGGAGAGCGTGGATATGTTTCGAGCTCGAGAGTCTGCAAGCGAGGCAGTGCAGCTAGAATGTCCCAGTCACTTTCCTCGATAGCGACGCATCCGAGGGACACACTGCGGACAATATCAGACCGCGCGCCGACGAGGACAGGTAGCTTCGGTCCATATACCTCGAGGCACAGTCTGATGCCTTTGGTATGAGCGACGCATGCATCGAGGTTAACCTTCTTTGGTCTCTCGCCCACGCCGACTTTCCAGGTAACCCAGACCTGTGACAGTAGCGGCGAGTTAAAGGGTTGCATGCGTGAGGTAGATGGGAGACCCTTGCTCGTGAGGGCGCCAGGCGGCAGCTTCACCTCGCGGAGTCGGGAAAAGAGGGGCCGCGGAGGTGGATGATCGGCCAGCACGGATAATGTGTCCGATTCAAGGTCCGCATCCTGCAGATCCAAGGACCTGATTCGCACAGAAAACCGATATAAGTCGGCGTAGTCATCCGGTTTGGGGTGTTGCAACCATGGTGATGGATGGTACGAAAGCACATATCTATTCTGTGCAAAATGATACTCCATGTAAGGCAATATCCCAAGGTAAATTATGACTATGCATACGCACTTCCGGAGGCTTGTACACGTTCGACGGCAGGAGACAGAACAAGTGAGTCATAAGTTCGCCGAATGTTAGGTCGCGCCATATCCGGTCGAGGGCGGCAGAATGCCAAATACGGCACGTAAGTGCCATAGCATACGCGTCGCGTCTGTCGATGACCTCGCAGATGCAGCCCACGAGCTCTGGCATTGATAGGACTTGATGCATGCTGTCCGAGATCTGTCCTTATACAGTACTAGGTCCCAGCGCAGCAGATCTCCTGATAGAGCTAAGGAACACCGGACAACGGTGATGGACGTCGAGAACAAGCTGTAACGCACTGTCACAGCGTCACTGTCAGTCCAACAACTTTAGAGCATGTGATTTGTGTGTGATCTGGCAAGCTTAGCTCGCGCAAAGAAAACATCCATCTTCTCAAGACCTTTGCAGAATTGAGATAAACCTCATGACACAGCGTTCAGCCAAGTCTGGGTATGTAATGACAAGTGCGAAAACAGATGTCCGTTTGTACACGGCTATGCAAGCATGCTAACAAACTCACACCCTTCGAGGCACGAGCTCTGCTATCCTACTGTGCATGCCATCCGTATTCGCATTGATTAGACAGATCTACCAAAGAGCATCTATTACTTGAAGCACCAAGGCAATAAAGTTATACCTCAAACCGCTCCTGCATATCGCCCGGGCAGCTCACAAAAAGGCTGCAGGAATCTCCCCTACTCGCCGCATACCCTACTTCGCCTGCCCATCCCTCCACACCGCCTCCTCCACCGAGCCCGGATACCGCACATCACCCGGACCTGTTGTCCATGAACGCAATGTTCCTCAACGAAGGCGAAGGCAACCCACGCTCCATCCTGCTCTCGTCCATCACCGCCGCCACCTGGCCCCCCGGCGCCGGCTCCGGCGGCATCTCCTCCCCCATCTCCTCCCCCTCCTCCAGGTCGTGCCCCGCGTCAGCGCGCCGCTGCCGCCGCGCGTGGAACGTGCGGCTCGCGGTCGCGTTCGAGAATATAGGCAGCAGGTACCGCTCGTCGAGCGCCTGGAACCACTTGCTGTCCTCGCTCCCGCGGCGCGAGTTGGCGCCGCCGGGGGAGGCGGGTGCGGACGCGGACGGCGGGAGGCGATCACGCTCTGCAGTAGATGCGAGCGGGAGGACCTCGCCGACGTCGGAGTCGAGGCTTTCGGAGGATGAGGAGAAAATTGTTGCTGTGGGGTTCGGCGCGGATGTTGATGTAGGCATGGGTGCGTTTTGGTGATTGTAGGGTTGGGCGTAGCGAGATGTCGAGGGGCGGGGAGAGCCAAGGTAGCTAGGTTCGTCGTCGGCGTAGCGCGGCCATGCGCGGCTGCCGCTGAAGGAGCGTCGGCCCAGCCACTGTCGGTTCGGAATCTCTTCCTCCTCGTCGGTACTTGCGCTATCATCCTCCACGCCAGTGCGAATGCCGAGGACCTCGAGCATGCGTGCGGTCGTGCCGCCGAACATGAGCACCGTCAGCACAACAACAGCCAGCACGGTAGTGCGCATGATCTGCGCATTCGGGCCCTGGAAGCCAGCCGCCAACGCAACGCCGACGGCACCGCGCAAGCCTGCCCAGAAGAGCATCATCTGGTACGAGTGTGGCAGTTCCTCTTGTCTCTGCCCGCGTGCATGTCGATGGAAGAAGTTGATAGCTTCGGAAAGCGGGAAGACAGCGGCGTATCGCGTGAAGACAACCGAGACGACCGTGATGGTGATGAACAGCGGCTTGACGTAGTGGCCCACGGGCTCTGACACTGGCGCGCTGGTGAAGAGCGCAAGGCCGAGGTAGATGAAGATGAAGTTCTCCGAGAGCTGAGCGAGGGTGGCGAATATGTACTTCGTCGCGCGCTGTGTGCGGCGGGACATGGTATGGTACGCGTAGTGCTTGAGGGTGATGCCGCAAAACAGCAGGGATACAATGCCGGACATCTGGCACCCATTCGAGAAGAAGTAGCAGGTGTATGCGCTCAGGGCGACCAGGCAGGACTCGATTTGGGGGTAGTGGGTGAGGGCGGAGTGCTTGAGGAGCAGCGACATTGCCAGGCCGAAGGCGACGCCGAGGGCCATTGATACGGAGAAGGACAGCAGGAAGATGCCGATGCCGTGGAATATGGATCCTAGGTAGACTTCTGATCCATGGAACTGCGATAGCGTCCTGGAGGTGAGGTCAGCCCGAGGCTCGGACGAGAAGCGGCGTAGCGATACTCACTCGTACATGACGATACTGACAGCATCGTTCAGCAAGCTCTCGCCAAAGATGACCGTGTACAACTTGGGGTCGACCTTATATTGGTTAAAGATCGCGAGGATGGTGACGGGGTCGGTGGCTGAGAGGGTCGAGCCGAAGATGAGACATTCGATCAGCGTGAGGTCGAGGTGCTCGAGGCCGAGGAAGGAGTATATGTAGACTAGGACACTGCGCTGTAAGTGATCAACGCAGGCTCGGTAGGGGAAGGGACTTTGACGCGTACCCAACGCCGACTGCGGAGATGAATGTCCCCAAGAACGCGAAGGTCAGGATCGAGCCAAAGTTGCGGAAGAAGTTGTCCTGTATGACTGTCAGATAGAGAGTATGATGCAGCAAGTATATGCGTACCTGCTTGAGCTCATAGCCCGAGTTGAGGATGATTGGTGGAAGTAGCAGGTTGAAGAACAGCGTGTGCTTGAAGGTCTGCCAATCCACGCGTCAGCACGGTCATGCTTCTCGAGGATCATACCAAAGGAGGCGGGACACCCCGATCTACGCGTACTCACCAGCATTTCACGAATCATCGTCCCCGGCGCCAACCTGACAATCAGACCGACCGCCATGCCCGCGAAGATCGACACCAGCGTCTCGTGCACCGCGCGTATGCGCTTAATCTGCAGATAGTAGCTCGTCCATAGCGAGAGAATGAGGAGGCAGCACACGAGGAACAACGACCAAGACGAGTAGAACTCCTCGTCCTCCGCGACCGGCTCAGAAGGTGATGGGGACGCGGCCGCGGCCGCTACCGTTATTGACCCCAGTTTCAAGGACATTGTGGGGCAGAACGCCTATGTTGGACCCGCCACCGTCGTTGGCGATGTTGTTGTCGTCGGGCTCGGCGTCGACGTCGACGCGTTCGTGCTGGCGATGGTTCGGAGGCGGGGTACAGGCTGACTAAGCAGCCTGCGACCGGCTATTCGGAAACGGCCGAATACTTCCGGTTTTGGAAGGCTTTGTCGGGTTGCCGAGCAGCAGCCTCTTGCCTTCATGCCTCTGGCTTTCCCTTCCTCAGACAGACCAACTCTCCCAGATGGACGGATACATAGACTTCGATTCTGAACCATAACTGAACAAGGAAGACATACACTGTTACACTAAATCACACCATGGAGATATATGTACACGCGTCCGAGCAACCGTAGCGACAACCGGTAACCTTCGAACAGATAACACGACAGCAGGGCAAGAAGAAAGAGCGCAAGAAAGGACATGGACGCAGAGGGAATCGACGAAACATGTCATGTGGGACAATGACCACGATTACTCGGTGCGCTGGCGCTTCGCCGACTCCTCCTCAGCACCCTCGCTGGAGCGCTTGGTGCCCGCCTGCGCACCACCGGCGGGATGCGCGGCCTTGTACGCGTCGAACTCGGCCTCAACGCGCTGGCGGGCGTGCCGCTCCTCGTCCCAAAGGCGGCGCACTTCCTCGAGTTGCGACTGCAGGTCGCCCATCGCCTGGTCCATGAGCAGCTTCTCAAGCGTCCACTTCTCGATGTTTCGGCTCTCGTTCTCCTTCAGGTGGTGAATATACTGCACCGCACGGGAGAGGATGGCGCCCTTGGCTTTCTCGCCGGAGCCGCTGGGCACAATACGTCCGAGCTCGTTGATGCCCTCGTTGATGTTCCCGCGGCGGCGGCGCTCAACCTCCTTGTGGTTGTCCTTGCGCTGCCGCGTCCACTCGTCGGTACCCATGGCAGGGTTACGCCCCGCGCGGCGCCCGGAGGCGGAGCCCGTGCTGTTCGGGGCTTGCGAGGACTCCTCGGTGGGGGAGGCGTCAACAGTGGTCGGACCGGGAACGGTGGCAGTGGGAAGGTTGGGGTTGGGAGGACGAGCAGCAAGCGTAGCGGCAAGGTTGGCCGTCGCAAGCTGGGTAAGATTGGGTGGGCCGCGCGGGTGGGTGGAAGGGCCAGCATCACCGACGCCTGGGTAGGCAACCGGCTGCATCTGTGCCTGCTGGTTGAATTGGGCAAGGTTGGAAAGTATCTGGGCTGCGTCTTCCTTGCCTCCCGAGTCAGGAACCTGCAGGATAGATTAGCAAGGGCTCGAGGCCGATTCTGCACCAATGCGCGCTCAATGCCCACCCCCGAGTAGGCGCTTGATCCATGAGATCATAGCGCCTATCGTAAGCAAAGCCCACCCTCCATTCCTGCCATCTTAACCTTCCCCCACACGTCGCCGCTGCACACAGCACGAGAGAATGAGGGGACGCAACTCACCTTCCCCTGTAGGAGATTCGGCACATTTCTGAGGATGGCGAGGAGCTGATCTTGGGGGATAGCGCTCAACGCGAACGCGGGATCGGTGGGGAACCCAACTGGAGCCGCGCCTGGAGGAGGCGCCGGGGCATGCTGGGGAGGTTGGGTGGCAGGATCGGTCTGGTTAGACATCGTGGTCTTCGTTGGTGGCGAGGTTTATGGACCCAGGGATGGCGAAATTGGCGTCGTTGGTGTCGTTGGCGAAAGGGGGATCGTACGAAGGTTGTTGTAGTGGTCGCGGGTGGGTCCTCGAGGTCGAGTACTTCTTGTGTTTATTCGATGTGGCGACGGCGACGACGCGGTCAGCGCAAAACGTGACTGGAAGTGTGGAAGTCACGGGCGGAAGAAAGTCATGCGAAAAAAACGTGAGACACAAACTTGGGCAGCGGTGACAAGCAAATACAAATAAGCAGAAGGCGTCACCGGCGGCAGCACACGTTGTACAATACCCTCCGGGCGCCATTTGGCTTCGAATCGGACTGAAAAACGCAAGCAAAGGGGTCTGGAGGACTAGCAAGTGCACTTACAGCTTGATCAGCGATTCCCAGCGATTCCCAGCGACCTCAAGCCAGGTTCTGTCAAACAAACTCGCCGATCACTTGTCAAGGGAGGATTCCCACGGATTGGGAGCGAACTCGATTTGCTTCCGTCTATTTCCTTAGGAGGCGTTATCCTAGAGTCTTCAGCTCTGATTACTGTACAAGCATCTTTCTGGCGCCATCGCGACTCAGTGATGGTCATGACTGTATCTTGCATACTCTGTATATGGTTTACCGACAACGACGGACTCGCGATTGCGACGACGAACACCTTGCGTCTCCGACAATGTCATTCTTCTTCAATACGGCCTATTGAAGCTTTGCAAAGGGTCTTTTCAAGTCCGCAACATTCGCCATTCCGCCACTCTAGCTCGGTCTCGCGCTGCACTCCATATCTCCTCCGGCGATGGCGGACTGTTTCCGGTCTTGCGGACGTCCTTTCGTCGGTATGTCTACTAACTATACGCTAAGCAAGGACAATACAGGAACCTCGCACCGCCTCGCTTGTTATGCTGTCCGCAAGCATCCTAGTCCGCCTGCTATCCCCTCGCAGAACGGCACATTCAACGACCAGCCTGCGACCTGTCCATCTCCCGCGACTACGGTAATCCGCTCCTCCGCGCACCGCTTTCCTCTTACAGGCCCTCGCAGGTGATTCGTGTAGTTGGAGGATCCGCGCTCGCCTTCGTATCACCACACGCACACTGCCTGTACTGCTTAGTACTCAGTGAAGGTCACCCCGGGGAGCCATCACTCTACTTCGGGACTAGGGTTCTCGGGCCACCTGGATGCGTCTTGATCATTGGACTGTCGACCTCCTTCCAGCGCTTCGGTGATACGCCTTCGCTCCTGGGGTGGACGACCTCGAGGTCACCCGACTGGTCAACTGTAGTGGGCTCCATATTGCGGCAAACTCTCATACGACCCAGACGGACCGCGATGACGCTCATCGCCTGACTGCCATCTCTCTTACCGTAGAGATATGTTGGTACGGGTCGTGATATGCAGCCTACGCCAGTACCATCAACGATGCATGGGACGTCCCGCCTGTCGCAATCAAGGCTTTCGCGTGGGTGTCGGATCTGTCCATTCTATTGTTCTTCTTCGGGTGTACCGCCGGTGTTGGGCCTCGTGCACCTCGCATATCGACCTTATCCGGCGCCTGCCATCATCCGACGCCCGCTGGTCGTTCTCATCGCCGCGATCACTGGACTCAGCACCACTGAATGGACTGTCGCAAGCAGGGTACTACTTTGCTATCGGTCCTGGATTCTTGAGGCCAAGATCAGATACCCCCGAAGCTAACGTGCGTCCGGTGGCGCCTGATGGGCCGGTAGGTATCCCTGATGTGAGGTGGGGACTACGGAGGGACTTGCGGTCGATCTCGAGGCGAAAGCGAGCGTGGACGCGAAGACATACGACTCGCATGCACCGCCTTTCATCTCAGTTCAGTGCGATGAGTCCTGATGAGCGTATCACGCCCAGCCATCCGTGGCTCCGGGCGACGAGCGGCGAATTAGCGGCAGGAATGGGACGAAGTGTTTCACGGCAAAGGTCTGCACTCCACCACGCTTCCCATCCATACTTACTTGTGGGCTATGGACTTGAACTTACGTGGCGCGTCGCCTTCATACAGCGATCCCCTTCCAGCGCAAACTCTAGCCCATTGTGATGCAGCCCTTCCGATACAATGTGTAGAAACCTGGGCCAAGGCCTCTTGCAACAGTCGAGCCGACGTCCGAGGGAGGAAGAGAGCCTCTGACCGCTGAGTCATTCATCTCGAACAAGGCGCAGCTCCGGCCAGCGCCCGGCGCCATCAAGCATCAGCCGCTCGCATGCGCGCTATTGCAAATCACAGGCTCTGCCCCTGGTACCGTGATCTGAACGGCGCTATTTGATGGTCTTCAAACACACAGCATCGACCCTCTCTCCCTCCCTCCACCACTCACGATGGGCCAGCAGTACGAGGATGAGGACCCTCTCACGCGCGCGATCGCGCCCCCACCGAATGAGACCCCTCAGGAGCGCCGCGCACGCGAGGCCGCGGAGGCAGAAGCGCGCCGCATTAGTGACATGATTGACGACGAGATCAGGCAGGAGCGGGAGGCAGAGAAGCGCAAGAAGAAGGCGGTAAAGCTGCTCCTCCTCGGTGCGTCCTGCGCATAGCAATTGATTGCAGAGCGCTGATACGACTTGCGCAGGCCAGAGCGAGTCCGGAAAGACCGCGACGCTGAAAAGTGCGGGCTTCGACCCCGAGTTGCACGCGCTCGCTGACGCCAAGCATCACAGACTTCCAGCTGCAGTATTCACGCCGACAATGGCTCGAGGACCGCGATGCATGGCGCTCTGTCATTCACTTGAACCTCGTCCGGAATGTCAACAGTATACTGGACATGTTGGCGAAGGAGATCGCTGCCGCCACCCGGCCCGATTCCCCCAGCGATGACAGTGACCCACCTCGACGCCGGCATTCGCGCCAGCCGTCTCGACCATCAATCCCCTTCACCGACACGCACCGCGCGCTACGTACCCGCCTTGCGCCGCTCAAGCGGGTACAGAAGGACTTAGAGCGCCGCCTCGGGGACCAGTCCAAGGAGATGTACACCACGGACGTACACACCGCGGCGCCCTTCGACGACATGGCCGCCGCTGGCTCTCCCGCACCGCGAGGCGTCTTGCAAGAGTTCTCCATCAACTCAACCAACGGCTGGAAGTCTGCGCTGGATCGCTTCCGCCGCGGGGGCGTACCAGACGCTCGTGCTGATGCGGCGATGAAGCTGCAGAAGCAAGTCGACGCGCAGATACTGGACACGATCGCATCGTGCCGGGACGACATGCGGGCGCTATGGAATGACCCAGCGGTGCGCGCCATGCTCGATCGGCGACGGTCGCGGATAGAAGATGGCCCGGGGTTGTGAGTGTCGCCCATCTCGTGCGGGTGACAGCGCGTCTAACACCTCGCAGCTTCCTCAACGACTCGGACAGGATCGCAGCTCGCGGGTACGACCCCACCGATGCCGACATCGTGCGCGCCCGCTTGCGGACGGTTGGCGTTCAGGAGCACAAGTTCATGTTTGAAGTCGGTGCGTGTGATTGGTCGATGTACTTCGCACGCGTCGAGCTTACACTCGCACAGGACGCACGGCCGGGCAGGAATGGCGCTTCTTCGACGTAGGCGGCACCAGGAGCAGCGTAAGTAGCATTCGTACCCTCGGATCTGCATAGCTGACGCCGATTGACGTGCAGCGCGCCGCCTGGTACCCGTATTTTGATGATGGTAAGCATCGCCCCCAGTGCACGCCTTCAGTCACCTCTAACCCTTCACGCCACAGTCGATGCCATCATCTTCCTTGCGTGAGTTGATCCTTTGCAACCCTGCGATCCCAACGCGTCCTAATCCGGCCGACCCGGCCCCCTCGCAGACCAAGTATGTTCATTTACCCGTTTCGTCCCTGGAAACTCGTCCTCATCTAATAACAGTCTCCTGTTTCGACGAGAAACTGGCCGAAGACCGAAGGGTGAACCGGCTGGAAGATAGTTATCTCCTGTGGAGATCGGTTGTCTCATGCAAGTTGCTTGCACGGACGCAGATCATTTTGTTCCTCAACAAGTGTACGTTCTTTGGCGTCGCAGCCAAGCCGCTTCGCCTGACAGACCCATAGGCGATCTACTCCAGACCAAGCTGAATCGCGGCGTCAAAATTCGCGATTCGGTACCCAGCTTTGGCGAGCGGCCAAACAATCTGGCGACCGCGACGAAGTGTACGCCACGCATTGAGGTGGTGTCGGCGAGAACTCACCAGCGCCTCGCAGACTTCCAGCAGCACTTCAAGGAGATCCTGCGCCAGCACTCTCCCGTGCAGCGGCCCTTCTACGTGTACCTCACCTCCGTGATTGACACGAAGGCGACGGCGGCAACGCTTGGCGCTGTCGAGGAATCTATTCTGCGCAATCATCTACGCCGCGCAGACCTCATGTAAGTGAGGCATCTCCCCTTACACGCTCCGGCAGGCTTACTGAGCAACCCTGCAGCTAATGAGCGCACCTTCGCTCGTAAACGTGTCTCGTTCGCTCTCGCGCCACCACCGTCCATTGCTGCCACTGTATAATTGTATCATACGTACGCTCCATCTGGCACGTTCCGTCCTCCTATCCATATTGCCCTCACCCTCCCCTTTGGCTCACCGACCTACTTTATGCACGTCCGCTTTTCCGCCCCTACGCAGCGGACGTCTCTCGCGACCGGCTCTCCTTACCACTGAGGCTATCCTTACCACTGGACCTAACTTATTATCTCTGCTTACTCTGCTGTCGCTGCCTCGTTCACGTTGACTGCCTACAGTTGCCGCGCCTGCTGCTGCGACCTACACGTACCCTATTTCGTCGTAGCACCTACGCTTTATGGATCTCTCTTTCCTGTATTGCTTGTTATACATTCTAGCATGTGGAATAGCTGTCCTGATTCAGACGATAATCAATGGAAGAAATTTATTTATCTGTGTTTGCCTTCTTATCACACTCACGCGTGGTACTCCCTGCGCTCTCATACAACGTCAATGATCTGACCGACTTGCGAACGTCTTATTGGAGTCGTAACGCTCGCGGACTGCGGCGAAGTGCGCGAGGATCCGGGGTAGGCAACGATGAAAAGGAGCGGGTCGAAGGAACGCACATCATTCTTCACGCTCTTCTGGAGAATCTCGTGTGTCCTGTGTCCAGTGGGGCCGGCAGGGAAAGGAAAGGAAAGGAGTTATTCGGGCGAGGTCCCTAAACAGGAACAACCCTATCCGCCCCACGCAACCAAGGGGAACTCTTTGATCAGCGTTTCGGCGAGGTGAGCGTCTACAGACTGTTAGTGACTTTCTCCCCGAGCAACAAGCCGAGCTGACGCACAGAATAGCCGTTATACCGCAGCTCCGCTATCCGGAAGATATGTGGGAAAGTCGAACATGCGCCCGACTTCATGGATATCACTCTTCATGTCGACTTCGCTGGGGAGACTTTAAATTCTGGTCGCTCTGCGCTCGCGACGCTCATGAAATGGCAGTCGCCGCCGCTCACGAACGAGAGCGAGTACATGCAGGTCATGGCACATCACAACGCCGAGCTGTGGAATAGCGTACGGGGCCACTATTCGAGGGAGGATGCGCGACCGAGATTAAGCGCTGATGGTGCTGTCGTGAGTGATGGTCCTTCTACGTTGGCAAAACCGCCTGACCACGTTTCCCCCTAGCACCCTTTGCTACCTCGCCCTCTTCCTCGTTGACTTCACCTACTGGTACAAATGCTCTTCGACCGTTACTATTTTCACGAGCTAAAGAAGCGCAGGACGCGCAAGACCTCAGTCTTCCTGCTAGTGGAATAGCGACTGAGGGAAAAGAGATGTACAGTAAGGATAAATACGGACGCCCCCGGAGCGGCGTGGGAAAGTTCTTCCCGAATAGGAAGGCGGACCAAAAGCGTGGACGCGAGGCAAACCGTCCACCCATGGGAGGAGGCAGACTCGCCCCTCTATACCCTACTTTTGACAACTATCAGCATCCACGTCACAGAGATGCTTTTTGCAGCGGGAGTCGTTAGCTGTGTGGACAGTGTCGTCAATGACACGCTGGGCAATCTAGAGAATTGGTGGATCCACGTCTTGATGTATATGCCGGAACTGTTGCTCCCATTCCTGATGGCGAAGGCTATCTATCGATGGGAGTTCAGTACCGACTAGGGGCGGTGCTTATGTGCTTGGCGACTTGGACCGATTTCCTGAGCCATCTCACCAGCGTTGATGGGATCGTACGCTTCTGAGAAGTAGCGCGCCTAAGGTGGCAAGAGATCGCTCAACAGTCGCCAAACGACCACACAAACAACCCAAAGACGAGACAGTTACTTCGCCAGAAGCGCAGCGAGTCCGTGTTTTTGTATTGCTAGGGAATATATAGTGCCAACAAATAGACGAGTTTTGGAAGTTCGCGAAGTAGCGCTAGTTCCTCGACCGCGGCAGCTCGTCAGGCTTTTCACAAGTGTTTCTCAGAAGTAGTCACGCAAGGAGATGGTCTTTTCAAGGGATTTCTCAAAGATTTCTCAAGGTTTTTCTGGTCTGATTGTTCTGGTATTGTATGCAAAGTGTGGGCTCTGCAAGGGCTCTGCTCCTGATGTGGGCGAAAGTCCCCGAACTGTAGGTACGTTTCGGTATATATACGGTAGGTAGGGCGGCGCACGGCCGATGCAAAATGACTCGAGTTGGTGAAAACTTCCCGATCTCGGATAATTCCCGCGAGGCGCATCAGCAGCTTCTCGCAATTCCTGTCCTTCCTCCCCTCAACTGGCCTGCCGCGTTCCGTCGTTCCGAGGCCGTCGCACGTTCTCCGGTGAGGCCGATGGCGGATAGCGCTGCGTGTTGAAATTCCGAGTCATATTGGTCCGGGTCCGCCTAAGCTTCGACGCCTTTCTGGTATAGATAGGTTCGGCAGTCGTTGCCTGCCGCCAAGACAGCTGTGTTCGCTTGTATCGTGCCCGAAGCCGAGTGGAAGACCGCGCGGTGAGGCGCGGTACTTCGCACAATTGTTCGGTCGGCGAAGTCCGAAGCACGTGAGTGTTCGAGTTGACACGGTCATGTGACTCGTGCGCGTCCCGGCGATTGGGTGAGGACCGCGGCTGCGGTCCTATGAGGTCCTCGCACCTTGCTACCTCATAGATACAACTGTCCAGTAGCCCAAATTGACAAGCGATAAGACCGAGCGAGGATGGTGTTCGACATGGGTGAGCAGCACGCTAGGTACGCCTACTGCCCGGATGATTCCCCTTCTAAGAGCCAATAGATGTCATCCCCGTCGCACATCCCAGGGTAGGAAAGGCTAAGGGAGCTCTAAGTGGTCCTCGAAGTGTCTTCTGGGTATATTCTCGGTCAGATGCCTCCCAAATGGCCCTTTTAAACAGTGTCTCTCTGATAATAGCTCGGTAAAATACCTACGACGCGCCCGTTGTACAGTCACGACGTCGTAAGGTATATACGAGTCCTTATGGTCACGCCAGTTAAAGACGCCATATCGCTCTGATATTGGGCACAAAAATGCGTTTTTCAGCGCCAGGCGCATCATCTCCCCCACACCAAGATCTTGACCGTCCCCGGTCATTCTCTCTTAGCAGTGGAGATGAATCGGCGTTGTTACCCTACGGCATACGCCGTAGAGTCGACTGCGACGACAGTCTCTTCTCTCTCGGTTGGTGTGTTTCTGGTTTTCGGTGATTCCCGTAGTTTAAGCTTGCTCGATCGGATCGACGGCGCCGGCGATGCTTATATGTCGACTTCCCGCGCCTCGTGCCTTCTACATCTTGCTCTCAACGTTCACGGTACATCGTACGTGCCTCCGCGACGCCACGCGCCCCTACTGATGCAGACAGCAGCCATGGCGCCCACCGACACGCTGGCGCATCGCTCGGCGCGTAAAAGCCATCAAGCATACGGCTCCAAGCTGGACTCCATCAACTGGGAGTTCCACTCGGCGGCGGGGCTCAACAACCGCGCCCCCACGACTGAGAATATCGTGTGGGCGTTGGGGCGCAAGGGTTCCCGCCAAAAATTCGTTCTGAAGAAGCTGGTAGGTGATTCTGTTCTCTCTTATTCTCTTAGGCGCTCACGCGGCGTGGTAGCACGCACTGGCCGCCATTCTTGTCGCTGGCGAGTCCGAGGCCGACGACCCCGATTTCGCGCCGGATCCGGTGGTTGCCGCATGCCTGTACTTCCTGTACGATTGCATTCGCGCGACCGACCCGGCCGCTAAGTACTACGGCGCGGCCAGCGTTCCTCGCCCCGAGTAAGTACCTCGCATTTCTCGCTATTGTTCCTGCTGACAGTTTTCTAGTTTCCTTCTGAATCCCGTCGCGCTGACGTTCCAGCACGCGGACGAGAAGCTTCGAGGAGAGGCGAAAATCGCCGCCGCTCGTCGAAGCAACCAGGACATGGTAAGTCCTCTAGTTTTTCGCTGTTTTCCATTGTTAACGCCTTCGACCCAGTTCGAGAAGCTGCGCAACGCGCCTCGGCTGCCTGCGGACCACGTAGCGGTAGTCGCAGAGCGCCTAGGGTACGGCGAGCTGACGCTGGGGGAGTGCGGTCCCGCCAGCGAGGCTGAGCGCGGCTTCGCCGGGCGTCGGTCGCAAGCTCGTCGACGCGGCGCGGAGACGCCGCCGCCTTCGACGTCGCGTCGCAAGGTGAGTTTTCCATCTACATTCGCACTTGTGGTACTGAGTTTTCGCTAGGGTATCTCGGCGAGGGCGGCAAGGGCTCAGCGTCGTCGTAAGTCGCCTACGCCTACCGCCAGCATCGACAAGGCGGACGTCGAGAGCGAGGACGAGCAGGACGACGCTCCAGTCCCCTCTCACGCCGACGCAGAGAGCGAGTCGGAGGAAGACAGCGTCTTCGGCACGCCCTTGCCGCCGTGCAAGCGTGCTCACATGCGCATTAGCTCTCCTCCTGACTCTCCGGGTTCCCCTCCGGTTTCCGCGACCCTCCCCGAGGTCGGTTCCGCGTCGCCGTTCTCGGCTACCTCGGTGGCGCCCCAGTGGTCGCCCCTCAACAGGCCGGAACTGCTGCTGGAGGCGCTGCAAGCGCTCCCGGCGAACACGTCTCGCCTGTTCTCCCTCTCGCCCGAGGCGTCTGGGAACGAGGCTTCCGGCCCTGCGCCTGAGGCGTTGGATCATGCGGACAGCGGACCTTCGGACGCGTTGCCTGTCCGGCTGCGTCGTCTTCCGCTCGACGCGCTCGTCGTCCCGGAGCAGTCGCTTCCGGCGCCATCGCCGGAGAGCTCCTCCATGCTCTTTGGTATGCTCTTTCTCTATTTTCCACGGCTCTTCTTGATTTTCTGACGCTTTCTTTTACAGGTCGTCCTACTCCTGCCCAGGTTTGGCATTCACGGAACACCCGCCCTCCTACGCCTCCTTGGGATAAGGGGCTTTACTGAAGGGGAAAGCGCTTTGAGGCGCCGGCTTGATTTTTCTTGACGTTATAGCTATCTCTTTTAAATTTCTTGCTTTATCTCTTGTTTCTACTCTAGAGTAGTTTATTTCTTGGAATAAGGACCCAATTTCCGTACTGAAAGCGCGAAAAATGAAGCCCCGCTTCTCATGAATTGCTCTTACTTCGTCGCTGGTTCATCTTCCGAGCTCGCGTGGCGTGAACGTGACTGCCGGCTATTGCCGAAGTTCAACTTGCTTCCGCGGCTCTTAGCCGTGTAGCGCAGCGCAAAAAAAGTTTTCTCTCTGTCCGACCGATTGACAATGCTCTAGACCACCGGGCATCTCCCCCACACCAAAGAAATCGGC